CGGTCTCGATCAACTTCGTACGGGGAGCTCCGTACATCAAAAAGCGAACAACGCAGAAATTCGTATTCTTCCCACTTTTTTTCCGAATCCCCCCCAGATTTTTTACTTCCGTACACTCGTGACGGTGGCTCAGCCACAGCCTCGATGCGGGCATTGATGTGCCTTGTAGTTCGTTGTCCGCATCTGTTGCACAGCGAGTTCTCTGTCGAGTGAAGTGCTCCGATTGGGCCGTCGGAGAACACATTGCCAGAGGCTCCGGCTCTCAAGATGTTGATAAAAAATATGATCCTTACGCCTCCGCTCCGAGCAGATGAATCCAATCGGAGGAAAAGACCACTTGGGAGGTTGCTCTCCAGAGGAACTTCGAAACTCGAAACGCTCTCGAGAGAACACCCCCCCCTCAGAATATCATACTGTAAGGCCGTAAGGTACCGAGAATTTTCGCGACTTCTCAGTGAGAACAGATCCTGACGACATTGATATTGGTCGGATCCTCGCTGCCGATGTCAGATCCTTCTCTCCCGGGGAGGAAGTAGGATTAGCGAAGGGTTGTGGAATCCACATGGCAGAGCGGAGCGCTTCTCGCCTGAGACCAATATAGTAAGTACCTGAGCTTTTGCTTCCACGAAGAAAGAAAGCATCCGAAAACGATCTGAGCTTTAGCTAGAACTCGGACTTGCTCCATCTTCCTGGTCTTCCACATGCGGATATGTACATGAATCTCCCGATTGTAGAAATCCCCTGGCCTCAATGAGAGGCAGACCGCGTTGGTGACGGCGGCCCTCACGTCGGCGTCGGTCCAGGCTTCTCCGGCCATCCTTCCCGGGGCTTCCGCATACTTTGGACGAAAGATAATTTGTCATAGGTACCCACCTTCTGAGGCGAGATCCACCTCAAAAAGCTCCTTCACAAAGCAATGTAGCCGGGATCTCGCATCAGAGGGAATATAAAAGATAGGGCAAGTTGAGTCTTCGCCTCCCGTAGGGGGTCCGCTTGGCCAGCAGCAATCCATCGAAGTGCTGATATGGTTATTGAGAGCAGGCATTGTGTGTATGGTGGACGAACAACGCCATCCATCTTCAAGGCCCTCGAGATCTGCTGTCCCCACTCTGAGACTTCGCCCTCTCGTCCCGGGCCGCTCGGGGCCTCCGTGTGGCAGTGCAGGCTGCTTCGTCAAGCCAGAGCGTGTTTCACGATGGATATCCAGAGCGGGAGCCACGGAACATTCGGATTCCTAGAATTGGGAGAAAATATTCTCCCTGAGCTGCGGATGTGAGTTATCGATTGAGACTCTCTCTGGATTCAAAACCCAGGCTTGCGAAAAATGCATATTTCCCAATCTTCCGCAAAGTCTTGTTGGAGTCGACAAAGACCGCTCTCTTATGGAATGTTCACTCATCTCCATGCAAACATTCGGAGAAGGTTCCGTAGAATGAGGATTCCGGAGAGCTTGGGTCTGTGACCCAGGCGGTTTCTGGGCCTCAAATTATGCTTCCTTTCATTGTTCACAGAGCTTATGGGCTATATAATAAGGGTAAGTTCGATGAGGGTAGTTCTTTGAAGTCTGACTCCCAGCATTTCTCGTCAATAGACAGTTTTTATTTAGGCCCTCATGATGCGACATACACGAAAACATCGTTATTGCCGAGCTTCGGCTCTCCACTTCAGGACTGTAGCGTAGTTTTCGTTAGATGTCTAGCTCAGTGATGGACACTAACGCTCTATCTGACAGTGATGAAAAAGGCAGCTCCCGAGCTCAGCTCGGGTCCAGCCTGACCCATCAAGTTTCATGGGGTCTGAGTGACGGCGATGTCTCGAGAGGAGCGTCTGCTTTCGATAACAAACACATCATATCAATTATCGCTCGAAGATTCTGCCGGCTGCGCCAATGATGAGTTCTCTGACACCTTGAGGATTGCTGACTATGACCATGGGGAAACACGGCGACGGTTCTCGAGGGCCGCTTGGGCAGAATGAATGACATCGGCTGGGAAGACGGGTGGTGAGAGAACTCTTTCCCCACAACAGCAAAATCAGGACTCGACATCCTTTCCCTATTGACCATCAGGTTCGCTGAAGTCGACGGGCGCCTCGCATCTCCTGGGTCGTGACTCTTTGAGAGCGAGACTTGTCATCGGGGAAGGCCGTCCACGGTCGAGGCTTAAAATGAGAGTTGTTGGATATCGAGGTCTACGTGTGTACAACAAGAGTGAAGGCATCCCAATCTCTAGCGTGAATGGAAGTCGCGATGGTCGGAATCTGTCCCGGGGTTGCGTCGATGGCATCCAGATCCGGCCTTGCCGCCACGTCGCAGTCCAGGACTGAAGTTTGTTTTTCAAGGTCCTCGAACGACTCCGGATAATCACTCACTCAAACCTCTTGAGCTGAAGAAACTGCTCAACTTTCACGTAAAGTCTCTGCAACGATGTCGATGGTGGTCGTTTGAGTCGCCCCGGTTCCTCAGTCATAGCGTGATACTCCACCGTTCGTGTTTACCGTGATGTGCGTCAACAAGGATTTTCAATGAGAACGAGAGCGAATTGCTGGCTCATATCGAAGAGAGCTTCTTCAGGACAGCGATTCTTTGCAGACCAGTGTTCAGAACTTTCCCGAACAACCGAAACAAATATGATGGGTACTCGGTAGAGGTCAAACGACCGTCTGGTCCGGAGCAGCGGCTGCAGGAGCGGACTTGAATTTGTTTCTGTCCATGGCTTCACCGAGGAGCTCCGGAGACGGGGAGCTCTCTGAGGCCACTTCCTCGCTGGGCAAGCTCTCGAATCCTGATCGAAACATCATCATCATCATCATATGATTCATAAGATGAGTGAGACTCGTGGGAGATATATGTTATTCAAGGGACTCACTATCTTCTCAGAACCCACGAGCCCCCAGGGCGCCGGACCCTCGATGGGAACCCTGGTGTCAACCTTGATGTGGCAGACGGTCTAAAGGTGGCTGCAAGCTCGCCGACGACCATTGATCTTCCTCGTGAGCTTCGCATAATGTCACGGCGCATTTGTGGAGGCGTTGTTGCTTCACACCGGCAACGCATAGCATCTCGCGCAGTGATCCAGTGAGCTCGTGCTCACGTCGGCGTCAGCGATAATCAGAATCAGCAGGTTCAATTCAATCATTCATTCATCAGATTCAATCATTCGAGCCATCTCGCATGAAAGTGGTGTGAGAAATTCCACCAGTCTGCATTAAAGAATCTTGAATGTATCGAATACAGGATCCAGATTTCACGATGACTTCCCCTGGTCAAAACGGATGGTAGATGGATTTGCCTATTGCCCGCATATTTGTGCCTCCCGCGGGGTAAGCAATCCGGAGGGAAGAACAAATATGCAAAAAATCGGAACCTCAGGGGCGATGGATTTTGCCTTTCGTCCTCAGCTACTCGAATCGCAATACAAATTGTCACGAAGACAGTCTGCGATACCGAGGCGAACAATCAGTCCCTTATCTCTAGTTACGGCCGGGATACAACCCATTTGGCCGCAGAAGCCCCCGAGCAACGGAACGGACCCGTGGCGACGCTCGCGCTTTCAATCGTTCACCGCCGGACAACAGCCGTCCTCTGAATGGGGGGGCTACCTTGTCGCGAAGTCCTTGTACCGGTGCTATAACACGGTCCCAGGAACCGGCTCTAGTCCTCGATGGGCTCCGCTTGCGCTGACAACTATCATTTCATACGCGTTACGCTCTCGCTCTGTGCCGCGACTTCGGGTGTGGAAACCTCGCGCCGTCTGCGATAGAATTCGCTGTCGGAAGAGCCGGTGAGCGGAGAATGACAATGTCTCGCGATATAATTGGCTCCAAATTCGAAATAACTCTATTGAATAAGTGCGAATTGAAAATATTCAGGTTTGTTCAGCACATGCGCGGTTCGAAAAGTATTCGCGGCCGCCGCAGCCGGTGAGTGCAAACATTGGCGCGAGAGCGATAATAATTCCACTGGTAGACCGACGTATACCTTATATGGAATCGATGGGATGTATAGGCATAAGCACAACAACGGTGTAACAGAAGTATCGCGAATGTCCAGAAGTGAACGAAAACCTTTGCCGAACCCAATTTGACTTTCATGGCTCATGGCACACCAGCGTACATGATCTTCATACCTTGAACGATGAATACGACCTCTAGGAATCGCAATGTCTGCCGTTGTGCCGTTGTGCCGATTTGGGATGATCTTGCGGTGTTCTAGTTTTTTCTTCCTGATCTCTTCCCCCTCCCCTAAACCCCCTCGCTCTGTAGAAGAACTTGCGTATACGGCTTCGAAAGTGACGTGGTGCAACGCGCAAGGATGTGATGGGATTGAATATTCTATGAATATCAACGATGTGGTACGGATAAGACTCGACCGGTCATTGTGGTAGAAAAAAGCACCTTTCAGTCTCAGTAAAGACATTCTCTATCGATCGTGTCCTCGCAATGTCCTCCTTCGTGGAACTTGATTATTTATTATCGCTTTCGGCGACTGTGTGCTCCTCCCCCCTCAAAGATGATAGGGCGGTGTGAAATGTCTCCCTGCAGGAGAATGGCACCAGCACATGAGGAAGTGAACCAACGGAGCCGCGAATCCCGTCGGAAGGATGCTGCGACCAAGCAGGTTCAAGTAGTCGCGAGTGAGCTCTCGTGAAGCTCTACATGGGTGCGTTTGAGCGAAGATCGCGAGTTTTCTTGCACGTTGAGAGGAGTCTCAGCCAGGAGGCTTCTCGGCCTCCGAACTGACTCGAGCGTCGACAGAAACCGATTCCCGATCTTTTCAGTTCATCAAGGATGAACCCACAGGCCCGGTGTTCTTCCGCACGAGGTCAGTTTCAGGCGTCATCTCAGGTAGGCATACGATTCGCGGGAGGGGCGTCTGCCCGGAGCGCTAGAACATAAGTCATCGTGAATCGCCCCCAATCCAGAGACAACTCGAAGGAAGTTACGAAATTCGGGATTCGATTCTGCTCGTGGGGAAAACGAAGCTTCCGAGGAAACCCGGGATGGCCCAACAAATGGAGCCTTCTGTGAGGCGAGAAGCTCTAAACGTTATGTTCGGCGAAAAAGTAGCGACGAGCGGGGAGCTGCCGAAAACCTGGTATCCTCAGAAGTTAGCGTTCCATGACGACGGTGAGGACGCAACTTTTTTCGCCATCAAACAGGTCGAGGGCGGCCCTTGTGGCTGTTACGCAGCGATCCAAGTAGGTGTTCGAGTATCTTTCTATCTCGGAAGGCCGCGCCGTGTCTCCTCCCGAACACTGCTCCGGGACGCGGAGAGCGCGGAAGTTTGGTCCGAGCGGATAGCGAAAATTTTCTGGAGCTCCGACATCTTCCCTCCCGAGGTTCCTGCGCGAACCTTTCTCAACGCTTGGAGGTTGTGTCCTTACAGGCTTATATTCTGAGAGATCTTTTGAGCAACCGAAACCGCATGGACTCGTTCAGCGATCGGATAGACATGCGTCGGTGTGCACTTGCAAGCGCCCTGGCGAGTATACTTTGGAAGGCGCGGCGTTACTCGAGCAAGAATAAAGATGGTCCAGTTTTTCTCGTTATCCAAGATGACGGTGGAAAGTGGAATTATGTCCAGCCAACGACTATGGAAGAGACCGCCGAAGTCATCAGGGCCAATTACGAGCAAATAAGCACTGCCGGAGTGGTTCCGTTCACCGTTTCGGTGAGCTGCTTCAACTAAATCGATTCGAACCTCGCTTGAGTATCCTGTTGCTGAAATCAAGATCGAATACATCGAAAATGCGGAGTTCCGCAGCTGGGCTCCATACCTCGCTTGGGGGGCTATTCTGCGTCTCTCCTATCAGCGTGCCCGCTTTCCGCAGTATACCGCTTCTGAACAACAAGTTCCTTCTCCAGATAATTCTCACCAAAGGCATCGATTTGATCAAGCAAGAGCTGGTGGTTCACGACGTCTTTCAACCCTTGGTGAATACAGATTCCAGCGACTGCACGCAGGACCTCGTCAACCTCTATTTGACAGGACGCGCCTGCGTGGGGTTGCACGATGAGGAGTGTCCAAACCCTCAGAGCAAAGGTGCATAATCCCTGTTTATCCTTGGTATCGAGGCAAGGCAGCCGCTGATTGCCGTTTCAGATCCCATTACCCTATCCGCAGTGTGGAGTGCACATGTTATGGTATTGTGTATGACCCGAGCTTGCTCCAAAATGAAACCCTGATCTCGATATTACAGGCGTGCTCGAGCGACAAGATATTGGTTTCCTGTCCGAGCTTGGGCACCAGATCGGGAGCTTCTACAGAGATCCGATCGAACCTTTCTGGGTCCTCAATTTCGGACATCATTACACGGTTCTGTATTCAGCCGCTGACGACGCTCTGAACAATGGCGAGACTCGGAACGATTTCTACTGGTTCCCCGGATTCAGTGACCGCCGATACGTGAGATTTGAGGTTGATATTGTTGCAGTGCTAAGCATCGGCAGGACTCCGATAGAGTCTATGCGTCGCAATATCACGAGCAATAATCGTAGAAACTGTTTTAAATCGGTCATTCTATGCGAGCAGATCGTCTTCGGGGAACCTGGACCAGGCGAGTTTGAGTATGAGCCTATCAGTGAAGGAGAGAAATGGGAGTATAGGGGAGTACTCAATTGTGTGCGTTCACGATGGACACCGGAGGCAAAAATCATTTCTTGGAGACAGTATGGCCCGATTCCGGGAACGGAAGATGATGGGCAAACTTCGAGTGGCAGCGAAAAATAGCCTCGGCTGCTCAATTCCAAGAGTCGCGGACGATGGGTGAGGCCAAGCACGCGCGAGTTGATTGAGTGCGCCGAGTCAAACAAAGACGTGGTAAAATGAAAGCTCCTCGCTTTTTCCTTCTTACTTGGGGTAGAGCAGGATGTCTCTGGTTTCGGGAGTGTTCCATGATGTCGAAGGATCTATTCGCCTCGGATCCTGAAATCACCCCTATCATATTGGATGCATTGTTGCGGACTCTAGCTTGGGCGGAACACCCCGCCCGCGCCCTCACGATAGGCCGTGGAATGGCGATGGGGGTTCCGCTCTGGTGAGAGAACGGTCGACAAGGGCTCGGATACCACTCGATGTTACAATTGCCTACATGGCTCTCAGGAAGGGGGTGCGGCTATGAGCTTGGATAGGCTCGCATTGAGAGATTCACGGTACAACATGCTTTCTCGCCGACTGTTGTTCGAAATTATTTTCCATCGCACTTCAGAATTGAATCCGAGAGCGGGATTCAAGAGCTGCTGGGGCAACGTCCGGTACTATGGTCGGCTTATCCATGCTCGCTGGCGGATTCTCGCCTGACTCAGTTCACGATTGAAACCTCAATTCCCCGTGTATCCGGGATGCACAAATGATGGCTTTCAGGATCAAACTCCGCAATCGATACCGTCTCCGCTCGGGGACACCCTCGGGGTCCAAGGGGAATCTCTCGACCTTCTTGACGGAATCCATCTGTTTTCAGCGAGATTTCGATTTTATTTCGGTATTCCGACCTACGAGCACCATATTCCTCCGTCGACGTGTTGCCTGTGCAGCGGGCGAAGGTGCTGTACGGATCGGAGTCTGCGGTACCGAACACGCAGCAGGGCTCCGACTGCTCCATCATCGAGGAGAGCGCTCGATACTTGCGCGTTGAATGCCCATGCCGGGGAGATTCACGTTTATCCTTGATCCGTCCCACTAGATTCCCGCGCACTCCGGGATTCTTTTCGCGAATCCCTCCGGGACCGCGTTCAGTTGCGCCACCCCCCTCCCCGCATTCCCGTCCTCTCGGTCATGGGTCTTTCCTGCAAAATCTCAGAGATAAGGGATCATATTCAAGATGGTAGCCCCATATTCCACGGCCTACCATGCGAATCGCTATAGCATTTTTCCTGGTGACGCCTCTGCACTCATCGCCATATGCAGCTTTGTCGATGGCGATTGGGAGGCGAATCCGATCAGCATCACTTTGGATCAGAAGTTGTTTCATCGAAAAAGCCGTTCCTTGTTGTCGGGAAATTCTGTGGGTGATTGAGTCTCGGATATCCTACATCCTACGGCAAGGCTGTGATGCCAGCTGCGCTGATCATGCTGAATCTGAGAGGCTGAAGTCTGGAAATATATTATCCAGCACAGGCAGGTTTGCATGGTCATAATTGCGATATTTAATGATTCTGATTGTCTACAATCACCAAGACTCCAGAGGGATTTCGACAATTACATGATTTGACACGAATATCGCTCAACGCCTCATGACTCTGGTTTGTACCGAAACTCCTTCTCTGCAGCGCTCAGACAGAAACTCGGTCTCCTAATCGCGATAATTTTCTGTCCGTTGTCCCGATATTGATAATTTGAGCGAGTCGGGGCTCGTAAAATTCGTAAGCTTGATAAGAGAAGCAGACTCTTGGTCGACCGCGACGACTGCGCCCTTCGAGACCTGCCGACTAAGCAACTCATAGTGGAGGACTTCCGGGCAGATGTGTGATTTTTATCGTGTTTCAGTTGTGTGTTTATAGATTCGAAGTTTGAGTCTCGCCGTCAGCAGCAGGTTTCGAAGAACGTGACGATGCGGCCGTTCTGACGGCCCTTTGTGGACTGCATTCAAGTTCTACGTAAGAGAGATAATTCATTCATACGATTTTCTGAACTTGTTGCTCAGCATGGAGGGTGTGTTGTGTCACGCTCTCGGATTACTCTCTGTCCGCGAGAGATTCCCAGGAGATCCCTCGGGTCTCCTTACAGCCTCGTAAAACTCCCTCCTGTTCCTTACGAGGCGAACCTTTCTCAAAAATTTGAGGCTAGTACGTTCCCCGGCCATTCGGAATTAGAACTAGAGAATGGAATGCCGGCGATTTCGAGAGGCTCAAAGGGAAAATCTGGAATGCTTCATGTGAGCGTTGTCTGAGAGTGTCATGTGAGTGAGACTTTTTATTCCGCGGCTTTCAATTGGCCACTGGGTGCCACATCAGATACATTCGTGTAATCTGAAACAGAGCTGCGAGCTCGTGTCCCCAAGCCGAGCACAGGGCTATTCAGCGAAAACAATTGTGCCTCTGAGTCCTCACTCTGGATTTCACTCATCCACGTGAACAGAAAGTTCGTTCTCGTCTCTTGTTCGTTATCGTTCCGTACCTGTCACTGAACGAGGCGACGTCTGTGGATTTGCTCCTGTTCAAGCTACTCGGAGATGCATCTCGTTGCACTCGCGCTTTGCCAGAACATACCAGAAGCAGAATCGGATCGTGAATCGGCTTTACGAGCTCTTCTGTGGACGGAGAATAACGTGTTGAAAGCAGAATCACGAATTTAGGATTATGCCATGGTTTGATTCCGGGCAATTCGCCACGGTGTCGCTAAAAGTAAAACACGCCGCGCCTGTAAGAAAGAGGCGGCCGACGAGAATGAAAAGGACTGAACGACTCTAAATTGCTGGCGATTCTTTCCACAGGCTCTCATCTGGGTGTGCATTGATATCTATGACATCCGAGGAACGGGCTTCCTCAGACGATGGCTGACCATCTGACGATGGCGATTTTCACACCGATTTTATTTATCCTGTAGGTCTTCGCGAATTCATGTTTGTGGTCGCGAGCACGTTGCAGCTCTCATCATGACCCTGCAACATGGACAGAAAGCGCACGAAATACTTTATACTCATGAGATTTCTTCGTTTCAAGTCTGCATCTGAGTTCTCCAGCGTACGGAAGAGTGTCGCGCTGCGGTAGTTTCTTGCAAGATTTCTCCAAGGTAAGCGGTTCGCCCGTGTCTGATGAGTTGATGAATTATTTCTCCCATGGCTCCGATGATAGCGTACTGCCCCAGTTCGTATTGCCTCCTGTGATAATGAAGATAAGTTCGGCCTCGATGTCCGTTGTCCGGCTCCTACATCAGCCGAGCTCAGCGATATCCTCGCTGAAGTATCGTATCGCTAATCAGTAATTCACGTAGGCCACTCCTCCGTGCCGCTCCGTTTGAGAGAAAAAAAACGTAATTTTGCGACAGCTCTTCGCGGGATATGCGTCCAGCGCGGAACGATGTGATCAGTGTGAGGCAGCGATGGCTGCATACCGTTGCAAAGGATTCGAGTTCATGTACGAAGAGTTCAAAAGGATGTGCCTGAATGGTCAGAGTCGATACTCAGCCGAACAGTGCCTAGACGGCCTCGACATGTACAAGGCAAGCTATCGAGACTACTGAACAGGACAAACATGTTCCGCGTCCCAGCGCCTAGTCCTAGGCTCAGTTCATAGGATAAGGCATGATGCAAATTCTTATTTTCAGGACGAGATTCGATATCTCCTCTGGGACCTCAAAGTCAGCGATCCTGAGGCCTGTAGATTCGTGCTCGGTTGCGGCCCTTATAACAATTCGGTCTACGATTGGGACTTCGATCTCCCGGCAGAACCTTATCCCGCCGGAAACTCAGTGAGTGGCGATGTCAGGTCTGATGGGATGCCTACGAAATGGGCCTATGTGTCTTGGGGTACGATCGCGGCAAGGACGAGAGAGGACTGAAGAAATGAATTTTCGTCCTGATTGGGGTCCACCCGATTCCAGCTCGATCTGGAGCCGTTCTCCGTGTTGCACCTGACGGACCCCCACGTCTCCCCTCAATACGCGGTGGGATCTTTACCTGATTGCGCGGAGGAGCTCTGCTGCTCCGACAGACAGCTGCTCAAAGGAATGCCCTACACGGGAAGAGGCTCTGATGGAGTCTTCATCGGCTCAGGTCCCTACGGCGATATCAGAGGCGAATCGCACTGTGATTTACCGATGAGGACACTCAAGAATCTACTAGTCAACGCCGGAACGAAGAAAGTGAGCCAAGAGCCGTGACGATTCCAGCCCATTGTTCGGAGAGTTTCGACTCACTCAGTCTAGCGTTTAGGAGTGTTCATCAGTGCGCACTATTTCTGGGAGTTTTCAAACCCTGTTGATACGCGCACTCCGTTGCAGTTCACACATGTGTACCTGACTGGTGATTTCATACCGCATACAACTTTCAATTACACCTTCTCGAGAGTCATGAGAGAGATAAGGGAGCAGACGAAAGTCATATCGGATGGTCTGAGAGGGCACAAAATTTTTCCGAGTATTGGTAACCATGATGATTATCCCTCTTTCCTGTGAGCATTCCCCCTACAGAGATCAAGTCATCGTGGATATTTTCGTCGGAGGAGGCCAGATTGTCGCGAGCCTAAAAATTCTCGAAACCTCTTCAGGTTTCCAACTCATAAGATGCACGCAGGAAACTACACTGTCGATAAACTGTACAATGGGCTATGGGACATCTGGGGTGGAACATGGATACCGGAGGATGCGGAGAAAACTTTCAAAAAGTACAGTACGAGACCCCCTGGTATCGCTTATCCGAATACCTCGCTCTGCTCGGTCGTCTTCGCTTGTCTTCCCGTCAAACTGGAGATTATTCCGGAAATTTCTTTCCGCAGGGGAGGCTATTTCACGGCGCTTGCTCAGCCCGGTCTACGCATCTTCTCTATGAACACAGTTCATTGCTATACACTCAACTGGTGGCTGGCTGTGAACCCCAAGGTCGGGTGAATCAGTTTGAACGATTCTTCGCCAGACCCGAGCTTCTGCCAGGTTGCGATCTCCCATTCCGGATCTGATGGCTCGGGGAGCCGACTTTTAATATTTCCGGATATATTTCCAGGATCCCGAAGATCAACTCGAGTGGCTTGTGGATGGACTCCAGGAAGCTGCTAAGAAAGGCGAGAAAGTCCATCTCCTTGGCCACATTCCTCCGGGAACCTCTGAGTGTAGAAAAGAATGGGCGACAGCCTATCAGAAGATAGTCGCAAGGCAAGACTTCAAGATTTTCCTTCGAACAGGGGCTCTCCCCACTTGGAGGGAATCCGGGGTGATAAGCCACATATTCTCGTTTTTCCAGGTTTCGGAACACAATCACCGGCCAATTCTTCGGTCACATGCATTGGGACATGTTTTTCGTCAACATCGCGCCGGGATCAAACGTCCCGACAGGAGTTCAATTCGCGGCTCCTTCAGCAACGACGTTCATGACTGGCTACCCGAGTTATCGCATCATGCATTTCGGATCCGGTGCTGCAAGTGTCCTCTCAGGGAGCTCAGGGGTCATACAAATCTCATATGATGATTCGTCGCCTCGAGTCGACCTCTCAATGCCTGATCTGGATCATTGCAGGAAGTTCTCGATATGGACACTTTCCTGCTGAACACAACAAGACTGAATGAGCCCTTCATGGAGAGGTTGAGCGCATCGAACGGGGCAGATCTGGAACAACGTCTGGATGAGTTGGAAGTTTACGACCCAGCTCACAAAGAATGGCAGTTTGCCTACAGCTACAAAGATCAATATGGCATGTCCGACCTGTCGCCTGGAAGCTTCAGAGAGCTCATCGAGAGAATGCTCCTGGACGACGAGCTCCTGGAGAAATATTACAGGTACCGACCGCTGCGGCCTCGTACCTTGGCGGAAATCATGAATTCGCATATGGTATGTTTCCGCTCAAGGTGCTTCCCTCTTACAGGGCGTTTTTCCAACATCGTAATCAACCGGAAGAAATTCGTTGTCACCGAGGAAGATGCGATACCGTCTTCTATTACGATCCTGACACTCAGCACCCCGTCGTCTGCGAGATGTTCTCTTTCGGAACGGATCAACGGAAAACGTGTGACGTGGAGTACGGCGTAAATGAAGGACTTGAAGGCGCGGCTCCATCGCTCCGAGCCGGACTCCTTCTGGCGATCGGGAGCGTCATAGCCACCCTTTCCATGAAACCATTCTTTTTGAACATGGATTGACACATTAGATTGGCGATCGTCGGTAGAGTCCAAGTCTCGCGCATGAAATTCATCTTCCGTTATCAGAACGGATTCCGAAGAAGAGGGATCCGGAGCGGTTCCACCCTTTTGGCGCTCGAAGACTTCGCGAATCGCATGTTCTCACCATGAGCTGGCTCCTGGCCAATTCTTCTCAATTTTTTCTGTCCGTGCATCCCTCGCAGATGGCCGGAAAATCCGTGCACTCTCAAGCCCGATAGCCTTCTGATATTGCGCGTGTCAGAGCTTCGAGCTCATGAAGACGGTTGTGCGTGGATCCAGTTTCTTCTCGATTCATGACATCGCCGACGTATCGAAATCAGGCATCTTGTCAGCAGTTTTCTGTTTCCGGCATCATCCTCGCGGAGTCGGATAGCTGACAATGAGTTACTTATTCTTCGAAAACTTCCATGCAACCTCGGGAGTTCACCTGCGCCCCGGTTGAGGACCACTGCTTCAAAGGTTCTTGGGCGGTCTCCTGATTCAGAACCCTGCTAATACACCTGATAGTAAAACATTGTCGGGCATTCAGCATCCAGAATAAACGCTCTTTCTCACGACATCTCCGTCAGACAATCAATCTTTCACCCTATTTTCGTTTCACGGGAAAATATTGGATCCCCGGGAAGCGGGCGCGAGTCGCTCCCCGAGACTCATTTCATACTCGTTCCTGTCACGGGCGCAAAATGGCACGAAGACTCGATGATTTCGGGAAACGCCAGGGCGACGGATTTTTCATTCCGATTTCATGACTTTCGAAGACGTTCCCTCTGACACCGCTCGCATGGCATGCTCGTGTAAGCTCGAAGTTTCCTCCATGCAGAATGAAGTGGGACCCCCTCCCGAATCACGACATTCTAGCGGCTAAAAAAAGAACGTGATATCGAAATCCTAATTGTTGCCGTAAGCAGGTCAATGTCATGAGAATGCAATGACAGCGAGAAGTCACGGTACGCGGGGAACACTCGGATTCTGTTTTTTCTTCGAGAAAGAGTTCATGAAGGACTCGACTGCAGCTGTTTCACACCTTTACTCTGGCCGGTAGGAGCATTCGGTGATCAAAATGCATTTGCTTCAGTCGGACAGAAAATTCAAATCCGATCGCACGACTTGATCGCGTCACCTTGCGCAAGACTCAGGTCCGAACCGGAGCTGTCGGCGATTCCGAAGCAGAACGAACCGCTACGGAACCAAAGGCAAGGGCATCGGGGTTTTTGGGAGGGGCGGTCTGTTTCCGAACGGACAATTGAGCGAAAAGGTACTGGCGGAAAGCTGTGAACGGGAATAAGATTTGACCGAAGCTCACCAAACCGCGCGCATCGCTCTCGAGATTATCCTAAGAATTTATCCGACACCCGCCGTGCTGAGGACTGCTATGAGCGGCCCAGACACGATAAACTCGGAGGTCAGTCTTCGGTACGTATCGAAACCTGCCGGAGTTCTCGTCAGAGTTGCTCGCACCCTGTGAATCTCCCCGATTATACACGACTCGGGCCCGTCAATTCCGGGAGTTCTGCTTAATCAATCGAAATCTCCCCGCTCAATCCGCTTCACCCCACTGGAAGTGCCCGCGAAAACGCGCGCGGTTCGCTGGTCGGTACACGCTTTCTTTTTCGGTGTCCGGACCGCAGTAGTCGAAGTGAGCGCTTGTGACCATCTGGACCTCGCGGAGTAATCCGAACACCCCTCCAAGTGCGAAATTTGTTCGAAGAAGAGGCGATACCTGCCAGTTGATCACGAGTAAGCGAACTCTACCACTGAATATGCTCTGGATATCCCGTGTACGACCTGATTCCACGATTTTCTACTCGTAGGATCACCTAAAACTCCTGCCGATGTCTCGGATATATAATCTCGGTCTCCGGGGCCTGCAGGATAGTCAAGATCTCGCAGCGATCGTCTTCCTCTCGGTTTATGCTCTCGTGGCCGTTTACGTTAGTTACGTGGCCGCCACCGCCCAGCTCGTACCATTGCTCGGCTATGCCGATGGCTGAAGGAGCTCTAGAGCTTGGGCGCCGTGAGGAATGCCGCTAGATCGCTGTATCTCTCATATACTGGCTCCGAGAAATTCAGGAGCTCTATTCAATTTAGAGTTTCCCTGTCTGATATCCGCTTATGGGCAGTCGAGAAAAATGTCCATCAACACCAGAGGCGTCAGCTCAGATTCTCGACTGAAACAACATCAGCTGGAAATATAGATCTTCTGATCTTTCTTCGGTCGGCCAATCAAGGATGAGAGCCCCAGAAAAAAGTCGCCGCCTAATGCAGCAATTTCACAAACCCTGGCGGGAAACGGCTTCCGTAAGTTCAGAACTGAAGTTCACTTCCAAGACGAGGTCATTGGCGACGCGACTCTATCGGCAGCTAGCGAAGGAAGCGCTACATAGAGGAGAGCCGGTCAGGAGGATTTCTCACAGAGAGTTCCTACACCGGCCGCAGCCTGCCGGCGATCAAATCAGCGAGGCGGACACCTACGGATCTGAATAAGTTGTGGAAGCTCGTCACAACGGGGAAAAGGTTTCCCGAAAACTCCTACAAGGAGGAGAGGACAGCATTCGCACCATCTCGATACATCTCTGCAGGCGAAATGATCGAATTTATATTCCTCGAGAGTCGTTTCACGGAAATATCAACTCCATGCTGGATAATGGCCTTGGACATGGACTTTCATCGACAGGGAGCCAATCGGACCGTTTCAGAGTATCGAGATCATCGCGTCTCCCAATTACTTTCAACTGGAAACGCCGACGATCGAGCGCTTCCAGAGAGGGGAAGGTATAATTCCTCACGGATTCTCGAAACTTGAGGCCGCCACATTAGAGCGGTGGCCATCTAGAACCTAGTGGGGCCAAAATCAACTCTGAGAGCGCATCCTGATCCTAGTCTGATGCAACAAATAATCCTCGTCAATGTACACCCGCGCGTTTAGAGACCCGAAATTAAATTGTCGCTTTCACCTACTGAGCTTTGCCGTCTTCCCGTGCTGTGCAAACTCTCGACCGCTCTCGGTTGCAGTCTCCAGCCGGTACAATCGTCCTTTTTTCTTCTTGTGTATATTAACTAATGGAGGACCCCCTCCTGTCTCCGCCATTCGTCCAAATGAACAAATGAATAATGATGTATAGTAATAATGAGTACCTCGTTCGATAAATAAATTCCTAAACATTTGATATAATAAGACTGATAATCATTTTGTACCATCGATTTGGTTCATGCATTGAAAGAAGCAGTCTGAACTCGTAACATTCTTAGATAATTTATTCGTTATTCTCCGTCGCACCGATCGCCCCCTACTCTTCACTGCGATGGATGCGAGTCAGAGGCATATCCGGAGCCATCCTCGAGAAGCTCCGCTCATCAACCAAGATACACTTTCTCTCTCGAGTTTTCACTTCGAAGAGGTTGTCACGGAATAAAATCCGAAGACAATCACGATCCGAAAGCACTCGCGCAGCCGGAGTCATTCACTCGAATCACTAGACAGCCGCTCATCAAGTCCGAGGCAGGGAGCACATCTCGCAAGTGTTCGTGTCGCTCTCGTTGGTGAATGTGCAGTGTTCACAGTTCCAGGTCGATCGAGAGGCTTCTTTCTGGGGCATCTCCACGTCATTCGAGCCCATGGAACTGAGGATGGTCTCGAACGTTCGCCACTGCTCGCTCTCCGCAGCCCAAGTGTTACAAGCCTCTGCGTTCTTAGTTTTTACCGCTTCCAGTAATTTATCCATCTCTAGATGTACCACGTCCAGAGTGGCGAGATACAGAAGAAAGTGAAAATCTCTACAAGCAGCCAGGAGATCTTTTGACGCTGTGAAGTTCCTCAGATACTGATTTACAGCTGGCAGATCCTGTACTTGATTGGCGAAGGCTCGGTTCTCGACCGTGAAATGAGGTCCTTCGCTCCGGAAAGTATTCACGGAATCATTTGGCGAGAACACGGGCAGATCGATGAGCAAGAACTCGACAGGAAGAGGTCGAGCTACCTTCTGAACTTCGAGTCCATACCGATCCTTCGTCTTATAGAAAACGTCGGGTACAAATTTTTTAGGCGTAGACTCTTTGACCCAGGCTAATTCAGGAGCGTCCTGAGTGGGAATGAGACAGTCGTCTTTCACCAGCGCCATACACTGGTTGGACACCTGGTAGGCTTCCATATGGATTTGGTTATTTTTATCACCGGTCACGCACACCGTGACGAATTTCGAGCCGGAATACCCGTCTGACGAAAGTTTACAGGGGTTCGGGTACTTGTTCTGGAGGGCAGCGGCTGTGATGCACTCTTGAGCAGACAATAAATAACTAAAATCAACATCCCGGAGATAATGGACAGTGCCTGAAAGGGAGATTTCGATTGCAGTCTCTGACTGAGCTCGTTGGAGCGTGTCTCCCGGAAGGAGGGTACGATAACCCCATTACATAGATTGGAAGCCTCACCTTTTTGTACATCGAGAGGCAGCAGGTCGCAGAAAATCCAGCCGACTCTTCGAAGACCCAACTTTGCGCATAACTCGTCGACAGTCTCCTCGTTGGGATCGTCCAGAAGCTCAAAACCGTCCCGTGCGGAATTCTGAGGGGGCTCGTATATAGCAGCGACACGGGCACATATGCCAAGAGGTACTTCATTGTAGGTTTCATATCGACCGAGTAGTATGCCGACTCGCTGCAGCAACGATTGTCTCCAGAAGTCCAGGAAGCGATTGACGATTTGACTGTTCTCGAACAAAACCGCATCCACGTGCCGATATTTTTGTTGATCCAACGTCACAGCGCTAGGTTGGCACTTCGAACAAATACCTGTGAAAAAATCCTCGTATAAGTACCTCCAGAGTCCTTGCTCGGAACGAGCGGGAAAAATGGATAGGACGACGGGTTGCATTCATTCCAGCTGACCTTTGGGATATGGCGGATGACGGGAGCAGTTTGGTTTGATTTTGAGGGAAATGTTCTCGAGCGGCGCGAATTTCCCCTGATCGACGCCACTTGTGAGTTTCTTAATGTAGGAATGAAAAGACAAGTGCTTGATATTTTTTTCCTTGAGATACGCTTCGTCATAGGGCTCGAGAGGCGTGCAGAGCACACATTTCGTGCTGACGTTGTGGTTACACAGAGCGTGTCGAGACCGGCTGATTCGCCCGTCTTGAGCTGACAATATCTTATCGACCTCATCTTCCGCAACAATAACTTTCCGCCGAACGTCCGGCTTAGCGGCCACCTGCAGGGTCAGAACACAACCTCAATGCTAGTTCATCGACTCGGTGGAGAGCTAGGAGATCGTCTTCGCAGTCCATCTAAAACTCACGGTGTTTACAATGCGTTCTTTTTCGTTGGACTGTTCGACATCCTGCGTCATCGGCTCATCACACACTGGCCTGACAAAGAGCAGATCTCCATTCTTGAGTCCGCATTGAGCAAGACTCCTGCCGCCGACAGGCACACGAGTCTTGTGGTCTCTAGCTGTGAAGACTTCACAATCTAAATATCCATAGGCGATCCGTATTTTGGCCATGAGAGTCTCGGTGGTTTCTCCCGATTCGACTTCGATTCGCTTCTGGCCGTCCGGCCCCTGGACTCTGATGAGCATCTGGAAGGAAAGTTGGCGAATGAAAACCTCTTCTCTGATGGCGCGATGCAGGAAGTGGCAGTCGAATCATCGAAGTCCTACCTCACAACGGAGATAACGAATTCAACGATGGACAACACGGCACTGGTTAGAGAGAATAACAACACTATCGAGAGATTTCACGGTCGCGGCTCTCAGCGTGGGCTTTCATTCAAACTAATTTTCCGCAACTAGGAAAGTCGATAGTTCTTCTCGAAGAATTCTGCACTCACTTTGTTCAGCAAAACTTTAAAAATTCTGCTTGGTCACACTACACAAATACCTTCTCTTCTCGGCTGTTTGTCGGTTTCCTTAAACGACGGAATGGAGCATGGTCAGACGATTCGAACTCTCCGAGCGGAGCTTTAAATGAGACTGGGAGGCGGAGAGAGCCGACCGAGCACGCTCTCTCGAGGCTTTTCGAATCCAGAGCGCGGATATCTGGGATTCGCAGAAAATTTGAAACTCACCGGTCGGCACGGTCGCTGTAATGAATGGAGACGTGTGTTCTGCTCACTTGAGACATCCGACTTTTAAGCTATCGTCCAGATTTTGCTTCACTTCCGACAAGAGCTCCGCTGCGACGACACGTAAGTTTTGCATTTTTTCAATTTCATCTCCCGAAGCGACCATCTCGCTTCTGTGAACGCGAAGAGAGTCGGGGCTTGGAACGAGAATTCTCGCTCGGACTTTGTGTGACAAACGCCGAGCATCCCGTGCCCTTGTAAGGAAAATCTACGGCACCGGGTAGAGGTGTATATTTAGAATCTGACTCTGGTAGCGCTTTCCGGATGCAAGAACGTGTCACAGGGCCGCCGTTCACAATCTTGAGGTGGCAACTATCATTTCGCTCTTCACATGCACGATTTTGACGCGATTACCTAAAACTCCTGGATGACTCACTTTACCGGATCTGTTTTCGTAACGAATCGTGACGACCTGATTAAATTTAACCAAGAGACATCTTGAACTTCCGCTCCAAGACGCGTTCTACTGCGACCGCGGCTCGATGAGCTTGACTATTTTCCATGTTTGTCAGACGGAATTCGGTCGAAATCAGCGGCTGAGCGATCATTTCTCTCCATCGGATCCCGGGGAAGAAAATAACACTAAATCAGTAATCACTCCGCAGGCTTCACGATCAGGGAAAATGAGTATCCAATGGACATTGATCGCGGCCTTCCTCTACGGGGAAATCGCCGTCGTCTTGCTCCTGATAATACCCTTCATCTCGCCGAAGATGTACGTCCCCATCCCGTCTCTTTAGAAATGAATTCTAGATTCCAGAGTCTAGAGTCACGTCCTCAGTGAGGATGCTCCACGTCATGAGTCATGAGATCGATAGAAGGTCTCGAAACCTGGGATATATGTACACCACCAGCTGCGGCGATAATCGTCCCGCTGGTCTGTCGGAGTTATCCGCGTCAAGCGCCTCGCACCACTAAAATCCTGTCATCAATCCGCCCGCTGATACTCTAGCACGGACTCTTGGAGCCGATGCTCATCCGTGCTCACTAATCCCCCTTTCTCATTCACTAAGATTTCTGCTCTTCGCAGGTGGAACTATTTCTTCAAATCTCGGTTTTTACGGAGTCTCGCGGCCCAATCCAACACTTATTTTACGGTCATCATAGGGATACTTACCCTCTTCTTCATAGACTCGCTCCGGGAGATGGCGAGATACTCGTCGCTCCGTCACCACGAGATCGAACATTCTCACCTCGATGCTGAGATGCAACAATCGATGAAAATGTTCAGAGCTCAGCGAAATTTCTACATCGCTGGTTTCGCTCTCTTCCTGTGGATGGTGATCCGTCGCCTGGTGACTCTGATCAGTTTCCAAGCAAACCTGATGGCGTCGAATGAAGCCACCCTAAAACAGGCTCAGAACGCGGCCGCAGCCGCCTCTCGTGCCATGGACGGTGGTACGAATTCCTCCAATGAGATCAAGGAGCTCGAAGAGCAACTCGAGAAGCAGAGCAAGGAGCTTGCGAAGGCAATTAAGGACCGCGACGCCATGAAGACCCAGTCAGAGAATTTGGCGAAACAATATGACGACCTCTGCAATTTACATGCTAAGTGCGCTGACGCTTCCGGCTCGCGCAAAGACGACTAGGAGAGCAGCCGTTCGGTGTGCAAGTGGTCCGACTCACCGCAAGTGCGCGGAACTCGGGAGTCATTCAGTGCGTTTGCGAGATCGACGGGTCGATACCTAGATCAGAGAGTATATCAATGTAAAGTATCATGAATCGACCGGGTTATCGATGACTGACCAGTCAAAGCCTCGCGGGTCGGATTGGATTAATTCCCCGTCTATCCGCGTCTGTTATGGAGGAGCCTATTCTTAATATAAATGTGTGTTACCATGGTTCGTACCAACAACTTATGCCTTGTGATCCGTTGACGCGTGATTTTCGTCCTTTTGCTACTCAGAGTGGGAATCGATCCGGATGCTCATGTGAATCCGAGAGATGAGATGCGGTCGAATAAAATAATGTTCCTCGAGCCATCAGCTTGTGTTGCACCGTAAGATCATTCGCCGGAGATCGATCGAGAGAAGATGAATCAATGCCAAGAACGCCGAACCCCGAAACCCCTAAGGCTCTCCATCTTGATCTACACACCCAACATGAGACTCGCCTCCGTACATTGTTTGATCCCTGAAGAAAGCTTGCGAGGTTTTCCAACCTGGATATTAATTCGTTCCTTCTCGCTCCGATTCGAAATACCGATTTCGGCGCCCTAGAATCCCAGGCGCTAGCAGAGTGCAGACTTTCGATTGGGCAGGGGTTACAAACGGTGGGAGTCGGGTGAATCCGGTAAGCGTCAAAGTCTGAGGAGCGCCCCGTAGCCCAGAATGAATTCCCTCCGCGTCAGCCTTTCCGTGAGCAAGACTTTCCCCCTCAATATTTAGAGCATGCGCCAGAATTTTCCTTATTCCGATTTTTCCTACGTCAACTTGCTCCCTGTTTGGTAGATTTCGACGCTCGCGCCGCGCTCTGACAGGGAGGCAGAGAATGTTGACAGCAGGAGCAGACGACGCGTCATTCGAAAATATCCTTCCTCTCCTCTGCAATCAGTCGTCGTCTCTTACATCTGTTTCTGCTGCTGCTGATGCCGCCGCTCAAAAGTGAACTGCACTGGTTTTCAGTTCGTTTCTCCGCTGACACAGCGAAGGCTTGACGGCTGGCAATACGGAGTCGCGGATCGGCGGAACCACCTCCATGTGAGAAAGCCTCGGAGTCGCGCTCGCGCTCTGCACAGTTCTTCAAAGTGGTCCTGAACCTGTGGAACTCAAGAGCCGGATTCTACATTCAGACAGTACATCGCGGAACGAGTGGGCTCCATCGCGGCTCAGGCATCGGCGAGGTGGTCTAACAAAATCATGTTCGATAGTGATGACGAATTTCTTTGCGAGAATGACGACGTCGACGACAGCTACAAAGAATTCATGGAAAAGCTTCCGCCGAAGATGATAGAAAGCCAAGGGAAACTCGCGGACTTCAAGCATGTCACCTTTCTCGCCCGAGGGAGCTTCGGTTCGTGTGACCTCGAATCCGAAATGTCATTCCGTGATTCCAAGTTCCTGAAGTTTTATTCCCCATCACTGTGGAGCTGCTCCGGGATTTTCTGAAAAAATCTTCCTTTCAGGTCGAGTGTTCAAAGCGGTCTCGCCGGATGGGTCGGAAGTCGCCCTGAAGAAACTATCTCTCAATCAGTACGGTAGCCGACGACGTGAGCTCGCTTTCCGGGAAAGTCTTCGTGAAGTGAAGATCCTCGACAAACTCGATCATCCAAACATAGCTAGGCTGAAGCAGCTGGTTGTCAAGGGGACGAGTGTATATCTGGTGATCGAATACTGTCCCTACCAATTGAAGAAACTAGCTTCGAGATCTCTGGCTGAAGGATTCATCAAGGCAGTCATGGCGGACTTGATGAACGGTTTGAGCTACATCCACGAGCAGAAGCTCGTTCACAGAGATATAAAAGTTGACAACCTGATGCTGAGAAATGGGCAGCTCAAAATAGCCGATTTCGGATCTACCGGTAACGTTCATCAAAAAGAATGGACTCCACAGGTCGTTACATTGTGGTACAGACCTCCTGAAATTTTGTTGGGGAGTCCCTCCCAGAGTACAGCTGTTGATATCTGGTCAGCGGGTTGTGTTTTCGGTGAGCTGCTCCGATCAAAACCTCTATTCGCTGGCCATGGGGAAATCGCACAAATCAATCTCATCGTAGACATGTTGGGCACTCCGACTAGTGATGAGTGGCCCGAGATCGATGAGCTCCCCGTTCTCCAGTGTATGGCTCTCAATAAGCGCGTGAGCACCATCGAGCAGAAAATTCCAGCGAGAGAATCGACTCTGGATCTTCTGAAGAGAATGCTCCGCTACAAGCCCGAGAAACGTTGCACTGCCAGAGAATGTCTCCGAGATGAATATTTTAGTCAGAACCCTTCACCATATACGCCTGCAGAGGTTGATAAGTTTTGTCGCACGAGAGCTGCAGACAACGGTGATGTAGATCGAGCGAAGAAGATCCTGAAGCTCGACGTGAGCATCGAAGAGTCGTGACAGGGTCGCTTGTATTCTCTTGTATATTTCTGATTGAATGTTTTTGCAATAAACATCGTTTTTCCCGCCAAACATCGGACTTCCTCAAGTTCTACGCTCGTCACCGTCAGACGGGACGAGAAGAAAAACAAACCTTTCGTCATCTCGGTTTATTACTGTATAACAAAAACTGATGGACGGCAATTGATTCAGAGCGGCTTCCAGCCCTATCAAAAATCACAGAGGTCTCCGGTTCACGCTGTACTGCACCCAAGCATTCGTGTCCCCCACCGACCGGTAATCTCTCATCGACATAATCCCGGGTTTACAATTCGAATCTAAGGTCTTCTCGTACAGGAACCTAACATATAAGCCAACTCTGGTATAAACTCCATATACATTCGGAAGACCGCACTTCTTCCCGAAAGACACAACTCCGATGAGGAGTGCCGTATTCCGAGACTTGACAACCAGAGGTCCCCCGGAGTCACCCTGGAAAAATTATCGATTAGTTCCGGGGAACGCATGTCTTCATTCGAATATTTGCTTTTGAAACCCTTCTTTTCTTACCACGCATGCGTCACGTTCTTCGAGTCCTCCCGCGCAGATCATGTTCGTGGATACCCGATGTTTCAAGGGTTTTTGACACTGAGTTCTGGACACGATCGGCAGAGTGACGTTTTGTAGCGTTTCTGATTTCTTACCCTCTGGAATAATCAGTGTTTCTCGTCGGTGAATACTCAAGAATATTCGGGAATAAATATTCAAGCATTTTATTTCAAATCGGGGTTTGACCTACTGTAGGCTAAACGGCCCCATCCGACCACCTGTCCAGGTGTGCCGTCGAGAACGTCGCTTCCGTACGGCGGAATGCAAGCTGGATTTATCGTAGTACCGAACTGCAGCGGTCTGTCGAGAGTGAGCACTGCGATGTCGCTGTTATACGTTGGCTGATCGTAGAAAGCGTGACGCTCGATTCTGACAACTCTGCGGATGAACGGATCCGCCCGGGTCTCGATACCGGATATGTTGGTCCGACCGACTTCGACACTGAGATCTCCTGGTAATTTGCTGAAAATTCGGGGAGAAGTGTATTTCGACGATTATCGGGGTTGTCTCCGCCTTCCTTGATCAATCAACTGCGGGTACGTTTTTTTTTCCTTGAAAGCGGGACAGTTGAATAAAGACTCCCGAATATGGTTCTCGCAAAGCGGAGGGATTTCTGAGGAAGTTCAAGGGCGCGGGAGGAGGGTGGGTCTACATGATCCTTCGAAGCGATGAGTCCAAGGTTTCGCGGATGCAGAAGTTATGAAATCGGCAATACGAGGAGTCTATTTCTTATGCAGGTAATTTCGACATCCGAGATCAATAACCTGAGCTCTCCTGTTCATGCGGGCTGCATGGATAGATCACCGCGTGAGGCTCATTCAGGGAAGGCGAATAATTGTCTCTATGAGCTCCACGAGTTTTTTTTTCGCTACATTCTCATACGAATCGTTTCGATGATTATTATTCCACGTACTTCAGTAAACAGTGACTCGCGGTCACAATGTGTCTCTCCGTCAGAATCGTCCCTCCACAATATGGGTAAGGCGCGCCATTGCTCAAGGTTTTCCGCAAGCTGACCTGAAAGAGTTTGCCTCCGTGAAAGCAACTTTTCGTTTTGCGAGATTTGATTCTTCAGGAGGATTTGGGTCGAGACTCACGGCGAATGGATATGCATGAATATCGGCTGGTGATCCTCCTATAACGCGTTTATGGCGCGTATGTCCAATGAGACCACACGGACAAACGGGTCCTGAGGAAGCATTGATCTAGAGAATGATCTCATTCGACTTTCTCCATACCTTGCATTAGAGATCCAGTCAATTCCTGGGGAGATTCTACTCACGTTTATCGTTGTTGTATGCCCGTATCAACTGCAACGGAAAGGGTTTCGATTGAGTCGTCTCGAAGTCATGAACTATTCCACCGAGTCCCGCGGTGAAGGGAGACTCGCAAACTTGGACTTCCGACGGAGGACAGCCCGCCTGTCGGTCTCCGACGATCTGGAACCCGGCTCGGTTTTGCGACTGATCTGCTTTTCGCGAAGGGAAATAAACCAGCAGATGGAGAGAGGATTCACTCCTAGAGGCTGTCCGACTTCGGCGAAAGCTACTTCGTTTCGTCCAGCACCCATGCAGAGAGAGTTCCCGGCGAAACTTCCCACTGGGTGAATCGGAAAACCCGCTGATTCGAATGCTTTTCACGGGCAGAGATACACGTCTTCGTTACGATTGTAGTCACATCTCGTGGAGTCAATAAATTGTTTCAAGGTCGAATTCCTTACGGAGACTTTGACGGTCGTGCGTCGAGAGGCGCGATTACTCTGGAAGACGTACAATGCCCCGTGTCCTTTGTCATTCATTTGGAGCCTCCAGGCAATGCGACACGTTTCGTAATGGGATTCCTCAATGTCGAGATTCTGTCACTGGAGCCAGAAACGTGCTCGAGCGAGCGGCATGCGCGCCAAAGTCATCAGCGGGAGAGGTTCATCCCAGGTCGAAGGCCTTTGGCTGGTGCTTCCAAAGCTCCGAGATGAGAATCAACAGCGGCACGATGCTTGAAGGAGTCCGTATACATATACCAATTCTTTCTGAGTCAGTTTTTCCCCAAGCGATCTCTTAACCGAACAGTGTGTCGTGCGGTTCCATCGACGGACGCAGAATGGTCGCTCGTGATCGCAATGGTGCTTGGGAGTCATCATGTCAGCGCTACAGAATCTTCTGCGAGAGTTTTCTTACACCGGAAAATGTCAGCATCATCGTCTCCGACTCGACAAGTCAAAACTTGATGACCCTACCCAGTCAGAGGAGAAACCGAATTTCTTTAAGAGAAAGTTCCACCTTCACTGAGAGGAATTTTCCGCTCCGTCTCCCCTCTGCGCCCTCAATATTCATTTCGGGACCGAAAGCCGCACCGAAAAGAATGCTCTTGGTGTTTCGAATACTCATCTATTCAGGAAAGTAGTACCAGTGATTCGAATGGAGTCCTCAACTAATTCCTATCCCTATCTCCTGAAGCACTGATAGAAAATTTATCATAGAGATAAAATAGAGATAATTTACTTCTTCGAAGACTCCGCATCTCGATCACCCCCCTTATCGCACTTGGAGAGCGAGAGTTCTCGCTACGGGGGGAATTGACGACTTCGATTCAAATCTGCAACTCGAATTGTGATGGGATGCATTTCGCGCAAGGCAGAACCATGAGAAGAAAAACCTCAAAAGCTCGGTCATCAAACGCTGCTGATCCATCAGAAGGATCGTCACTGAAGACTTCGTCGTCAAACTCGAGACTTCCAGCTGGCAAACGCGCGCGCAAAGAAAGTGAGCTCACACATTTTTCGTCGATGCTCACCAAGACATCACGAATTCTGACCGTTTCGAAACCACGCGGGGCGAAGATAATTCCACTCGCTTCCGAACGTAGACGCGACCCATCTCTATATTACCGGGCGTGACGATACACTTTTGAAAAAAAATCACAATTTTTCGAGGGCGGATCCGACACAGTGCAGAGCGATCTACCGTACCAAGAGAACTTCAGGGGAGGTCTCTCTATCCATTTCCACCGATATCCCGGATGCCTAGACCGCTCTTCCGGAATTATGCGAGACTAAGGTGCTGATTCTATCTGTGTCTAGGCCCTGGAGGCCTCTGGAGGAAGGACCGAGGAAAAGCAACGCGATACTCGGAGGGAAGTTTCCCCCACGAGGAAATATGGATGTACGCATGACCGATGATTTGTGATGATCAGCGATAGGTCACGCTTCTGTTCTGAGCTCTGCCTCGAGAGCCGTCATGATAGTTCCCGAATCGCGGTCCAAGGCGGACCGTGGACCCGTCCCTACCTTCGACCCATCGGGTACGGTGTGACGCGAGCTCATTGGCTGTTGTCCAAGCGATCCCGACCCGAAGCGACAGGCCCCATCGGTTCCGATCCGTGGACCAAATCGCTTCGGATGGTACACTCTGTTGACAGTCCGCTCGGATCCTGTGGTCGAGCACGGCACTTCTCAACGTGCCAGCTGATATTATATTTATTGGAGTTGACTGACAGGCTCAGCTCCGGGATTTCAGGGAATGACAAACAATCAAAGCGCGAACTTCCTTCAGAAATCCTCGGCCAGCGAAACTAAGACCCGAAACCGCTACATTCTAAAATAAACACGCGAAATGGTCTCCTCTTTCGCGGCTGAATTCCACCCTCGATCCTGATCCGCTTTCCGTACATGATTGACGCAATCGACTCGGACGAGGCGAGACAACTGATTTCGACCGAAAAATTTAATTGCGCGAATCTCGAAGCGACCCTGGATTACTGCTCTCGATGCACGACTGCTGGAACGACATCAGCAGCTTGCCCCGTACAGGCAGCCGCACTCGCTCTTTCCGCAAAACTCATGGAACTGAGCGACTTGAGTCAAAAATTATAGAATCGCCGAACTATAGATTGGAGCATGCGATTATATTGACGAGTATCGCAGAGAACTTCCCATTGCGAGAGCTCGAATCAGCACCATTACCAAAACTGGCTCGCTCTCACAAGACGAGTCTGATTCCTCAGTCTCTTCGAGATTCGACTGGAGAACTTCCAGAGAACTACCGACGCATAGGCAATGGTCGAATATCTCCGGATGTCGAGTGGAGCACATTTTCCCCTCAAACGGACCGTCAGGACATCAAAGGATGCGGGATTCGTGGGAGTGAAACTCACGTTTCTGATATCGCTGACTTCGGGTTTCTCTAGATGAGGTTCGGGGCCAGCGTCGATCGAGTTGTCGAACTCTGCGCCGTTCGGCACGGCGGCGAACCCGAAGGTACTGCCATCCTTTTGGAACAAGTTCAAAAGGTTCGATGAGAGAAGACACAAGAACGTGAAGCCGATCATTGTGAAGTTCGAGGTCGTGAACTCGTTCCAGGCTCGAGGTGCGACGAGATCTTATACAAGGCGGGGCCTAGCCAGGCCACACCTCGCACACTAGGTCTTATCACTCACTCTCCCTCAGAAAGTATCTTGTTCCAACATAAACGAGACCGACTCTCATCCGGAGGAACTCTCATCCAGATGGTGACAACTGGCGTGGTCAACTGCAACTGACAGAATACTGTTGCGGGCTCGCGCTTCTGGAACAGGTTGTTTCTCAGTGAGTCGCCTGCGTGCCCGCCTGCCCGACCGCCCGCCCGCTCACTCACTCACTCGCTGGCTCTTCCTCTCGTCTGATCGTTTCTCGTCGTTAGCTCTCTCCGAGGTCACATACGCTCGTCAAAGTTCCGCCGGCTTCAGTGCGTCTGAACGTCCGCAGACATCTGAACGTTCATCGTGCGCGCTCACTTCGCTCACAAGCTTGTTCGGTCGCCTTACTGCAGCCTTTCTGCGCGCCCGCTTGCTTGCCCGCCCGTTCGCCCGCCACCCGCGGAAACCGCAGCATTGACTCCTGCGTGGAAAGGGTGGAGGTGATCTAGACGCTCGACATGCTGGTAGACGCTGAATCTGTCTGAGAGACGAACGCCCGCACTATTTTCTCGAAGTTAGAAGACGAGCGAACCTCGAGATCAGTGAGGAGAACTTCGAGAAAAACATTCGTCGAGTACGCACTGCCGACAAAAGCTTCCGAGCTGCGGACCGATCGATCAGAGCTCGATACTCTCCGGATTTCTCGGAATAGGTCCGCTCAGAAGAATCGAGTGCGGGTGGCTGCCGTTTTTTTCCAACCCTTTGAAGGATGTTTCGTTCGGAATATGGGCTCATATGGGCTCCTTCCGCAGCAAGGACTGCTTATCCCGACGCTGAATTGGCACATTTCGTTCGCTGGCATCTGTTGACATGGATTTCTACTTTAGAGCGGACCATCGAGGGGAACTTCTGTGTAAAACTTAGTCGAGACCAATCGCTACGCCCGGAGTCTCTAACAGAGCCGATGCCGATTACCGGGCGCGTCGATCATGATCTGAGGTCGGAAAATCCGTTCAACTGAAACGGATGTCGAGGAAGTCCCTGAACTTCGGTGATCTATTTCGCTGGAGCAGAGAGATGCTCGACATGTACGAGACGGCATACGACGCTGGCAGGATCGAGAGCAGATCAGGATACTCGAATCAAGAGCACTGTAAACATGAGGCCCGAAGCGACCTACAAATGAGACCCACCCGGACGGTACATATCGTCGGTGGGGGAACGCCCGTTTTTCACCGTGGGTGTCCTCTCAAGATCGGATTCAGGGGTCGTCATCACGGATCAAAGGAGGAGTGAGAACGTCCTTCGGGAGGGCACAGAGCTCACAACCGAACTTTTAATCCGCGGCCGTCATTGTTTCCGAGACCCGGAGGAACATGTGACCCGAGACGAAATCACAGCAGGTTCTCTCTACGATGGAACCTCGACCTAGCGGAAGCTATGATCCTTGAACTGGAAACCTTGATTGCTCGTCTATGAACTCAAATATTACTAATCGACGTTCATTAGTCATATGCGATCGCAGACGTCGCTCGGCTCGGAAGCCGAGTCCAAGAACCCAAACGGAACTCCCTATAATATTCTCGATCGGATCCTCAGTGTGAGGGTTCGAGGAATGAACTCTCAGATGGGCGATTCCAACTGCTAATGCGATCTGAAGAGTTGAATCGAGAGCGGGTCGATTACGAGAACGGCGCGGGAACGTGTTCTCGAAAGATATATCCCAAGTATATCTCCCCCCTCCCGGGAAGTCTCCGGGAAGCAACACCGGGCATTACGAGACGCGAAATCAAATCACGTCATCTATCGATCTGCTGACGTTTTCAGATCTCAGGTCTTTCTGATCTGCACACGGTCGGTGCACCGCCCTCCCATTTCACACAGAGTCAAGCCCCTCGGAGCGAGTCTCATTATGATAGGTTTCCACCGATGCGGTGTCTGCCGAGTCCCTATCGCGCCGCAAATCGGAACGGAATTATCGGAGAACTTTCTGGCGTAATTGCGTATACGAAATTCCTCGATAGAGAGCGAATAAAAAATAAATGCACTATTTAGAAAAAATATATATATCCACCATTCGGAAGCACTACTGCTGCTGCTGAACTTCGATACAGGTAGGGGGAAATCCCATCACGGGGAAACGTCAGAAGTCTGTCCCCAGAGAACAAGGGAGAGTTAGTCCTGCCGGACGAGAACAGGGAAGCGTACTCGGCTTTCCTTGATTGGTGATCGGGAAAGCGCCTGTGCCCAAGAGTGGGATCAGCCCCCTCCCTCGAAGATGCTCGCGTCTTCTGCCCGAGAAGGTCCTGCTGCAATCCACTGAAATTGAGAGCCCTGGCGCTTACCCTGCCAATAACCAGAAGAGTCTGTCGATAGGCTTTATTATGTCACCGGAAATTTCCGGCATCCCTCACGGAGCAACACTTTGCTTGAAAGATTCCACAATGAGATCCGCGACTTCGGATATGCCGATGTTGTGTCTAGCTTGGGTGAACAATGTCGGGCCTTGAGATCTCATAACGCCTGCTTCGCGCGACATAACACCGAGATCCGCACCGACAGCTTCCGCAAGGTCGGTTTTATTGATGACTAACAAGTCGCTCTCCGTGATCCCGGGACCTCCCTTGCGAGGAATTTTGTCCCCACCCGCGACGTCGATGCAGTAGATGATGAAGTCCGCGAGCTCCGTGCTGAAGTTCGCGGCGAGATTGTCGCCACCCGACTCCACGATCACCATATCTGGCTGGAACTCCCGCGTGAGTTCCTTGATGGCTTCCATATTCGTCGAGTAGTCTTCCCTGATGGCGGCGTGTGGACAACCGCCCGTCTCGACGGCGCGCATCCTCTCGACCGGGAGGGCCTCGTTTTTTACGAGAAACTCCCAATCTTCCCTCGTGAAGATGTCGTTTGTCACAACACAGAGCTGCAGTTGATCTCGGAGCAGACGGCAAAGTTGGAGGGTGAGCGCCGTTTTTCCAGATCCAACGGGTCCCCCGATGCCTACGGTGAAGGCTCTTTCTCGGAAGTTGGTCCTTTTCGGCGCTCTTGGTCTCGACACAAAATCACCGGGTCTCTCCATGGCTTCATGGGTGTGCTCGACGCCTCCTCCATGAGAATGCGAATGACTGACCTTCTGACCGGCACTCAAGGGCCCAGCTTTCGTGAATTTCACGGAATTCGACATACTACAAGCAGTATTGAAGAACTGATCAGCTCGAAGACGGCTACGCTCCGAGTAACTCGGCTCGACCACAAAGGATGCCCTGATATGATTTCGGACGCTTTTCCCTCTCTTGTATCTAGCTAGGCCCAAATAGAAGATAAAGAACGGCGATGGAGAGGGCGATAACGGCTACGAATTACAACTTCTTGTTCAGGTGCCCATTGTTCAGTAGAGACGTGAGGGGAGCGACGGAGTGCGAAGAACGAGCATCGCTCAACGTCGTGTGAGGTGGGGTCGGTCACGGTTCAGAAACGAGAGCGGACAGCTTCCCGGAGATTCCCCATCTTCACATATTTCCACAATTGGCTTTTATTCGAAGGGGAGAATCTCTTCTCCCAATAGCCATGTCAGGGATGGTCAGTCTTCTCGGGAGCATCCAGCGTTTCGGGATTCGAGGGACGGGGTTCTGCTCCGACGCTTAACGTTGGTGCCCGAGGAATGATTGAGAGTCGTTTCAGCTGCTAAATTTTACAACCTCAGCCTGCCTAGCGAACATAATCATCGGAGGCGAGCGCGTCGGCAAACAGACTTCTCGTGATCTTCTTGTTTGGATTCCCAGTCTCGAATAGGATGGAGCTGTGAGTATTGTATAAACGTACGCTAAGGTCCCGGGATTCGCGAATCTCCGAATTTCCTCTCGTTCCGGCGTCCGGAGAGCTTCCAATCTGCAACGTCCATGAATTCCAGGGGACAATGGATCATGGCCACGGCGATAATAACGTACTCGTTGATATTTTTCGTCGTGATCCTCCGGCATCAACTTCTTTGTGTTTTCGGGAGCTGTTCGTTCAGTTTCAAAGGAGGGATGCAATACCTGAGAGGTCGGTCCCTTACGGAAGTGTTTGAGTATGTCCATTGGAGGTTAGCAGGAGTACATACACTAGAACAGCTGGTGATGAGCCGATTCAATCTCCACAGAAATGCGAAACAGCACCGTTCGGAATTTGGTCGACGAGGAGGCGTCCGTTTGCAACACTCCGAGGCTGAGCATTCAGTCCGCGGTGAAGTAAGTTCGCACAGAGTTCGCCGCTCATTCGCACCATTGAGAGCTCCTAGCAGGTCAGAGAGCTATATCCGAATCCCGGAGATGTCGGATGGAACGACCGGAACCGCTCGTCAAGCTCCTGTCAGATCTACATATCAAAATGCTAGAGCGAGGCCGGGTTGCCAACATGAAAGCGTTTCTCGGTAATAAAATTTTTCACTCATCGTATTGAAGAGGTCTTCATTCTTTTCGAGAAGTTGTTTGTATCGGTTTTTATTTACATATTTACAAATTACAATGCTAGTACATTACATGGGTAATTACAGTTACAACTATATACAATAGTCTAAGCGGATGGTCGTCTCATGGGTCGCATCGTTACCGTTGACTCCTCTCGGGAAGTTGGAGGGGTCGCATTATCAGACCATCGACCATCAATATTTCAGCTGTATATGTACTTCCTAGTCAATCGGTCTCCCTTTGATTCTCTCCATCGACAAATGAATTCATCTGTTTCTACTTCCAGTATTCCGACTTCTCTATCCGATTCCCCATTCTTTTGTACTCAGCATTCACGCATTATTGATCACGCCGCTTCCTCGTCCCCTCAATCTGCCTGTCTGTCAGTCGAAAGAAATACTCCCATCCACACGCTGTTAGGGCGGGCAACATTCGCTCGTCTAGGTGATCGTTGACGTCTCCGCAAGTTTTACTGCATCGATCCTCGATCGTTCGACTGATGGAACTCGATCGAAATGATGGACAGAGGGATCAATGAGGTTTCGGAGTTCGAATCAACTTACTACGAGTCTTTTAGCTAGCTGCCAGAGCATCGATGAATCTTTGATGAACAAAGTCGTCACGCCGAATCCTTAAAGTCGACCACGCCGAGGTTCGGTCCTCGCCGTCGACAAAGAAGGCGCTCGAGGAAAAACTCTGCCTCAGAAAGGACCTCAGAAACGACAAAGCATTGTCGATGTCATCACTCCCCAAGCCATCCTACGCGACAGACTCGAGGATGGAGAGAGGAGAGTTGCCAAAACTTTGAAAATGGGTCTCATCAACTCAGCGCGCTTCGTGCATTTTCAGCGAGATCAGAATTAACGAAAACAAAAGGAACCCAAGCTAGACCTGAAATTCCGCTCGTTCACGCGATTGGCTCACCAACTCGGAGTTCGAGGAAATTCCCCGACTCCTTTATTTACTCTCACGGCAAGACCTCGTCACGGAGTTTCTCCCTCGTTTCGCGCGAATTTCGGTAGCAGTCGATTATGGTCGTCGTCCCGACAATAACCTCTAGAAATCACAGCATCGGAACTCAATCTCGAGAAGGGGGAATCGACAAGGCATAACCGCCGCGAGGACCAACGTGTTCTCCCGGAGTCAGTGAATTTCTTCTCGTTCCAAGAACCTGATTATCTGTCTGTCCGTGGACCGACATTTCAACAAGTGCGTCCCATGCTACTGCGCGAACGGCGGCATCGAAACAGCATTCTGTAATGATGATGAATCCCCTGCTGTGTTAGTGCCCCTCAATGCTATTCTGCGATTATCGCAAGTTAACTAGCGTCGAATCATCTCGTAATCGAGTTGATTACTCCCATTATAAGTGCAATATTCCGTTTCTTTCCGTCGGTTGGGTTGTTTTTTTCTTTTTGTTTGTTTGAGTGTATGTATTCTGGTTTGTATGTATGACAGCTGGCTAACGCTCATCACTCATCAATATCCTACATGTGCTCCAGAGTTCTGCCCTGTTCCTCGTTATCGCTTCAGCTCTGAGCATACAAGTTCCGTTCGTATCTACATTTACAGTCGACATCATAGACGTTCAAGAATCTGAATCCCTCTGTTATCTCATCGTATCAAGCTAGACCGGCTTCTCCATCGACGTCGTCGATATTTTGTCCCTCGAATCAGTTTCGCAGTCAAAAATGTTGCGCCCTAACAATACATCACGACACACGTTCTTTCTCCTGTCTGTGTGGTACGGTATTTGAGGAAGGGCAGCCTCCTCCGCCGCCCTAGTGCTCTGGATCTCCGGGGACTTTTCTTTTTGCTGATGTTGGGTCGATTGGTGAGGTTGTTAATCATCGTTCATACATTCCCAGTCGTATCGAGAGGAAGCTTCAACTTCATTTATACCTCCGCTTCTATTAGTTCTTCTCTGTCTGGTGTCTCAAAGTTCACTTCCGCTTCTTCATTATCGTGATAACGTCGATATTTGGCCACTAAAGATAAAATAATAATGATGATCGTGATGACGCTCCGTATTGATGGTATTCTGTATAAAGATGACGATGGTGGCGAAAATGTCAATGTGTCTTGCCTTCATATGCATGCACCAGATGAGAGATGGGGATGATTGTGAATTCGAAAAACCTACGCTACAATATGAGCAGTCAAAGAAGTCCGCTGAAAACTCTTCCCGATCATCTTTTCTCTCGTCAAAACTTCCTACGAAGCGCCGCGTACCGTCTCCGTGTCGACAAAGATCGGCATCGTGTACCGAAGTACTCGATTAATCGCATCCCAAGGAAGATGCGATCGTTTTTTCTCACAAGTTACGGAGCCCACAGACTTCATAGTACGGGAAGGTTTTCCCCGGACCATCTCGGATCATCCCCTGTCCATATCAAGGTGGACGATTGGTTCGGTCGTTTTTTTTGTTTTCAAGGCTGCTGATGGTGAGTAGTGTGGTGAGAATGAGAGATGTTACAGTGGAGTGTGATTGGTTGATTTCTCTCTTTGTCTGTGTGTTATCATCATCATCTTCATGTACTTCCCGGTCGTCGATGGTGGGTTCCTGCTGTTGCGACTGCGTCGCATCTCAGGTCGACTCGGTCCGCGTACATTGTTTGTATTTGTCGATGGTGGTTTCAATATTCTTTCTCAGCTCTTCGCTCGGGATGTGGTTGTTTGCTGTCATTATTGTTGATGAAATATCACAAATTGATTGTTTGTTAACAGAGCAGACGAAGCCATCTCCTCAAGATACTTCTTGTGTTTTTTTTTCTTCCGCGCACGGAGATCATGCGCATCGAGTGAATCGTCGATGATTCCGACATCCTAAACACGTCTCTTTGGACCAGGCTGTCTCCGATCGACGGCGCTCCTACACGGCTGTAGCTCGTTGTCACAGCCGTAACTCTAAACTTGCCTCGGATCCCGAGAGGGAGATAGATGAAGGTTGTGATGTTCCCATAAGAGGCATAGGGTGATGTCTTCGGTCTGGTGATCTCCATCGTCGCGTCCTCGACGGCATGAGCGACAGATTCCGGGAATCCCCGTAAGCCTCACACATTGTCGTTGGGATTCATGCGATCGAAGAGAATCCTTCCGCCTCGGCCGTATCTTCTTCTGCCGAAGAACGTTATGTAGTTCTCATGTCGTCGTTTTCGACGATCCGCTGCGCCAGAGGTAGCCGCGGCAGCGGACTGGAGCGCTTTCACGCGAGCGGTGTGTAAAGTAGCGAAGTGCTCTTCGTTGCCGAATTGAAGATTCGAAATCGTCGACATTTCTACATCCTCCAGACCGCTGAGATCACTTTCGTCAGAATCCAACTGGACAGTCGTAAGGTGAAACTTTTGATGCGGGGCACCCTCATCATGGAACTGGTCACGGTTGGAGTCGTCGTCGTTGTCGCCGGCGACCCCCATGTCCAGGGGTAGAGGGGGCAGGTACGTGACGTTTCGCTTGCGTCTGGAATAGGAATGGGAGTATGTTGACCATGGGCTGACCATGAGCTCGAACAATAAGGAAAACCCGGAGAAAAGTCTGCTGATGTGACATCGGAATAAAGGTGAGGCTTCATACCTGAAGGTGAAGATCCCATCGGGCTCTTGACTCATGTCTCCGTCAGGCATGTCTTCGGTGCCAGACGACATCACCTCGTCTTCGTCCTCCTCAGACGACATCAGAACGTCCGGCCTTGGAGTGGCATCTCCGGCGGCACCAACGAGACTGACTGGGGCGACGAGTTCACGCTGATTCAACACTGAGCCATTACTCGAAAGCTCTCGGTGATCTCTTGGACGTTTGTGGGACGACAGCCGGGATCCTTGGGTGCTCTGGAATCGCAGACGCATGTCGGAATTCAGCCAATCGTAATACGACGCAAATTCACGGAAGCCCGGAGGCCCTGAGGTCCCGGAACCGACTGAAGAACTCACCTTTCGATGCTTCGCCTTGAGTTCACGGATTTGTTGTGAGTTCGAATTCGAAACGTAGCCATTATTTCTCGATGACAGGCCTTCGTGTGACTTCGTTCCGTAAAGAGACTCTCTGGCCAGCTGCTGCTGCTGTTGTTTCTGCCTGGTGAGCTGATGGAGCGTTTCAGCTACGATGGCTCCGGTGAGATCGCCCGCTTGGACTCGTTTCTCGAACACCTGCAAACAGCGGACAATCATAACTCCGAGCTTGGGATTTGACCGGGATCTTCATAGGCCCGGTAGTTTTCCGGCAGAAGATTTCTTTCGTCGGGACTCTGTCGGGAGGATCTTCAGCGCTTGCATAGAAACTCGTTCGTACCTCGACCGTGAGATGTAGGTCTTCCCGCTTCAGCTTCTCACGTTTCTTCACCATCTCAAGCAAAGTAAAGGCCTTCTTCAGGTCTCGTTTTAGCTTGAGCATCTTCTCGTAACTGGCCTCGTCATTTTTACGGTTCTTCCTCGTCTGCATCTTCTCTGTTCTTCGTCTGAAGGCTACATACGGATTCGCAGAGTTGGACCCGTCTCTCTTCTCCGTTTTTATTTGTGGCATTAAGGTGCTCGATTTCAGTTTCAATCTGCGAAGTCAAATGGAATCATGAGAAATAATTCGATCGTGTACGGGAGCTTAGGTGCTTTGGACCCTCTCGCGTGGTCCCAGGGAAGGAATATTCTCGTTGCTGAGATCAAAGAGGCATAATCACCTTTTGTTGAGCCAATAGTCGTAGACCGCTATGAGAATATCGTCATCTTGTTTAAGAAGAAGCTTGGCTTCATTTATTTGGATGATTTGATGATTGGAGGCTTTCTCGAGCCGATCGATCATTGTCTCAAACTGCAGTTGACTCAAACCGAGTTTCTGACGACTGAGCCAAATTTCGTCCTCCGAATCGAGGTCGTACTCTGGTGTGTCATCGTCGAGCCCCGACAGCAACGGTTGCATGTAGATCAGTTGTTTGGGCAGCTTGAACGTCGACGGATACAGCCTATCGTAACAGGCTGAATCTAGCGGGTAGACAACAGGCGTTGGGATCACCAACTCTCCCGTGTGTCCGTACGTCTGCTGTGCCGTCATGGCTCGCTGTAGATGCGTTTCCTGGGGGAAAAGAACTCGGTCTAGTTAGACGGGATAGCGGTGGGACGTATACGGAGCTCATTGCAGGATATCCTCTTCAAACGTTCGTATGACGAGAGATTCGACAAAAGGCCTACTTACACATTCTTCTTCTTTTTCCATCCCCGTGGGCATCTGAGGCACCGCGCGATTTATCGCCGCGAAATCCGGAAGATCCGGGATATCCTCTGACCGGTACACTGGCATGGCCTTGGTGGCGTCCAGTGCCCGTGCCCGGAACGACAACTTCGACATCATGGAGAGATGCTACCTCCTGTGGAGGGCTCTCTTCCCTGCGGTTGAATCTAGGCCATTACAATCGCCCCCCGGGCCCTCGCCGGCCTTCCCTCGAAATCTTCGAACACATTATTGTCTGGAAAAGAATTGGGGATTTATGCTCAACTGTCCTGCAAACAATCGATCTAAGTACGGCGGATGAATCCATCGACCAATGGGACTGCCCAAGAGGATACGGCTATGGAAGAGGGAGACTCCGAGATTTGGTGAGCCGAAGCGGAGATCTGAGCGCGGCGCTCGGCGCCGTGAAACAACGTCTCCATAGTTGTGAATCAAGTTGAGCAGCCAGTATGACTCGGAGCACAGGACGGTCATCTTCAACAGCAGACTGAACGGTACCCTACGGACCTCTTCGATACCGTTTTCTTGACGTAATATGATGCAGTATACCGAGAATTCGCGCGAGAATCGGTAGGGGAAGCCGAACGGAGCGCTCGTCCTACGTTGCGGTGAAAGTGGAAGACTTCGGAGGTCATCCGATGGTCAATGCACGGATCTTGCGCTACCATACGACTCCGACGAATGATTTTCCACGGACACAGTTGGCCTAAAGTATGACAGAACAGCTAGCTCTCCGAGGCATGGAATTGGATTCCGAGGGGAAATTGGCAGCCTTCTTACCGAGCTCGACCCTTCTTCGCCAAAGGATTATAATCAGAATCGTTGAAAGGCTTCTAATCTCCAGAGCTCCCTCAAACCCCATGTAGCTCGCGTTGCCCCCTATATCTCTTGATGTTCCAGACGATCGTCGAGACTTTTCGGGGAACGAGCCGGGACAAAACGTAGCACGATGGCTATCTGACGTGCCCAATTGTTCATTCACGTGTGGGTGAGTTTCTCCAGGAAAGATGTTTGGTCGGTCTTAGACATCGACGCCTCCTAATCCCGAATGTACCTGCCGTCCGCGAATTCTTTCAGATGCTCCCCGGGTTCTCGCGTGCACACTTTTTCTCCGGAGAGCACCGCCCATGCACGGAGGAGACCTCACGCTATACCATCCCTTGGTACGTGACAAATGATGACAGTGCCCGAATACTGAATGCTATCATGGGTCATACAACTTACGCTGAGCGCTTTCGACCGAGAGGTTCCCGGCTCCAACTATCATTCAAGAATCCCCGATTCGTGAATCCCGCCGATATCTCGAGCTTGGCTCCCTATATATTCTCCGTAGCTCCCCCGTCAGCCGCTGACAGAATGGCTCCGGCTTGTCCGTTCACTGTGGGCAAAGTTCAGTGCGAAGCGATTCCACTCACTAGCCCTTGGTCTTAGACAGAGGATAGATGATCGACGGCTCCTGATTGTATCTCTGTACATCCGACTCCCTAAAGAAGGAGATCAGGAGTTCTGGTCGTTCGGGGAATGTGTCCCAGCTGTGGAGGTTGCCGGGAGGTAGGGGACAGCTCCGTCACCGGAGCTGTCATGGAGAGTCCAACCAGATTAGAGGCGAAAACGTTCGGAAAATTCAGAGAGCGCGTTTTCTGCTCGAAGGCCGAACCCCGCTCGATACATCGTGCTGCCAGCATCGTGCTGATCCGGGGGAGCTTCAACCGGATCGTGCGTCAGACAAACGCCGGAACAGAAAATCGTCTAGAGCCAACCCCTCCTGGCTTGAAGTCTCCTTCCAGAGGAGTCGACGGCATTATTAGGAATCGAACGCAGCGCGCACCAATCGCGGCTCAGAGAGAAGCGATGAAGTGTTCCGCCGGTAACACGTTCTGAGAATGTAACAGAAGCACATTGTCAGCGGTCGCGGGAATCTGGCGCCAAAAATTGGACGTTCGAGATCACACATGATGCGCACCTCATCTGCACGTATGAAGAGCTGGGAATGTCAGCCCGAAGAGAAAAGTCTCGAATCGGAGATATATCCAGTGAAACTGCAGTCCAAGCTATCGCTACCAAAAGGCGCCAAACACAAAATTTTGCAAAATTGTCGAAATATCGCTTCCAACCGCGTGGGATCGGACCGTAGTTCGTGCACGAACATCGTTCAGTTGTTCGACGATGGAACTTCTCATAGATATCTCGATTTTTCACGAAAATGCTTCAAAACACACACGCCTCGAGGGCTTGTTGCGATGAGATCGTGGGAAAATCAGACCTTCTCGGCGTCAAACCGCCTCTAGGAGGTGCGGCTCGGTGCCTTGGGACGACTTGTCCGCGGAATTTCGCGTATTTCGCTCGATTCCGCGATATTTTCACATGAAACAATCGCCGCGAGTGAGCGGTTAGCCTAACCTGGTGAACCAAAACAAGCGGTAGTCCAGTTCAAAATTCACCTTTTTTCTACGTGTTGCCAGCCATGCTGATGATTAGCGGGCCCCAGCAGACTCCCTCGGCTCCCGTCGGGTCCTCTACGGGCACACGCGTGAGTTATTTCCACCAATATGTAACATAAAGCGCGCCTTAAACTATACCAATAGCTTCCCACAAGGCTACGCACAAAACATTATTTGAGGCGACGCCATCTTGTATAGGCTTTGTCGCATGCTCGAACGGGCCACGCGCCATATTTCAAATTTTTGCCCGCCAAGGCACAAGCGAGCGAAAACTGGTTAACGGCCCTTGGAATCTCAAAGGGGACGATCGCGGGGGGCTCGGAGCCGAGATCGATGAGTTTTGCCGGGACTACGGGGGAAGATACATGTCTCATTAAATAATCAGTTTGACTTTCGAAGGTGGGATGCCGCGCAGGCTTGGCGCCCGTTCGGTCCGCTTTGTGTCTGGAAGTCTGAAACGAGCATCGCTTCCGAGTTCCAGAATTCAGGAAAAATGTCGCTAGCTCGAATGAGGAACGTTGGGCATGACCCACGTCTGCTGTCGTATTCGGTGGGTCGTGACTTGGGAACGCACAAGATTGCTAAACCACGGGAGAGGCGAGTATCGGACGGAAGCACGGAGGCGATTGTAAACAAGAAAGAAACCCAGAGAGCAGCGGGCCCTGCGCAATCGACCAACTTCAGCATCGAAGTGCGCTCGCTTGACAGCGTAGACATCTACTGTGGGGGCATGGAAACGAAATATTCTAAGGTCCACGGCAGCATTGTCATTGTGATCCGGTCATCGTGCGCGGAACAGTCAGACGAGCTTGCGATCAACAAATGGACTTTTAAATTGATCATTTTGTCTCCGTTTTTTGATACGAGAGATGGGAAATCGGGAGCGATGCCTCGGATTGAGGCTGTAGTGACGAGCTTCGCCCGAGACCACCCAAACTCAGTTTTGATCAGTTTTACATTTGCGATTGAGATCAGAGAGACAACTCATATGCGCGGCCCATCGATATCCGCTCTCCTCATTTCGACTCGATGACATATTACGATCGAAATTCGATATACCGGTCCGGGTCTCCCGTCGGACCATGAGACCCCTCCCCATGATGGGGCCGTCCCTCGAAATCGATGAAGGTACGACTCGCCGAGCGTCCAGCTGTCTAACATCCAAGAAAACTTGCGTCGAGTAGGGGCTCCAGCTCGCAACTCCTTTGAGACTCCGATCCAGAGGATGAGGCAAGATGGCATCAGCTTTCGGAACGGAATCCCTCAAATCCTCGTTTTGCGAAGCAGAAAGATATCGTAATCTAGGAATCGATGTCTCTGTAGAACGTGGAGAGCAATCTGTAGCCGGAGAACTCCGCTCACATTAGTCGGGTGAGGCTATTGTTTCCTCGATCATCCGAAAGACGGAGCGATGTACTCCGACACAGGTTTACAACCTCGTAAGCAGCACTCTGTTATCTCCCCCATCGTGAGGTTCGATTCCGACCTTTGAACCTGGAGTATTTGCCATAGTGAAGCTCCTTGGGGCTCGCAGGCGGCAGAACTTGCTGAACTTGTCCGGTCACTCGCTCCCTTCCGGATTATAGATTGTTCATGGAAAGTGAAACCGAATCGCGCTTATTCTGCGGCGCCGGCGCATCGTATTCTTGAAGTTTTTTCCCTCAAATGAGGACTAGGAGACGACTCTCTCTCGGGTTGGCCATCGCCCGCTCTTGAGTACGGCATTGGAATTTTCGCGAGGTCTGACCCCTCGCGACCCGATGAAAGTCGTGCGGAAACGACTTCCATCTGCCTTCCGTCCATCATTCTGCTTAAGTCCTCCAATATTCCCGAATGGGTTTCCCTTGAGTGGCAGCCTCTCGAACGTAAACCCAGTGTAGCCGCGGTATCCCCTACCCGGAAGGAACGGAGCCTTTGAATGATCCCCGATTACCCGACGGGGACAAAAATGAAGGAACTCGTAATTTTAGTTAATTCTCTCACTCCGTACCACACGAGGTAGTTTATTAAAATGTTTCATCTGCATTGTGAACATGCTCAGTTCCAGTCTTCAGCTCCTCGCCACTTCAGCAATATGCAAGGAAAAAAAATCTCCCTGATGGGAACCAACGCTAAAAATAAAATCCGAAGCGATCATTACGGATGTCACCGATATAACATCTTACGAAGATGGCCTCGGGATCCAGCCCCGGCCGGACTAGCTTTACTCGTGCTCCAAGTTCAGGCGGTCTTGGATTTGCGAACATCTTCCCGTTCAACTCCTTCTGCCTTTCCGGACAGCTGCGGAACAGACTCGCTCTCGTTGTCTCGAATATGCTTCGTGGGCTTCTTCTTGATGTACGATTGGATGTAGAAATTGATGAAAAGGGTCAGACCCAGAGCTCCCTGTGAGAAAGCCAAGTAGATCATTCCCTTCGGGTAACCACAGTCGTAGACGAGGGGTATGAGGATATGAATCATCAAGAAGACGAATTGGGTGATTTGAGCTTTGGTGATGTATTTCTTCCACCAGAGGTAGGGCTGCATCTGCGGTCCGAGGGCGGCCAAGAAGTAGTAAGTGTACATGACGACATGGATTCCGGAATTTACGATCAATCCCAGCAAGGTCTGTCCATCCGCGCCGTAAGTGAGCCAGAGCCAGCCGGACCAGGCGACCAGAGCGTGGTGGGTGTAATGCAGCGTCGTTATGTGGGAAAATTTCTTGTGGAGAAGGAAGAAGAACGTATCGAGGAAATCCCCGACGCGAACCCAGAAGTACCAGTAGCAGAGACGCAGCACTTTCATAGAGTTTTCGTCAGTCGAGTGGGTCATCCCTGTGGAAGTAAAGCCCAGTTAAGCATCTGGACCCCGTTTTCGCAATTCTCAGCGCTTCAATCGATTCTCGAAGTCCCCCATTCTCGCCAGAGTCCCGAAAATTCCGGTTTTCGGAGAAAGTGGGAATCAGTCACTTGAGCGGCTCGGACCTTTCCCATTACTCAAGCACAACACGAATTCGATCCCCCGCCATCCGAAGCGTGATAAGGGATATAATTGGCATCACATTGCCTCATGATCCACGCTTCCATACTTCTTTGCGTTACGTTCGACGATCTAGCTTGAATGGATTGCTAGCTGACGGCGACGTCAGCCCGAGCACGGAACGTTTGGCCATAGTACTTTTTTTCGACGCTGCGTTGCCCAATAAGTGAAGCCGACCGTGGCCGTGGTCGCGGCCAGACGAGCAACCAACTGCCAACAGGCTGGCAGACAACTGACGGTGAGACACTGTTTTTCTCCGACTGGCTTACAAAACGTTGCCGGAGAAACGTCAGTTAGTCAATCAGCTGTTCGACTTGGCTCGCTTACGGAAGGAGCACATGTAACGATTCTTGCAATCCGTTGCATCCTCCCAATGTTCCCTGGTCCAACTCACTTTCGACCGTGATACTCAGATATCGACGTGAGTAGCGCTTCCTCAGAAGTCAGAAATAAGACCGAATCGATGCGATACCAGGGGAGCTCGGACGATATACGACATTTACGCACAAAGCTCCACTCTCAACACGTTTTTCTCCCCGAAGAGGCTTGCTCCTAGACGGAGACCTCCGGATAGCTCACTAACCTTGACAGAAGATATTGTAGCCTCCGCCGAGGTAGCTATGCCTCAGAAACTGTATCATGAAATACAGGTTGAAGACAACCATGCTGATATTATAGAGTTGGACCAAAGGCTTGACATTGAATGCGGGCCTATTCGCCATCCATCGCGGGCCGGCGACCTGGGTTCAGATCCATAGTCAGATGATTTCAAGAAGGTCGCTCGACGGAAAACCATACAGGGGATCAACAGAGAGCCCGTTACGTTCGTACCTACATACTCACTTTCACAATGTAACAGTATCCGAATGTCAGCGTGAGCACGAACGGCAAGTTCCCAATGAACGGCCAATCCGCAGTCCTGGGATCGCGGGGTGGAATCCATGAGGTCCAAGAGAACCGCCCGCCGCCTCCGAGCGACTCCGTACGCAAACCCATACCTGGAGCTCTTAGAGCGTTCGGAACACTTATAATAGTGAACTTCTTATTTATCCTGAGGATATCTATCGCGTCGGCTGCAAAGCTGAATCGTCACGATCCCGAACTCCCGATTCTGATTCCCGAGATTGGGAATTCCGAGAAGCTTGGCAGGGATCAACGAGTTAGAATTTCTTTGAATTTTTTTACCGGAAGAATCTCCGGTACAGCCATGCTCCTCTGTCACTCTACCAAAACTCACGGTGTCGTTCACAGCAGCAGAACAAGTGTTGACTTCGGCGTCCGAGAAGCGAAAGTGCTTCTCGCCCCAAGGAGCCGTGTTTAAGACCCGGGACCCTCTTTCAGCGCGTGTTGCGCAAGTGACATTCACGGCGAAAAAAAAAGGTTTCCCAGTGAACATTCTGACATCGAGTGGAAAGACGTTCACGCCCCAAAAATTAAACTGTCTGACACTCGGGAGCGGCGGTGCATCGGATTCGGACTCGGACGCCTCTATCTCTCTCGATGCTCTCGAAGTCCACGAGACACGGAAATCAGAAGGCGAGCACGTTCGACCCTCGCTCCGAGACTCTCCGGCGCCTTCATGTCAATATTCCGGAACTCCATAATCGCTGGGTTGACAGCCTCGCTGTAGTTGACCGAAGTAGACTAGAGGAAATCAGAGCGAACAAGAGTTTCGTTTCTTCACTGAATCGCTGAAGTCCAGGTGGTTTCACTGTGTAACATCCATTTGGATTTGAACCGGAATCTTGTGGTAACATCCTTCACGGTTAAGACTTCGAAAAATACAATCATGTACGGATGCGGCGGGAAAGCTCTTAGTGCTTCATCAAACGTTTTCGCTTTTTCTTTGCTAAACAGTGCCGTCGCTTGTGGTTTCAGAAATACTTTTTCTGCCCCTGCTGTGAACTTCATCCGTGGGAGAGAATCACGGCTCATGGCGATGCAATGGAATCCTTTTGAATCGATCGACGTGCGCATGGAGTGGAGACACCAACTTCGCGAGCGTGAGTCCCGCAATTCTCAGAACTATACATCGGAAGAGACTTCTTCATATGGTGCATCGGCCCATGACAAAAGAATTTTTGTCATTTTTGAATTTTTTTTTGGGTTCGGGAGGAAAACTTGCCCCTCTCCCTTGCGTCTACACCAGCCTGCATTCGTCCCTGAGATACAATATGATCGATTCTGGACCTCTGACGGGTGACAAATGAGCGCAGGGAACAGCTATATGAGTGCTGATGATTTTCCAAGTCTTCGGGAAGCTCATATACTCCCATGGTTGCTCTCCGCTGTGATGAGAGCCGAGCTCGGAAACTCACTCGGGCGGATTGAGAAAATCCTGAGCTATGTGCATAGACTTCGACCAGCCTGCATCGTCTCGAAGAGGACAATCAGACGGGGATCAGTCGGTCAGAGTAAGCAGCGTCGGAAGCGTCGCGCCACTGTGCGGTTGGGATGCCCGGATTAGCCATGCAGCCCTTTCTCGCAACAAAGCTATCCCCGAGAAAATATGGTCTGCTTCCTTAATGGGCTCGGATAATGTTGAGACTCTTATTTGCACTCAAACGCCACAATTCCAAGATCTCTGCCATGCGAGATTCCATCGGATGCGTGTCCATCGCAAAAATAGCATCTTGCGAATCGCTCATTAGCATACGCGTTGGAGAAATTCAAATGCATGAGGATGATTGGTAGTCGATTCCGCCTGAGATTTCAACATGAGGGAATCGTCATCATGAGAGGCCGACAATGAAAATAAAATATCGAGCATGATCGGGATTTATTGCTAATAGATTATGTCCCGTTTTTTGCGACATGTGAATCTGTGTTCCATGGTGCCCGACTCGGACTCTTCCGACGAACAAATCCTCTCTGGAAACATCTGCGATACACTACGTATCATTAATGCGAAATATTTTGATGAAAGTCCTCTCGAATAGTCCATATCTGTCTCTTCCGACGAACAAATCCTCTCTGGAAACATCTGCGATACACTACGTATCATTAATGCGAAATATTTTGATGAAAGTCCTCTCGAATAGTCCATATCTGTCTCTCGCATTCCAAGGAAATCATTCGAGGTAGTCGGTGATAACAGTAAAAATCTGGAGTGAGGCGAACGTGTGGATCAGGTTCTTCGCAAAAAGTCTTCGAGTCAGTCGGCTCTCGAGGGTCCTGATTCCACAGCTTCATACCTCGATCCCCGTCTAATGTGTTTACATATACCCTGTGTTTTGGAGAAATCATCCACAGACGTTCGTTTTTGATTGTACATTTTGATTACGTAACAGAAGTTCCTCGAGGAATGAGGGTGTACATCGGAATCACTCCTCTGACTGACTGAGTTTGATGGTTTTGGGAGCTGCCTCGTTTCTTCGTTTTACACGCTGATATTCCTTCTCTTTCGACTTCGGGGTCTATATGGGTTGGCGCACATATGAGATGCGTATTCATTCCGAGAGATGAGCACTACTTCGTATTCGATTCGAATGACCTATAACACCATCCTTGCTCGCGTTCGCCAAGAAGAGCGTTCAATGAATTGAAGAATTATTTTTCGCGGCGGAGTGTCGCGGATAAGCGAGATCATCAAAAAATTCTCTGCGACTCAGGTTCCGGTAGAAGTCATTGTATCGAGAGATCGTTGTCAGTCTACCTCGGACGTTCCCTCTCCCCACCGACAGCTTCCTGACGTACCGGTGGAGCAATGGGACTGTGAATCAATCTGCACACGATCTGAAAGCGCTCTCTACCGATGAAATCGACCAGCGAACGAGAACACGAAACGAAATTCCCCGGACAAGGTGATCGTGATCCTGAGGCATTCTCGACTGGAGAAACAGACCCCTGAGACCTTGGCTTGTGGATCAGAATCGCACGGATCCCCTAATGTAGGGCGGATTAGTGCAAGATCTATCAGCTCAGTAATTCTAACACTGCTCCCAAAATGATATTTCCCTTCTTCTGTTCCCCGAGTCAAAATGAACTAGTTGGCATAGAAAGCCTAGTCGCACCCCAGGACCCCCATTTTCTGAGATGGAGATTCACAGAAGGTTTCATCACCTACAATAAATATCTCCGGTGAGGCATGCGGTGAGTATGGGGATCAGACAGCCGGTGGCTCGATAGCTCTATCCAGCGGTACGCGCGGGCACCGTGTCGATGTTTCCCGACCTCTGAAGAGACCAAGGACGGCAGAACTCATCGTCTCCGTGACTTTGAGGAAACTTCGAGCCGATGTCGCAAGAACAGATAGCAAGACCATGTTATGAAGAGCGAGGGATAAACTCGACAAGCTCAGCGATTTTAGCCGATGGTACCAAATATAAGGGGGCGCGTCGCACGAGGCACCCATGTAGAAACAGAAATTGAAGACGATGGTAATCTGAATGACAAAAGCCATAATGCAGCGCATCGCCGCGTTCATTGCGTCATCGGTTCTCGGTTTCCGCGCCCAAAAGTAAACATAAGGCGTAGTGAAATAGTCGTAGATCATAATTTCGCTCAATGCGGTGAAGACCCAGATCAGAAGAGGTTCAACATCCGTTTGAAACCAAACACTCCAGCCCAATGCTCCGATGGTACAAGACATCACTGAGTAGGTGTGCCACAAGCCGTACCAAAAATTCGATTTCACCCAGGAACCTACGATGATCACTATTGAGTAAAGCAGAGACAGGAGAACACATGATACTGTTTGCACTACGATTTGGCGCTCCGGGGGGCCGTGGATGGTGGCGTTCAAGTCGGGGAATTTCGCTGCGGTCTCGATAAGATCTCTTAGGCTACTCCTCTCCTGGGCTATGTTTTCCAAATCTCTGACGGTCAATTTGCACCGTGAAGCCACAATCGACGTCTTATTTTTATCGAATAAAATGTCGCGGTCGTACTGGGAGAACGATTGTGTTCGCAGCATTCGATCCAGAGCTTCGATGAAGGTCTTCCTGACTAATGACTTCGGAGACGCGGTTTCCGCACTGTCGATCGTTCTGACTAAAGGCGGGAAGTTCTCGAACCAGCAATTCGATACTTTCACCACGGCATGCACCCGAGAATAGTCCAACTCATTCACCAACCCCATTAGACGTTCATGCGTCTTAGGGTTCCAGTAATCGATGCGATCGTTGAAAAGAAGTTCAACCCGATAGGAGGACGGATTTTTGAAAACTGGAGCATCTGCGATCCCGCGACCCTCCGAAATGTTCCCGGAATGGCTCCACAGCACGGAGGACCTGGAAGGCAAGGAGCATGATTCTTCAGATTCCAGCTCGAGTACAGGAACAGTTGTACATATACATATGTTTTGATAGCAATCAACGTCGGACCTCCCAATCCGAGTGAGGATCTGAACTCAATTGAGTCGCAAGCGGAACATGCTCAGCATGATCATCGACTTACAGGTCAAGCTCTCCGGTGAGCTGCGCGCATCCGAAAATTCCGACAGTCAGATAGAAATAGGAAGCGAGTATCACGAATACTTTCACCCCCGGTCTATACAAGAGGTCTCGCCAAACTTTCCGATAGAGCTCCAGTCGATTAGCCGCTCCTCTTCTTATCATTTTTTCATCTTCTTCCTTTCTTCTTCTTTTCCGCTCTGCCTTCCTTCTCCTTCTCCGTTCTTCAACAGTCAATCTTTCCGGGGCTTTTTCCTCTACCCTTCGCAGCGTTCCCCCTCCCTTTTTATTCTCTCCAAGGCTTTCCTCAGCTGTATGTCCCGGGCTCTCCGTCTCCTCCTCATTTCTTTAATGTGCATTCTCCCTCTGTCGATTTCGACCACTGCAGCCCCGAATAAGAATATATTGAAGAAGCATGAACTGGCACAGCCGATCGCCACTGGGTAGCAGAGAGCCGTGAGGGGGGGATAGACGTGACCTGCGAAAGTCGTAATTTTGCGATAATTAGGATATTGTCAGGAGAAGGCATTTCCAGACAGGCTATCGGTGGAATTATTGGAGCCATGTGATGCCCCAGACGGGGTCATCGGGCTTACCTGCGATGAACAGAGAGAAAATCAGCATCACCAAAAGCGCGTAGGGAATGATCATCCGGGCGTATGTTTCTCGCGCTCGTTGCATCGTCGACATGACAGAACCTCGCAATAACTCGGGGAACCTCCGTTTGCCGCATACATCCAGACACAGTACTGGAAGGAAAGTACATAATTTATTGAGGCTCTTGAGGAGGCAAGTACGGATTTGCCCTCCCCCAATAGCAGTCACCTCAACCGATGGTTCTCCGCATCTTTGAGACTAGCCCTTCGACGCGACGTCCAGTCAAGAAGAGGCTTTCAATCAGAAGCGAAATCGACAAACACGCTCCCTCCCCCCTCGCCCATGGAGGCTTCCGTATATGGAAGCGATCAGCTGATCACAATGAAGGATAGTGACACGTAAGCGACAAGTACTCACCCACTAAAAATATAATCCACAAAATGTCGTTTGATGTCTGGAAATACATCATGGATCCGACAGACGCTAGCAAAGAGATTCCTGTCGACAAGATCGCGGCGCAGATCATTGCACCTCTCGACCTGAAGACACCGATCAGCAAATAGGGAAACTCGGCCCAAACGCCGACGAGAAAGCAAACACAAGTGAGGATGAGGATATCCATCGATGCGTTTCGTTCATCGGGGTACTTTCTCTGCGGAGTGCGGCAAACGAGCACGATGGCCAACATGAGTGAGAGTGTCATGTATGTCCTCGGCTTTCGGGCTACAGATCCTCCTATAGCTCCGAACACCGTCTCCAAGACCGCTCTGGATAGGTCCATGCATCCTTCCTGTTTTACGGAGGAAAAAGGCGGCGAATTCTGATATGAGTGTTCCATTCATCGCCCTACTCGCGAGCGCATGCGTACGCCAAGAAAATCCATACAGATAACAGGATGTACTCAGAACCCACTTTCGCTTGTTCCGTTGGCTCAGGGATCCCTATTCTATCCACGGAGTCGTTCGTGCCCTCCCGGGTCAGGCGAACTTCAGCAACATCGTTGATTCGGACCCTCGGCTTCGCGGTAGCTGCGGCTCTGCCTTTCCGGTCGAGTTGTACGAGTTCAGGTACTATTCCTTCACCAACAAGTCCACTCACATCCCTCACCCTATTCGCGATCGACTCGACGGAAGGCTGGAAGAGGAACTTTATTCGGGGTATCCGAGAGACACGGTATCGGAGTGCATTATTCACGTTTGCTGCTCTCAACCGACCTCGTTGTTGGGATCGGGACGATGTTCCCCGAGGCTCCCGCTGGCCCCTCCTCTTACTGGAGAGCAGCTGGGGACCTTCGTCTTCTTCGAGCAGAGCTCACTTTTTTCACCACATGCGAAAAAGGCTGGTATCGTCAATCCGCCTTCGATCGAGCCAGCCTTGCCCACTCGGAGTTCCAGATCTGCTAATTCGTTTTTTCCCCTGTCATCGATGATCTCGAGAACGATGTACCGCCTCGGGAGAGCTGACTGCGGATCCTTCGGATCTCGGCTCGGGCCATCGTCTTCCTTCCCGCCGCGCTCGTCTGACATCGCGAACCTGGAAGATTCAAGATCTTGGCGGAGATGTCCCTCAAGATTCTCGCGTCAAGCTATCGGAGGAGAATCGTCGACACCGGGTCCACCTGTGGAAGGCCGAGTGGTCTCTGAAGGGGCTGGATGCGCGGTACGTTCCGCTGGCGAGAAGCCACGGAGCGCGTTCCCGATCAACCTGCTACAACGACGTGGGTGAATGAAGGGAGACTGCTACGTTTCTCGGAAGGTCTTGGAACTCTGTCAGTCGGTGAATGCTCAACAGTTCAACCAGCGGCCGTCGCAAATCGGAAATGTGGTTCAACGACTGCCTCAGGATTTTCGATTTTCGAATGAAATTTCGATTGACACCCTCCGGAGGCAGACAGCAGGCTCGCCCTACTCCAAAGAGATCAGCCGATGTCACAGACCATTCACAGTTCAGCGAGGAATACAGAAGCGCGAGTCGCGACGACTGATGGCCTTGTCGAGTTTCTACGACGTTCGATGCCCAGGAGTCGAAACACTGTCCCACCCGAGCTCCGCATCGTAGCTCCCCATAGCATACACGTGAGCCTACTCTACCATTCATCTACTCACGAGAGTCAGTAGGAGGTGTGAGGAGGATTCTCCGTAGAATAACCAGATGAGATTTATCTCTCAGAACTCAAGCCCGATGACGACCGCCATTTTTGTTGGGGACTCGCGATGTCCCTTTCCCCAACTCTCGCCTGCCAGCCGAGGCATCCTGAGCTCTCCTCCTGAGCACCTAGCGATTGATCTTGCCGGATACGAGTCTCATCATTACCCATCCTTCTTGCTGAAAGCAAAACTGAAGGGGTGCTATAACTTCTATCATTCGGAACGTCCAGTTGTGGATCGGCCGAAGCTCGGATTCAATGGGGGGTTTGCGACAGAGTAGGGACCCTCTCCCGCCTCTGCTCTGGACGTATTTGAACTTTTGCGGCGGTTCGATTCCCCGCTTTCTGAGGCTGGGAAAACGAAAAAATCTGGATAAATCCGAATGCCGCGAGAAGGCGGATGGTCGCAGGATCCCTGGGAATATCAGGTCCGAATTCCTGGGGAAAGGGTATGTCACACCTCTATGCTTCGATCCCAAATGCTCCGCGAACCTTATACTAGAGGGTTGTCCCCCGTCGAACATCCTCTACCTGATCTTCTCGTGAGGCCGGCTTTCCGGAACTTATGATTGCATGTCGCTCAACGCAATCAATCAGACCCATTCGAACGAGCTCCGATTTACACCAAGCCATGAAACAATAGTATCGGCTAAGCACAGATCCATCAAGCGTCGTGAGTGTTCAAGCCTGAAGGCTTGAGTGAGATGACTTGGGGATTCCGCCACGATCGGCGATCAATGACAGTAATGTACCGCTCTTGGAGCTTCATGAGAGAATGCAATGAGTTCCGAGAGACCCGCATCTGAGGGGTCGAATCCTCGCGAAAATGACCCAAACCGGTATGCATTCAAAATCGAACTTTCTCGCAGGTGCTGTTCGAGTTTCGCACGCTCCCATACTCGGGGCCTCTGAACTCAGATGAGTGGTCTGATGTGGTATCGAAACTTTGTATAGGAGGATTCATTTATCGGAAAAGCAGCGGGTGACCAGCTACCGGGTCATTCCCGATTCGGGAGCTCGGTGTGATTAAAGCGAGACGAGATTCCCGATAGATTTTCGACCCGGGGCGAGACTGTCTCTAAGGACAAACTGTCCATCGGTGGTCTGCGTGCCAAGGCGCTCAGAGGGTGCTTGAGAATACGATTGTTGCTTACCATATCGATTCTCTCGTCAGAACTCTCCTAGCGGTATTCCGAATGAAAAACATCTCTCCCGAAACCGGGGAATATATCACTGCTGAAGAATTCCAATGTTGATCGATAGATGAGATGCTCTCCTCCGTGAGAACCGTGACTGGGAGAGAGGATTGACTCATCAGATTGTCTGCACGTGGAATGGTCAAAGTCGGTTAGCTTCCTGCTTCTAATCCGGCAGCGGATTCGATTTCTATCCACGGTATCAATCTCCAACTCGAGACCTCCACATGTGTCCCGAAATACTCGTACTGACATCTTCATCGCTCTCGAAGGCGCGCCGGAACATCGCTCGAAATCGGATCCGCAGAGGAATGCTGAAGCCTCATCAGCGCCTTGCTGGCGGCGTCGATGTATAATCGAGGGTCTCAGGAGAGTCCAAGCCCCTCTCCAGCCCAGCAACCCAGAGGTGTAGAAGGGCTCCGATTCTGATCGCCTCTCAAACCGCTTCTCACGTCCGAGCCGGAAACCCGACCATTGTCTGAAGTCTCCCAGAGGGATTACCGATTCAGCAGGACCATGAAGATACCGTTCGTGAGCTTTGTCTTGGCAGTCATCGTGTTATGCTTATCAACTTTGGATGTGGTGGAACCTCGATACCAAGCGATCAAGACGCGGCCGACGGGCAAATCGGAGTTCTTCGACACTTATCTCTTCGAAAACACAGCGAACTCGTCCTTTGGATTTTCCGTGCCGTTGTTCTCGGTCACCATTCCCGGCTACGGGAGAGAACACAAGGAGATCGACCAATTCAAGACGGTTAATTTCGGGAACATCGCTTTGCTGGGAATGGTCGTCCTCGGCTTCGCATCGCTAGTGTTCCCGTTCATCTCAACGAGGATTCCCGATGTTCCCGGCTTCTCAAGGAAACGTCGAGACATCAGCGAACCCCCAAGCCTAGCCCAGAGGGTCGGTGAGCGTCTGCAGTTTCGATTTAAATTGGCCTTGAAGTCCCTGGATTCGCCGTCCTCGCGGAAGTAAGACTGATCCAATCCATCGCAAAGCTACTTTTCGGAAATCATCGCCTCGTGAAAATAGGATGTCACAGCGTGCAAATAAAATTCATGTCTCGTCCAATGAATGCATAATTTATTCGAGTGAATGAAAGATTCGATTTTCTCCATCTGCTCCATCCCGTCTCGTGAATTTTCATCGAAATCCCAACTGTATCCTCATCGGTAGACCCGCATTCCCTCGGGAGATCCTCGTCTCCTGAAAATGAAATCCCGCGGTCTCTGAGCGTAAATCTCGATCAGGTCTCCAGAACTCAATCGCTGGTCTCGACTTCATTTGGGCGAATCGAGCGGGGTCGATAAGACAGTTGGACCGTGAATGGGTGACCGCGTGAGAGCTGACGAATTCCGATTCACGCGATCGCTGTCGGTCTGAGCAGGCGGGCAATCGGCCGGAGAGTCGGCTGTTGATTTCGAGTCGAGGGTCCGCCTGTGGCTCCCTCTAGCTGAGGGCCCCGTCTGCTCTCGACCGCTGAACCAGCAACACGGCACGGAAACAGTGTTCTTTCCTCCACCCGAGAATACAGCAGCAGGAGCTAGCCATCGTTATCTAGTCCAGTGTTTCCCGACGAAAAGCTTTAGAACGTTCCAAGGAAATTTTCATCGCCTGCTGCAGGATGGACGACGGGGGAGTGGTGAGTTTGGAGGCTGAAGGGAGATTGCTCTCGCGGTGCGTGAATTCGGAGCTGTCGCTTCAACGACGGTAGATATTTCTGGAATTAGAGCCGGCTACACGAATTCTCTTCCGTGAGCAAGACTCATCGAGGAATGTACTCCGTCAGACTCCGACGGCGAGAAACTCTCGGAGTTTGCCGAAGTCGGATATCTCTCCGCTTCTCTCTTCGAAAGAGAATGACGTTCCCATATGGGAGTCGGAGTGACTGCTCGGCTGGCTGCTTGCTCAACCAGCCGGAAAGAGACATCGTATTCCGGTGTAGTCATCAGAGTAAGTCGGACTCGACCGGTCAGATTTCTCAGAAATGGTGATAATTATCGCAAAGTGGATCTGCGGAAACAGTGGGACGTCTTAGCGAGGGGAGCGGTTTTGAGAATTTATTTCCATCTTAGTTCTTATTATGGTGACGAGGAAAATTATTCGAGAGGAGCAAGCGGCGAAAAAATGCAAGTATGCAGAATGCAGAAGCGGCCGATCTTCCCTTTTCTGACCGATCGCGCTCCTGGCTCCTCCAGCCGATAGCATGATCCTGACGCGAAGTATATCGATGGCTAACGGGATTCGAACGTCCTGACCGGGTCGAGCGAAGTCAGACCGCACGGTTTGCATCTCGAATATCGGTCATCGAGCTCACGTCTATCGACGAGCTCTGAAGCCAAGGAGCTGTTCGAATGGTGTCCGGGATACTCCTGCGCGGGCAAGCGGAGAGCGTCTCTCATGCCACACGGAATCGATTTTCTTTCTATGCGTCGCGAGATCGGCTTTACTGGGGCCGGAGCTGTGCTAATAGGATGGAGGATTCCGCACGCCAGTCAAGCCTATTGATTACATTCCCTCTGTCGGGCAGTGAATGCTCTGATTGGGGTTTCGACCTTCTTCCGGTGATTCTCGAGCGACCGGGGAATGACGTCTATGAGTGATTTCACCCGAAATCCGACTCCAAATCCTGCGAGCGGCCAATCGCGGCTGTTCGGCCCTCAGCAAGGATGCATAGGTGGATATTTTTCGGCGTATGGAGTATAGAGGGGCATATTTCTTTTCTATCTCCACATGTTTCTATCAATCCATCTCATGGAATCGAGCGCCGCGATGAGACATCGCGGGTCGGCAGCTCGTTGCTCGGGAAGCTCCATGAAATCACCGAACGTGGACCGAATTACAATCAAATTCCTATGCGATCGGATTATTTCGTCCAAATTTGCTCGCACCGCGCGGAGTGTGATGAAGCCGGCAAGAGTTTCACTGCGTTCCTTTCCTGGGCCCATATCCGGATCGAAAGCTTTGTCAGCTCGTCAAAATCGAGAATCCAACGCCGGTCTCCGAACGAGACAATACGTTCGAGGCGCACCAGAGCCGTAGAGGGAATTGATTTCGCCGGGGGGCGTGTATGAGTCTTCCTGTGTCAGATAGTAGGCAGCTTCACGTCATAGGTCACTCGACGCAAAAAACTTCTACCCGCGAGTTTGCTTCTCTCAAATCTAATCGTCGTCGAATTCGTCGGGATGACGTTTCGAGCTGGCGTTTCGGATCCTGGCTCATCGAAAAATCGGTTTGTCCTCGGTGAGCATGAATAGTCATCGAGAGAAGCTCCTTGGGACAAAGAGAGCTTCGCTGGGAGGCTCCGAGGGCTGCACCTGATTAATGGACAATATTTTGGGGGAAAAACTTCAGAACGCCTGATCCGGAGAACTCCCGGAATAAAAAGAGGAACTCTCTTCCAGATTCGGTCGCAGACGAAGATGCGGCGTCGTTCTCGTCGCGACGTCCCCTAGATCGAGGTGGACGGTATATCGTAATCACGAGACCTTCAGCTCTGAGAGGTTGGGGACATGCCGCTCTTTGCGGCTCTGAACAACTCCGCATATAGCTCATCGCGGGCGATCCGGGGACGCATTTTGGGTAAAGTTCTCGGACGGAACTCGCACCACAAGATTTTTCGACGTCTTCCACGGCTGGGATCTCGGGTGACGTTATTCTCTGTATTCACACCTTGCATCGATTTTCCAGAACAGAACTTATGCCCTAAAGAGACCATTCGATGACCATGAACTCGACGATGAGTGGCCTCAGCGAAGCCCTCAGTGAGGCGTTGAGCACCGTTGTGCCTTTCGCGGCATTCAACGAGACGGGACGAGTCATTTCGGCCTCGTCCTCGAGAGCTTGCGGAGCCTGGAACCAGGGCCAACACAATTTATTCCAAGCAGCTGAAATGAGCCTCATCGTCGGCAGTCTCATTCCGCACAGGTGCGTGGACCGGCTCATTCCGAGGACTCACGTCCTGGCTGATTTTCCTCCGGCAATCTGATCGCGCTCGATGAGCGACGTCAATGATCAATTATGCAGTAGTGAGTCGATTCCAGGTTCCAGATCAGCACACTTCTAGCCAGAGGACTTTTTAGTATCGGCATGCTTCTGTTGGCGCTGTGGGGCGGGTTCGTGGTGTGCGCGTGGGATCTCGTGTTATGGTTTCTGACACATTTTTGTATCAACGGAGCCTATTTTGCATTTCTCCTGTGGAAGGTAATGTTATTTGTGCAACACGAGGATCGTTGACGATGCTCGTCCTACATGCGATACGTTCCGCTCTGGTCTCATGTCAGTCTAGCCTGCCGTTGTCTCCTTCAGAATATACCACCGCCGATCGCTCCCCACCTGAAACCTCTCTACGAGAAATCGTTTCAGCCGTTCCTGGTGGAGCGCAGACTGTTCAACAAATTCGTTAAAAATTCCCAATATCTCGAGTTAGAGGAGGGCAAGCGCTACTCTGTGGAAGGTGAGGCTTTCCGGAGTCCGATTTGCGATCTTTAGGACGCTGCTGCCTTAAGATTGTTCGCGAGATCTCGCTACATGGTGAATTTTCGCAGGTATCACAATGGCGGACGAGAGGGTTTCCGTGCTGATTTCGGGCAAGATGCAAGTCACCTGTGAAGGAGTCCTCCTTCATTACGTGCAGCCCACCGACTTCATCGATTCGCCCGAATACGAATCCTGTGCCCCAGGTGAGCCGATCGTCTTCATTGACCGCTCAAATTGATCCCTCCTTTCAGTCCACAAAGGCAGTCTCTGTCGGATTCGGGGAAAGAGTTCGCTTGCATACGGTTCCCGATACATAGGCTGTGGACTTCTATCGCTTTTCTTTCTGAACTCTGTTATGGTGATTCTGAGTTTTTATTCGCTTCAGGGAGTGAGAAAACCAGCCAGGTCACGATAACGGCAGTCGAGAACTGTTCCTATATTTGTTGGACACGGGAGGCTTTCGCAAGCGTCTTGCGCCAAAATGAATTCCTCGACAACGTGGTCTACAACCTGATAGGGAAAGACATCGCGCAGAAGCTTTATTCACTCAATGAATTCCACAGGTATATGAAGCCAAATTATTCAATCCGAGATACCCGAGCCGATTCCGGAGAGATCATCGGGACAATATCCGATTCTCCGAAGTCTCGTTCTTCATGATTCGCGTATCGGAGAATGGGAGCTCGATAGGACCCAGTGCGACACTTTGCACGACGGGGCTCCGAAGTGAACTGGGTCGAGCGCAGGCGGTCGTGCGTCTCTCGATTCGGTGATAATGGCTCGTGTTGCCTTTCGAACTGTGAAACGAACGGCGGCATCCTATGACTCGTCGAGGACCCTTTTCGAGAGTCATTCGAGTCTCGGCAAACGGTCGATTCCCCGAAGTCGAAACGGATCGAACTGATGAGACCTGAATAAGTAACGATCACCTGCCCTGACCACAGATTGGGCGGGAGCGGGATGCTCGCGCTCCGGAAAGACCAGGCGGATTGGTGGCGGAAGTCTATACCTCGGAGCGTATCCATGGATGCTGTCAACACCGAGGCTAGGGGGCGGATGCGCTCTATCTGCTGGGGGAAAGACATAACCTCAGAGAGTCCTCCCCCAGAGGTAGCGATGTCCGATTCTTACGGTGAGTTTGTTCATCTTTGTATGATTTGAAACGGCGCTCATAGCCGAAGATTTGAGAAATATGAGCGATGTATCATCGCGAATTTCCGCCCGAGATATCAGAATTCTCCACCGAGCATTGTAGAGAACATTGCAAGAAAAGCTCCAGAGGTTTCGCTCATTCGTGTTGATATTATGTTGAGCCAGTGTCGCAACCTCGGAGGAGGAACGTGCGTTGTTGAATCCATCTGTTGATCGCTAGCAAAAACTTGAGAAGTTAGAAAGGGAGATGAAACCCATGAGCAGACCGAGCGACTTTATACTCGAATAGTCGGGAAAGCCAGGAGGAAAACTAGCGTATCCAATAACTATCTGCCAGAAACGCTTCTGGTCGAGCACGCTTAATATTTCTCTGACTTCTAACACTCTAACTGCATGTGCTTCATTCTGTTTCTTCTGTCTCACCTTACTGCGTCCGGCTGTGACACCAACTCTGTGCTCTTTCCGTCCACCAACTGAATCAGGACTGCCTGAATGGCCAGCGAGCGAGCCTCCACGAAGTCCTAAAAAACGTCGCTCCGCGTCCGGCAGACGCATGTCTTTGGCAGGCGTCTGTCTGGCAAAGCTGACACCAAAGGCGTCGATTGTCAAGCTCAATGGACTGAAAGCCGTCACGAAGCTACTAACGCCTCAGACCTCTAGGCGAAGTGCGCGGAGGGTGACGATCCAGACGCCCATCTGATTCAACTCTCGCCACGAAGTATCGAGATCGGCATTTGGTAAATGATCTTAAGACTCCCTCGATCCCCATCCGTTGAGACCCGCGAAAGATGAGCCCCCTTGAACCTTTTCTCTCAGGCTCTGTGAATTTCGAGAAGAGAACGTAGAAGGCTAGATGCTTCGCCTATGCAAAGAATGTCACAGCAGAGCTTCGTCACTGTTCGCTTTCAAGGCAGGCAGGCAGGTCCCTCCCGCCGGTCAGCATCCCCGAGAGCGAACCGATTGAGCGCTCCATTCTCCCTCTCCATGCATTCAATAGCGAATAGCGACCTCGAACAGACGACTGAGAAAAGTTTCCGCACTCTGCAGCTCAAGTGAAGAGGTACCAGGAGACGGTCATACGGCAGCTGAAACCGCTCTCCGATGAAGACCACGTCAGAATGGGTCGAATTTCTCCCGCTGGTGGGCAGACACCGCTGCTCCGTCAGTCAACGCTACGGCCTGCGAATCGAGATAAGAGTCTCGACACTGAGATGAAGAGAGTGAACTTTGCCGAGAACGCCAATGTCATTATTAGTGAAAGGTTGTGAACAACGGACCCACAATAGTTTTTCCCTTAATTTGCGCGAGCAGGTGGCGATCGATAAAATAGTTGATCGTGTTATTTCACGGGCCATTCCTCGGACTGACGATAACTACATAGATATTTTGGAAATGAGTCTAAATCATTCTAGTGAGGGACCATAACTTCGATAGCTCGTCTTTGAGCAAAACAGCTCGAACGCTCTTACAACACAGAGATCTGGGTAGCCTAGGCCGGGACGGGCTCGTGGAAGACGTCCGGGACCTCAGAGGAGGAAGGTTCTCAGACTGAATACCTGGAGGTGTCTGAAACGACTAATCTCAGGTTTGGACAACGAAAATGTCTGGGGTTCTGATTGAAGTGACGCAGCGTGATTCGCCATCTAGCGAATAATGTTCCGGGAGATAGCTGCACCATTCGGCCCGATCACCGCTTCCTGTTATTTGGGGTGAAGTCGCTCTGACGTCGAGGTTGTGGACTCCGGTCCCATCTACGGGACAGAACTAGCTCGGGCATCTCTTTCTGACGGAGCGACTCGACATGAAAACTCCGACGGAGCGGTGCCATAGCTTCCCCTTCATCTGGATGCTTTCGATCGGATATTGAGCGGATCTAGAGGAACATCTTCCAGGCTGAGAAGGATACCGTCGACCGGAACGACGCACAGGGGAAAATTCGGAAAGGAGGGAGGTGCGCGGAATGGGATGGCCGATTGCCGCGGCAGTCGACTGCAAGGGTTTCGCGAAGAGCCTCTGTGCTCTATCGCCGTCTCCGAGAAGATCAACTTAAAACTATATGACCGATTCTAGAAAGGATGCAGGTTCTCCGAGTTCTGGATTTCCTCCCCCTATTGGATGAGCATAAATGCAGTCGAGAGCTGCTGCCAGCTACACCATAATTCCTGAAACCACTGTCTTCATTCGTATTGTCAGATACATTCATGTTCATCACGAAATTCCGATAGCATATAGCGAAGAATATTGTATACACTGGAGGCCTTCGATCGGGGAATAGCCCTCCGACAGATAACTTGGTTGTGAAGTCACTCTTCAATGGTTCATGATCTGATTGTACCAATAAAAGTGCGCTTGTCTCGAGAAGACTCCGTCGGTGTCATCGTCTGAGGAAGGAGCGGGAAAGTGATCGACGATTGAGCCCCAGCGAATTCCGACGGTGGATGGTATCGATGCTTTTTGGGAGAAATTCCCACGTACATTGTTTCGTTATCGGTCGATGTCCGCCTCCGACTGGCTTCTGTGGTCCGGGTCTAGCCTGAGCTGGCCCCAGAAGATACTTTTCTCCAATGGAAACAAGACTATCGTTCGAAAACGGAACAAGCCATGGCACGTCAGATGTCAATAACCCCCTCACACTCACAAGTTTATGCTTGGCATCGCTTCAAGAAAAGAAAATAGAAAGACTTTCACGTTCGTTACTGTGTCGATTCAGTGCGAGTGATGCGTAATGTGACACTCTCCAACGATTTCCCTGCTAACACAGAAAGAGGAGAAAATCAGCCTGGCTCACTGTTCTCAGTGACCGGTCCGCTACACTGGGTGACTCAGTGCTCGCTCGCGTCAGATTCCCGGAGGAACGCTTCCAAGCGCGCTCGGGGTCGGACAGAATCGGTCAGAGCGCGAAAGACGCGTTTCTTCGACGAAGTTCTCGATCGTCAGAGACAGATATGCGGCCCCTGACCAGGATTTCGTGTGTGCTCTTCGCTCTGATGTTGTCAGAAACCGTGAACGCAGATGTCGGGGGAAAATTCGTCGATGGCCTTATCTCGTTCGGGAGAACCGTCGGAGACGCTACGAAAAGCGTGGTGAACACGTTCAAGGAGTGGGGCGATCGTGTGAGTCCTCCGAAGGGGACTCAGATCAAGGGCGAGATGATTCAACCTTTCTTCAGCCGTGTTTGCGGTGAGTTCCACCGGAGGATCGCCAAGCATGGAATCTGCATCTATCACTACTCCTTAATCCCGATCCTGATCCGATCTCATCTATTCCCAGTAGTGCTTCAGACTAGACGATTTGCTCAATCTGACCTCAATCCTGGGTGAAATTCATAGAACTCATTGAATATCTCTTCCAGGTCACTCGGTACTCGAACGGAAAATAGTCGTGAATTGCTTGCAGCTAGATGAGCGTCACCTGGTAAATCCGATGTCAAGCCAGTATATTCATCATAGCTCAAATCATGAACTCAGCGTATCTCCACAAATGTTTCGCGGAGTCAAGAATAACCCGAATCCCCTTTTCAGCTACACACGGACTGGAACAAATGTTTAGGGCGAGCAGGAAAAGAAGTGCAAACATTTCCAGATCTGATGCATTGGATCTGCAATATTGTCGCTCACCAGTCGACGGTTTCAGGATTGAGTAAGACGCAGGATTGCGTCGTGAAAGATGTAGATTCCGGCTACGCGATGACGCTCTATCGGCTGTGCGCGCGGAGGTTGCCATGAAGCCGAACCCTACTCCCGGCTACTGCCGTCAACCCGACGCCTCACCGTACCGTCGGAGGTGATTGTACATGATGCAACCGGTAGATGCACATGCTCATGTCGAAAATGTAAATAAGGATATTTCCTCCGAATTTTCTGTCTGGTCGGCATTTTCCCGGCTCTCGCACACTGTAGAAATCAGCTCACATGGGGGACGCTGCGCCCCCGCCGGAGATCCACAGAGCACGCATCCGAAGCCGAAATCACGTCGCCTTGCTTGTACCAAACTTCATACCCATAAAGAACGATCCTTAATCGATTTATGCGATGCGTCGGACTCTTCGTCATTTCGAACAGCAGCGTCTGGAACTCATTCCTCAATTCAACTGATGTCTCTTCTCTCTTGACCTGTAGCTCTAGAGAACGGAAGTTCTAGCAGAGACTTCCTGATCGAAATATTATACATACACCCGAAAATCGTATGCATGATGGGTACATGAGTGTATCGATGCCTCGTTTGCTTGCGCTGCAGACCCCGAATTTCGAGCAACCCCGTCCCGAAGAAATATCTGTCTTCCCCCTGCCTGGATGGACGCTCCGGCTCAACGCATTTCTTCGAATCGGCATACAAACCGCGAGGAGATACCTCGAGAACACTGTTTGGGCTCGAAGCCTATCAGACCCAACCCGAAGGGAGCCGAGAGCTTTCGGGCTTATAAAACTTTATTCGAGCGCGCTCTTTAACCTCATCATGAACTCCTTGAATATTTTATTGGGCATCTCCTGAGCTTCCTGTCTTCAAACAGCGGCAGAGGTCATCGGGTGGACTCCGTCACAATAGCAAAGGGTCAAGGGGAATTGATTAAGATAAAAACGTAGCATGATTCTGCCACATGGAGTCTGGGAGCGACTGATTCGCTGGGATTGAGGCTCCAAGTCCCCGTCAATGCGTTCCGGTTTTCAATCTGCTTCTCAAGCGCGCCTCGTCTTCGTGGGCTTTCCTCATGTTCATCTCTCGCACCGCATCCGGGGGCGGCTCTTTGAAATCGTACGGATTGAATCCGAATACCTGCGAACAAGAGATTTCGCGGAATTCCGCACGGACACTATTTCAAGTCGATGAAGATGAGACGCGGAGTCAGGAGGCTCACCTTCATGACATTGCATTCGTCCTTCGGCATCATCGCGTTAACAGTATTCGTTATGTAGTCCCTGGTGCGCTTCAGCCTCAGCTTAAAGTTCAGATAGGACTCCCGATGCCCCTCGCAAGCTTCTTTGAGAGCGTATTTCTTGACGAGCAGCTCCATCTGGAACGGCAATTCGGATTTCGCTATTTCGCTCGTGAAATCTTTTCGCGCATCTGATTGTAAGTTTCGGAGCGGAACTCACTATCTTCTGAACTTTATCCTTGTGCGTGCTTAGAAGCTCCTCGAGGGCTTGATTGAGTTCGCCTTTGATACCGGGATACTTCTCGAAGAGATGCTGAGCGGCCGCAAAGAACAATTCTTCGCTCCGTTTCTTGAGCTCCCTGTTGTCGAACTGCATTTCGACTGCGCGGATGATAGAAAAAGGAATGAGACTCCGGCTTATTCGGTCGATCAGAATAACTCCATCACAATCGAGGAGTAAGCGACTCACCGTGAGTTTCCTCGGGGTTGGGAAGACGGGCTGAGTCCAGAGAGAAAGACTTTGAGCGTTCTTGCGTCGAGCTTTCGGGAAAACACTGAGAGACCTCCGTGTCCGGTAGGATTTCCGGGGGTATTTCCGCTCTTTCGTCGAATAGACTCCTCCGCGACACCCGACCTTTGCCTTGATAGTAGAGAGAAGCCTCGATTAGAGTTCGGCCCGCCAAGCTTGTGTGCAATCGTCAAGAATGGTGATCAGAGCTCCGGTCGGATATTCACGTATTTTATGGGACGGTAATGGTGAATCTGCTTCATCGTTGCGGTTTCCAGCGATTTCATACAAGCTTCTCGCAATTGATTTGCCTCTCGGAGTCTCTTTGTGCAGCAAGGGGGCCGGTCCTTCAGCGATAACTTTCCGTTTCTTTCTGGGAGACTGCGGAGCGAAGTCGTTCAACAATTTCAGAGCGATGTTCTTTCTGAATGGCCTAATTCTCTTCCGTATGGTTCCGCGCGATAAGAATGGCCCGTTTCCGGATCTCTCTTATCCTGACGAAATATCTCTGACGAACAACGGAACTGACCTCCGAGAGATGTTGCGATGACTGGAAGGAATCCCAAGGCCCGATATCCGTGATAAGGTCCAAAAGCGGCAAATGATCCATTTCTTCAGAAGGTTCACTCTAAGGCAAACAAGAGAAAATATCAATTAGCGGCTGGAGTCTCTGTTGTGAGGTCCCGAAGATTCCCGACGGCTGGATACTCACTCTGCGCGACGACGGCTCGCCGAACGTCCAGGCTCGGTTCGATTCTGAAGATTCTCTACCTTGCGGCGCCTGCAGCTGGAAATTCTCTCCCTAAGTCACGCCCTTCCTTCGGCTTTCAAAACTAATCAAGATTCGGGCCATATTCTCAGAGCCTTCACTCACATGAGTCTGATCCTCGTCGACGGTCTTGCTGCCGGAAGGTCGATTCGCATTCTCCGGCCGGAAGCTCTGCTCGACTTGATCGTGTTCTTTTCTTCCCGTTGACCCCACCCGCGTTACTTCCTCTTCTTCGAGGTGCTCCTCGATCTCCGCCTCGAGCTCAGGCACCGGAAGCTCTCGTTCCGATTCCCCGTCTGCGCGAGGCGATTCCGGCGGTGGCAGAGTCTTTCCCGTGGGAAGAATTTCCGGGGACGGAGGAGGTGAATCTCCGATCTCGATAACTTCGACCGGAGCTCCAGGTGGGGCAGTCTTTTGTCCGGGGGAGATCGCGATATTCTCCTCAGTTCGATTATGGACACTCTTCCCTTCGTCTGGCTCGCCCATTCTGGTGTCTGAACCGAGAGCTGTCCCTGCTCCTGCTACAGCGCTGACGAAATCTCTTCCGGTGGAGCCGTCCTAAAAGCCAGGAGCCTATCGTAGACCATCCGACACAAGGAAGCTTCCGATTTCCCGGATAATCGAAGCGGAAAAAATCATTTTCCTCCCCGCATGTAGCACTTTTTGATGATAATTACTGACTTCTAATACCTAATTTCACCCCTGGTAGAGGGAGCTTGAGGCCTCCACCTGAAGAAGTTCGAGCACCGCAGCGTCCTCTCGAACCACTCGCAGGATGATCTGTTGGAAGTTGCGCGCAGATCCCTAAACGTCTAGTCGATGTGTCCGTTATGACCGTTAAGAGGAGCGGAGTTTCATCATCACGAAATAAGCTTCTTGAGCTGTGGTCCTCGCCACACGTGTTTTCCCCTCAGTCCTCATTCCAATAGGCTATGAGCCCAGGACCCACCCGGACAAAAACTAGTGAGACATAAAGACTCATCTGAAGGTGTGCGTGAGGAACAGAAGCGGAAAATAGAAGAATTTGAGAACTGGAATCAATCAAAAGTGCATCGATGCCGCCACGAACTCGATCAACAGCGAAATCAAGACTTCTAGCAGGATCAATTCTCATGAACTCCCCGAGGTCTTCACCCCTCTGATACGAAGTCTCTCTACCTGTGAGAACTTGACCACCGAGTTTGTAAAGGAAAGACTGTTGAGCGAATCCGCTAAGCAGGCGAACCACAAAAAAGAGACTGCCAGAGCCGGTATCGGAACGTTTGACCGAGGACCCACTCATCGAGCCGCCCATTGAGGAGAAAATTTTCGCAACAGAACAGTAACATTCAATCAAGGTTCGTCCGACACGCGGGGATCCTTCGGCGATTGCTACCGAACCGGGAAACCGGGCAATATGAAGAAGATCTGTAGAGAGAGACCAATGCAGGGAATGCAGGATGCAGGTCGGAAGAAATAACGCTAGAGAGCAAGGGCGGGTTGCAGCCGAGATCCCTGAAGACCGAAAACTGTTGGAACGTGTGTTCCGAAAGACCAGTCGAACGGCTCATCGACTCAGGAGCAACCAGTCATATGAGTGGAAGAAGACATCTTTTCGTATCCTTGAGCCAGAATGGAAGGCAGCGGCAGGTCCTCACTGCGAATGATGAGATATTGGACTCGGAAGGTTCTGGAACTGTCGAGATCGTTTGCCATGGTAATGGAACTCCTCGGATCACGAGGTTGAACGACGTCATGTTTGTACCCCGCCTGACGGTGAATCGCATCTCAGTACAACAACTCACGAGGAAAGATTCAGAGTGGAGTTCAACCGAAGATGCGAAGTAAGAAACGAGGACGATGACCTTTGCGCAGTGGCTCTCCTGACCAAGAGTGGATTGTATCGGCTTGAGGAGTACACCGAGGATCTCGCTATTTCCGTAGTCTGCGAGCGAAAAAGAGCTGTCCAGAAGGGCTCGGACGGTGTCAAGTGCCCGAGGGCCTCCGAGGTTCGGAACGACTCGGCAGTTGTCCAGAAGGACTCAGGCGGTGTCAAGCGACCGAGGGTTTTTTCGGCCCGAAGCCACTTAAGAGCTATCCAAAAGGACTCGGGCGGTGTCGAACGACCGGGTTTTTTTGAACCAAAATTGTTCGGGAGCCGCCCAGAGGGACTCGAGAGTTGTCAAGCGACCTTGGGCCCCTACAGGTCCGAAGAAGAAGATTGGAAGACACGGAATGGCAGGTTTCGCTTCACGAGACACCGGGGGCTTGCTCATCGGTTTCCGAGACACCGGGGAAAAGCTCGATGTCGTCTCGAGAGGACTTGCCATGCGGAAGTAGCGACACCGAAGAAAAGAGTTGGGGCTCACAGGGAACACGGAAGAGACTATCCGCTAGAGAATACTCGCCCCTGGACTAGGGTCGCCCGTCGATGTGGCTCTTGGCTACACGAGGGCGAGGATCACTACCATACCATACCATACTACGAACTTTGTCTTAGACGACTAGGTCACCTCAGCTCAGAAGGCATGAGAAAATTGACCAATGGAATGGCCAAGAGTGTCGATGTACGGATCCCTGGTAGCTTGCCGATTTGCAGATCTTGCGCTGAGGGGAGGCAGACTAGGGAGAGATTTCCAAATTCACTGACAAAGACTAGCTCAAGGCTAGAACTGGTACACAGCGATCTGTGTGGTCCAATGAGCGTACAGAGCATCGGTGGTCAACGATACTTCATTACGTTCTGCGATGATTTTTCACGTCTCACCGTGGTATACTTCATGAAAACGAAAACGGAAACGTACGAAAAACTAGTCGACTTCGAACGATATGCGGAGAATGGAGCAGGGTCACAACTGGAAACGCTCAGGAAGGACAATGGGACTGAGTGTATACTGACTTTTCTAAGAGAACGCGGCGTACGCCACGAAACCACAGTCGCTTACTGTCCGGAGCAGAACGAGGTTGCCGAGGGAGCTCAGAGGACGCTAGTCGAGAAGGCTAGAGCGACGTTAGCAGGAGCTGCTCTTGACCAGAGTTTCTGTGCGGGAGCAGTGAATACTGCTTCCAAATTGAAGAACGTTAGGCCCAGTGCCGCTTTGAAAGATTTGTGTCCGGAAGAAGTATGGACCGGAAAGAAACCCAACCTAAGCTCCCTCAGAGAATTCGGCTGCTTAGCGTACGCGCCCACTCCGAAGGAATTGAGGAAGAAATGGGACTGGAAATCAGAAAGATTCATCTTCGTTGGATATTGCGCGCTGTCGATGGCGTACAGATTGATTCCGCTTCATGACAGAACCCAGGTGAAAACAAGCGTGACGTCATCTTCGATTAGTACACAAGGGTTTCTTCCGTGGGAGCGAGTGAGCGTACACTGGATGATAAAGGCAATGACGGATTGTCAAATGTCTGTGAGATAGCGGGCTCAATGCCGAAGCAAGACGCAGTCTCAGAATCGTCAGATAAGCCAGCTGCTGCTCAAGAAATTCCAGAAGGAAACAATCAGTCGGGGCATGGAGGTGCCCAGGTGGAAAAAATGTACCCCAGAAGACAACGAGAGGAACCAATTTGGAAGAGAGACTACGTTTGTGTAGCGTGTCAAAGTAGCACCTCGAACGATGATGCTCCCTCAACAGTTAGGGAGGCCATGTCTTGTAAGGAAGCAGAAGGGTGGCGCGCGGCCATGGAGATTGAGATGGCGGCCCACAAAAAGAACGGAACATGGATGCTTGTCGACAGACCGAAAGATAAGAAGATAATATCATCAAGATGGGTCTCCCAGAGGAAGAGGGACAGTGAGGGTCGGACGACAAAACTGAAAGCGAGACTCGTCGGGCGAGGATGCTGTCAGGTCAAGGGAGTGAGTTTCCAAGAGACCTACTCACCGGTCATTCCGATGACAACTCTCCGTCTTTTGTTTTCGCATGTTGCGATTGAAGGATGGAAAGTCCATCAACTCGACGTCGAAATCGCGCATTTATACGGAGAGTTGAAGGAAGAAGTACTGATGGAACAGCCTGCGTTATTCGAAATCGGGGACGACAAGGTCTGCCGTCTGAAGAAGCCCCTGTATGATCTCCGTCAGGCCGGGCGAGTGTGGTTTGAGACTCTCAATGCAAGACTCAAACAGATCGGCTTGCATGAGTTCAAGGCAGACAGATGCTGTCACTTCATCACTGAAGAAGAGCAGGTCCTCATTCTCACCATCTACGTCCTTATTGCAGACGAAAATAATAAGAAGCCTCGAAGAGATACTTTCTATGAAAGACCTCGGAACAGCAGCTTACAGTCTAGGAGTCTAGATCACACAGCGACCGAATGAGAAAGTAATCGTGCTCGATCAGAGAGAAACAATCAGAAGAATTCTGGAGAAATTCGGCATGAAGGAGTCGAAACCAACGGCAACGCCCTTAGAGGTTGGTTCGGTACTTGAGAAAAGAACTGAAACCGACGAGCCTACCGAGGCACCATATCGAGAGGCCGTGGGTAGCCCACTGCATCTTTCAGAAACTACAAGACCGGACATAGCTCACGCCGTCGGCGCTGTGAGCCAGTTTTGTTCTGATCCGACGACTACCCACTGGTCGGCATTGAAAAGAATTCTCCGTTATCTGAAGGGTTCCATTGACCTCCACTTGAAATTTGATGGGAATATCACAGCGGACATCGAAGTAATAATCGGACGCCGACTGGGGAGGTTGTCGAGACTGTAGGAAATCCACGACGGGGTACGCTGTCCCTCTCGCCGGAGCCTGCGTCTCCTGGATGAGTAAGAAACAGCCTACGGTGGCGCTCTCCACGAGCGAAGCTGAATACATGGCTTGTTCAGCGGCGTGCCAGGAGATAAAATGGCTCCTGAATTTCGAAGGGATCCCGAGAATCAGCATTCCGCGCTCGATGACTTACAATTAGTGGTGCGACAACAAGGGATAAATTCTTTTGAGTGATGATGACGTCTACCACGCCAAGACGAAACACATCGACTTGAGGCACCACTTCATCCGAGATAGGATATCAGAAGGATTAGTTTCCATCGCGCATGTACCGCCAACCGAGATGGTGGCAGACATTTTCACCAAGGGGCTCACCGCGGAAAAATTCAAGCATTGCAGAAGGAAGCTAGTTCTACAGTGAAGTCAGGTCTTTGGGGGTTCTGCGCAAGGGGGGTGTTGGAAGTTGCGCAGATCCCTAACCGTCTAGTCGTTGTATCCCTCACGACGGTTAATAGGAGCGGAGTGATCACGAAATAAAGGTGAACGAAACACTGCTTCTTGAGCTTTGGTCCTTACCACACGTGTTTTTCCTTCAGTCCTCATTCCAATATGATCGAATGCGATCAACGATTTGTTCAAAAGACGGGAGGTTGGTTGCAGGAGATGGAGGTAGGAGCTCACCTGACTGAAATCAGCTCCTTGACTCTTCGCCATCAGAGATGGACCGGTGCCAACAGCGATATCCGCGAATTTGTTCGGCGAGGGCAGGAACGTCGACTGCAGTTTGGATTTCCGCGCTTGTTTTATGACATCTCCTCGATCATCCTCAGCGACGAAATCACCCAGCGATCGGACGTTGAAGGCGCGGACTGCGTCCTCCTCCGACTGAGAGTGCCGGCTTTCGCTTGGATCCCGACTCGAATCGATGACGAGCTCGAGAGTTTCTTGATCTTTTTGCTCGATCGGGTTGCCCATGCTCGTCGCTATATCGCAGAAAACGGGGTCTATGATCGAGTTTCCGGCTCCCTGGCTCCTATTCCTGGAAGAACGTTAACCGCTTAGGAACTCGGAGGGATGGTGTAACATTTCTCCTCAATTTTCTCGTGTGCGTCTCGTAGAGAATCTGAAGAGTCCGTCATTCGTTGGAGGAACATCGCTCACTCGCTAACCTTTTCGAGTTCATCACTTCATCCAAGTCCGCGTCGGAGTCTTCTTCGCAGAGTGTTATGGCACGCCGAACGCCTGTGGTAACCTCGTCGGTTTGGTTGGTCGCGTCCTCTTCGAGCGTGAAGCTAGGAACAACCGGCTCGGCCTCCGCAATTGCTTTGAAATTACCAGCCGCCGCTTTCTGGCTGAGGGTCTCCTTGAATGCCTCGAATCTTTCCGTGAGGTTCTCCGCGGGGCGCCCCCTCTCCTCACTGGTCACAACCTCGGGAGATAGGAGTCGAGACGGGATTGTACCTTCATAGAAACTCGTCCGATTCGCGGTCTCTTCAGGTTCCCTCCCGGTCTGAACAAGCAAGGTATCGAATAGTTTTTCTGACTTGCCGGCGCACGGCGCGCGATGGTCCTCGTCTTCGCTCGATGAGCTATCTTTGATGCATTTCTCGAAGATTTTCTTCCTGATTTCCCTGGAAAAATTGATGCTTCGTTCGTAATTTGACTCGACGAGCTTCATCCTCTCCCCTCCCCCAACCGTTCGGCGAGGACTTCTGCGGCACCGTTCTTTGTCTGAATTTGTTCAAGTACTCACAGTGTTTCGAAGGAGACGTCCTCACCGGCCGCATCGTTGTCAGGTGACGTAACAGGTTGCGGCTCCTCCACAGGCGGCAAGAAGTCCGAAAGCACGAAACCCTCGACGACGACTCTGCATGGTTTGATAACGTGTTCCGGCTTCTGTAGAACTTCACTCTCGAGCTCCGTTTTGCGTATTAGATTAGCTCGCCTCCGATTAGCCTTCTCGAGCTTTCGTTTCTCATACTCAGAAGCTTTGAGAAGACTTCGTCCGCTGCGAGTGAAGCGCGATGTCTCTGCCTCCTCTGTTCCAGTTTCTTCTCTCGTTGAAACAGAGCTCCTCAGTCTGGGATCAGATATTGAGTTGATCTGTCTGTTTTCCTCGTCTTCTGAAGCCTCGCTCCCTACCGCCACCGGTCGCGCTCCCAAGCCGGACTTTCCGGTTTTCGAGGTCGGGATCTTTGAGGGTTGTGAGGTGTGCTTTTCTGAGCGATTATTTTCGCGTTTACTGTCCGATCTATCGCCCGAAATCGATCGAGAGACGTCCGCAGTGTTGTCGGAACGATGCCGGGTCCCCGCGAGAATATTTTCCGTGGAGTAGATATTGCTGAGTGCGTTCGCCTCGGGACTACGGTTTTCCCGATCAGAGTCATCCCTTTGACTTTCAGTCGGAATTTTCCCGCTGCTATCGCTGTCGGCAGGTCGTCCGCAAGCATCTCCCGGCAGCGTCTCCTCCTCGGCCGGCTTGGGAGTCTTGTAATGCTTCTTATGCGTCTTTTGTTTCGAAGTTTTCGGTGGCATGGTGTTTCCCGATCCATTGTGAGCATCAGAAGTCTTCACTTCGCTTTCTGATACGTCAACTTCTTCGATTCCAGGAGCAGATTCTCCGTCTTCGACAGTGTGCGATACTCTCAATCGGCTGCTCCGTCTGTCTCGAACTGAATTCGTTCAGTGAAATAAATTGACATTAGGTATTGCTATGAACGAGCATCACTGATATTGGACTAAAAATGTTCCCACTCGGTCCTATCTGGTCATTTACCGCTGGTGTTTTGCAGTGTAGCATCAGGCATAATATCAGAGAAAGTGAGTTCAGGAACGAGGGTGTCTTCATCTTTCTGCGGCAAGCTCTGAAAACGAAATCCGGAAAACGTGAGCTCCAACTCCGGCATCTGAGACTCTAAAGAATCGTTCGGGGATATACCTAGATCCGATATACCTTCCGCGAAACATCGTTGCGTGCTCGGTTGTCCTGTCCCAGCTTTTTGTTCCTGCGAATCGATGTCGCCGACCGTTAGGCGAATCGATGGATGATATTCTACTGATACCTTGATGTTGAGGGCGTGGACTCGAACGACCCCTCATCAAGCAAGCGCAGTACGAGCCAAGTCCGAGTTCACCTTTGCCTCGGACCTGACGGATCGTCTCTCACCGGTGATCTCGAACTTATTTCTAGTGTTTAGTTGGAATGATTCAAACATTCTCGGCAAGAACCAACCCTCATGGATGAACTTACAATCGACTCTGATATCTGGTTCCACGCCTCATTTCCGGAATGGAAGAATATCTTTTTTCGAACAATCCCTAAAGACTGACAATGAGCGCTGAATCAGCTGAACAGAACCCCTCCAATCGAAGGAGGACGATGATTCTTTTTGGCGGGCTTCCTGCCGCGCGAACGGGGAGACGCCGAATAATTTCGAATTTCGCTCTCTCGTTCTCGGGGCCTCCCAGCTAACTAGCTGCTCCAAGTCGTCTAGCCGTTCCATCGCAACAAGGATCTCAACTTCTAAGGAGTCGCAGATGCAGTTTAAACATGGTATCGCTTTCCCCATCACCAGATATGGTGAGAATCGATTTGCTTCCGGGCTGGGAATCCATAGAGGATACCGAGGAGAGGGAGGCTCATTTTCAAACGTGGGAACATCTGTGGGTGCATACCGGCCGGCAGGTATAGGGTGCATGAATTTCGGGTTCCTGAATTACAATAGCACGTCGATTTGGTGCTGAATTCGAAACTGAGAGGAGGATCTCCAGGAATTCCCCAGGTCGGAAGGGCTTGGAATACGGAAGGGACCAGCTGCTCGACCGATAAGAGTCGTCGAAAATAGCTTTTTCGTGAAAAAACGCTCACTACAATTTATTAAAATTTTCCTAGAGCGCATTCAAGACGCACACATGAGTTCATCGGCTACAAAAATACTCCTCGCTGAAGATTCGCATCATGCCAAGCCCGACTAGGGGTTGTAGTACCAGCGACATCTTTCATGGAAGGCTTTATAGGTCCGGCTCCTTATGACCTCTTCCACACCGAGCTCAGACTGCAGGAGACGGAACTGAAAATAAGAAAACGGCTTCTTTATGCAGATTTTGCCCTAGTGCTGTATCATTCGAGTGGGGCGAAAGGGTTTTCAAGCTCCACACTGGATCCCATGAGCCAAGTAAGGCTGTCTCGTATGCTGAGGGGGAGTCCATTCGTTCGATAACAGAATACTAACCTTCGTTTGCTCCTTCCGAAGAGCCTTCAACACATTCACGTCGTCGGGAGATTTGTTCTTCGCTGTTCTCAGCTCCTGCACGCGGCCTTCGCTAATTTCGATGCATCCTTGAATTGCTTTCCTACGCGACGTGGAAACGTCCTCGAGCTGCGTTCAGAAAATATCGATACTTCAGTTTTCACCCACGAATTTCACCCCCAAGATTATTCGGTAGAGTGGAGCTCACACGAGGCAGCTGATGGGCAACTGCAAACAATACATTGACCATCCCTGCGATATGATGATGAGCTGCCCGTGGAATCTCGTGGATCTGAGCATCCGAAATAACAAACCTGAGCGTGTAGATCTTTACATGTTTTGGTCGCGTCCTTCTCACCAACGAAACTTTGAGTCGGGATGGTGGTATTCAGTGCATGGATGATGTTGTCATCCAACTTCCGACTGTTCTTCAATAATTCCTGATTGGAACAAGAAACGATTTCAACATCCACTGAAGTTGGGGCTCGGGAGCTGCTTAAGCCGTCTCTGACCTTCGCCTGAAGCCTTCGCGCTGGGGAACGAAGGTCGGGGGAGGATCAGGCAGAATCGGAATCGTTCGCTGTCGGATTCGCGCAGGTCACCGCTCGCGGAGGAGCGACGTTCTGACCGGCTGACGCCGGCTAATTCCAATCGCCTTCGAAGGGAGATCAGACGCGAGAAGTTGTGCTTCCATCGTCCCTGGTGCCCTCCAAATCTGCCCGTTCGGTCCAGCTTATACACATTACCTCGAAAGCTAGAATATCATCACAAGCGGTCGTCGCACTGTCCATCTCGAATCATCCCTGTGGTGGTGATCTGGTGCTTCCGCGGCACCCACGTGGTGGCCCAGTGTATCACAGACGTCGTCAATGTGGAGAGAAGGCACTCACACAAAGTAATGACAGACATAGACGAAAATGTATCCTGCTGGAGGCATGGAATTCGCTTCTCCGGAAGGACAAATGAAGGGCGATCCCGAGCGTAAGGACGGTATAAGGAGATTCGGTTCGGAACGTTTGAGTGATGAGGAGAATGGAATCTTCTCACCAATCCACCGAACCGAATGGTGTGGATGATTCCTGCCTGGAACCCGATCGAAATCGGGCGGATTGCTGTGCCGGAGTCGGAGCTCGGGCTCGGAGTCATTTAACAGACGCTGATGCATTTCTCACCGCGGACTCCCGGTCTTCGAATGGATCCTTCAAGGGATCCTCAAGGTCCTTGAACGGATGGCATACAGACTGGCACGACAGCGAAGGTTTCAACATGTCCGATCCTACCCGAACATTGCCAGCGCCTCGCAAGAGGCTGCGAGCGTCCTCGTTCGCCGGTGTTTTCCCCCGCAGCCAGCGTGGTGGCGTAGGTATGACAGTGGCGAGTTCGTTGGAATCCTGCGGAATAAGGCAAGGTACCTGCTATGACCACGTGCACTTCGTGCAGGCAGCGCTAAATTCGAACGAGCCGGACTATGATAGAAGTAGCCGTGACCTAGAGTTGTGATGACATCATAGTTACAAGGCTTTACATTTGCTAAAAAAATACGATAGCTGGAGAAACACGCAAATATTGCGGAGAACATGCGTAGCCTGAAAAGTATGTCTTGACCTAACTGAGGTGATCCGGCGTCGACTGAGCATGAAGTCTGTTCTGGGAGGGGAAGCGCTAAAAACTGGTTCGGTCCCAGACAGACATTGCGATTTTATTCCATTTTATTTTTTTCCATTTTATAGGGGAATGACTTTAGGTATCTTGATGTTTCGGGAGGGGGCTGCTACACCATCCCTCATTGGGATTCCGACGACCCTGCTGTCATGGAAGGAGGAACACGCCAATGTCACCGAACCTCCTCGATTGCGAGCCGGGGGGTGAAGTTGAAATCCCATCTCGCCGATTCGCCCGCCTGATAGAGATCCGATAGATATGCCGGATGCTCTCAGCGGACAACTCGTTCGGCATCTATGAAAACTGTTTCTTTAATCCTTAGTAGGGAAGAAAAATCAGTGAGCCATAAATTTTCTGAGAGGAGAGCCTGCCACGACTCGTGTTTCTGGCTCCATCGCTGTGGAGTCGTAGGTCCTCCCGATTGTCTTCGTTTGCATCGCATGGGGGAAGTTCGCTCTGTTCCCGCGGGAAAGGCTCGGCAGACTCTAGCAGAAGGGGCAGATCTCGGAGAAATGCCGATTCGACGGCTTGAAGGCGGCGCCTAGAGTGCGAGTCCGCGTAATGGCTATCCGGGAGATGTTCCTATCATTCAGGGGAGGTCTGCTCGAAAACTATAGTCCTTTTTGCTGAGCGTGCCACGGCTCTGAAAGTCGCTGTGACTGTGAATGTATGAACTGAGCATTGATGTGGATTTCCGGGCTCGTACAGACGCGGTCACTCTCCGAACCTCGACATCCGATAGAATATTAGTCTTCTTGGAAGGTAGCTCCGCCACGACAATGATAATGTCAACGATGAATTCGGAGGCAGCATCAACATTTCCTTCGTTAAAGAACCCGAGAGAACCCTGTGAACAGCATGCGCGCAGTCCCGATCCGCAATTGGTAAGACTAGCCCCGACAATAATCGACAGGGAGGCTGGATTTGGGTTGGATTGGACTTATTTAGACCTCCCATGTGCACATACGGACCCTTTCATTCCAGGTATTGCATTCACGAGGCATTTGCCTCAAACCTTGTAGGGTGTTCTTCGTCTTCCTGAGAGTCTCCGCCGTAGTATTCGGGTGAAGTCCCAGTCGGTATGCGAATTCCCGTTGGTCGGGGTGTCCTCCTTCGCATTCCTTCCATTTCATATCTCGGGCTGACATCCCGCGGGCGGGTAGCGGAGCTCGGAAGCCCTCACCTGTAGAAGGAAGAATAGCCCGATTCCGCCTGAGCGCTAAGAAGAGATCATCAACATCATTCACCTCACTCTCCCATTGCCAGATTAAATTTTTGTCTAATTTCACCCCCTGTGATCTTCACTCGATTTCTTGTAGAATTAAACTACATTCAAGTGTGGGGTGTGAAGAGCGCACGTGCAGCCGTACGAAATTCACGGCCCGCAACCTTGAAGCCCAACGGGTTGAATTTCATGCCTAGTCGTGTGTGTCGTGTCTTCCGTCGTCTTTCCTTTGCATACACACACACACACTGCTCCTGTTATCGAATTGCGTGGAGCAACCTTTCGAGGCCATAAAATTTCCTGTTGAACTGTACTCAACTACCCCCAAAGGTGAGTAGGGCTCGGAACCACCCAAAGGACTTGCCGAATGCACTCTATCCCCCAAGCAGGCGAATAAGCACTTCAAGGGCCTTGAGTCATGCTTGTTACCACCTCTTGATCATCCAACGACTTCACCGCTTGGTATCACGTCGTGTTCCCGACGGTCTCGCTTGCCCCAAGTACATTTCGTGAAGTTTTCTCGCGCCCCTACGATGGAGAGATGAATTTCTCCCAGCGACCGGATTCGGGGAGATTATTCGTCGGTTGCTGTTCTATCTGTGGGAGGTGTCGATTGAGAGCCTGTTCTATTCAGTGACGGAATTGGCGAATGAAGCTAGTTCATGGTAAATCGTCGCCAGGGGAAGTCAGATCAACTTTTCCGTCGACTCCCGCGGAGTCCGACCGGCTCGGTTCGCTCTCGATCAACTTCAAAGATTGATACTCATTCGAGGAAATCTAGCCAGCTTGACGGATTCTGTGAGAATCTGTGAGAGACAGAGATCTGTGAGAATCAAACATTTCATGTTCGAGAACTCTCGGAATGTCATTGGAAATGTCTAGGATGTTGAGGACGTGCGTTGGAAGAAAGAATGCCGTTCAGGATTGGAGTGCCCCGATTAAATTGTGTTAATATGATTCATGTACCGTCAACAGGATGCCGCGTGGATTGAACTATACCGTTACCGGGCTTGCTTGTGCTACAGATACATGCATGCGAATGATTCCCAAGGTGTTGCGGGCTTCGACGGGGATCGACCATCGCAGGTCGTCGATTGTCATTGGTTCAGAGTTCTGATCCTTTATCATTTCAGATGAGCAGCGGCAGCAGCAAGCCTACCCAACGTCCTGGGTACAAAAACCATGGCATGGATAATAAAGAACTTCGCAGACGTCGCAATGAAGAGGGAGTTCGCCTCCGGAAGGCTCAGCGAGAACAGGAGATCCTTAAAAGGAGGAATCTTAACGTAAGTTGCTTCGATGCCGCATGAATCCCAGTTCCTCGCGTCTCCCGCCCAGCCTTCGAATGCTCACAAAAAGCTTTGGAATTACCGGCGTAGAATAGCTTGCCGTGTGCCACGTCCAAACATATCATTGGGCGCTGTAATTCCTGCGTGTCCTGAGCTGGAGACGGAGGACTCGGTCAGTGAGTCATTCCCCTCGAGCTATTTGAATGACTCTCCGTGGAAGATTTCCGCGCTCCCTCACGCAAACACGGAGGTCCCTGATCTGATTACCATTGAACAGGAGGGTGTCGACGACGAAGAATTGGTGGAGGATCAGAATAAAGTCGAGGATAAGGTCACCCCGGCCATGATCGAGGGTCTGCTGACTCCGGATAGAGGAATACAACTGAACTGCGTCCAGAAATTCAGAAAACTATTGAGTAGAGGTGAGTGAGGACTAGTCAATGCGAATCCCCCGTGACGGCGAGAATCTTCCGCGAATCCGATTCCGAGAGCGCGATATTCCTCGGTAGCTATCATTATCGAATTGTTCTTCCCCAGAGCCAAATCCTCCGATCGACGAGGTTATCGAATGTGGTGTGGTTCCTCAATTCGTGGAATTCCTGAAATGCTCAGAGCACCCTCAGCTGCAATTCGAGGCGGCTTGGGCATTGACCAACATCGCTTCAGGCAACGCCAACCAGACGAAGGCCGTCTTGCATGCGGGAGCGGTTCCGATTTTCATTCAGCTCCTCAACAGCGACAGTGATGAAGTTCAAGAGCAAGCCATATGGGCCCTCGGTGAGTGGACCTCAGCCCGAGAGGAAATGACTTCCCGGTCTCACAATCGAATCGAGTCCCCCATAGATATTCCACTACACGTCGCCAATCCCCAGGCAACATCGCTGGCGACGGACCCAAATGCCGCGACTACGTCATCGAGCAAGGCATGCTTCCGCCTCTGATCCGGTTCATCGAGCTCAGTCAAAAGATCGGGATGACGCGAAACGCCGTCTGGGCCTTGAGCAATCTCTGTCGCGGCAAGAACCCGCCCCCGAACTTCGAGCACGTTCGGATCTGCCTTCCGTTGCTTGCCAAGTTGCTCTACTCGAACGACGCGGATCTATTGGCGGATACATGCTGGGCTCTCAGCTACCTGTCCGACGGTCCGAACGAGAAGATTCAAGCAGTCATGGATACCGGCGTTTGCGGCAGGCTCGTGGAGTTACTTGCGTGAGTTGTCTTCTGATTTCGTTAGAGAAGATCGTTCTTCGAATACATACTCGGGAAAATATACTTGAAAGGATTCTCTCCCCGCAGACACGTGAACCAGAGCGTCGCTTCCGCTGCTCTCCGAGCCGTCGGGAATATCGTCACTGGGGATGATAACCAAACGCAGGTCATTCTCAACCACGAAGCGTTGACCTACTTGGCTCACTTGCTCGGATCTCCGAAGGAGAGCATTCGGAAGGAAGCGTGTTGGACCCTATCCAACATAACGGCCGGCAACAGAGATCAAGTCCAGGCCGTTATCAACGCGAACATTTTCCCGGCGCTCATCAATATCCTGAAAACGGGCGAGATGAAATCTCGCAAGGAAGCTGCTTGGGCGGTGACGAACGCTACTTCAGGTGGCAGCCCCGAGCAGATCCGATACATGGTCAGTCAGGACTGCATTCCACCGATGTGTGAATTGCTGTCGCTGGCCGACGCCAAGATCGTTCAGGTGAGATTCTGGGGTATCGAGACTCTCCACCTCGTTCTGCTCCCGGAAAATATTCACTGGAATATTCACATGGTGTCACTCCAAATGATTCAAAATTAAAACTGTCTTCCGGTACAGGTCGCCCTCATGGGTCTGGAGAATATCCTCCGGCAGGGAGCGAACGACGCAATCCACACGGACGTGAACCAATACGCCCTCGCAATCGAAGAGTGTTACGGTCTCGACAAGATCGAGTACCTGCAAACTCATGACAACCAGGAGATCTATCAGAAGGCATTCGACATCATCGACAGGTACTTCTCTCAGGAAGGCGAAGACGAGGACAACGGTCTGATGCCGGACTCTGGCGAGACTCAGTTCCACTTCGGTGGCCCTACCGGTAGTTCGGAAGGCAATTTCCAGTTTTGAACTTGATGGTGAATCGTTTGACCTACGATCGTTAGCAATCCTAATCGACCGTCGAATGGAGCGGGATCGAATACAGAGCAAGCTTACGAGCGATGGTGCGCCGTATCCTTCTGATATGGCGACTGCGTCAGCTCACCATCCGTTTACCTATTCAATATATGCCTCTACGATCGCCTGAAACGTGAAAATAGGTGAAAGCATCTCGCGGAATCCACAAACATTTCTCCGACAAAAGAAACATCAGCCTTCACAACACTGAGACCACTCAGATATTGATGGTGATCATGACAGACAAATGTACATCTGTGCCGGCCACGACTACTACTTCTACTCAGTCGAGAGGAGCGTCGACGATGATTACGAGAGAAGAAGCTACAGGTACAACGACAACAGGAGCAACAAGCACAACATTGACATCAGCATCAACGACGGGGATAATCTTCAGAACAGAAGCTAGAAAACAAGACCTGGAATGATACACAGAAGCATAAACAACGACAACTGATGTTTAAAACAGAAAAACATTCACTGTGAGATCTACTTGTTCAGGTCGTGAAACAACAACATGAATACCAACAATAACTCCAAGCTACAGTAAAGGTGAAACAGTCCTCGACAACGCATCATCTCTGTAGATAGCACATGATGTGATACACGTACAGTTCACACAATGTTACACTATACATAACATTGTCAGCGGTCGCGGGGTTGCGCGGCGACACACGGCGAGGAAGTTTTGAGCGCGAAATAATGATTTTACAAGAGGAGCGAGGGGATTCCGACCTGCCGATTGCGTTTGGTCGGAGCTCGGCCTCGGAAGGAGAAGTCCTGGCTTGCCGTGGATCCTCGTTTAGTCAAATTGAGGACTAGCGTTCGATGGCCAGCATTGGCCGACCCTCGAATGCTCAATCTACCCAAGTTACCACGGGCTTCTCCTGCTTCAATACCGTCAGTCCCATTGCTGGATACAGTTAATAACGATACATTATTACACCAGATACAATGACGTCTTGATACGAAACCCACACAGCAGACAAAGTGAGACAAGTGACCTTCAAGGGTTTCCTCGACCCCTAAAACCATACCTTCTTTCCAACAACTGAACAGTTAAACAAACAAACAAACCAACCAAACAACCACCCACCATGCCAAAAGTGGTTCTGTGATATTTAGTCAAACAATTGAATCTTTCCTACAGCAGAACTATTACTACGACGACAATAACGACTTCCACACTATAACGCTACAACATTTTTTTTCTGCCACAGCGGAAGCCGTCGGGTCGATGAGCGATCGTCGGTCGTCGATTCGATGCAATCACGGCGAGATCGCTAGTTTGGATTGTGGGGAAGATTTTTTCATTTCGGAAACAGGTCGAATCATCGACTGTGACTGGGACGACGAAACGTGAGGCTAGCCCACTTTGTATGAAACCTTGGTTAAGTCATGCAATTCACGGTTAGCTACGAATGGGCGCGAGATTTTTCGGGATAGAGCTTTCGGAAGAGGAGGGAAGTGTGGCCATTGACTCGGGTTCGCTTCGGACTCATGAGAAGCGACTTCTCCGGGTAGGGTAGTCCATTCGAGCTGAAGACGGGGAACATTTCCCCCCGAGAATCGATTCCCTATCCGCTGGAAGAAACCGCAGTAGTTATTTTTGTGCGCGGTAACCAGCGTTCGCTTGGACGGTCGGCTCGACCGGTGCAACGGAGTCAATCAGCTTAGACAGGACTTACTCAGAGCGAAGTACTGGAGCCTGGCATGGTAAAATGGTATACATACACACATGAACAGACGTACACATCATAACGGACAGGGATTTACACCCAAGGGAGCACTCCCGGATCGAGGGCTGATCAGCGAAATCTGTTCAGACGAACGCATCGGCCTCGTGGCGGCCTGATATTCAGTGGGATCGCGAACAGATTCACCGGCTGTCCCGCGGGACGGGCACATAAGTTAATGTTACTCTTTAAGACGGGAGAAACCCGGTTGGGAAGCGCGACGCTTGGACGCCGCTGATAAATACGAGCAGCACAAACAGTATACGAGCGAAACATTTACCAATATACATACTACATCAAAACAGAAACGACCTGAATGATACGCAAATCGTGTACATGGATTACGGAGCACATCTGAACAAGAGACGGCGCGCAGGGGCATACAATCAGTGAAATAGAATAGATAGGGTTCATTCAAGTAGAATGCCGTTTGAATCCCCGATAGTTCGTTTCCCAATCGGCTACATTGCAGAGCGCTAGAACTGAGACGTGGGATCGTGTGTTTTGAGTTTCCGAGCAAGAAGTTGGAAAATTTTCGCATACTCACATCTGATAAAATCTGTACTCTAATTCGAGTTCTTCCGACGGTATTTGGAGAGAGGAAAACCAATTCAATTACAGGGATGAAATCGAAACCCGATGTATTGGTTGGAAGTTGGAAGACAATAAAGTTGAAATACCGATTGGCATTTCACTCGCATCTGTCGTTTCAGCTCGTCCCCCCATTATGAGTTCTACATGCAGAGATAATGAGCGATAGTCTCGAGGTTGTTTATTCCCTGAATTTTTACATGAAACGAACTGTAGGCTGCTTCGCGCAGCGATCACAGAGTCGTCGAGTATAATCTAGAGTGATCCCGCCGCCCATGATAGCATCATTTCTGCGCGGTCCGCTTCGATTCTTCCTCGTCTTGGCGGTTCACATCTTTGTGCCAATCCAAATTCATTTGGGCTACGCTGTATCCAGCCGCGCGTTCTTGCTTTCCGATATAGGTGCCGACGAGCATCCCCAGGATAGTGAAGACCGCGAAGTACAGGTTGCCTTTGATCTTGCTCACCGAGCGAGCTTTCTCCATGACAGCTTGTCTGATGGAAGATATCATTGTAGAACGATAATTACGGAAGCGGTCCTCGCGAAAAACCGCTCCATGTTGACAAACGGCCCTTACTTACGAAACGAATTCCGGCGCTCCGCCTCTGCGATACTTTCCGGCGAATACCAGGATCCATCTGTCGAATGAACTCGTCCTGTGTCGGTCGAGGTTATTCGTGTTCGGAGTAAGCTCAGGTTCCTTGGGGGTGACTGGAAGCAGATTGCTCGAGATATGATGTGATAAGGATTGAGGACATGGCTACAAATCTCGGCGAGACGCCGCGATCACGAATCCAGACGAGGTTCCTTACCTGATGAGGAGAGCCTCGTGGTAAAGGGAGCACGAGCTGCAATTGATCAGTCTTTAACATGTCTCTTGGACTCACTCGTGCTCATACGTAAAAATATGAGAGATCAGAATAATCGGTCATATCGTGGGCCGTGAGCCTAGGACTCGCGTTTCGATGCGAAAGAGAAGAGATTTCACTCACCCTGGATCCATCGACGCGATCCCGCCGTGATGACACGATTTATCAGCATTGCTGCAGAGAAAGATCGTCCCCTCATTCCTTTACCCACCAATCGTTACCAAGCTTCGAGCACCGAGAATACGTCAAGCTTCCCGATTGAATACTCGATTCTCGTCTTAAAATCTCTAGACGGTTTAGGCCATCGCTCGTGGATATGCTCATCCGAATCTTAGCCGCATATCTTCTCCGAGAGGCAAACCTGCGGATCTGTCACCGCATCGGAACAGCTGATGCCCCTCTCTATTCATCTGGATAAATTCTTGATAGCATCTCCCCTGAGAGAATCCCCGGCAGGGGAAGGAATTCATCGGGCTTGCCAGAAGCGCTACATCATTTGAGCGGCCGTGATGAAATATCAACTACACGGAACTCACTCTATGTTGGGAGAGTCGGAGCTCTTAGCTGCGCGCGAGATGTCTCCTTGAGGTCCCGTCTTGTTTTGTTTTGGTGGTGCTGCTCGGTTCGAGTTTTTCGAAATTGCTCCGAGTCGGGTTGGCTCTGCTGCTGCTTTTTCGAAGGTCGCGGGAATTTCCACTCCTGCTCCATCCCGAGCTTGAGCTTCGAGATCGTCCTGTCCCTGTATCGAGCGTACCGGTCGAATTTCCCTTGGCTGGATGAGCTGATCGGTATTTTTGTCGTGGGACGTTCATTGACTCCAGAGTCGCGTAGGAACGTTGATGAATTGCGGGAGTTTGAGGACTTGAAGAGAAGGAGGAAAAAATATGAGCTGCTCATGTGTTGCTGGAACTCGTTCGACGGTCACAGAGAAACATCGGAGCCCCTCAATTCTTCCCGTAAGAATGAAGTGCTCAGTGACTAATTCATTTTTCGATTCTCTTCCCCGTCCGACGGGCGAAGAAACCTGCCGCGCGCGATTCTCTGCGTTCACGGTATTGGGCGAAGCGAATTCCTTAGACTTGAATAGTCGACTCAAAATAGGAATGGGCTCCATCGGAGGGATCGCCACACAGTCCATCAAGCGGAAGAGGCAAGAACTCCGATCCAGGAACTGCGCCACGGGACCGCAGTGAGGGAATTCCGCTCGAACTTCCTACATGGACCCGGAGTTCCATATTCACCGGCGAGCTCGAGCTCTCAAGGAGCTTCAATCGCGGGATCGGTTACCCAGTCCTCTGACTGAGTGGTGCTCTGCCTGAAGTATTCATAGAGCTCGTTGGCCCGTAGTCGAGAATCCCACAACCGAACAGAATACTGAATCAGAGTCTGCGAATCGCCCGCAGCATAGATCATCGGCATCATTGAGTTTCCGCGTAGATTAAGTTTTACCATCGGGAACGCTCCCCCCGTCAATTCTCCCCGGGAATTCCCGGAGTACATGAGCTCCCGACGCGTCTCCTCTCGAATCAGTCAGGCCGGCATAATTCCACCTAATGCTTTCACGCCGACGACAACTGGCATATAATGGCGGCGCTCGCGCCTGACGACGACGCGACGACGACGAGCACCGCCGCCGCCGCAATAAGTAACGACGGTCAAGCCGGTAGGCGGCGCTGGCGTTGGAGCGATAGCAGAGCTCTTCCATCTTGATAGTTGGTAGTGAACGAAGCCCAGCACAGAGTGTTGTTGGCTGGTTGGTTCGTTGGTTGAGCGTCGGAGCTTCATCGGTCTCCTTGTCGGCCGCCGCTGGTGCAGCAGCGAAATCAGCAGCCGCCGTCGTCGTCGCCACCGCAGTTCGACAGCAGTTCGACAGAAGACTCCTAGCGGTAGTCCTGGAGTTAGCCACCGAGCTGACGAGTGAGTGACCAGCCGAGCGACTGACCGCCGGACCGACCGGTGTACGAGTTGGCTGACTGCGGCTGTCTGGCTGGCTACCTGGCTGCAACGTTCAGGAGACGGGACTGCCGCCTTTGGAAGGAAGAGCATTGGAGAGAATGACTTCGGACATGTCGAGTGAGTTAGTCGTCGTGTCGGCTCGGGAGAGAGCCTTTTGGCTGGACGGTTGGCTGTCTGTGGTGCGGGCCGTGCGAGGGTCGTCTGGGTAAGGGGCACGGTCCTCTGCAGACTCTCGCACTTGACGCCACCTTCCGCAAGAAGGGCGGTTGTCTCACCCCACACGGTCGCCGCCGCCTCCACCGCCGCCATCGACAACCCCTTACTTATAGGTACCTATGTACTTCTCTATTCCTCTGGCCAGCCCATGGCATCTTCCGACGCAGGCCAGCGTCGCTCTCGCGTCGCAAGGCTTAGCTCGACGGGGAGACGCAATTAGGCAGTATGGCTTTTTCCGCGACGAAACCAAGACTCAAACTATAGCAGATTACTTAGAATACATGCCAGGGACGTTTCAGCTCTAGGGGAACTTGAGTCGAACGCCCGGAAGGCACGGTGTGATGAGGTGGGGGAGGGGTGGGGGCATGGGGTTCGGTCTCCAGGCGGTATCGCGGCTTAGCTAGTCGGATGAATCGGAGGATCCGAGACGGGAGACACGATTTCCAATCATCGGTGACCTATGGAAAATCCCATGGAGAAGTCCGTGCTTCCGCCAGTCGATGTGCCTATCGTGCCACGGGGGATCCATCCTGGGGCTCGAGACAGATATGACGTGGAAGGCCGTGTCTAGTTACCGGATCTTGTCAGGAATTCGATTGCTTGTGATCAGGTACCGGATGAATGGTTGGACCCGACTTTGATCGTGGTCTTTTTTGAAGGTCGCTGACGAGGAAAATTGTTTCGTTTCCGCTCGCTCGTTGGATCGTCAAGATGTTGCGCGGGATTCCCACAAACTGAACTCTTCTCGGATCCTTACACGCATCATGCTCGCAATCGCGAGAGTGTGACCAGTATCTGAGTTCCTGTCAGAACACGGAGGACGACAATATCCCCCGGATAGACCGATGCTTCTGATCCGATCCTCCCTCCACATCGACGTGCACGAACCACCGCTCCACCGCTCGAGGTGATTGCAGCTGCCGTCGTGCGAAGAACCCCCGATGTACGGAAAACAAGATCTAGGACTCGATGCTCCGCGTATGACGGTGGCAAGACCTTCTGACAGCCGATTCCCGCTCTCCGGAACGATTCGCGGGGATATTTCTACATCTTCTTGGGTGGACTGGGGGACATGATTTTTTTTCGAAGACGGGAATACGGCTCGAAATTGTGCGCTCAAGCGGGCTCCTTCTCGGGATGGGACGAGGGGAGATCTGCTTCAATCCAGCGAATTTCTCTACGCAGCTGAACGACCGTAGATTGCAAATCATCGGCCAGACTTTTTGCATGGACCGAGATCAAGTAACAGTGGGCGAGGAAGGTTCTCGGCAGTGGGCATGCAGGCAGGCAGACAGACAAATAGTCGGTCAGATGTTCGTTGTTAGCAAACAGCCAGAAACCTCGCCCTTACTGGAAAGAAGTTTAGCCCACGAGTGGTGAAGAGGATTCACAGCGGCAAGTGTGACCTCCTTTCTGGCCAAGCTGCGTCTCGGCCTACGGACGCCAGTTCGATGCTTTGCTCGGGCCGTTCCACTCCGCCGGCAAAAAGCACCGAGTCAGACGGCAGCGGCAAGGAACGGCATTCGGGTCGTCGTCAATGCGGAACTTCTGCGTGAAAGTCAAAGCGTTGGAGAATGCGTTGCCGCCGCCGCCATCGTCGTCGTCGTCGTCCGTCGTCATCGGTAGTCGTCGGCATCAACAAGCAAGCTGCCGACCGACCGGTTGCTTGGCTGGTTGGCGACTTCCGCCTGCCCGGCCGTCCGGTCGAGCGCCGACTTCCTTTCTGCGTTGTCCAGGAGTCGCGAAGAAAAAAACACAAGATTCAGCGACGTTGCGAGAGCGCTCCTGAGCGAATTGGGAGGAACTGAACTCCCTCCCCTCAGCTGCCGGCTCGCTGCCACTCAGAGCTGAATTTTCGTGTCGACAGAATTCATTTGACTGAGACATCGACCCGCGAAAATTCTGCGCACTGAATAAAACGGGGATCCCGCTGATTTTCGATCGGCGTCTCCGGTCCCACGTCTAAACTCCGGATGCGGGACCTAGAAATGGCTCGCTCCAAAGCATTGTTGCCTTGTTGTTCAGAGAAATCCGACACTGTGATTAGATTTCGCAGCGGTCTGGTTCCATTTTCCCTTTACGGTTCTATCCTTAAGATTACTGCTCGAGTCGTCTTCATCGAGGCGACTTCTCCTCACCGAGTATGATAATCCAGCAATCAGGATCAGGGCGAGGAATCTCTGGAGCTCAGCTCATACTCAGTCGGTAATCGTGAGTCACGAAATCATATCGACGAATACTTGCAGAAATAAAAACAAAACCTGTATCGCCCGGAATCAAGTCTGAGAAATCCGTGTTCTCGGAACTCGATTCGTACCATTGACTTTGTGTCTCGAGTTCGAGCAACTTGGGGATGATGCATCCTGATAGCGCGATCGTGATTGCGGTGACGCGTTCGAGTCGACGCGGTGTTTCCTTGGGGGCACCACTCGTCGACGGATTCGACGGACTCGACGGACCGGGCTCGAGTTGGTGTGCGAGCGAACGAGCGAGCGAGCGATTGAATCTCCATCTGAGTTGACCAAGGAGCGCAGGGGCGAGCAGGCGAGCAGTCCCCTCAGAGTCGGAGCCCTGATCCGTGTTCCTGTGTCCAGGGGTGGAGTGGTTGTAGGAGCTGGCTCGGAGCCACTGCTGGTCGCATATGGCTCGCTCCCCGAGTTGGGTCCCTGTGTGCTCGGCGGCCAACAGCGAGTAGAAAAGGTGGTGTCGAGTTCGAGGGACGCCGGCTGGCTGGCTGGCGGGCGGGCTCGTTGAGTGGGAAGGAAAGCAGCCCGAAGCCAGCCAAGAGGGACCCACCAGAGACGCACCGACAGAAGGATGAATGAATGGATGAATGAATGAGTCTGCCAAAAGCAGCTTCTCTCGCGCTCTGTTCTGAGTTGGCGTTTTGTCAGCGCATGCGCTGATCTCAGCGACCCAAAGCTATGCGGGGCTCACTGTTCCCGAGAGGCCTTTAGAAAACCATCATGGGTTCGGCTTGACGTAGGTCGGCGCCTCGAGCCGCCAGCGACTGGAAACGTCAAGCGGAGGATAGAGTTCGAACGTGACGAAGACGTGGAGGTGCTAATCGATCCGAGGTTAGTGGTGTACGGCGCCAGAAACGCGGGAGTTGGCTTGGTCGGTTTGCCTCACTCACTCGCTCGCTTGCTAGCTAGCTCAGTCAGTCGAACAGTCGGGTGAGGCCACTCGGTGAGAGAGTAGAGTTCTCCTTTCTTGGGACGGCTAGGGATTCTCCTTCCCTCAACGACGTCCCTCTCTCTGAGCCAGGACACCCTCAACACTGTGAGTTCCTTTCAACGTCAAACAGCAAAGTGAAACCCCCTTCAAGTCGACCAGAAATTCATTCCAACCGCGAGCCGTCACTAGTCTCTGCGAACCGATGACTCTGAGCTCGCTCCCAAGGACGCCCCAATGTTAGGCCTAACTTGGCTTCCCCGGTCTTTGTTGTCGCCTGAGTTCGTCCGAACTCCCGATAAATAAGCGCTAACTCGAAATATTCATCTTCGTTCCCTCCGTTCCTTGTGGCTCCAGCTTGAGAGCACTCGCCCATTTCCCTGTACGAGGGACGAATCCGCCTCGAGCCGAATTTTCCTGCCGACGCCGACGGCTGGCGCGGTCCTGTCCTCCGTATTCCTCCGGTGGCAGCGGGATCGTCTCCAATGATTCCGCGTTCTTAGCATCTCGACAACCAGATTACTCCCAATTTGCTACGAAGTCCAGGTTCCGCCGTCCTCCGGCATGATGCACAATCCCCCTGTCGAGAGACTCTGACTGTAAGACTTGTAGGGGGGGAACCGAGAAAATGGCGCCATTTGCAAAGGGCATCGTCTCTTCGCCCCGAGACTCTTCTCGCTGCAACCAGCTCCAATCGACGAAATCGTGGTCGAATTCTCCGTTGTCCCAACAGCGACCGATTAGGAAATGGCGCACTTGTGGTCGGTCGACCACTGAGTCGGACGAATTCGCGGGAAGCCGTCTGAATATTCGACTCGGATGAGCTTTATTTCAGCCGTTTGAGGAGTTTCCTCTTGGTCGAGAAGGGCTCATTGAGCTTTGTAGAGCTCCATCGACGTCGCACAATCCACAAACGCGACTTGTTCCAAATATATCAGCATATGTGTATGTTTCCTTTCTTCTTCCGCTCGGGATTTGAGCCCCAGAGTCGAGTTTTGGGACACTGAAGTCCGCTCGCTCATCGCTCGACCAAAGGAATGGGTTTACGAATGGATGGCCGGCTGGTCGCTGTGCCGAATGTCGAGGCAAGGAGATTCCATGGACCTTTCCCGTAGACCTTCCTCGTGTTCAGTAGAAAGTGTCTGCGTCCACGTGCTCGTGTGTTTTGTCCGCTGAGAGTGTATGGATGAAAGGATGAGTGAGTGAGCGAGTTAACAAACTCCTTGCGGTCATAGACTCCTTTCTTCTCCACCGAACTGAGTGTCGAGCGAGGGAGCGGACGAGCCGGCGCTTGGGAGGGTTCGCAGGCAGGTCGACCATCCGATCGGCTGACAGGCAAACATTTCCCCCTCCTCGACCTCCTCCTCCCTCAGAGAAATCCTCGTCACTTTGGTCGTTGTCGTCGTCGTCGTCGACTACAACGACAACGACGACAACGGCAGCAGCAACAATATCATCATCATCACCAGCAGCGGCAACAAGAACTGTGGCAGTGGCGGCCGCGAGAACTCCCTTCTCAAATAGCGAGGGCGCAAAACCTTCTCGCGAACCCTCCGCGTCGTCGTGGCCGATGCCGTCGTCGTCGGCATCACCGTTTATATCCCTACTAGCAGGCATCGAGTTTTGTTTCTGTTGGATTTTGTGTCCGGTCGTTTTCGACGATGCTCGGCCTGTTCAGCTGGCAACTCGAAATTATCTCCGCTCGTGAAGAGCCTCCGATATGAATCGCTGGGCTCTTGTTTTATTTTTCTCCGTTTATCCGATGCTTCCGGTACATGCTCCGATGACTTCCCTAGATGGGTTTCGTTTTCCCGGAGTTTTCCTCGGAGTGTTCCTGCGACATCGACTTGTGCATACTGTTGTTCGTTCAAGCGGCAGTCAGAGCCGTCGACTAACTACCTAGACAGCCGTACCGCTCTGTACCGGTACCGCTCTGTTTGCCTTCCAGTCTGGCGATTCTGTTCATCGTTTAATATATTTCATCCGCTGGCTGTCGACGGCCTTCGTTGCTAACTTCGTAGAGACCAGCGCTGCGCTACTCTCAACATCGGGAGAGCTGACTGTGTGTCTTTCGCTAGCTCGCCGCTCGGCTGGTATCTTACGGGGATTTCTAGCTGGCTTCATAGCTATCAAGCCTGGCGGAGAGGCACGTAGCCATCGAAAGAAGCAACGAGCGTTGGCTGCTGCTCGGTTGTTAGGGCGTTCGCTGCTCAGTCAGCTCGCCTCGCTCGCTCGCTGGTCGATCGCTCGGTCGGCCGGCTGGCTGGCTGGCTGGCTGGATGGCTTGTCGACTGGATGACTTGTTGTTGGAGGCCCCGCGATGTCGGTCGCTAGCTCGCTGCTTCGGTCGGTCGACGGTTGCTAGAACGCTCGCGTCGATTCATCGCTCGCTCGCTCGCTGACTGGCATTGACTGCTTCCACAATATTCTCGTCAGTTCGCTTGCTGGCCGGTCGGTCGGCCCAACCGCTGAAGCTGCTCCGTCGCTCGTTGCGTTGCTCGCTGGCTCGTTCGGCAGCCAGACCGGCAACCACGTCGCAGGCAGCGACTGCCATGACGTCGTCGCCATACAACGACGACTTAACCTCCGGACTGTTTGGCTGACAGCCGCCGCCGCCGTCGCCGATGACGAGCAACCGAACCAAGCAACAGAATAGATGTTGTTGTTCACGACGATTGGCTTGGCAGCAGACTGGTGGTTCGCTTCTTTTTCCGTCAGCAGCCGCAGCAACAGCAAGGTGAATGCTGAATTCGCTGTTGGGCGTAACGCTACCGCTGGATGGCTCGTCTGCCGTTCGCTTCCTCTCGGAAAGCACTGCCGCTTGCCGGCGACCGTGTTTGGTAGCGGCGACGAAGACGGCCGCGATAAGCACAACACAGACGGACCGAGCGAACATCCAACGGACGACGAGGCATAAGTAAAGAGGACTTTGGACGACGACTCACGCCGTCTTGGCATGCCATTCGATTCTGGTCGAAACTAGTCCGACCCTCGGCGGCGGATAGGAGAGCAATTCATAGCAAACTCCTGGAGCGTCGTGAGCAGATTAGAAATCGCGAGGAATGTCGATGACTGCGAAGCTTCCAATCGATAAGGGAACGAGTTTTGAGTCGGTTCCTTCCCGCATCGAAATACGCTTATCCGTTCTAGAAATAAAGACCCTTGGAAGGCAGTCCCTCCAATTGACGCAACCAGAGTGAGCGCTGGGATATTTCGCCGGCTGAATAGTAGGCGAGTGGATGATGGAGTTTTGAGCAAGAGAAAAAGGAAAGACTCCGGCCGTGATGCTGTCGGGAGACTAATCGTGGTTTGAGCGATACATGCTCACGACGGAAGAAGATCGATCTGCGATCGCGGAAAGAATCGTCTGACTGTTACAAGCAGACGGAAATGTTGGCTCCAACAACGACATCAGCCCGACGCCTTTACATTGTTGTCGAGGCACCGCGAAGTTTCCTCGATGACTGGCTCTTGCGCCTCGTGGCGCAAGGATCCGTCATCAATATTCTTGCTCATAGTCGTATGACTTTCGGATTGTGACGTCATCACTCGTGATTCCTCGCAGACGAGGCGACAGAGACGAGCACGGAATGGCATGTGCTCGCATTTGGCAGTCTCGCGAAACTGGGGAAAATGCCAGTCAATGGGTTGTGGGTCTCTTTGCAGGATTAGGAGTTGATGCGTCCTAGGATCATCGAACTGTGATGCATTCACTTTTCAGTCAGTCACTGCTTGCTGGCTCCAGAACGCCTCCTGACAGGTCCTATCTCTGGAATCCTCCGAACTTCATTTGAGTCCGCGAGTCTAAATGTTAAACCAAATTGTGATACTGGTGTTGAGTCTGAGCCCCCGAGAACCTCCGAAATTGGTTCATCAGGGATTTTGAGTGACAGCGGACGACAAAAGAAGGCGCCTCGGGGTTCGAGACCCCTTCTAGGACGGAGCCACGATCTTCCCGTCGATGATGAATTCGAACTATTTTCCTCAACATGCCCCGTGTTCTCGATGACCGGAACTCATACCTCGTGAGCGGAGAGAAGTTTCGGGGAAACGAGAGCGCTCGGGAGCGCTCCCGCAAAGATTCGCGTCTCCGGTGTCCTTGAGTTGGGCGAGACCCAGCCTCAAGTTTGACAGTTTTCCTTCCCCAGATCGTGCTCACGCTGTTGTTATGGTTCGCTATTTTGAAGAAGCACGTGCTCGGACTGTCTTTGAGCGTGGGGAGGAGGTGTCGTTGTCGTTGTTGTTCAAGGGAAGAGGAGGCTAAGGAGGAGGGAATCATGAGGTAGAGAGATGGCCGACCAGCTGACTGGCGGTCTGTCGAGGGAGGGGACGAGCGATCGGCACACTTCATGCCGGTAGAGAGACCGAAAGGCAGGCGAGGGAAATCAACTGAGCGAGAAGATGTGCCCATGCTGCTCGGACCACGAACACCAGCACAGCCGAGGGTCTCTCGATGCTGTTCCCATCCGACTAAGTTTGGTGGCGATGGTGATCATGGTGGTCGTCGCGGTCGTGGACTGTGGAGGAGAGACCCACTCCAGGGGAAGAGCTAAGGAAAGGGGAACTTCACCATCGCCACCAGCACCGCTTGTTGCAGCAGCGGCAGCAGCAGCCGTTGAAGCATCGAACAATCGCGTAACCCCATTTGGGGCGAGGAACCGAATTTACCTCACCCTCTAAAGAATGGGCGAAGAGCTCACAGCATGAGAAAGGACATCGGAGACAGCTGGATCGTGGTAGCGCTAGGCAGTCTTTGGCGACGCGAAGGGAGAGTCAGCTGATCCCGAGACTCCGCGCACTTCTGCTGGGAATACCCATCACCCAGAGGAGCCCGAGTTTCCTTTATGGCGCTCCGCTCTGGAGACCCATGCCGGCCTTGAGGAATCGAGATGACATCTCGCAGTCGATCAGGCCCCTTGGGAATCCGGCGAGGGCCCTGAAAATAGATTAGTGGTGGCCTGACGGACTACCGAGTACCTGGTCTCGCTCCATGATAGCTCGCACAAGATGTTAACTAGTTGAAAATTCATGCTTTCAGGCGATCATTAACACATAGCGAATACAAAACGAGAAAGACAGAATTCGCCACGATGGCGGATATCAGTGGTGACACCACCTGATACGAACCGTATGTAAGAGCCTGGAAATTCAGAAAATCTTGGGCTTTAAGTTCCCTGTTTTACCTGCCTCCACGAAGGGACCTCTTCGTTTTCATATGAGTTCTGCCTGCTCGTTTACTCGTTTCGTTCCGTTCGTTGTCGAGTTGATTCGGCAGGGGTGAGAGGATAGGGATTGCTAGACTCGTGGAGTTGGTCCCCCGATCTCCATCCTCCACAGACCCTTGCTCGTCTCCGCAGACGACAACCTATGATTTGCCTGTAGCTTTCCTTTTGCTTTCGCAAGAAAGCCGTTTGCTCTGCATCGAGTGAACGCTGCTCGCGTAAAATGATGATTTCCGGGCACCGCTAAGCGTTGACAGTAATTATTTGTGACACACAACAATCGTTTCAAAGTTTTTTAGCGTTCGGCGTATGGGTCTTCCTCCTGATTTCGGCGCATTGAGTTGAGTCTGGAATTTCCACAGAGGGCGAGAACTCAAGGCTTATCTCTTTCAGGATTCGAGCAACAGCAACAGACTGTCCAGGGCGGCCAATTCGTTCCAAAATCAGAACCAGTCGACGAGGTCATAGATCAGAATCAAAACAACACATCGGTCGTCTCCGCGGCCAACACTGGCGACGCCCAGATCTATAGGTAAGACAAGTTCTTATTTACCCGTTACCGATTAGTGAATGGGTTCGACGGTCACTGAGCCTGGCTGCATCCTAGCTCAGTGTCATGTTGAGGGCGGATCGCAATTATCGTCGCGCTATCTGGCGGGAGACTTGGCAATCTCTTCCCCAAGCTCTCTTACTCTTGGCTCAGTTTCCCATGCGTACGGTACTTAAGATTTCGTTTGCTCAGTTTCGTATTCCACCTTCGTTTGCGGCAGCATCATGAGAGCGAAAATTTTCCCCGCTCATGACCGGAGCTCAAGAGCTCCCGAGTTATCCCCATGGGTCTCGGAGACGCATTCGGAAATCTGGTCGCGTGTTGCAGAAATTCTGTCGGAATCTTTTACGATTTTGTTGACGTTTCTCAACGGCGAATGTTCTCTCTATGATATTCGGGCTTCTGACTTTTTCGTTTCGACGCTGACGGCTGCAGTCTTTAGTTCTTTTCTAGTTATTTCACGAAATGCCATACTTCCTAATTTCGGATCTTCCTACTTTCGTATACGACCGGAGATCTGAGCGCGAGAGCTCTCCGGCCCCGTTGTCTGTGCTGTATCCCCGCCAAAATAGTAGGTGTTCTCACTTCGGCTATCTCGACTCGACTCGTCGGAATAATTTCCATGTCCGACTCCACAACTTGACTGACAGATACCGGCGCGAGTTATCGTGAATCACTGCGGGAAAGAATGACTTGAGAAAGGGTCGGCATCGCACAATACTTTGTAGAACGTGTCTCTGCACTCCATTGCTGTGTGAAGTGTGTGCGTGACTTTCCAATCGGTACATGATAGATTGATTGGTTGGTTGGTTGGTTGATTGATTGATTGACTGCTTAGTTGCCTGGTTATCATTCTTTCTCGGAATCTATTGAGGGGTTGTAGCATTGACGAAAATCATTATCAGAACAAACAGATCATTGAGGCGGTGGACTAAGCAGCGAATAGCCATCCATGCCATTCGATCCGATCCCTTCCAATCCGAATCGGCAACCTCCTCGAGAGAGCGAGTTAGCGTTTCTGATCGATCGATCGGTCCGTCGGTCTGTTGACCGGTCAACTGATCCAAAGATGCGTGAACGCTGGTGCTCCCGGCAGGCAGAATCATCTATTCGGCTGAAATCCGCGCCTTAGCGCGGTTGTCCTCGTCACTTGACTGAACATGTGCTCCTCGCGGAAACTTCAGCGTCGAACTTGTCTTCATCAGTCTCCGAAGAACCGCCTCGAGACCACAAGAGTGACCCTCGAGTCGGTCGATACTGAGCTCCTCACGATAATCTTCGACTCGAGGAAAAATGCGGGCAGCGCGATTTATGTACTAGTAGAATCAAGGACAGGTAAGGTCTACTGTCGAACCCCGACTCACTCATCGAACTCTAGCGTCGAAAAAGACAAGCGAGGAGTTTCACAAGGGAAGCGCTCGAAGAAATGACGGACGTTCTCGATGAAACAGGACGTCGAGCTCAAATCGCCCAACAACGGTCTCCGGGTGCTTGTCGATTACCGCCACGCTCCGAGGGATCGATCCGACCCAATCGATATTGCGTCGATGCCGGAGATTCCTTCTGATGTTGTGCCCACGAAGCGACGGCAACTCGCCTGCGGCCCGCAGGGTCCGAGATTTATTGTTGCAAAATCAGTGAGGTCCGATCGCTTGCCGCGTACCGTACCGCGTAATCATGCTACTCCGCCTTTCATGTTACAACAAACCCAATTACCTGTTTGCCCATCCCAGCATGTATTCTCGCACATTGCTTCCATTCTCTCCGGGGTCCTTCCTCATTACCCCTGAAATCCGGTCTCGTGTCGTATAACACCGTACCTATCGGTCCATTGCTTCGAATCGATAATCATCGTACAATGGAACAGAAGAAGAGCCTGAGAGAGAATGGAACTAGGTCGGTTTGGAGAAATTAGAAGAAAAAAGTTTGGGAATCATTTGTAGAATTGTTTTGAAATCGATCATAGCCTTCTCATTCTGAGATGGATGGTTTGTTTTTGTATGGAATTATTTCATTCGCGCGAACGCAGTCTGGAGCCGCTCGACTCCTACGGCGAAAAATCGTTTCCGGAAGAAGTTTCAATGGGGTTCGAGAATCGTCAGGCTTTCGCTTCCAACGATGACCGAATCATCGTCGGCTCATCGACTTCAGGGAACCGCGGTTCCTCATGGCTCCTTGGAAAATATTTCAACATCAGCACCGATTTTCCAACGGAAAGCGATCACTGAGCCGGATCAGTTTGGAAAATCAGAGCGATGGAGGAACAAATCGCTCTCGAACTGCATCTAGAGAACTGCCGGAAGCGCCAGCAACTCTCCGCTCGTTCGGGCCGCCGATCAGACCATGGATTTGTGTGATCGCTATCCCGCCGCCACTCCCGATTGTTCTGGAGTCGTTTCCTTTTCTTTAGGAAACGGGTTTTCTCGACTGAAAAAAAAACAATCTGTTGAACTCTCGCATCGATTGGTTGGGTTCGATTGAGCCCTAACATGCGGTTCTAACCTGTGCTGTGATCCCACCAGCTGACCTGTGTCGATGACGGACCTTGTTCGTCACCGCCACCCAGAGACAGATCGTACACTGCCTCTCTGTCGTCGGCGAAATAGTCATCGAGATTTGAACGATAACATTCGAGATGAACAAGTCAGAACAACTACTCCGAGTGGTCAGCATAGCGACGTTCGTTGTTATTCACCGACGAGTTTTTTCGTCGCCTCTTGTGTTCTCTGGTAAAATAATTTCGTTCTGTATCTACACGGTTTCATTACTTTCTGATCTTGCCCGTTTGACTTCTTCCCCTCCGCGCTTCAAGTCGACAAGCTAGCTAGGAGCATCCAGCTGCCAACTGGATGATAATCGCGAAGCAGCTTGAACCCGCATTCGTCATACCGTGGCGAGAAACGCCAGGCCACCTCCGCCCTCGGCGCTGCGCTAGAAGAAGCACGACACAGTCAGGATGCTTCAGGCATGCTTTCACAACCGCGTCGAAGTGCACCATCTCGACGTCGGTCCTCCTGAGTTATTCGACGCGGAAGGAGCTCCCCTACATGTGATTTGGCTCCTGAAAAACTCTCGGTTTCACCACGGAGAGACCCCGGGAAAACTTCTGGCTCCAGCGACGGCGAGGACAACGACTCCGCAACCGAGGACGATTTCATTATGCCACAGATGCTAATGGAGCTCTTTACGTTGATTATGATTTCGTTTCGGATTGCGATTATCACCTTCTCCACACTTCATCCCATGCTGCACGTGTGAATTTTCGTTGTTTCCCGGGAGCGTTTTGATTGAGTTTTTCATCCTCTTACCACGACCTGCTTGATGATGACACGACGACGATGATGATGATGATCACGATCATCAGGGTCGTATCGACCGACTGCCGACCCCAGACCATCTCCTGCACGCTACCGTTATCTCTCTACCCCCGATTGGCATGAACCACCGCGAGGACCCTGCCGCATTTCCGCATTTAGTGCGCACTCACACCCAGCAAAGCGTTCTGACCGTTGAGGTCTGTCTGACCTTTTGGGCGAGTTGACCGTTTCAACAAAAGCACAACTTTCAGGCGGCGACAACAGCGCAATTCCCAAAGCAAGCAGCAGCCGCCAACATCGCCCTCTCGAAAGAAATCAACGCGCGCGCAATCGCCCCCATCGTCGAACTTGATTTCGTCGTCGTCCTCTCACGTCGACGACATCGACCACTTAGGCAAATCTTCGCGGATAATCTTCGCCGAGATGGACTCTTCGGCTTCGTCTTCGTCGCGGGGGCAGGCGGCCGAAAGGTCCGAGGTCCAAGTGACAGCGACCGTTCATCGGTGTCCTCTGTGTCCGTTTTTCACGGAATCCGTGACGGACTTCTGCCGTCACATGTGCGTCCACACGGACACGGACGCTGCGACCACTTACGACCAGCAGCACCAGCGACCCGAATCTACGACGGCGAACGACCCGCCGGAGATCCCCGATCAGAGCGGCCAGTCCGCGGACGATAAAGAGGCTCAGGCCGCTCAAGTAGATGCCGACGGGGGCGGCGACGATGACGACGACGCAGTCGCCCAGGTCGAAGCCCAGTCCACGCAAGTGGTCGTGACCACAGGCGAGGTGGGCGAGGTTGTCACCACGGTCTCGGACGGGTCGTCCTTCTGCTGCTGCGTGTGCGGCTCGAACTTCTCGAACGGAGAAGAATTGCAAAGCCATCTCCGGGCGCACACCGAGTCCGCCACCAGTATTTTGGCCTGCTCCGCTTGCGGTCTAGTATTCACCGATAAGGACGCTCTCGATGCCCATCTACCGACGCACAACGGAGAGGCCACAGGCAACTTATGCTGGGTGTACACCACGGCCGACGATAAAGATCTCATAAGTGGAGGAGGGCCCGACACGACGACGACATCGGTCGTCTTGTTGACCGGTAACGGCATCACCCACATAGCAGACCCTTCCTCGTCCCTCCAGCTCAAGTCGAGCTCAGCGTCAGCGGGCACCAGCAGCGGCGGCAACGCATTACCGCACACGATAACCATCGAGCAGGTTTCAGCGGGGGCGGCACCGGTGGCGGCGTCGACTTCGGCAGCGACCTCGCAGCAAGAGAGCTGCTCGACCCAGGTGACGGCGACAGCTGTTTCAACATCTGCACTCGCCCCGACCACCACGCAGATCACCACGGTGCCGGTGTCGAGTGTCGTGCAACGGCTGCAACTGGCCACGGTGACCCCCTCGAACACGACGGTCGTGTCGAGCAGCTCGTCGGTCGACGATCCCGAAAGCCTCACTTGCGCCGTATGCGATAAAACGCTGCCGGACAAGGAGCAGCTGGAAGTTCACATGAACAGTCACGCCGGGGAGAGACCGTTCCTTTGCACGATCTGCAACAAGTCGTTCAGCCGTCGGGAACACATGGGCCGCCATATGCGGACCCACACCGGAGAGCGGCCGTTCAGTTGCTTTACGTGCAACAAGCGCTTCAGCCGCAAGGTGCATCTCGAGTCTCACATACGAATTCACACTGGGGAGAGGCCGTACGTCTGCACTTTGTGCGGCAAGGCGTTCGGACGCAAGGAGCACATCGAAAGACATGTCAGAATCCATACGGGAGAGCGATCGTTCATGTGCGGCTCATGCGGTCGCGCGTTTTCACAAAAAGTGCATCTTGAGAACCACGCGAGAGTGCATACCGGTGAACGACCTTTCCAATGTGTTGCTTGCGGAAAATCCTTCCGGCGTCGAGAATACATGAAGCGCCACATGCGCACCCACACTGGAGAACGACCGTTCCAGTGTAGCACTTGCGGCAAATCGTTTCGACAGAAGAGCCACGTCGACCGACACACTCGTACCCATCAGCACGCTGGCGGCATCACGGTCACGTCGACGACGTCGACCGCTACCGTGACCTGCGACGACTCGCAACAAGTCGTGCACGTGGACACTCACGAGGAAATCCTCGATTCCATGGAAGAGGAGGAAGAAGACGAGGATGAACCTGCAGAAATCGATGACAACGAAATGGAGCCAGAGGCCGAAGACGAAATCGATGCCGCTGGCCACCGAATAGTCGAAACGAATAGTCACACCATCACTTTGCAGGCTCATGCCGATCTTCCAGCGACCCTTCAGGGAACGCAGGTGATCCACGTGTCGCAGCAGGACATGGAGCAAATCCAAGCGGCTGCCGCCGCTGCCGCCAGCGCTGGCATGGAGAAACCGAAAGTGATTGTTCAAGCCGTTCCGGCTGCGGGCAATTCATCGAATCACTCTTCCCAACAGAAAGTCCGTCTCGTGGCCGAAATGGTGTTGACTTGCGCGACATGCGGAAAATCCTGTTTCAGCCACTTGGACTTCCAACAGCATTTGCGATCACATCTCTCGGCGGGAACCTCTCACAGCGATCAGCAATTTGTCGCCGTTGTGGAAATCGATCCTCCGCCGTTTGAAGAGGGCGGTCAGCTCGTTTTGACCGACGCATCGGGACAGTTCACACAGATGCAACTGACAGGGGAAGCTGTGATTCAGGATGCCGATGCTCTGCTCAAAGATGATTCGTCTCCTTAAGGAAGGGACCGTCGTTTCTAACGGGATACCAATGAAGAAAACTAGTCATTTTTGTTGAACTTCATTCGATCGAGCGCTTGAACAGGATCGTTAATCCGGAAGATATGTAAAATGATTATAATTATTCACGCCTATCGAGAGGTCTCGAGTCGACCATGTAAGAACCCAGGTACGGGAGGACACCCCTTGAGTACTTCGATACGACTCAAACTCCGAGAGCAGCTCGTTACATCACCGACCTTCGATGCTTGATTCGAGCTGGACTTGAGGTTGGTCCCTCGTGCACTGCTCCTCCTCCGCTGCTCTCACAGCAGTACCCTGGTCACATGTAGCGAAAATAATTTATCGCTTGTAAAGGCCATCTTTCCGATCTGGCCAGATAGGATCCCAAGTTCAGATACGCATCCAAGCAGACACGCCTCGTTCTCGGACTTTGAATGTTCTCATTTGTTTTTTATTCATTCATTTCGTTGAGTTTCATGCTATAGGAACTTGCCTTGGGAGGCTTTTCCCCGATTGAGACGGGATGGAGTCTCTCGGAGGAAGAGTTGGTCCGAAGTTTCGAAGACATCTATAGCATTCTTCGCATTTGATCCCTCGTGTGATAAGACAGTGTATACTGATTCGAAACCGTCTATGCGAGGCTCCCATTTGATCCTTAACGAAGATTCAGCAACACTAGGCTCTTCAATGTTTTATAGAGGCTCGGTCACCCTTATCGACTTTTTCTTGAAGATCCCCGACTTTCTAGTTTTTGAATCTCTCTAAGTTCAATGCCGTATAATAACGATCTACTGCCTAGTCGACGGTCGTGCTTATCTTTCACTTCTGCAATTTTGTTGCTATACCTTGTTCATTTTTTCGGAGTGTTCTGCACACGTAACGTGAGGGAATGCTGCGCTTTTTGCATATTCCATCGGGCTGGGAATGTTTCCCACAGGTTTTCTTTTCGGGAGTCGTTTCTGAGCATACGGTGGTGGCGGTGAGAGAATGCCCACTATATTAGATAACAAATTGACGTGTCTATTTATTGATGTCTTGGAATGTCTGTCTATCTCCCTATCTATCTACAGAAAACTCTATCTGACTCATGACAAGTCATCTATCCATCAATTATCTCTACTAGTCCCACAAACAAAAGATTTTATTGTAATGAAAATGTAAGAAGATAGGGCGCATTGTACTCACTTTTAAGGCTGGGGAATGTTCCCCAAGATTTATATTCAATATATCAGTGTTTACTGTAACGTTAGTTGGAGAATCAGAGCTATAAGCGGTCAGGTCTACAAATCGAATGAGCTGAAGCTCTGCCAACAAGCGGAGTTTGCAGGACACGAACGCGCTTGGCTCCCTTGTGGCTTCTGAGCCTCGGGAGTTCAAGAGAGTATTTTTGACACAATGAATCAGCTCTGCCAATCAGTCCGCAGCCTGGGATGCACGAAACGATGGCGCGACAAAAGCGAACTCTTCCGCAAGTCTTGAGAGCTGCACCGCGCTTCGCAGAGATTGATGTAATTGGAGAAAAACTCTTGGCAGACCCACGGTCTAAGTTAATGTGAACTCAGTGATTCGATCATCGGGTTGTTTGCGAGAAATCCCTCGAAGTCATATGCTATTGAAACGATTGTGAACTCGAGCTAGAGCTCATCTAGAATTCGGAACGACGATGATCACCGGCTCACGTACAAGATTGGAGCGAAGTCTGATGCGTTTATATGGATGGACCCATAAATATGAAATGGAAGCATGACCATGACGGAGGGAAGCTCGTCACTAAGTTTCCATGGAATGAATATAAATAAATCATAAGGAACGGAAAACGAATCGTTCTTGATGTTGCTTCTCACACAATCAATCGAATATGAATTCATAAACATAAGCATGCTCTGCAGCGGCGGTCCCATCATAGGTACCTTGTGAGGGGAGTTGAGGAACGCCAGATGAATTACTACTGGATCATCAGCCCGATCAAAGACGGATTCGAAGGAGTCAATATCCGCTCCATGAATCAAAGACGAGCCGGAAACCTTGTGGTTCATGATCAGGATGCCCGAAACCGCAGTCCTAGGACTGAACTCTCAATCTGTCGAGTCGAGTTCAGTGGAGCCGAATCTAGAAAGCGAGAACACACGGAGAGAACAAGCCAAGTTATTCCCTCGAAGGCCACTCATTCCTTAATTTGCGCTTCTGCTCTTTGAAGCGATCGCTATCGAGCTTGTAAGTAGTTACGGGAGGTTCGATCGCGGAAAAAATTCTCTTGGTCACACATCGTAATGCTTGCTTGTAGGATGAGCGAAGACGGCTCGAAACTCATGGGTGCCTTGAAGGGAACCGGCGGTCAAGAAGGTCAGATGGTCGTGGAGACGAGCTACCAGGGTGGTGACCAAATCACCACACAATCCCAACCGCAGAACAACGCGATAGCTCAAGCAATGGCTGCGGCCGAACAGGATACTGAAGCGGAAGCTGCTGGACAACAGCAGCTGGTCATTCACGCAGACGGCCAGAACGAGGAGCAGTCGCAGTACGTAGTCGCTACGGTCACGACCACGCTCCACGTATGTGCCATCTGCGGGAAGGCTTACACGCAGAAAGACGGCCTGGAAGAGCACATGCAGAGCCACGCCTCCAGACTGCACAGCTGCAGTTTGTGTGGCGCCATCTTCATCGACAAATCCCATCTAGACGTCCACATGAGGCAAACCCATTACACGACAGGTGAGTCCACGCTCAGAGCGCCACTCTATATCCGACTCTCGTGATGTACTCGTACTCGAACTGGAGCTGGAAGCATTTTGAAGTAGGCGATCCTTACGATGGTCAGGGAACGGATCTTCGTCCGGAGGATTCCTAACTGATCCGAAACCCACTCAATGTGTTTAGACAGATCTTTTTTCATCGAGTGTATTCCGGACCTTTATTATTCTGAATCGAAGTGCAAGCTAGACCGCTAACTCTTGAGACCGACTCACTAACATGAAACTCGTTACTAACCGCAACTAATCAGGCAAACATGAGCCCATTGAGACCGTAACAGAAGAAACAGCTACGGAAACGACAACCGTAACCCAAACGACAGCAACGACATCTGCTAGAGCGCAAGGCGCGACCACCAGGAGCTCCACGGCCAACAACAACTCGAACACTAATGGCGGGTCGGGGAGCGCCGCCAACAACGCTGCTGGAGGAAAAACGAAAAAACGACCGTTCGTATGCTCCGAATGCGGAAAAGCGTTCCGGAGACGCGAACACGTCGAGAGGCATATGCGAATGCACACTGGCGAGCGGAACTTCGTGTGCAACTCGTGCGGCAAAACCTTCTCGCAGAAGGTTCATCTTGAAAATCATCTCCGAATTCACACCGGCGAACGACCTTACACCTGTCACGTGTGCGGGAAGGCGTTCCGCCGGAAGGAGCACATCAGCCGTCACATGAAAACGCATACCGGAGAGCGACCCTTTGCGTGCTCCATATGCCCGAGGACGTTTTCCCAGCGCGCGCATCTTCTCAACCATGCTACCATACACTCGGGGGAAAGGCCCTTCGCCTGCGGATCCTGCGGCAAAACGTTCCGTCTGAAGGACCATGCCGAGCGACACGTCAAAACCCACATGACCGCTGCTGACCAGCAGGCCCAAGCCCAGCAACAAGTTCAGCAGCAGCAGCAACAACAACTCATTGAAATTCAAGGAGAGCAGGAGGCTGGCGGTGTCATCGAAGTCCATGAAGGACAGGTTGTTCAGCATGAACATCAACAGCAGACAGAGCAACAGTTCCAATCTGCAAACGCATCGACGTCGTCGCCCACATCGACGACGACGGCACAGCACTCGCAGGACATTCAGGCGCAGCCATCAGATCATCAGCAGCAACCGAACTCGCTCCTCAGCGAAGCTGCTCAGGAGGCCGAGATTCCACAAGTTGATGAGGACGAAACGCAGCTCGAGACCCCGGTAATGGTCCACGAAGTGCGCGAAGTCGTTCAGGGTACCATTGACGATGGTCTCGAAACGCTGCAACCTGTCGAGCCTCATCAACAGATCGAGACGGTCCTTCCCCAAGAGGAGCAAGGTACAGAAAACGCCGAGGCGAACCTCCCTCGATCTTATTCCACATCACCCGTAGCCAAGTCAGAGAGCTCTTCACATGCCCGATCCTGCTCGAAAGAATCGCTCTCCTGCTCGCCTTCTCCCCGAGGAAGTGACTTTTCTGTTCTGCTGGTATCGCCATCGCCGTTCCTGCTGCTGCTGTCTGGGATGCACTTGTTCTGCTGTTTTGGTCTCACGTTTTTTTGGGTTGACGGAATGTGTTAGGAACGGATTGGACTTGCACTGGATCCCTCGCAACTATTCTCCCGCTGCAGTTTCTCTTTTTCATTTATTCGTCACGAATATGCTGCCACCTACGATGCTTAACTTTTGTTGAGTCGATTGTCTTCGCACAATCGACTCTTTTTCGGGCTTTTCCATTCTCTTCTAGTAGTGATTATTGTAAATTGCTTATAATTTTATAATTATCAATTATTTCGTGTCTCGTCGGATATTATGTTTCTTAGATAGATGCCGGACACGTATGTTTCGTTGGTCAACACCCGCACGCGATCGAACGATGTTTTCCTCGGTTTTGGCTGCTTCGTTAGAAGACGATATCGAGAAGACCGAGACCATCCATTCGAAAAGCGAAATCGACGATGCTCTGCGGCGTGAGAATTGTCTTATCTGCGTTCCCGAAACCCTTATCGGGATATCGCAGCACTGCCCTAGCTTTGCGCTTCGAGCTCCGTATAGATGCTCTTTCGCAGCGATCTCGGAGATGCACCGTCGGAACCTATCAGATCTTTCGGAATTAGGTCTACTGAGAGTTCGTAGAATCCGAGAATGCTTCGACGGGAGCGGACGCGTCCGAATCCGCACAATCGTCTCACGACAGCGGTCGCAAACCCCTTCCGAGACCCCTCAAAAATTAATCGCTCGCCTAATTGAAGAGGATATTTGAGGTCGCAACTCTCCTAGTGAGGGGTTATAGCAGAGAGACCAAGGTCACTCCCCACTCGTATCCGGGTGGGCTCCTCTACCCGGCTACGAGCTGTATTGAAATTCCGGGCAAATCCATTTGTTAGCTCATCTGAAGACGAGGGGATCTCGAAGTGCATCTCGCCCTTGAGAGCGGAACCCGCAGAAAGATTGTTCACCTCCCCCCTCGGATTCGGGTCGAGACCACCGGTGCACCCAATCTTAATCCTCATACATCGACATCTTGAAGCCGAGCAAGGAGCTTGCGGTGTCGAACTTTGGCGCCATAGGCTCGCCGCTGATTGGTCGATGCTCTGCAACGCCCTCTCTCGGCCGATGCTCGAAATGCTGACTCTCCGATATAAAGAGTCCTTTTCGTTGGCGAGAGTCGTTGGCGCCTGTTGTGATATAGTTCCATCACCCAATTTCCTTCTCTCGTATTTTGGATAGATTTCGAGACTGTAGCTGCGTTTGTGGCACACCAGCCTTACCCCTTTGTCAGATCGGTGAACGAGAGTGAGATTTTTGTGAGAGCAGGACGATTTTGTTGTTTACCTCGCCGTTTTCGCCGTGCGGTAAACATGGATAGCGTGACCGCCAGCCCTAACATCGTCAACAACAACAACAACTCCTCTTCGGCGGGAGATGCTGCTAACAGTTCGTGGCCAGGCGTAGAGAATGGTTCTCCCCCGGGCACCAGTACCGCTCAGCCGGTGCACGGCGCTTTCTCCGAACATGCTTACGGCAGTATGGCCCCGATTCGCATAGTGAACGCATCGGGCGTCGTTCCGAATCAACGCATGGTCATCATGCAGAGGCCGCCTCAGCAGTTCCTTAAGTACGAACTTCCTGAAAAAATGTACGTTCAAATCGATCAAGCTGGTGGGGGCAAGAAAATGTTCACTGTGCTCGAAGCTATACAAGGTTTGTGCTTTCGGTCGAGATTAGAGTTCTTCTTCCCGCGTGCCGTAAGATCCGGTCATGGCGGCCGGCGGAGGAGCTTTCCTCTCGAAACCGCGGCGTTCGGCAAATTTGACGCATTGCTCGTCATTGGCTCCGTTCGTCACTCGCGCCATGAATATGATTATTGATTCGTTCCATTCCTTGAAAAACGTGCGGGATGCGTGAGAAGTATCTCACGAGCATTCGTTAGTTTCGTGTATCGGATGTTTTTTGAGCGATGGCTCGAGCCGGTATTTTCTCGGTTTCCTCGAATATCCCTCCTTCAATTCGTTAGAGACACTTCTGAATAAGTTGTTTCCAAGCGTCGTTTTCTGCGGTTTCACCCGATCGTGGGACCGATGAGACTTTACTCATTTACGCTCGTTCCCGCAGGTGGAGGAGATACCAAGATGGTGGTCGTTGAAGACGACAAGAGTCAACTTCGCGGGGCTCAGACACAACTGGTTCAGGGTGCCAACGGACAGATACTGCAGGTGCAGGTTCCCGCGAATAACAACAACAGTACGAACACAAATAACAACATGAAACAAGCAGAACAACAACAAGTCGAAGTCGTCGATGGCTCTGAAGATCAGACCGCGGTAGCTCAGCAAACCGGCGCGACCGCTGCGTCAACCACAACTACGGATCATAGCATCCATAGGTGCGTATGCTCGCTTTCGTCAACCTCCAATCTTTGTGGTGCTCCCAGGTGGAAATCGGTCTCGACCCCCAGGAATCATGGCTCGCATCTCATGAAAGTGATTTCCTCCACTGCAGGTGTCCACTGTGTCCCTATATGAGTACGAGCGTCAACGAGTTCTGCAAGCATGTTGTACTCCATGCGGAAAGTAAGAGTGACACACCAGAGCAGCCACCGACCAGCGAGGCTCCAGTGACCATTCAGCCAGCTGCTGCTGGTACCGTGGTAGCTGCTTCTGGTGACAAGCCGCAAATTTCCATCGTCCCCGCGGCCGGTAACGGTGGCCAAGCCGTCACCGCTCAACAGTTCATCGCTTCCAATGGCCAACCGCAGTATCGATGCGGTAAGTTGCTTTTCCCCCATCCGTGGATTTCGAATCGCGGACGAAGAATTCCCAAAATTATTGACACCAGATGACTGCAAAGTCAGCCGGTGTGCGTTCTCCTTCGTGGGGATCCTGAGAAGAATTCGGTTCCCGGCCAGATAATTCCAAGTGAGGGCTCTGAGGTAATCTTCGGTGTACTATCCAGGTATTTGCGGAGAAATGATCAACGATAGCGCAGTGCTCCAGGATCATCTTCGCAGCCATCAGGAAAGCGCCGCCACACGCTTATTTAGCTGTTCAGTTTGCGGAGTCGTCTACGCTAACAAGAACCAATTAGAAACGCATATGCAGACCCACATCATTACCCCAATCCCCGCGCAAGGCGCGGCCCCTGCGACGACCGTAGCGGCAGCTCAAGTTACGCAGGTGGCAACGACTCAGGCTACTGTCAACGGTGAAACAAGGGTAAGTGTCACAGACGTCCCGACATTGAGTCGTGCCTGTGGAGTACGGATCTTTTCAGAAAAGTCTAGCGTTGTCTCGAAATTCTGTCGCGCGTATTGCGCTTCAGCTTCTCCCAGTTCCGGCCTTAGCACGGCCACGATCCCTCTGTCTTCGGACGAGCAGGCACCGAGTGCTCCGAGGAGCCTCGGGTCCCGATGGGATTTTTCAGTTTCGTTTAGGTTTTCCTCCTCTAGGCTAGGGGATGGATTGATCCGCGCTTCACGGTAACGCTTTGCTATGAATATATACAGTTTTATACTAAGGGGCTTGCATGCGATGGAATCATGGCGATCGGTTAGAGAATTTTTCTATCGGTTGGGGTCATGCTAGTTGTCTGCGATTGGACTGTTGGTGAAAAACATCGAGTTTTATTCCTCATTTGCTCACTTGTTGAGTTCGGTACCACCTTCTGGTTTAAGATCTGTCCCGAATCTATCTCTCGCTCTCTTTTTTTGTTCCTCCCCCCTTTACCTTGGAGATCTTCATCGCGTCTCCATAGCTCCTTCCTATCATTCTCTAATGAGTGCAATTCTTTTTGGCTTCGAACGCGGACTTGGATCCTCTTTCGGATTCCGCTCGCTCGCTCGGTCACTCACTCTTCAGCCGGCGTTTTCATGCCGGACCGCTGGTCTTTTAAGGACTTTCGACGAGCTCCGATATTTCCCCCCTCTATCGTCCTTGTTCAATCCGAACATTGCCGAAGATCCGAACTCTCGAAATCGAGCATTTCCCAAATTGAGAAAACGAATTGAGTCTTTGCGTTAAATTTTTGGTTCTCTGAGTTTTCTTAGCCGTTTCGGCTAATTTCGGTTTGTTCTTTTCCGTTTCTTTTCGCAGCAAGTTCTAATCCAGACTGCGGGCACGACAGAGTGGCTCAAGCCAACTCCTTCGACGACTACCACAGCCGTTGTAGGCATATCAGGCGACGCCATGAGTCCATCGAAGCCCAAAGAAAGACCGTATTCGTGTCAGATCTGTGGTAAGACGTTTTGTCAGAAGGCCCATCTGGAGAACCACCTTCGGATTCACACCGGAGAGCGGCCGTTTGCTTGCTCCATGTGCGGGAAGGCGTTCAGGCGCAAGGAGCACATTGGAAGACACATGCGAATCCATACCGGCGAACGACCTTTCCACTGCACCCATTGTGGAAAACGCTTCTCACAAAAGGTGAGCTATCATCTCGGGCTTCTGCAAATGCACTTCCGAAGATCCGGTTCGGCGGGAATCTCACCCTCATGGTCCGGTGACGATCCGCGGGAGCTGAATCGAACATCTACGGGCTCGAAGCGAAGGCATCAGCTCCGAGTCCGTCCCAGTCTCCGTCCGTCGGAAATAAGAGAATAATCCATGTTTCTTTCCATTTCTCCCCCGCCGCGTTTGTCGTCGTCGCCGTTGGCTCTCGATTGCGTATTGCCGTTGACGGAATCGCAGGTCCATTTAGAGTCCCACATACGGATCCACACCGGAGAACGGCCCTTCTCATGTTCAGCATGCGGCAAGACGTTCACTCGAAAAGAGCATATCGAACGACACATCAAGACCCACACAGGGGAGCGCATGTTTGTCTGTTCTCAGTGCGGAAAAAGCTTCAATCAAAAAGCGCATCTCGAGTCGCATATGAGAACACATACGGGGGAGAGACCGTATACATGCGGCCCTTGTGGGAAGACCTTCAGACAACGCGTACAACTCGAGAGACACGCTAGAACACATCTCGCTCCAGGTACGTTCCGATTACAGGGAACCGATCGACGAGGGGTAATCTTTTCCCCTCGGATCCCCCTTATCATACCCATGTATAAGCATAGAACCGAGTCTAAGATAACGCTTCTGCCCCTTCAGGAACCGAGGGAATTCTGACTACGGCAGGTGGCCAGCAGGTGTTGACCGTCGCGGCAGTGCCCGGTCAGCAGTTAACATTCATTGCGGATCCCAACATCATCCAACAGCTGCAGTCCGCAGACGGCCATACCACTATAACCGTCCCATTCTGTACCTTATGTGGTAAGGCACTCTGTCAGCATATGGACGCGCAGCAAAGACAGCTGATCGAGAATGCCGCTGCACAGGGAGCCCAGGTGCAGGTGAGTCACCATCGCGAGAGTCGGATATCGAGAGAATTTTGTCGACAGCCGTAGAGTCTCATATCCGGGAGGTGCTCTTCCAGAATACTGACCGTTGGATATTTCTCCCTCGCAGGTCGTACAGGCCGCACCGGGGCAGCAGCTTGTTCAAGAATCTGGTCAACTGCAAGTTGTTGATGCCGGGGTGATCGCAAGTGCTGATGGCGCTGGCGATGCTGTAGCACAGGCGGTCGCTCAGGCAACCGGAATCGAACATGACGTCTCCGTGCAGGGTATGTCTGTGCAGGAACAGGTCGACAAGGCTATTAGCAATGCTGTGGCCTAGACCTCGAGCGCACGTATAGACATCAACATTTCTGCTGGATCAAGTCACCTCTGCCGAAAAGTCTCTAAACAGAATGAGCATCTGGAAACAAATGTGCTGAGTTGAAGCCAGGATATATCCCAAAGTCCTGAGTTATTCGGTGAAAAGGAGATAACAAAACGAAACCTCGGAGCGAGTTGGCGATCGAGAGCGAAACATTGCGTGACTGACGGAATGCGTCAGCGCCGAGCTCTGGATCAGCCTATGTGTAAAATCAAAACGCTTGAAGGAATCCCGGACGACATGGCGAGCGACACACGAGTGGAGTCGTCCGTGGGTTAGGAAAGTGTGTTCGACCAATTGCAAGCGAGAAAATGAATGTTTATGAAGCAGTACTGACGAAGGACTGAGCAATCGCAGGATGCGAATGTGCGCGGACTCTTGCCACCAGGTTAGGGTTGCCATTTCTGAGGAGAGAACGAAACAAACGATTCAAACGAAAACGTGTACTTCAAGTAACTACCTTACCAACGAGAGGTAGCCCGTTTGACGTCGTCTGACGTAAACTGCTGTAACAGGCAGACCCCGCCCCGCTCTGTTTCCCTCAATTTCTCCCAGCTTATGTATTTATGTGTATACTGTACCATCACAGAACATATTACCACGAGAATATAACTACATTAACTATATATATGGATATATGGAGAAGATGAAGATGAGTGCGTCAAAGAGAATCAGGTAATCAACCTACATACCCACAAACGAACCTCGTACCAATCAATCAATCGACGTCTTTAATCAATTCCTCTCGCGATACGTAGAATTCGCTTCGGGAATATTCAAGGCGATCTACGGCTAGAGATTCGGACTGAGAACACAAACACGCGAGTAGCGGAAGCATCCAGTAATCGTCCGACTTCTGAGTAGCTAATCTTGGGGAAGTCGTTCATCGTCGTTGACCATGGAGAGGAAATACTTTTGCGAATACTTAAATAAGTCGAATGATGTCGATTTCTCATAGAGTGAAGCCGCGAACGGAAGCCGCTGCCTATGCTGCTGCCGTCGCCGAGGCTATCTGAAGCTTTGTGGAACAATTGAGTTTGCTCCGTTTCCCTCCCTTGTTCGTTTCCATCATGCTTGTTTGGTTATTCGTTTTCATTGATCGAATCGATCATGAGCTACCGTCACCATTGCCTGGCATACGATGAACACCGATTCGGATTTCCGACTTATATGATATGATTATCATCCTCACTAGAAACAGAATAAAGTCATTTCCCCCTCTCGAAATTCCGATGAGACCAAGACTACTCCTATCGAGCTAATCTGGTAGGCGAGAGCACCAGAAACCCAGGAAACCCAGGAGTCTCTGATGGATATTTTTCTCAAAAACGTCTCTTTATCCGGTGGTACACATGTAGTCGGTTCCGGGCCGTCTCGTTCATCGATCGCAGCTGTGGCACTTGAAGCCCCCTCATTTAGGCCGGTTCATATAAATATATGGAATATTAGGAAATTGTGAGTTTAGGTTCTGGAGGCTTCGGTGGATTTCGATAGAGATGCCTTCTGTATGTTCATTGACGATTGCATCCATTACATTATTCATCATTTACTCATACTCCCATCATCATTATTACATTAGATCATCATGAGTTATATTGCTACCATCGGAGGTAACGTGACCGATCATTACCAGGATCAGTTTTGACAAATTCAGAGTGCCGGACAATGCACGCGTTTCCACCACTCATCTCAAATCACTCTGCCATACGATCATCTCCCTGCCTCATTTCTGCCCCCCTTTCGACTCTATTTCCTTGAGACAACATCGTGTCAAGTGTGTCCGACGCAATTTGATACCCGAAGACATGATAAATGATAATCATTATTATGTCACCATTTTACACCGATATGAATATGCTATCGAGTCCGAGAGTGATGGAACCGACATTGTCGCCGGTGACGATTAAAGAAAACGGAGAGAGAATATTGAGTGATCGATCAGAGCATAGTGTTGCGTTGCAGTCTACTCCCAACTCCGATGCTAGTATACCAACTGTTGCAATATACGAGAACAGCGGGATCCCTGCGTCGATCCGACTTTTTAGACTTCCTATCGAGCTCGAAAGGCGGAAAGAGATTTTTCATACCGATCTGTCTCATCGGTTGCTAACCCAAAGTTTCTGAGTCTCTTCCCCTCTGTATCGGATGGACTTCCTTCTTTGCTTTGTACGTTTTTCTATAGATAGCTGGATGTACTTGAGTATTAATATCTATCGATACGATCACCAACCACTACGATCACGATTATCTGGATGACAATTTAAGAAATGTGCCTTTGTTTTCTTCAAGTGAATAAAACTTTATTCGACAAAACTGAAAAGAACACCTCGATTGGTTTCTTCTTTCTTATTCATGTGGGTACCTCAGCTGTTCTCTCAGATCTGACATCTGAAATCACTTCAGAGCAATGAATCCGAGTGCTGGTGCTGCAGAACCTTCATTGCTCGACCTGCGTCCTACCTTCTCAGTCTGGTTGATGCGTAATAGGGAACAGATAATACAGATGATTCGTTCATTGGCGTTTCCAAAAGGACAAGCTCCGGAACGGGCTAATGTTCAGGCCCGATATCTCGTGGTCGTACTGCGGCGGCCGATTGCGACCGCGATTCGCTCCCAGGTGACAGGATAAAATCCGTGGGAGTATTAAATTAGATGATTGCTCCACAAAATTAATAACAACAACGAGAATGGGGTGATTTAATGAATGTCGAAGATCATGATCGTTGCGACTACGTAGACTTCAGCGAAGCCTCGGGAACTGGTGCGCCTCCTGAGTTTTGGCTCACCGAGGGACGACGATCGCAGGATCCCAATCTCTCGAAGAGCGCTCTCCTCAAACCGGGATCCCTCCGAAATCCAACTCGAGCCACACGAACGAAAAAAAGCATTCAACAGAGATTGCGCGGTGGCCCGGAGCACCATGTTTCTTCAGCCCCAGACATCTTTTTCTACGCTAGTATCTTCGATCGAGCAGCTGAAATATGGGGGGGAATAATTCGGTAGATCTCGAAACCAACTCATTCAAACACTACATTGCTCACATCTCGAAGATTTATGTTCGATGCAGCTATTTTTTTACAGCGGAGTACCCGTCCACGGACATGGGCACAACCGTATAGTTCGTCGGGTACACCGGCGATTTCTACCTCGATTAGTGCTTCCGGTGAACAATTTCTCGTAGAAATCCGAATGAACTAATCGCTCCGTATGGCTGGCTGGCGCGCTTGCTTCTCGACCTTGATGAGTGCCAATTCACATCGATCGGGTCCGATGCAATCATATGGTAGGCCGGAAGGCAGACTAGCGGGTAGCCGAAAGAATCTCGAGATCCGGAGATACATATGCTCTTGTTAGAATAAGTCGATCACAGACTGTTCACTCGTCAGATCTCCGCGTGGCGGAACACACAACACTAAACTTGAAATTCTCATTTCCTATCTCGATAACAGTGACGATGAAGAGCCGTGGATTCCATAAAACTGATGTCCATGCCTCCTCGACCTCGGAGCCATCTTTCAAAGCGTGGCCGTTCGAGAACAGAGGAATCAAATTTACAATATTCATGAAGACTTTACAGTATGGGGTAGATCGAGCTTGATATCATGCTCCCAGATCGGCGGGGGGAGTCGATCGAGTGCTCAGGGAACACGTTGGAGATGGTGTTTGGCGTACAGCGTCGTCCACAGCCTAGCCGTATGCTCGTAAAGCGCATGATTCTCTCGATAGAGTTTTCCGATTTCCGGCTCCATGCACACTCTCGTGTAGGGATCGGTGAGTAGAGACTGTATGCTGAGCAGAATTTTCGAAAGTGTCAACGCCAAAGACCAGTTATGCTGGAGTGAATCCAATCCGATATCGCCGTGTCGACTGACGTTCGGATGGAAGATCTTCGTCAAAAAACGAACCACTGGAGGATCCATGGGATATCGACAGGAGACGCTGACGCTCAAGTAGAATTGGCCTCCTTCGTAAGGAGATCCGGCCGGACCGAAAATGCAAGCGTGCCATTCCCCGAAAACGAGGTCGTCCAACGGCTTCAGCAGTACACCGTCGAGTGGGTCCGCCGCGAGCATTGACATCTCATGCGCTATCCTCGAATCCCGACAGATACACGATACGTCGGTGCGACTTCTCGAAGTCGAAGCTCGTGTCGGTTGAACTTTTTGATGGAAGTGCCAATGTTGCTTGGCATGTTTCAGACGATCGTTCACTTGAGAGAGGCAAAGGAAGCAATTCGAGCTCAGGATCAAGTTTGAATAAGTTTGCTTCCAACTCCGGGCGGGTCTGTCCAGAGTCAGGAACGGCCACCGTATCCGCGTGAATCTTCGCCAATTTGACTCCGTCAGCTGGCGATCGATGATGTCTTTCCAGCGCTCGCATACCTGTGACGCACTCCACAGAGAAATGTCGTCGAGGTAGGAGAATATTGCGAGGATTATCTCCTCAGGAAGGCTTCCTATGAGACCATCTTGCAGGATATCGTCGACGGGTCGCGCGTGACAGAGCGCTTGTAGGACCTCGTTGAGCTCCGTGGGTGGATTCTTCTTAATACTCTGCCTATTAGGCTTGAGAACTCTCTTCGACGGGGGCGGTTGAACAGTCTCGTAGAAGTCTTTCGGCTCCTCGGTGCCACTGTCTTCGCTGTCGCTCTTGTTCACCACGTTGGGTCGACGAATGGAATGCACCTCGCATGAGCTAACGGGGTACAGAAAACTGTGACACACCAGGCACAGACAGCTCGCAGAGGACCGCTGAGCATAGAAACCGCCACAGCTGTGGCACTCGTCGCGACGCTCAGGCGGCTCCTTGTCTTTCCTACGGGCCATAATCGTTGAGCGGAGTCGAGGTTCACGGCTGCTGCATAACGAGCTCACGAACGGCGCTTAGAACAGCGAGGATTCAGACCCCTGCGTGATAGCAACGCCATGAGAATATTGAGTGCCCGACATATTCTGACATCCGTGGAGTTCATCGATGCCTTTTAGTTATGTACAACGCAATATTTCCACGAGCGACGCAAAACAAAACAACACGATGGAGTGAATACGCGGGCCGTGAGCCCTCAGGAGCTCAAATCCTCTTGGGACGGAGCAGCGAATATCCAACGGATAGGTTTACGTTCCCTCTCAACGGGACACACGCACTTTTTCCTTTCTGCAAATACGAAACTACTCGGGAGATCATGTGTTTTCGTTATGCGAAACTACGACAGATCACCCGACCGGCCGGCGTTCCGCGCCTTAAGCTTCCGACGATTAGTTTGGGAGGGAGATTCTTTATCGATCTCTCATCTCTCTGAGAGGCTTAGGCGGGAACGGCGCCGCGATCTTGCCCCTCCACAACATTGAGAGCGAAGGTTCGAGAGCCTCAGGCTTGATAATTTCTTCTTCGAGGGCTTCTTTCTCTCACATATATGGGGAATTCCTCTGTACACCAGGTGCTTCCCCTATATATTGCAGACGAGCACGCTGAACCCTCTTCTGTGTGAGCGATGAGGAGGAGTCCAACCTCGGGGAAAGGGCAGACAAATATATTTGAGCGGATTGCTGGCAAGGAATCGATCATTCTGGGGGCTGGCAAGATGTCGAGGAAGTCAAGAGCCGAACATTCTATGATAAAGATGAACAAACTGGAGCGCAGCCTTTGAGGGAGAACTACGGGAGTAGGGTCCAAATTCACCTGCGGCTCCGCTAAATTCTAGTCTGTGCGATGTACCGGAGATTTACGCGCGTAAGCCCCGATGTATCATGACTAAGAAGTTGTCACTCCGAATTAGTTCAATCTCAACACGCATACTCTCCCAGAAACTACGATAGATGGGAACCCCTTTGCGGCGCGACGTCAGGAAACATCATAGACAGACACGTTTTGACGGATGGAGTACGGACACTGGACCTCGTGGTCTAATTAAAACGGATCATGTTTTATCCGAAATGTTAATGGAGCTTGCAAGCTCCACAATGCACTAGGCACCATAGACATGCTTGGGGAGCCCATCGTGCTTCGAGATAAGGGTCACCCGTGGACGTTCGCGACCGCTGAAGCTGTCGCTTCTCAGATATGCTACCTGTATTTCGGGCTCTTTCAGGGTTCGCATCGATTTCAGGGGAACCTCTCCGTACCCCGCTTGCATCATATCCAGGAGTCCATCGTGCTCCATTGTTCGGTGCTTGGAATAAATGATCGCGTTATCAAGGGGTCGCGAAGGTCGAGGCTGCTATAGATGGGGCCCATTGTGCTACATCCTCCTTCCGATCTCGCCGAACTTTCTCCCGAAGTTCATCGGGAGTGCGACAGTCATAACGGCTGATCGGTTGCAGTCCGGGCGCGGATGAGTTCTCTTTTAGTGAGACTGATGAAAATTGAATACCGAGAAGGCCTTGCACCGAGCATGGCAGCGAGTTCTTCCCGCATAAAGCAATGAGAGGCGTCAATCTCGGGAAAGACAGTCGCAGGGGGCTCCTTCCTCGGGGAAAGGCACCAGACCGAATGGGGTTACTTTCTCGGAGGAGGCATCAAGTTCAAAAATAGCTTCCAAGAAAACACCTACCTTTTTCGAAGCCAGGGTTCGCACAGAGCGCCATTCACCCAGTCTCACTCCGGCAAGGCGGTCAGCCCCTGACATACCATACTTTCGGAAAAATAGCGCTTCCAACGAGCACACTGAACGTGAAATTCATGTCAGGGCTTAAAGGTGAGCGATTCGGTAGTGCCCCCAGGGTACTATCTTGGATCGAGGGGGGAGCTATGACGCAGCGACCACGTCACTTTCGGAGGTGGCTCACGTGCCGGACAATCGGTGCATGACCCTGGGAACGCAGTTTTCGAGCTCCAAAACACAGCATGAAGTACATCTGGGAAGCGAAACCAGCATTCGGGGTTCGGCCTGACAAGGATTCCCATCACCGGAGTCCGGTACCGGCTTCCTACAATGTACGCAGGCTCAGATCCGACCGCTTTGCCCGCTCTCCAAGTCCGTTGGCGGAATCAATGTCTGTCCGCTAAGCACAGAAACCTCGGAATTCGTCTGCCACCGTAATTGTCGAAAATGTATCCCGTTCCGCCATCGCATCGGTCTCCGCTGGAGATCTGAGCTAAATGGCTGTTTTCATTTGAATGAGACCCGATACCAGACAAATTGTGTGAGTCTGACAGAGGTACTCGCGGAGGATATCACAGAGGAACTCCCGGAGAATGTTACAAAGGGAAGTCAAAGGAGAACACCGGGATCGACGAATAGCCCACGACAAGGTATCGTCATCGCTATTTTCGTCTGCTGCCGAAGTCGACTAGTGATTCAACGAGAAGCCGGTCGAGGCTTGGCCTCGCAGTGGGGAATTCTTGCTAGCGAAGTCGTCCTCAGAACTGGCTGTCCTAGCTTCGGTGGCTCACAGGGCAAGCCGTCTGAAACGCGTCTCTGAAGAGCTCTATACATCCTTGCCTCCCTTCGCTCACCCTCGGTGAAAACCTCCGAGGTATGCCGACCGGTACTCCAAGTGAAGCTCTCAAATCGAGCCTAATTTCATTGGAATAATCGATCGAGATCTAGATTCTGTGCCTCATGATTCAATCTCGAAGTCTGCGCCCGGCAGGGCGGCAGGAGTCTCATCTTGTCCCCCTAATGTTCGCCTCTGGTCCTTGTTTCTCTCTACCACAGGGAACCGCTCCGGGAGTTCTCCTCCTGTGGATAAGGCATGGCCATTCCAGGCCCCGGCTGGGACTCGTCGACTCTATTTCCCTGCATCAGGAGCTTGCTATCCAGGCCCCATTCGCGGCCTTCTGCGGAAGATCGTCTCTCTTCTCATAGAAGGATTCCCATCAGACTGATGTTCTTGAGCACCTGAATGATGTAGCGATTTGTCCGATCGTTTACGTGCCGTTGGACCTTAGGACTTGGGATGATGACTCCATCAGATTCTTGAAAAGAAGTGTTCCGAAATCATCCGCTAGAGGGCTCCTCTGCCACAGGAGTTCAAGGTCGAGCTCATTTATTGTCTCAATTCAATGTCAGGGATCGTTTTCCCGGTTTTCTCTGCGTCTACGAGAGAGAATACCCTAGAGATTTGCTCTCGCGATCTCTCACTTTCAAAATCCTCGGAGTGGAGAAGCTGCCATCGTGAACGGTGGGTATGCCGAGGCGGACTTCGGAAGCTTCCACGTGGCTCGACTCCGGCTACTCACTCCACTGGAGTTTTGAGCGGAATACCATCTGTGACGCCTGCTTGGCGGTTAATGATGATACTGGCGCAATCATCTATCATACAATATTCATTGGATTTTTTCGCTTTCGATTGGAGATATAATTCAAAGTGCGAAGTCGCGTAGGGAAAAGATGGGACTCCCTGTAGCCAGGCGCGTATTCAGGGGAGGGGGGCATTGGGGGCCAACTGCCCCCCCCCCCCAAAATATTTGCTTCATACCACCCCTGTCGCCTTCTGGAACCGATTCCCGAATTTTCGGGGCCGCAGTCATCGTGTGCCCCCCCCCCAAAAAAAAATCCTGGATACGCGCCTGCCTGTAGCTTGCTAACTCCCTTGACAATTTCGAGCTCGGGATCAAGTCCCAACATCGACTTCTAGAGAGAATTCTCCGAGGGAGAAAAGCTCCCGGAGCGACCTTGGACTCTCCTTTCTGGTAGATTTCAGCCGACGATCGGTTTGTGCGCTGCGCGGCGCCGGCGTTTCGACTGAACCGCTCTTGGACGACTGACATCATCACAGTTCTCGGCAAGCCTGCGTTTATCTGGAATAACGTGATCCGAGGCGGCCCGTGACTCAGATCCCCGCAGGGCAAGGTTCTGGAGAGTACCCTCCGCAGAATTTTCTCAAGGTTATCCGGCCGTTGAAGAAAACAACATATCCATCTTTGGTCGAACCATTCCAAGGCGATTCCTCGCCTCTTCATGGCGTACGGGAATGATCGGAACACTGCGGAAACCGACTGGCTCCCCTGCGCTTTACGGAGGTACGGAGGGGAGAGTCTTCCCGCCCTGAGGCAAGCACGAGCTTCTACGTTCCTCGCGTTCCCGCCGAAGCAGCTGATTTGAGGCCAACAAGCAGTCTCTGCATACCCGAACAGGCGTCAAGGACAAACAACTCGCCGGAGTACATACGTGTTGCCTCCACCCACTCCGTCTGAGTCAGTTTCTGGCTGTCCTTCAAACAGAACGGGATTTCAAGGTCAGATCATGAGAATTCCATTCCCGGGGAGAGAGAGCTGTTGTCAGAAGGGAAAACAAGCTCTCCTGACGCTTGGCAGATTCGAAGTCTGGGTTCCCTTCTCTCCGGCTCCGATTGTCCCAAACTCAGTTCGGGCTCGAGCGGGAGAAATAGTATTGGGTTGAACAGGAGATTCAATCGGTGGGAGCTGCTCCGAGAACGATATGGAAACCCCAAAATGTTCCAGATTCCCTCCTGGCGGAGATTCCCCGAATAAATATTGAGCTCTCTACGGGCGCTGAGTAGGCTCGCGGGATGAGTTTCAGTGAACCGATGAGCGAGTGGATATGAGTTCTCCGCTAGATTATCAGATCTTCTGAGAAGGACTAATATCTTGAATCGATTGATTTCTCTACCGTCATCAGGCTTGGCCGATTTCCAGGTCCGAGCGAGTCCCTTCAACTTTCGGCGGCCAGGCCATCCGCCTCCCGGCCGAAAGAGCCCGGGAATGCTGCAGGCAGATTCGTGAAGATGACGACGTTCCGTCGAGCCTGCTCTGGGCCTCACCACCACGACTTAAGAGTAGGCCTCGTCTGATCGAGTGCCTTCCAGGCACGTTCTTGCGTGGTCTGTCTGTTCCGCCGGCGGACGACGGTCTGCCCGTCTGTTCTGTAAGCGCGTGTGCCTCTCACTGTCTGTCTATGCCGGGCAGGGCTGCGCGCGCTCAGTTTCGTCGTGGTGTTTGCGTGCGCGAGTATGTGAGTGTGGCAAGTGTGACGTCATCCCCGTTGGTTTTTCACTCTCGTTTGTTCGTTCGTTCCCCTCCTTCGCAGCTTGCCAGCCGTCGGCGTTGCCACCACCACCAGCACCGGTGGCTGCCGCCGCCGCCGCCGCCGCTCTTCCAGTTCATCGACACCGCCGTCAAAGGCTGCCGCTAGAATGAAGCAGTAGAATTCATCGACGACGACGAAAAGAAGACCGTTACCCTTACCCAGCGGGGCGGGGCCTGACGTCACATGTGACGTATCATTGAGCTCCGGCATGGCGGCGGCGCGCGGCAGCAGCAGCCTCTCGTCGTCGTCTTCTGTGTTGTGTATGAGTGTGTGGCAGCAGCGGCGGCGGCAGCAGCAGCAAGCATAGACGACGACGACAACGAGCGAGAAACAGTGACGGCGGCGAGAGGGAGCGGACCTGGCGGCCCTGTGTAAGTGTAGGTCTGTCCATCCGTCTGGTATGCGGTCGTCTGAGATCATCGTCGTCGCTTCACCATCATCCTGGTTTCTTTGTTGCTCACTCGCACGTCGAGTGGCGTATCTCGCTGACCACTGAAAGGTGCGCGCTCGTGGAAGTGCTCGTCGCCGCGCGCTCCTCGAGCGGCCAAGCTGCCACCGCGACCCAGTCGTCCGTGCAGCCACTGAGAGCGAGGAGCTGACTGACGTGCTTCTAGGTTCTAGGGCAACACCGGGTGCGGGCATGCGCAGTAGTTGCCGTCGTCAAACGTTGACGACGATAACACCACGGCTGCCACCACACCAACAACAACGACGACGACAACATTGAACGGCAGCGGCCGCCACCGCCGCAGCAGCAGCAGTAAGTGGTGAGCAAGCAGACAGTCAGTCAGTCAGTCAGCCAGTTACCCAGACCAGCGCGTAAGCCGACTAGGCAGGCATTCTGCGAGGAAGGAAGGCAGCAGCAGCAGCCGCACCACCGTCGTCGTCGAATGACTGAAAGAGCAACGGAGTGAGTGAACCAAGCAGCCACACACGGCCTGCGAGCCAACCAACGAACGGCAGCAACTGTTGTTTCCTTCCTCTCGCGAAGTTTTTGTGGTCGTCGTAGTGCTGCTGCTGCTGTTGTACGACGACGACGACGAAGGCAGCAACAACAACGACGACGGTAGCAGCAGCGGCATCATCGACGACGACTGCAGCGGCAGCGTCGACGTCGACGGCAGCGGCTGCAGGAGGCAACCATCCAACCAACCGGCCGAGTGAGCGAACGAGCCAGCGACCGACCGACCGTCCGTCCGTCGGAGCCAGGCAAGTGAGCAAGAAGCCGAACAAGCACGCAGGCAGGCAAGTCAGTCGGCCAGCCAGCCAACAAACCTGCAAAGCAAACTCGTGACCGAGCGAGTCCGGTCGAGGTGGATGTGAACGAAGATACCTCCGGACAGTGCTCTCATCGCTACCGTGTAGGTTTGCGCTGCAACATCGAACCGCAGGGATTTCGTGTTTCTACCGTCCGCTCGTGATTTGTTCTGTGTTGGTTGATGATCCTCAATCGTTGTCTGGCTGATCGACAAGTGCAACGACGACGACGAAACTTTGGGATAGTACGAACTCGGAACGACGAGGGAACTATTGCACGAGCAGCGAAATAGTGTGCGTGTTTGTGTTGTGTTATAAATTGTTGCTCTTCTACCGCGTCGAGGAGAAGTGACGACAGCCGGAACGGAACTCATCGGCGGCCACGATAAGCATAACTCCTAAAACGTCGAGATTACGCCGGGAGAACGTCATCGAACCTCTTTTCATTGCGTCCGCATAACAGCGTGTAAGTTGACGCCGAAACAGCAACAAAATCCAACAATTGCAAAGCTACGGTGCTGCCCGAATCCTTCTTGATCCTCATTATCGCGGAGCTTTCGAACGTTGGAAGCAGCGTCAGCAGCACCAGCAACGCCGTGTGTTGAACGTGTTTCTCACGAGCTCGTCCGATCCGTTGGGATCTCGGGGTAAGGAGTTCCCCCATTCCGGTCGCGAGACACCATTTCCCGCCGGAAACCGTACCGACTCTGGAATTCGGTATCACGATCTGGGTCTCAAGAGTTATCTATCGGCTGAACCTATTTTCAACCGCTCTCCAGTCGACCGGCCAAAGAGCTCCGCGGGATTGGATATTCCGATTCGCGAGGACTCGAGCTTCCGGAGCGAGTTCGCAACCCGACGTCCGCGCCACCGATTGATGAGCTTATCAAAGTATTGAATCCAGAAATGCTGAATTCGAAGAGCTGAACCGGGGCACGGTTGACATCGGTGATGAGCAGCAACCCGAATGAAAAGCTCCGTTTATGAGTGATGTTGCAAAGCCAACGTAATGTAGCGGCACCCCAGCTGCAACATACAATATTCAACAAGCCGAAACAGCAACTGCTCTTCTCGGCGGAGGGACCTGTATACGGTGTTGTAGCCGGGGTTGTTGGTTGCGGTGCTAATAGTAGAACTTCGTCCCCGCCGACGCTTATAACGGCCATCAGCGAGAACAACAACAACAACCTCAGCCATCTCGAGTGCAGCCCGGCCACCTGCAGCGGCGGCATCTGCAACAGCAAGTTGTATCATCAGTCGATAGCGGCAGCGACGACGGCAGCAGCGGCGGCAGTGAATTGTCAGCATCATCTGATCGTTGAAGAAGCGATGGTCAAGATGTCGACACAGACCGGGATCTCGACACGTTCGACGCATCGTCAGCAATGCTATCTTTGCGATTTGCCCCGAATGCCGTGGGCTATGATTGACGACTTCTCCGAACCCGTCTGTCGGGGCTGCGTCAATTACGAGGGAGCCGATCGTATCGAGATTGTCCTCGAAAACGCGCGTCAGATGAAACGCGCCCACGGATTCTCCGCGCCCGCTGGTGCCGTTCAAGCGAACCAATACAAGCGTCATGAGCTAAACGGTGACTCCGGTGCACCGATAAGCCTTCCGCCCGGAAGAGATCGTTACACGAGACTCGAGACCGCAACGTTCCGACATCATCAACATCAACAGCAGTCCCAACAACAGAGCCAACAGCAACAACAACAGCAGCAACATCACACAGTTCAATTGGAAGAACAACAACGGAGACATTTGTCGGCAGCGACGAGTCAGAGACCTCTGAAACGTGAACGTGGTACCGAAGAGGACCTCGAACAGGATAAAAGGGTTCATATGGAGCTGGGGACAGACCTGTCGCGGCCCCCTCTCACCAGAGGAGAATCGATGCCTGCGACTGTGATGGCGTCCCCCTTCGAGTTGAGGAACTACAAGAAGGAGCACATCGGAAGGGTGTACTCGTTGGACGCAGCCACAAGCATCAAGGCCGGTAAGTCCTCCACTCCGTAAGGGATTCTCTCCTTTGGCACGAATATGCCAAACTTCCCTCGTCGAAGATTCGTGCATTACGTCATAGGATACGAAGGAATTTGGAAAAAACGATTTCCCCCCCCCTCCTATCTCAATCGAGTATCGAACGAAGTCAATGCGCGATCTTTCGCTGGGAGAGATAGTCGACGTTCGTTCTCATCAATCCCACCGAAACTGTTGAACTTTTCGGTGGGCGCTCTCCCCGGCTCGAAACCTACCGAGCGTGCTCTCCAACGAGGTGCGTTGTCCACTCGTGTATCAGTCGTGTGGCCCTTGTCGGTGACTATGCCACCGTCACTCCTGTATTGTGGTATAGATAATTCTGATTCAGTCCAAGGCAGACAGATCTGACGTCACGTATCGAGAGCTTTCGACAGTCATCACTCTCGCAGCTAGTCAGCCGGTCGCCCGCTCACCCGCGGCTGGCCCATGGCTGGGCGCGGAATGTACCCTCCGGGCAGGCGGGCGTGGAGTAATTTGAAAATGAGTGCCAAGTGAAGTGCATACTCGGACGACGAGGCGTGTCGGCATGCGGCAGTACTTTGTTCAACTGATCGCAACCGGCCATTCGAATCCTCGTTGGATTTAGACCGATCGAACTGAGCCGAATCATCATGTCAAATAATCCTTCTCCGAAACGAAGTCTTGACTCTGCTCCGCTTGAACAGTAGCTCTCCAGCAGCGTAGGCGTTCCCGTGATTCCCCTCACACTCCATTGAATTTCGTATGGCGTATGGCCAACAGGAGCCTTCTGATGCATCCTTCCACGACTCGACCGAATTTGGAAAATCGTCAGCTGCTGAGGCAGTGGGGTGATTTTGCTGTAGACTTTTCGGATCGTTGTCACGCTCTGGGCTCAGGCGGGGAACTCGGACTCGAAAGGTCGCTCCGAACTTTCTCTGCGAAAAGAGCTTACAGAGCACTTTGGATGTTGCTGCAGTGGCCATTGCTGACTCGGTTCCACCGACTCCGAGCGGGCAGGCAGGCAGGTCGTCCGGCCGGTCGTTCGGTTCGCGGATCGACTCCACGGATCAGATGTCTGCTTGCGTAGCCAACCAGTCGTCTTACCGAGCGACCGACCGACCGGCCAGTCAGCAACCCGGGCAACCAAGCAGCCGCTGGCGTGGCGAGCAGCCGAGGAGCATTGTAGCGTTCGACGGCCATAACTACAACGACTACCAGCTCCCCGACCACAGAATAACTGGACGCAGAGCGAAGCACAAGCAGAAAAGCGAATGAACTGTTCCAGCAGCCCCGCTTGCCGACGAAACATTCTTGCTCAGTTTTTCGGCATCGCTTCCTGCAGTACTTCCCGTCGTCGACGCGTACGATCGCAGCGCAGCTCGCGTGTTCATCACTGTTCTCCGGAAGACTGATTCTCAGTCCCCGCAGAGTCTCAGATCCCCGGTGGGGACAGCGGGAAACTGCGTGGAATGAATCGACCCGGGAACGCCGCCGCGAGCAAAATTCAACGAGATCTACGGAATTATCAATCGATCCGACGAAACGCGCTCTGCGACCGATACCGCTTGTTCGCTTTCAACTCATATATGTACTAGGTATAATCCCCCATGAGGTCTCTGATCATCCTTCGGAGATCGATCTTCGTTCCTTCGGGCCCGCAGATCTCTTCGGTGAATTCCTTTTTCGGCAGTTTCGTCACAGAAGGACTGGGAAATTTGCGATCGGATCGGAACGAAAAAAATGTGACCCATGGTCACTAGACACCCATTCAGTGCCGAGAAAAATATTTTCCCAGAATCGCTGCTGGGTTCGCGCCTCTCAATCCGAAAAGGGAGGATTCGTGGTGATACCGGCCGCTTACTTCGGATCTACCCATCCGACAGCTTTCACCTTGAAGGTGCGAATCGCCTTCTGATTCTTCCCCTTCGACGGGGGTTGGAACAGTATTTCGGTTCCGAGTTCTCCGTTGTGTGGAAGCCGCGCTCTAGCGTCCGATCTAGATCCAGTCACGGTTTCAACGTGGGCTTCTCTTGTCCGAAACTCATGCGAGTCCACGAGCTTCTGGCGACAGGTTGTGTTGCGCATGGATGGAGAGCGGCTACCGGAATGTCAGGAATTTAGGCTCGGGGTGAGTTTTTATCAATGGGATACCTCTGCGGCCACCGGGCTCCGAGACCGGTTGTGGGAACGAAGGTGAAACTAGCCCGGGGTCGGGATCCCAAACCTCAGAAGAACGGACTGCGAGCCAGACAGACAGGGAGAGAGAAAGAATGATCCCCCTCCCTTTCTGAGCAGCGGGAGCGGTCGGCACAGGTAGCTTGTTTGTTGAGCCGGTATGGGTCGGTCTGTCTGTCTCTCGGTCTGTCGGTCGCTAGGTCAGTATGCTAGCCCAGCTTGAGAATGTGTATTCTCCCCGCCCCGCAGCTTCTCGAAGGGAGATAGGGATTCCCGGACAATTCAGGCAAAAACGGTCCCCTGCCGACATCCGGGAATCCGGTCGGTATGTCTTTGAATGAATTGGTGTAGAGTTGCCGAATCAATGGTTTCGGAGGGTTCCTTTTTTTCGTCCGAATCGTGGGCAGGGGAAGCGCTATGAGGCACCTATGTGAGCCGATTCATGGTCCGCTCGATCCGTCTCACGAGGAGCTTTCCATCGTGAGTCTCCGTCGCCAGCCAGCCGGCCGGCCGATCGGGCGGTCGCTCGCTCGACGTTGCTCTTGCTACCTTTGATGCGGCTGCGGCACCGACGAACGCTGAGTTTCCACGTGGCTTTTCCCCTCCTCTTCGAAGTGCTGCACTGTCGAGTGTCAGTACTCGCTGGTCGTATCCCTGCGTAACCTGGCTGTCACCGATCAGGACCTCAATCGAAAGCAAGACAACATTCACCATCGTCGTCGAGATCGCTTCTTGCTGGCGTAGGGATACTCTGTTGGTTCTGGCTCTCTCCCTTGTGATTGAGCCTGTCGACTGGGTTTCCCAGGGCTCTATCGTACGAATCGGTCATCAAGTGGGGGAGGGGGAAACAGAAGAGATAATTTCTCGCGGCCATAATCAGTACATCGAAGAAGAAAGAGACGACTGATTCCGAAGTGCGACGATATTCGATGGATCCCGTCATTATCGGACGTGACTCGATTGAGTTAGACTTTTCGTTGAAAGTTCTCTCGATTCTTGAAGACGAGAGTTGAGCCCGGACAGTGGGCATTGTCTCCATGGGAGCCTCAGATGAAGGGAGGTACTGGGACCTGGAGCGTCCGTGTGCGCCCGCATAGAGTGTACTCTGTCATTATTAATTGAATGAGACCCATGCAGGTTTTCGTCAGTCGAGACACACGAGAGACTGCAATGGTTGGTCTGGTTTTGTGGATCTCCCCATCCATCCACTTCTTAGACCATTCTCCCGAGATGGGCGCCACCCGACAACGAGCCATCGATCCGTGAGGAGGCAGGCCGACAAGCCGTCGGTTCGTCCATTCATTCATCCATCTGTCCATCCTTTGGCGATTGGTATTCGGAGTGGAGCTTTTCCGAGCCTGCCTCAGCTCGCTCAGCTTCCCGTCCTCTGACGGAGTCGGACCACGTAGCACAGTACGCAGACAGAATCCGAAAGCTTCCGCCCTCCACAGCCGGGGTAGAAACAAAAAAACGTCAGAGTAAGTTATGGTCGGCCGAGGCTCGATACCCTGGCCCTGGACGCAGGGTCCATTCTCAGGATCGAGAATTCCCGAGAATTCCGTCGGGAGCGGGGCAAGCGACGGGAGTGGTCCTTTAGTGGATGATGTCGATTTTTTTCGGTCACGAATAAGCAGAAGGCTTGACGATTCCGCATGGAGGTGGCGAGTTTTTCTTCGTCGATTCGATTGATTGCTGATCGAGAGTGTGTCAGTTTGATGGTAATTCCAACAACACCTCCCGTTTTTCATTTGTCCTTTGCGAATCTTTTTCATCTTCTGCGTGAAAGGCAACCTCGCGCTCCTCCTCTTACATCAGCGTGACTCGATGCTAGAACGAGCGTTATCGAATATCCGCCCTAGCAGGTCCAGCCGTGTCGATCCAGCGAAGAAAAGTGCGGGATCGCAGGCTCCGTATGCTGCCCCAGGGCCAGATCGTCGATGGATGATTCAATTTTCGGCTCAATTAAAACTCCGAAGGGAGCCCCGCATCTCCTCGATCTCGTTCACGTATACAGAGGTTTGAGACTCACGTCTGCTCAAAGCCGACTTCTAGTCGCTCGACGAGCCTCGCCGAGGGATAGTTGTATGGATGGATTGGTGAATGTTTGTTCGCTCGCTTCCTTCATTCGTATAGCCGGCTAGCTAACTGGTTGTCGGTCTGTCCGTCCGGTGTCTTCTCGATTTTCACTCTTGCCACTCGACTAGAAGTGTGTGCGTGTGCCTGTGTTGTTCAACTGGCTGCGGCGGCGGCGGCAACGACGACGACCACCACCGCCACCACCACGATGCCGATGGTGTTAGTCGGCGTCATCGGTACAAGGTCACGGCTCGCTCGGATAGTGGACGACATCGCTGAGCAGCAGCAGCACAACCACCGTCACAATAACAAAGCGAAGAGCGATAGAACACCAATAGAATCATAGTGAAACTTTTCATCGCTGCGAGAGAGGGAGGCGCCGCGCTACGTTTTACAATACGGGCGGATATTATAATGAAGCAAGTTAGCGAGCGACTCAGTCGAGCTTCCACTCGGAGTCGTTCGTTCAGATGACTGGCTCCCTATTGCCCCGATCGGATCGCATTCCCTCAACCAGGAACTCCGCTCCGATCAAGAAACTGATTTTCGGTCTTAGGGGCTCCAGAATCTTTCGAGACTCCTCAGCCAGTCGAGCGGAGACTCCGGTGCGCCCGCTGAACGAGTCTATTCCCCTCGGGACGACGCGCGATTTCTGTTGCGGATTGGGTTGGGGAGGACCGTATAAGAGGGACCGCCAAAAATGACGGATGCTGAAGGGGGAGGCGAGAGAAGATGCAAGAAAGAATCATCGCTCGAAATTTCGCAGGACGAAACGCGTTGACGTACGTAGGCAAGTCTCACGAGGAGCATCTCGTTCTATCAAGTGGAACGTGGAAGGTACAATCTCAAGATTAGCGAGGTTTTCGCTCGATTCTAGATTATTCATTCACGCAGACTCCGCTGGCTTAGACGAGAAGCTTGCTCAGCTACAACATCGGGTCAGCGGGCGAATATTGCCTGTTGACGTTCCGTCATCAAAGCCGCCACCGAGCCGTTTGATATGTCAAAGAAGGAAAGCCTTTTTAGTCGTGGCTGCTCTGTAGACTCGATGATCGCATGCCAGCGACCTGGCAACGCAGCCGACCAGGTAGTCGGTCTTTGCGTCCGCCCGTTCGTCACTCGGCCGGTCGGTCAGAGAATAGCTTGAAAAGGCTCGGAGGGATAGCTCCTGACGTTGGCGGATGGAAACAGCTTCACCATGGTCGACGGCGACGATGACAACAACCGCGGCAACAGCAGCAGCTGCGGAAACTATGTAATTGACATCAGTACTCGGCGCGCTGGCAGATGAGGAACTGATTCGCTATCTCTCGTCGTGACAGTTGTGTCCATTCAACGACGATCCACAGAGACAATAGTGTCCTCTTTGGTCCCCTCGCGAAAGGTCATGTATCCCGCACGCGTGCCATCAACGAAAGAGAAAAGAAAAACGTCAAGTCATCGGCGCATGATATTTCGTGAATGGTTCACAAACAGACCCCGAATTCCTCTTCATTGATCGGAATATCGATCAGAAATTCGGGATCAAGAATCAGGAGCGTCTCCGGATTTTCCGAATGCGCGGATATGTCCTCAACTTCCTTCGAATTTAGTTATTCAATGAACACTCGGAACGCGGGCCTGGATTCCCTCCTGCTCCGCCGAGAGACGATTCACCCTCATTCTTCCTCATTTTAATTCCTCTGGTTCCTCCCGGGATCTCGATCTGCCACAGCGACCAGCTGACTAGAAGTCGAGAATGCGGCAAGAAGGCAGGCAAGCGAGCAGCCGCCATTCCTATAAATACTCTACTCCGTCTTAGGCTGGCCGGACGTTCCTAGCTCGCCTGTGTTTGTCGTCGGAAGGCTGGCCGTCCGCTTACTCACTGGCTCGCTCTATTGTCGGGCGTTTTTCTGCAGTACGGCGAGTTCACCGATCTCGATAATCGTGGAAGGAGAGCAGAACAGCATTCGGGCAGACGGACAGACAGACGAGGCGTAAACTCGGGTCGGCGGGATCGTCCGTCAGGAATTAATGGAGAGCGCTCACTTGAGCTAAAAAAGATCTTTGGTAACAGAGGAATGACGTCACGCCTGCGAGACTCGACTTGCGGAGACCAGCGGTGATGAGTCACCGCGCGACGTTGCCATCGACGGCGCACAGCAACTAGGACCATCCGAGAAGCTCGCCAACTGTTGGCAAGCAGTCTGGCCGGATACTAGGCGACAGATCAGACGGAATAAGTTCCGAACTCGATCGGCCTGACGCTCTCTGACTGGCGCTTCCGAATGCCATGCAGGCGGTCATTCTCTCCATGGGACGGTCGGACGGCCTGACGACCCACTAATGTTGAGCGGATAAGCTCATATTCCGTCAGCGAGGAAGCTTGCTCAGTCAGAATTCCAGAACAGAGAGACCGCTCAAACGAGCGGCTCGCGTGGATTCAGCGTTCACTCGGGTCTTTGACCAAGCAGGCATGCAGTCAGTCGGTCTCTTAGTCAGCGTGTCGTTCGCTTGCCGCTCTTCTAGTCTGGAGGCTGTTGAGAGATGTCCAATCGAGCTAGGAGTCGCCTATGAATATCGAGCTGCCGCCGCGCGGCTCACCAGTAGTATTTCATTTAATTCTACTTGAATTCTCGCCGGTCCCACGCTGACGACCATCTTGCCGTGGAGCGGCGGACCGCGGAGAAGCCGCTCAAGACGAACGTCAACCTGTGATGATTCAGCACAACATCCATGACATATCACTCGTGGGTGCAGACTAGGGTCGCTCCTCAGAGAGCGTACTCCGCGTACATGAGACGTCAACTTGGAAGTTGAAAAATTTCAAGATTACGCGAACGCTGCGCGAATCTACTGGAGGCTTGGATTACCGAGCGGAGGGAACATGAGGGAACTTTTGGGCGCGGGTCTCAGAAACTAAATTCCTGCGCTCTAGTGCTCATGACGACGCTGGTTTCCTCTTTCAGCTGCAGCCGGATTCCCATCTGTTTGCGCGTCAGCGCCTGCGACGCCCACGCTGTCACCTCTAAACCGGAGTATCACTTCTCCGGAGGGCAACTTGCCTCCGACATTAGCAACTCCCGCCGGCCTTGTCGCCGTCCCGCCTGAAGAGCGAAATGGTGAGGGAGACCATTTCCAGACCCCTGTCTTGGGTATCGAGATCGGAGAAGAGCTGAGCGTCGCATTTCTCCCGGCCTATCCCGAAGACGAGAGCGGTCTTGTAACAGGGTTTCATTCACTTTCCAGGACTCCATGTCCAGGCTCCGGAAGGACGACGACACTCGCCGCCTGTCGCCCCGAAAAAGTCCCGCCATTCATTGTCGGCCCAGGCTTCACAGGAGGGCGGAACTGCCGCAACCGTGCCCGTGTCCTCAGCGGCCGCAGCGGCAGCAGCGGCCGCAGCTGCAGCAGCTGCCGCCGCAGCGAAGGATGTGAATCCCACTTCGACCCTGAAGTGTACCCTGTGCCAGCAACGCTTGGAGGATACTCATTTCGTGCAGTGCCCATCAGTTACTCATCATAAATTCTGTTTCCCCTGTTCGCGAGAGAGTATACAACAACAAGTGGCCAACGCAGGTGGAGAGGCAAGTAATCCTGGTGTTTCTATTTTTTCCTAGCCCGAGATCGATCGCTCGCCCTCCCATTTTTTGATGGGGAAAAAGGGCGAGAAGCATCTCTCCCGTTTCCGAGTTCCTAGAATCGAACCTCTCCGTGCGTCAGAACGGGGAATGAAAACGCGTTCTCTCGGGGGAGCGACAGGTCTTGGAGCTGGGGTTGTTGTGTTCCACTCGGAACTTCGGCTTCGTTGAAGTTGTCGGACGCGGCGACGGCGATCGCTCAGCTGCGTCACAACTCACAAGGCGTCCGGGATAAAGGCGGAGGGAGTGGACGAGCACGGGAAAATCAGTTCCGACTGCTTCCCTCTCTCTCTCTCTCTTCTTTTTTCTGTGTTCTCCGCTCCGCAGTCTTTTTCATTTCGGTGTTACAATATCATCCAATTGAATAAGAGCAAGGGCCTACGAGCGGCCATCATCTCAACGTGACCGCGGGCGACGTGCTATCTAATAGCAACGTGCTGCCCCTCTTCGGTCGACTTCATTGGACGTGCACGTCTCCTTCTGAAGGGAATCGACTAAGCACATCGAGTTGGGCGTTTCGATCTCTCTGAGCTGGCAGCAGGATAATTTCTTCATATTATGCTCGGTCAGAGATCTCCTCAGAACTAATTTGATGCTCGCATTGCAGGTCTACTGTCCCAGTGGCGAAAAGTGTCCTCTGGTCGGGTCAGCGGTACCGTGGGCATTTATGCAGAACGAGATCGCTACGATTCTCGGCAACGAGGAATTGACCCCAGCGAAGAAAACTCCCACTCCACCCGCGTCACTGTCCGCGTCACCCGCATCGACGGCAGCGAGTCAGCAGCAGCCGCAGCAGCCACCTGCTCTGCGGCCGCAACAGGCGACGACTCCCACCACTCTGGCGAGCGCGTCTCCCGCCACATCTGCAGCATCTGCGAGCGCGCCGACCACGAACGGCAATTCAAGTAATTCGAGAGAAAACGCATAGGTTTCCGAAATCGTTGCAACAGTATTTGTCACTGGTAGTCCTTTGCTCGCATCCTCCCTCCCATGGCTCCGAGGACGATCTCTCTCTCTCTCTCTCTCTCTCTCTCTCGGTGTCAAGAGGAAGGAGATTCGCGTCTCTCTTCACTCGAGAATGAGAGTCTGATTTGTGAAGGAATGAGAAATTCAGCTAATCGATCGTTCACGAGCAAAGAAGGCGCACGGGATCGTTCTGAAGTCGTCGGCGCGCGAAGTCGAGCTTCGACAGCCGCGCACGTAAATACGCTGTACAGTTTTTTTTCGATTCTCACGGTACGGTCGATTCGAGCAATGGATGACGATAACACACAGAACTTGATGCAGATAGACGTAGCTGATGAGATGTAGTTGAGTGTCTGACGGGACATACGGTTATGTAGACGGAAGTCACATTGTAGTCTCACAGCAGAAGCAACGAGGAAACTTAATAAATGCAGCAGCGAAGACAGCTCGCTGTTGATCCACAGTTGATATGTATGTAGATAATATAACTTTGATGTTAGAAATTCGTCAGTCATTGACATCATGATTATCATCACTTTATTTTCCGTCTATTGGATCCGAAGATCGAATAGAGGAACTTATTAGCATCAGAGGGACGATGACGATCTTTCGTTGGAGACTTGTCGGAATCGAAGTAATAACTTTAATTATTATGATGACGGCGATGATAATAACAATAATATATGCAGCTTATTGAGTTGTCGGGATGTGTTGTTGTAGCTGTTCCTCGAGTTCAGGACGCATCCCTCGACAGACCACCATCAGAGATCGCTCCCTCAAGGGAAGGCCCGTATGGAGGAAATTTCCGCGCTCACAAAGACGCCCGCTAGCGGTAGAGTATTTATAAGCAGGTGAAGTAAGGTAACGAAAAATACACTGTACAGTTATTGATTACTTGACATCTTGCGTGGTGGTAATGAAAAATAAAAGATATTCAAATGTCTCACAGGAATGAGACTCAGTTATATAAAATAGAAAGGTTTTGTCTTTCGTCGGGTCATCTCTAACTGGTGAGCTTAGGCTTCATGATTCCCGTGCGAGGTTGAGATTTTGGATATTCAGCTAGATTTTATTCGATTCGCGATTCCTTTCTTCTTCGATTTACTGAGGGAGCTTCACTCCGGATCCGGTCTCATAAGCTCCGGAGAATGATCCGAAAGCGAAGTCTTAAAGCTGGACACCTCTGAATCATGGGCCATCCTTTCATCTTCGGAGTCTAAGCATAAGCGTCGCAAGCATCGATAGTATCTCAAAGCAACGCGCTGCATTGATTGATAATCGAGACTTCACAATGGCAGACGATCGCAGAAATTAGTTGTTTACAGAGGTAGCCCGACTTGACTCGTGAGGGTAGTTCCGAAGGGGCTGGCCTACTTGCTTCGGGCTCCGTTTAATATTGAGAGATGTGCTCTGCTCCCGTGGGTTCACCAAGCCTCGGATTGAAGTCCAGTTGTCATGGTGCATCGACAATCCGTCGGAACTGCAGCACTGATTGACTTTGAATCAGGACTCGCGGATCTGCTCTTGACAGGAAGGGGTACCGTCGATGTTCAAAGGGGCATCCACGATCCTTACAGACTCTCACCCAATTTTCTAGCTCTCGCCGAGGGATTGCCGCAGCCAGACGAGGTACAGACTCTCAATTCAGCCTTATTCCTGTAAGAAACGTCCGCTCACTCGACTTTCTCGATATTTGATGGAAAGATTCGCTCTTCGGAAGGAACTTCGAGTGTGGGCGAGCACATGAGAATAGAGGTAGCATTTGGCACATATCAACAATCCAGGTTTGGGCCGAGAGCGGTCCACAGGATTCCGGGGGAAGTCTCAACTTCGCTTGTGAGCGTCTCTTTCGACAGGCGGCCTTCCCTGATTGACCATCGGCAACCATCCATGCTGATTCGGAGTCCGCGGGAAGGAATAGGCGTGCGGAGTGTCCGGGGATATATTCGCATGTGACCGGCTGTCCTCCGCTTGATGACGTTCCTCTTGGATGATTAGCTTGTCCTCGGGAGCAACGTTCTCGAAACCCGTTTGATGGTCAGCTTCTTTCCGCGCTCGATTCGATTCTTCTCCGGCATTGAAATGATTCTTGACCGCAGGCTCGTCGAATGGGCTGCCACCCACATTCTGAGGCCACGGGTCTATCGGGGGTCTTTGTCGCGGACCCTCGATTGGCTGGATCGGGACATCGCTCACATCGAAGTGCCCAAACTTGCCGTTTTCTACGTCGAACTGCGGGCGTTGCACGATGGTCGCGTCCCTGATCTCTTTGACTTCGTGCACCTCAGCGAAGTGGGTCTTCTCCGGAGACGACCAACCGTAATTCTCGGTGCTGTGGGCCCGAGGACTATCGGTGAACTTGGATTCTCTGAAGCTGGGCGCTCCTTTCCAACCTCTGCTGGACCCGTCTTTGGCTCCATTGATCATTTTCGTCATGACTCCGTTCGGATCCCCGAAGAACCCTGCCGCTTCCAAGGCCGGGATTATCTCTTCCCGAATTTCGACTTGATGGGTATGTTGCCCAGCAGACCCGAAGGTATCCCGCTGGCCACCCTTCAAGGTTGGAACGCTCTCTTGAGGGAAGGAATTCTTCTGAAACTGTCCGTCGAGACTCTGATGGGGCGCCCAGCTCTCCGGTGGAGCCATTTGATTTTGCCAGCCCGAGACTTGATGCCATCCGCTTGTCCCCTCGAAGTTCCACTTGTCTTGACCCGCATCAGCGCCAAAATCCCATCCTTCATTCATATCCCATCCTTGTCCTTTCCATGGATCCTCTTCTTCGATAATCTGGGAAGGGCAGACGAATTAATATGCTGACCATCGGGAGATTCATCAATTATTACATTTTCGGAATCGATAACAAGACGAAGTACATATACATGAGGTTTTCGTGGAATAATTGAGACAGCAGACCTTGAAAGACTCTTTGTGTTTGTGACGTCCTATGATCGGGAACGGAATGGGGAGCGGTATAAGATGCGGGACCAGAACCTTGGCTGCGAGGGCCAGTTTTGCGAGTTTTTTCAGTTTGAATTTATGCTTGAGATGCTCGAAACCCCGACTCTCACAAGCCAACATGAACACCACCACCGCCACGAGAAGACGACAGAGATTGCAATTCATTCCACCTGCGAAATGGAAGGTTAGCTGAATAACGAGTGACACTCCGGTTACTTTTTGCCGAACGCTACCCTCTGTGTCACCGAAGAAGAGCTCTCCGATGACGGAGTAGGGATTAGGAATCGATTCTGACCCGCTCTTAGGATTTTCGGTGAGAATCCGTGCATCACTCCCTAAGCCGGACCTTAGCGAACATGATGAGCCCCACGGCGGATGGTGCATAACGAAACAAACGAAGACGAATGTCACTGGACATCATTGCAATCATGAATCATGCTTGTCTCGCCGTTCTCGGAACCGCGCTTCCGAAGAACCGTTCTGTGAAGGGTGCGTGACAATGCACAACAGTGAACTTTTCCTGCGTTGGTCGGTATTATTCTCTATGTGATAAGCGTAAGGTGCCCTGTTCTTCTGAGCTTCCCGTCGGAAGCTGTTCGTAGTGCCTTGTGGCTCATCTTTGGGAGCCGGCCCCTTATCCAAAGGTGATAGCAGCGAGATTCTATCAATTCGTAAGATCTTCAACACACGATTAAATCACGGCATTCACGAAAGTTTTCAGAGAAATCTGGCGAGCTTATGAAGCGCCGCGGAAGTTAGCCCTTCCGTCTTGTCTTATGGTTCCTTTATAGAGGGTCGCCTACGTGCGAATTTTTCTCACACTAAGGGACACCAGGACTTGTTGACGTTATCATGGGACACCCATTCGAGAATGCTCCACGCATTGCCAGTCAAGGAGGATCTCAATCGCTCGGAGTTCCGGCGAAATCCAATAGATATACATAAGTGAGGCTGGGAATCATTTACGGCATTTTTCTGGAAAATCGACGGAAAATTTCAACCCTCGTTGACTTCCTACGGAGTATCGCCTGAAAATATCGTAGAATTTCAGGGCTTTTGGCGCGACCGCGCCAACTTACCAGTCCTAGGTATATGTATTGATTATACATGTACATTCCATCACCGAATTCTACCAAATCAACTCATCTTCTAGGGAAAGAAATGCAGGAGCGAGATGGGGGATGTTAGGGAGCGAGCGAACAAGCGGCCGCAGATCATGGCTCACGAGTTCCTTGTCAACAGAATTTTCCTCTTCTATTCTCTCGGAGGGATAAACGCGCTTATCGGAGTCTCCACCTCTACACTCAGGATCAGGAGTGTCGTGACGTCAGGGATGTAATCGTTCATTCCTTAAACTCTATCGTTCATGATTTGAAGGCCTACTTGTGTCGGTGTGAGTCGGACTTCGATGAATATATCCACGGGTGAAACACAACAGTATACTGACTGTAACAGCGACGGGTCACTCACAGGCTAACATACACGGAACACGGAGCGAAAAGTCGCGCGCGCAAGGTTTTAACGCGGGCCGCAGACAAAGCTTTCTTCCTCACCATAGATCCCCCTCCCTGGAGAAGAAAGAGCCGCGTTCCGGTTAACAGGAGCGGCGAGTTTGATTTTTGAATTCATCAAGAGAACTGTTTTCTGCCCACCCGCTCCGGCGGTAAACACGTACCTTACATCTCCGACTGATCCACTCGTAGAATCGGGATTCCTCGCTCTTGATGGGACTGGAATCGGATTCGGGCTGCCGAGAGCAGATTCGGGATTTTCTTTCTAACGGGTGCGATGCCATTTGAGCGCATCGTTCATCTGAGCGCAGGAGCCACTTAATGAGAGCAGTATCGATCCAAGCGCGGAGGCAAATTGAGAGCAGACTTGATTTTAACCCGGATTTTTTCTTCATTTCGATCGTTGATTGATTCGGAGCGCATCGAACTTGACCACCATATAGTCACGGTCTTTCTCGGCTGTACACCTGGTTGGACTTTCTTACGGGGTTTACCTGAGCCGCATCGGATCCTGACTCGGGTCGCCCGCGCGGCACCGGAAAGTTCCAGTTCCTGGAACTCACAATGACGCCACCACGAGCATCTCGGACCACTGATAGTAATGAATCCAGAAGAAATACACGTCTTTATGGAAGCAAGCACTCCGAGTTCGGGGATTTGCGAAAGCTACGTGGGCTGATGATTAATTTCTTCGAATCCAGCACGATCGAGAATGAACCCGGGAAAGTATTCCTCATTATCGCCTTCGAACTTCCATGCTCGCATCCACGTTATTGCTGATGGTACACCGACTCGGATGCTCGTCCCAGCGAACAGCCGCAGTCGCCGTCTGTGTTTTCTCAGCTTGGGGGAAGCTCTTTTTCATTGACGATATGGGACATTAGGGTTTCTTGGTTGATGAACCTCATCCGTAGACTAATCACGACGGTAATTCACCGCATTGCCGTAGCCGATCAGAGCTGACGGACCTCGGTCCAAGCATGGCCTCCGAGCGCGAAAGACCGTCAGTCGCTTCTGTCTCATTGTAACTGTGGATGTTGAGCTGGAATGAGTGTTTGAAGACAGATTCCCACCGTGGACTCAACCATCCTCGAGAGGTGTACGATTTGGTGCGAGTTCGCATGGTGGAGGTCGTACCGTTGCGTCCCGATCGCTTTCGTTCAAGGGGGAAATCGTCGAAGGTCTTCGTTTTGCTAATTCGCTGAGCTGCTTCCGAAAGTGCGATGCCGACACGCGCGGGCAAGTCACACACAATGACCGTCTGAGCTGCTTTCAAGTTCTCTTCGGCCTATAGGGACTTTGTCAATTTTGTAACAGTTCAGGATGTCGTCTTATTGGATCTTGGTTTGAGGATCGCGACGCTCTTTCGATGCCTCGCCTTCACGAGTTCAGTATTAGCGACCGCTCCCGAAAGTTCAATTGAATCATTGTACCTCCCTCGACTGCGACCGCGAGGCCGGATTCCGCGAATTCGAGATTTTCCGGAATAATCACGCAATGACCGGCACCACCAACGCAACTGTCAGCCCGGATAATGCGGCAGTCGACGGCATGAGAGCGCCCTTTTCTTCCCCTGATACGAGCGACGAATAACCTCTCGACTGTGATTTCGATGACATATTGAATACATGGGATCGATCGACAGATCGACGGAGCGAGAAGCCGAGATCAGTGATTACGACTCATGCAGATTTCTTCAAGCTGACATCGAATCATACGGTGTTATGTCAAAGGTCAACAATTATGGCATTGTCTCCCTGCGAGCGACGGCGAAGAGCGGGCAAGTGTGAGAGAGTGAATCAGGAGCGACGAGAAAGTTTGTCAGCTCATCTGTTCCCGCTCTCACATGCCTGTCAAAACTAAGACGCAGTTGTGGGCAAATTCATTCGTCTCCGATGCGTCCCGGTGATTTTACAGCGTCCCGAGCCGACGAATGGGTTATGAAGAGCGTAAGGGCGAGAAGAGCTCCGCTGCGAAATATTCTGCCACACGCACGGCCATAGCTTAGTCTCCGAGTCCCTCGGAGCATGACGCGCTTGGATATTATATTCAATGTTATCAGCATCGGTCGCGCGATGGGGAGGATTTTGACTCCCGACCTCCTGTCGAGGAACCGATGCATTACCAATCCGATTGCAGGGAAGGTGATCGTAATGATGGAAACAACGGAGGAGCTCATCATCTGAGGAGGAGATCTCTCTCGTAACGAAAACCACAGCGGCGTCGAAGGTCTCGAGTCTCGAGTTGATCTTGGTGATGTTCATGGACCGAGCATCCGCCAGCTCTCAAGATATCCATTCGAGTCGAGGAGTCTGTCCCCAACAATATCGACGACACTAGGATACCATCTTAGCCAGGAAACCAACTTATCACTTACATGATCGGCAACCGAGAAAGTTGGTTTTTTCATTCCAAGAAGCGGGATAGTTATCTCTTACGTCATAACCCATAACAGGTAAGTTTCATCGTCGTTGTGAGATCCTCCCCAGCGTATATCGGTCGGTGGATGGCATCTAACTTCTCAGAAACGACCGGTTGGATAAGCTTATAGTTTATAGCGACCTCGTAAGGTCTCGCGACGGCTCGGTTCATTCCGATTGGATAATCTTTTCGCTGAGAACTTGTTATATCAACGGAGAGCGTCGCAAGCAGAGCGTCGCATTTATGCAATCATCCTCCTCGGCGACCCGATCAGCTAACTAGTCGGCGTGTCGTCCGGATGGGGAGTCGAAGGAAGGAAATCTTCGCTTCTTCCGAACGGTTGGAGGGGATGCACAGTCCGTCGTCGTTCGCCTCCGTGTACGGGTCGCTGTACTGGAACATTGTCGGAGCGGACCGAGTGAGCGAGCGCGTAACCAGGCACTTCGCCCCGGGGGAAACGCTTACATAAGATACCAGATCTATCTGAGATGCTAAAGAAGCCTCATTGTTCGATCGTAAACTAGTACTTTCTTCGGATGACACAAAGTGAACTATTTGAAACGGTGAGAAAACATCCGCCTTTCGTAGTATTCGCTATTCATGCTCCGAGCCACAGATCCGATGAGTTCGTCCGCCGGAACCCAAAATTTGGGAGGGAAGCCCCGAAATAACTTTTTTTTCAATCGTACCGGATATCTCGTGACATGACTCATCTCATTCAGCGTCGAGGAGCGGTGATCTGGTGAAGAGCGTCCTTAGAAGTTTCTTTTAATGAAACCGTGGTATTCTACCGGGAAAAATCTCGTAATGGAAACTCAGACAAGCGGGCAAGCCATTCCTATCTCGGTGGTTCTTATCTTGGAGCGTACCCCTCCCTTGTTATCGAGCGGGCCTTGTTTTTTTGTCGCTGCTAATTTGAAAATTTGCAAGAGAAAACGTTCAAGTGCATTCAGCGAGTCCGAATCCGCTAAATGAATAGACCGAATCGCAGTTTAGATTGCTTATCGATGTTTCCATTCAACAATGGTGAAGTGTCTGTCGAGCGACCAACTGTATCTTACTAACGGTCAGGCAGGCGTCAGCTATGGCGAGCCGGCGAGCGGTCTCTAGACGACGACGGTGGTACTGTCAGAGCTGAGGTCAAAGGCCCTACGACGACTTAGAAGACAGACTTGACAAACGATAGAGCAGCAATTTGCGAATACCTACCTCGCCCATTACGACAAGACAGACCTGGCAGTGTTGCTGGCATTATCATCGTCGTCGTCGTCGTCATCATCGCTACTACCACCATCTTAGTCATCGGCGTCGTCGTGGACTTCGGCGAATGAAATAATCACTACAGGAAGACTATTTTCTGCCCCCACACCGTTCAACAAAAGTCACCAGCTTTCGAAAACACTGCCACCAGCTGGCTGCCATTGTAGTCGAAGACCGACTGCGGCGAGCGAACTCAGTCGTGCAGCAGGCATCGCGGCATTCAGCTTTCGGGTAGTTCCTGTTCCAAAGTCGTCATAGTGAATTCCATTCACTGCTTCCTCCCGAACACCGTCAGTCATATCGATGGACTGATTCAATCCCAAAGGCAGAATGGAGCTCAAGCCGTGCATTCCAGGCTCTATGATGAGCCGTTGAGTGGAAGGGTCAATCTCGGATTCAAGGTTCTCGACGCGGAAACGTCTCGGAAGTCGTCGAATATGTGGAGTCTCATGTCTCCTTCGGGGAGCTGAACTGACGCTGCCCGGTCCCCGAGTCCATATATGCTAGCGCGGAATTACTTACCGCCCCCTCTTGCGGGACTTGGTCGAAAACCATGATATTCATTCGACGAACAATACGCTCCAGGCTTATGCTTAGTATTCTGTGCCTTAGTGAGTGATTTTCTCTCTCTCTCTCTCCCTCCAAGAATGACAATCCGGATGCGCCTCGCCGCATACGGTGTTTTTCGGAGACTTTGCCGCGGAGTCAGAGCCCAGAACGGCATGCTTGGCACCTCCGGATCCTGAAATCAGGCCGAAAGGTGCCGAAGGTAAATGAGGTAGAGGATAGAGTGTGTATATCGCAATAGTCAGCTTTCGGGTTGGAGCGTTTCCTCGTCAAAAGCAAATGCGACTCGGAAAACGACGGTCCGCGATGCCGGGGTTGCGATGAGTAAGCCTTCTCAAGGACGTTTGAGTGGACGTTGACTCCGAACATCGCTCCTCCTCACGGAGCCTCGGGCTCGACCGTAGATGGACCGCTCGCGACGAACGGAGAAGAAAGTGAACACAAGACTCCTTCCAGGATATACATGGATTTTTTCATCTGTCTAGAGTCTAGAGAGTCCGGGATCGAGACAGCGAGTGCAACTTCGTAGAAAACAAAAACAAAGACGTTGGTGGAATTGCGTTGGCTTCGCTCCGAGGCTTTGTGGTTCTCTGAACATGTGATCATCAATTCAGCTGGTAGAGGCGTATCGTTGCGTGAGGAAGGGCGCGCACGCACGCTCGTTCGTACACATCCTGAATGGTGGAGTCGTACGACAGCTTTACTACCACTGGGGCACCGTGCAAGCAGCTTCATTCTCGTCTCGTGCCATCATTTCGCCAGTTCACCCGCTCGCCTTCCCGCTCCTTCTCTGCATGACGTCCACGAGCCGGGCCATGCGTGTGACCTAGACGGAGTGTAGAGGCAAACAGCACGGCAATTCGCCGACTTGTCGATGGCTGCTTCGGCTGCTCGAGCCTCAATGAGCTTTGACGGCTGGAGTACGTGGCTCGACTCCGGACGAGAGGGCGGAACTCGAGACGACCCCGGTGCCTTGAATCGAAGTCGTTGTGGTCCCGAATCCTTTCGGCCTCCTTCCAAACATGGCAATAGTTTGCTTTCTTCATCGAAACCCACCCGAATAACCCGCGAGCCCGCGATGAGGAGAGCGCATTCGAAGAATCTCTTACCCGGGTGAGAAATTGATCTCGTTGTCTGCTCAATTGCTTGGTCCCGGTGAATTAATCGTCGGAAGCTGATGAGAAAGCTGATCACTCGAGAGCGAGTATTCACAATGAAAAACCAAATCGATTCGTTGAACAACTATTAAATTTGGTTGGAATATATTTATCAAACTTCACGCAACAGTCTCATTCGGCCGGTCGCAAACTCCGCAGACAGCGGCCCGCCGGAGAAGCACAGCATCGATTTTCAATCAGGATAATGTTGTGAATTATTCATTGGTTCCGTTCGTATAAGCCTAGGTGAGTCTTTCGTAGAATAGAAGGTACGCCTCCGCATTGAGAACGGCCGACTCCGGAACAATGCGGACGCTTGAGTCGCTTATGTGATACCACCGTCCATCTGGGATCGCGACTTCCTCCTCGTCATCGATCACCGAATCTGCCGTTGCTGCCCCATCGCTCGCCTCGTCACTGGCGTAGCCTTGAGAGGTGCTCTGACTGGCTGATTCGGAGGCGGCGTCCTGGTTCTCGCATCTCCGATGCATTTCACGGATCAGGTCATCGAGTCCCATCTTCAGAGGCAGCGGCTGGAGGAACTTCTCTCCTGCTTTCGTGTTGGGTCTTACTTTGACGTAGGCGACGTAGTGACCACCATGGAGTCCGCCATCGTGCTTCACGATACCGTACAAACTGAGGAAAGCAGTCAAAGAAAACGTTATATTGACATTTAAATTTTTCATAAGCTATCTACGATGATGATTTTTTTTTCGCATGCATGTCTTCTCCCCTCTCTATGAAGATATGTAGCCTCCTTATACTAAATCTTCGGGCATGGTTTCTCCCAGAAGTTCCCTGATGGAGGCAGTCACTATACGGCCTACTGTAGCGATTCAAACTAAAATTCGAATTCGATCGATGTTCGTAGGCCAGCATCCTTCACCTGGGTGATTGATTCCGCTCACCTGTAGAGGATTTTGGTTTGGCCAGGCTTCATCGACGGAAGATTGATGCAAGCTTTGCTGCAGTACGGCGCGAGGTCAAGTACTTTTGGGAACGACACTTGGACGCTGTTTTTACTCAGTCGGAAGCCGTACTGGAGAGAAATTAGGATGCGTTCGATTAGGTCATGATACATGAAGATAATTTTATCCTTGTTCCAGCTGTCCCATGCAGAAGGGTACCGGGATCACTCTCGACTACTGGAGATTAGCGTCCGTCGCAGCCGCTCAGCCGAGGTTTCGCGCATTGTCCCAGGTTCGATAGAACTTCTATGGAGAGACGGCACAGAACTCCGCGGGATATCGCGGATTCTTTCCGGCCGCGACGAACGTCACCATTTGCTGGTAGTATGGTCGATAATCATGAGAGTTATGTTCGAATAATTAAGGTGCGACGGAGCGCTCCCTTACCTGAATGAATCGTTTGAGATGAAGCGTCAGTACCGCGGGAGGGATCAGCACTAAGACCTGCATTTGAGCATTTGTGTAAACTCGCTCTTTCTTGCCATTCTTTCCCGGCTTGCCATGTTCTTCAGTGCAATGGTCACAGCCGAACTTGTTTTTGCCGGACAGAACCTCGAGATCTGTGAACGCAGCCAGACAGGACACCACCGAGTGATCCGCAGGACCCAGAGCTTCTGAGCTCGTGCAATGAGATCGGTCGCCTAGAGTCGACAAGGAAAGCTCCTTCCAAACATCCTTGTGCTTCTGTATCAGCTCGTCTTCTTCGTCGTCCGGGCAAATGGATCCGACGCCGCTGTCGACTGTAAGGGCACGAGAGTTGTAGCAGATCTCCGGAAGGCTTCAAATCGATCATCATACTTGCTCAAGATCCCTGGACATTCGTTATCCGGACCGTGGGGAAACTCACTCTCTGATTGATTTTCGTTACTTGATCGTCGCCGCTGATTGATTCCGATCTCACCGACCTTCGCCAGGATGGAATCGACTTCTTTAACCTCTGGCTCATCGTCCGCGCTAGCCTTCGCCGCGTTCGGTTCTCCTTCGCCTTCTGCATCGCTGGCACTCTTCTCGGATGAGCTTCTGTCACCGTTGTCCCTGTGATCGTCGTCCGGAGAGTTCGAGTGCGAAGGACTCCCCTCTTTCGAGGAAGGCGACACCTCGGACGAGAGCGAGTTCTTGCGAGCCGCATCGCGACGGTTCCGTTGTTGCTGGAATTACATAATTCTCTCGATTGAAGTCGCTAATCCTTCGGTATGAGCTCGTCAACTCGTCACTCTTCTCGAGCATACACATTGAGCTGATCGAGTCCTCACCTTCTTTTTTTGTCTTTTAGCGCTTTTCAACTGATGCTTCGACGGACCATCTTTCCTAGTTCCACTGTACATTTCCTCTAGTTCGTCCATCATCGGATCGGGTTTCCGTTGAGGAACGATCTTCTTCTTTGGCGCAACGATCGGCAGGGATAGATCCACAAAAGGCTCGAAGTTCTGAGAAGACTTCCGGCATTGAAGACACAAAATTGTATTTATCAGGAGACCTCCGAACACTGTCTCTAGGAAAGTGTGATGCGTCTGCTTCTTGTACGAATCGATCTGCTGCTTGATGTGCGGCTTCACACTCTGGGGGGTGAAAAACCAGTGGATTATCGATGGAGGAGAGCCAGCACCATGTATCGAGCGGATGGCAGCAGAAGTGGTCGGGAATTCCTCTCAGGACTAACCTCGGGTGCGACGCTCTTCTTCAATCCAAACTTGGCGAGAATCGCCGACTTCATGCGTTTGCTTTCCTCGTTGAAAACTCCTTCGAACAAGTGTCGCAACAGCTCTTGGCTGTCTTGCTGCTGGTAGCCCCTGAATTGAGGGGACTTGACACAAACTTCGTGGAACAAACTACCGGGTGAGAAAACCTCCTTCGATCCATATAAGAATTCTTTAAAAAATTCCGCTAGAGCCAGAGTGAGCTCGCCCGGCTCCCCCAATGCCAACTCGAGAGTCTTCATGTCCTGGAAGAGTCGAGGTTTGAGACGAAACTCCGAAACATGAATCAAAGGTCATCGAGAAGAGAAGTGGCTGATCGACTCACTCTTATGACAGAAGCCTTCCCCAGCGGCTGTACCGTCCACTGTTTATCATCCTTGACGGCGGCGAGGCATGCGTCGGTCAGCAAGTGCGTTTGCGCGAGGTTCTGCATCACCGAATTGAAAAAACACGTGTTGCCTAAGTTGGACAAGCCCTTCGGCTTCCTCAGATTATCTAGTTGCGTTTCGAGTACTCTAATTCTGACACCGCCGATCACATCGGGAACCGTTTTCTCCGATGCCGATGTCCCGGGGTCCGAAGCGAGGGTGTTCGGCTGGCCGTCTGCAGCGTTGGCCTCTGCAAACATGGGAAATCTCGCGTTACTAGCGGAACACCCTTATTTCTGCTATCGGTTGAACCCAGGGTATGATCTTCAACCTACGTTGGGTCGGCGCTTGCTGGAAGGCCTTCACGCTCTTAGACTTGTCAGGTTTCGCTTGCAGATTTTGCAGCATCTGGATTGCCTGTGCGAGCGATTTCGTTTGAGCCGGGTTTATGTAGTCGTTGCAACGGTAGCACCACACTTGCCACGAGGCAATGTTGACCGCGACGTCGTGGGAATCGGATCGAGGCTTATTCTGATGTCGCTCTGCATGGCGATGGGGCGTATATCTGGGGGTGAATTATTCCTTATTTGAGCGACACCGTTTTGTGCGGCAATGTTCCTCGTCGGTAGATTCCAACGCAGGTCCTTCGGATCGAGTATGTATAGCCTACACTACCTTGAGCAACCCCGGTTCGCACACTGTAGGCAGACCCAGATTGCCTGCATGGTGTTCTGTATGTCTTCGGGTAGATCGGCGCCATTGGGTTTCTCTTCTTCGACTTCCTTCTCCCGGTCGTTCTCCTCTTTGTCACAATCTTTACATTTCGTCATATCGGCGAGCTCCCCTCCATTCGCTGCTTTCCTTAGATGGGGCACAGACAGAGCCTTATTCAGGTGCGAACAGACCGGCACTGGAATTTCACAAAGAATTTATCACCCTGCTGACTACAGAAGTGATTCGGGAAATTCTCGGCTAATTCGCAATATATAAGATAGTTCTCGGCTCGAGACAAGTCGCGGGGCAATTCCGCGAGCGGGCTCGGAGCGGGTATTCCCGTTCTGCTGCGAGTCATCGAAATGACGTTCAAAACCTCTCCAATTGACTTGGCTTTTCTCGACAGCAGCTTCCGGGATCACATGTCACAGAACCCGATTTCTCGAACCTCCGACTTCACAGATGCGCTCGGATGTGCAAATACTCCGACTTCGAATTCCCTCGCCGCTATCTCCCAGGAGCTCTGTGACGGCGATAGCTCATCCGTCATCCGTACGAGAAATAATTGAGATGCTTCCGCATCGTTCGGGAATTCTGACTGATTGGCTACTCACTGAGGCCGATTTCTGTGTAGTCTTCTTCATTTCGATCCTCGCTGCTGCTTCGACTCGTCTTCGCCATGCTACAAGTCGTGGTCGCGGACCCCGAAGGTCCACTCCAATCAGCCTCGACCAAATCAAAAGGCCGCTTAGTCGGGATCAGCGTAATTTGGTGAGTTGACTGGTGAGGTGAGTCTCGGGAACTTCTCCGTCGGGGGCTGCTGCAAAGCAAGAACAAGAACTTTGAGCGAAACCACCAGGTGGCTCTGCGGGCGGTAGATTCCAACGCTAACTGCAGAGCATGGGGACCACCGATACCGGATTCAAATTGCATTGTCAACCGACTCCGGCGAGTATCAGCGTTGAAAACATTTCGAGCAAGCTAGGCAAGAAGTTTCAAGAGGGTATTACCTTGCGTGGAGCGACTGGTTCATGGAGAAAGTCCGATGCTTTTGGCAAGTGTTTGGGATTTCGTAGGAATCAACATACCGTCGGGGGAGACAGATAGACGTGAAATATGGCTTGTACGCTCATTCGGATATCCGGCGTACTTTTTTACGGCTCTACGGGTGGTTAAGATGGCGTAAAATTGTACGTATGTTTCCCCGCGGGTGGACGCGCACAAGAAGAACGCGGGGTAAAGTCCTACGAAAAGGAAGTCCGCCGACGCGGGAGAGTGAAGACAATGACGCCAATGATCTCTGCTGGCAGCTGAAGCGTGATCGGGCCGTTCCTCCAACTAGTCCTCGATCCAAGATTCGGGTTCCACTAGGGTCTCCTCGGACTTCAGTCGGATCTCGCTGAATCTCGAACAATCAAGCTGTATGCTGCTTGAATCCCATGGACCACACGGGATCATGCCTGTATCACGCCGTACAGGCTGTTTCTCAACACAAAAAAAGCCTCATAGCCGAGTGGCGAAACTCAAGGATTAACTCGCCTACAGTCACGCACTCCAAGAATTTGCCAAGACCTTCTCCCTCCTACGTGATCTCGATCTGGTCCGAAACCCGAAAAGCAAGTTCAACCGGAGGGAATCCGTCCCCCGTCACTAACATCGAACGCGCAATGAACAGAGCTTGCGAATGGCGCGCAGGTCATTCCGAAACGCTGCTCTCGCCAATCTCGATCGGAGTGCGAGTTCTGAAACCCCCCGGTGCCTGCAACAAGAACGATGCCGCGTTCGACGGCGAGGGACGTTGAGAGCGACCGAGGGTCTTCCGATCCGACTGGAGAGGATATGGTGAGGAGCACTGAGATCATCACGCTCAACGCCCAACTGGTCGCAGAGTCTTGGAGATATTACTCGGGCGTGGATCGATACTTATCGCAGGAATCGCGAACTTATCGCCGGGACGAGCAAGACATGCTCCGAGTTGATGCCGGACCCGGCGGGGAGAAGAAGGAATGTGCCGAGATAGGATGATTGATTCTTTTTTTGGCCCCATGCTCTCCCGAACGACGATCCTGAAAATGTTCAGCAATGAATCTTCCTCTTCCCCTCAGGGACACCCCAGGGTCGAAGACCCGCCAGGCGGAACGGCTCCCTGACATGTTATCCATGCCATCACATGCTGTATCGAGACGAGATCCGAACGCGAGCAAAATTCTGACGTCTTATCAAATCCTCTGCGCTTTCTTGTCTTCCGGAATCTGTAGAGGAATTCGGCGGATGTCGGAAGCTAATGCCCAACAGTGGTGAATTCGCATTACTGCTCGACCCCAGTCCCCGCATCTTCCCACTCGCTCGTTCAGAGGAGCTCATCAAAGAGGTGATTATCTCCGAAATGCTCATGCAATCTACAAAGACGGGTCCGTTCGTGCACAAATGGTTAATTGTAGACCAGATAAACTCATTCTTCGCTGGTCGCCATTCCGCGACTTCGGAGTACCCTCCACCGCTCATCAACACCGACCATGTCGACACAAGAGAAGAGCCAGAGAAAGGCCAACTGCCGAAGGCGCGCCGGTCTGCCTGATGTTTCCTCCCTTTCAACCCCATGGCGCGACGAAGATCACCCCTCAGACTATTCAGGGGAGTTTTCGTTAGGACACTATCACTTGGAACGGGCAAGGAAAAAATCGAGAACGATGATGTCGTAAATGGCTCGATGTCGAGGATGGAAAGAGTTCGATTCCTTCGCTCATCTCACGCCTCTCCTGCTGAACTTCTGGCTAATGGAAAGTCAGGGGGTCATCCGATATTCCGGACGCTCTGCAACCCCCTGGACTCCGGAGGCACGGCAGGAGGAAGCAACGAGATCAGTAGATGAGCTCTCCCAGCATAAAATCGAATCCCTGTTCTCGAGCCTATGCACGCTACTCGTGTGGGATTCACCGACCGATATCGAACTTTGCTACTCCGACTGCCCCGTTTTGAGTTTCTTCTGCGGCCTCTTGACTCTTGTGGGCACAGGTGGAGACCGCGGATGATTCCCTCCTTCGCTACCTCGCATTCGACCTCAGCGGAAGGAGAGTCACGTAAAACCCCCGCATTACGACATGCGATGTGCGCTGCCTCGGAATGACCCGACTGTTCCGGCCTGTTCCCGAGGCCGGACGCTGATTCAGTGCCTCATGATTCGTTTTGTCGATGTAAATACATATGTACATATACATATACATATATACATATACATATGTATATCCGGATATGTGGTGGAATGGAACAGTGTGATGAAGGAACGAGGTTTCCGTCGGTCCCTTTTATCTCGCGATCACTGTGTATCTCTGAAATCTGCATCATTCTCTTGGCTCTGGTTTCGGGGAGTTCTGAAGGCTATCAAGAGCTCCATTGCATAATGTTCGTAATCCTTTTTTGAATTGGAACTGGTATAATTTCAAGCCCTTCCATTTCTTTATTGTCGCTCCCCCTCTGAGAAGCCACCAAACAAGAGAAGGGTGTAGGCAGCTATGGTTCATGGAGCTCGTGAAGGGAATTAGAAACGTCAGCTAGAATGCTCGATTCTGAATGCTCTCCCCCGACAGGTCCTTGGAACAAATGTAGGTGTGCCTCATGCGCTCGACTCGTCTGTCCCTAGAGCGAGTCCCCTCATCGCAGTCCTCTGCTCCCGAGCAGAGATCATCGTCAGCGGGACCAACTTGTCTGCTATAGATCAGACCATCTGACTGAGGGAGTTATACCTCTTAGTCGCGACTCCTCGCGCCCGATTCCCCCACTGTTCCTCGGGAGCGTACCCGTCGAGGTCTCCTCGCTCTGCTCCCGGACGATCCGGAAATCTTCGTCACCCTAAAGGGGAATCGGGACAAGACTCGCAGGCGACCGTCGCGGTGACAGTCCGGAGTCACTCTCCTAGCCGATACGCTCCACTCGCGGAGCGCTCCCCCTCTCATGCAATCGCTTTTGCTGACGCACTCACGCGCCAGAGCCTCGGATCCTTACCCACAGTTCGAACGTTGGCTGTAGCGACGATCCCTGGCTTCACCCTGTCCAACCTCGAACTATGCTCAGCTTTGACAAGGACCCTCCGACCGGGAGATTCCAGGTAAGTTGCGCGTGTTGGGGAATCCAGCTTTGAGGTTCGACTTTTTTCGCCCCCCCCCTGTGATGATCACTCGAGCTGTCTCGCGATTTCGAGTAAACGCAAAGGGATCTGGAAGAGGACACAGAGTGACCGAGTACAGTAGAGGATCGTAAGCATCGCGATGGAAATGATTGAGATCCGTCGTCGTCATGTTGAATCGAGGCTGTCAAATTCTGAAGTACCGAAAATTCGCAACTCGACCTGTGGACGATGTCGTATCGTCATCTACATTTTCGATAAGCTCTCTCACGATGAGTTCTTCGAAAATCCGCCACTACAGTCTGAGCTTCGAGGCATCCCCTGAGCTTATTTGCTCCGGGAGGCATGCTCGAACCGACTCCATTCGGTGATGTATTATGAAATCGTTGTGCAGTAGTTCGAGCGCGGTCTGCCGGGTGGACAAAATGGTTGCCGTAGAACCGCCCTTGACCGTATCGATCGTTCACTGACAGCTCAAAGCCTGCCTGTTTCGTCATGCATCTTGCGGCGGCGGAGCGGATACCACAAAAAAGGTCTCCGGCCAGACAACTGTGCTTGCATATATTGTGTTTAGTTGTGCTTCGCTCGTTCCCATTAAGTCGCTAACCGAGCCTTCTAGAGATGGCTTGTTCGAATAATAATCGTCACTCGCTCCATCTGAACCGAAACGTCCCGCTGTGATGATTTCGCCCGGTTCGAAATTGTTTTTCGCGGGAATGGGAAGTTTCGCGGCTTGTTGAGAGCTCCACTCACTTGATGCCCGAGGACAAGAAGCTCCTGGAGAATAGACATCCGCAAGCATGTAGAATTACAGGAGGCCTCTCAAAACGAATATTCGACCGCTCCTTTCTGCCTTCCAGGTGATGAAGGAGTCCGTGAGTTGATTCGCGGGTTCGGTGAATAGCCGGAGCTGATCGACGGTAAGAGGAACAACATGATGCCGGACTGGGTCCAGCATCACGGAGGCATCTGGGGCTTGTTCAGCCGGAGAATCCGTGCAGAGGTCTGGCACCTTGTCTTCGTCTTGTTGATCATGCCCTTGCAAGTGTTCGTTTCTTACGAGATTGCGCGAGCCATGGATCCGAGCTCGAGTCCCGAAGAGTAGGTTCCGAATGACTTTGGAAGTTTCGCTCAGCTCATCTATGTATTCTCCCGCCCTATCGGCGCTGTTCCGTGATGATCCGTGATCCGACAATTCTCGATTACAGCCGCTTCCCCGGTCGCATATTCTCCGACCATTGCTCTACCTTGATCTCACTCGAGTTGTGGCGTCGGCTGTATCTGCAACGCATCAAGTTGGGACTGATCGACGGATCTCCCGGGGCCCTCTATCCGGAAACGTTCGATCCAATGGGAGAGTGTCCCGCAGCAGAAGTAATGAAACTGCGCTACCCAGAGGGCCATTACGGGCAGTCTCACAAACCTCGCAATAACAGGTCTTTCCCGCTCAAGCACTTCTCCAGATAGTCGCTACAGGAATGAGTAGTATTTAGGAGCTTCCGGATCTACGGAAGCTCAGGCTCTACGGAAGTTCCGAAGATGGATTACCCCTGCGTTTATCGTTCATTATCGTCGTGGTCCTCGAATTTCGCAGGAACGGAGTGAAATTCCGGGTGGGGAACATGGTGCAGCATCAAATCCAAGGTTATAGGGGGGTCATCGTCGGATGGGATCTGACGGCCAAGGCACCCGAGCACTGGTTCAAAGCTTTATACGATTCAGATGAAGTGAGTATCTGAGTACCTCCCCATGGGGAGTGATCGAAACGGGAACGATGAGCTTTCTCGATGCATGATTTCTCGCCGATTACGAAAGCTTCGGAGGAGTCACTGACTATGGCGTCTGCTCGTTGACAGGTGGTGGCGGACCACATCAGAGCCGAGCCGCACTACGCCGTGCTTGTCGACATCAGGGATCTTCCGGAGCCACAAATGATATATGTTCCGCAATATCTTCTCATTCGGCATCATGTTCGCCTGTCGCTGGATAACGCGGCCTTTCACCAAATAGTACATCCCGCCACAATCAGCTACTTCAGTGAATTCAATGGCCGCAATTACGTTCCGCAACCCTGGCTCCGAGCTCTCTACCCCAAAGACTGACCGAGACTCGCAGACACTCGTCGTCCAAATCGAGCACGCTTTGTCACTTGTCCTAGGAGTATTCCGCAGATATCTTGCGGAGGCTGCGTCTGGTCAGATTCCTACTGGTCGTCTCGGCGGAGATATCGGACCGTAGTCAGAATCGGAGACTATTTTCATGTTTCGTAGACGCCGTCACTTGCGCGGATCTGGACCATATTTCGCCGTTCGGAGATGGACCGAGTGAGGACCCGGAGCTGGGGTTTGAAAATTTCGTTGCGGAAACTGTCCCCAACTGACGGCGCGACATCTGCCCTACGCTCGGACAGCATGCACTTGGAGAGCTTTACAGGGTGTTCGCTCAGGGCACGCCCGAAGCGACAGCTGACATACCGAATGAACTGCTGTGATACTCCCATCGCGATAGGTGATAGAATTTATTTAAATGAAAGCAAAGCAAGTAAAAATAAATTCCGTTCTCCTTCTCAGGATGATTTCGGGGTTTTTTATCGACTCCCACTGATCATTCTCTCGTGCTGTTGTGAAAATATACATTCGATCAGTATAACGGCTGCGATTCTGTACAAAAACGTCCTCAACATGGCTTATGGTTCCTCACAGCCGTGACATCCCTCGTCGAGTTCCTTGCTGCCTGGAGCTCGCCCCGTTTCTCCCCCATTGAGGTGTCCAGGTCGTGCCACGCTGTTCCGAATCGTTCATTGTCATCCTTGTCCTCGAATTTGGCAGGGACGGAGTGAAATCCCGGGTAGGGAACTCCGTTCGAACTGCGAGGAGCTCCTAGACCTTGGAGAACGTATCCGGTAGACCGAGTGATTTTCGGACAAGGTGATCGGCGATTCGGTTGAACTGATCTCGATCCTCGCGCCACATCTTCGCAGCATCAACGTTCGCTCCAGACTCTACGTTTGGTTCCGCCAACATTGAAATAACGGAAAGAAGGATTTTCTCCACGGACTGAACGGGACTCCAACGCTCCGAGGAGCATTCGTAGCCCATGGGGTCCTCACCTGGAATCGAGAATATCGTGGAGTCAGCATATGGTTAATTTCTCAACAATTGATGACGAATTTGAAAGCTCGTTGCGACTGGGGAAAGCTTAGACGGAGTGACTTGGACAAGAGCTCATACCCGGGGCGTGCAGAATAGATATGCAGACCCGTCCATCCGGATAAATATTCGGGTGATACATTTCGCAAGTGAATTGCATTTTCGGAGGAGCAAGAGGATAGTCTGGCGGGAACGTCAGTTTGGCGGAAAACACGCCTCCTTCGAAGCATGTGCCCTCTGGTCCGGTGATCATCGCTTCCCATTCGAAGAAATTCTCCTCATTGATCGGACCTGAAAGCGACAGCGTGGGTTGATCAGAACACCAAGCACTTACATACTTTGACTCCGCCCCGACTATTGAGACTTCCCGACTAGGACTACTGATGCACGAACTCTCCTAACTTATTCAACAATGAATGAGATCCAGACATTTATTTGATGCGGCGGTATGCACAAGAGATTACATTTGCTCTCATATTTCGTCTTCTAGAGGATCGAGACCGTCAGTGTCTTCGCGCTCGTGCTCTCGACAATGATACGGCTCGGGAATCACGTCGAGCAGCACTTGTTGTACCAAACTCATGTTTTGACAGGATAAAAAAAATATGCCAATAGTTTCGACCCAACAAGACAGGTCCATCTCAGTCGAAGTAGCCTAACGGCACCCTCTTCTTCTGTTGGGGCTCTGTATCCCCGACGAAGTCCTTTTTGGTTTTGCTCGATCCGGGCTCCACCGAAGGAACCGATGGCAACTCTGGAATCGGTTCCGATTCCTCAAGCAGCCGCTGGAGCTCTTCTTCGAGTTCTGACTGTTGTGCTTCAGGAGTCAAGGCACTCGAGATGCTTTCCTCGATATCTCGATGTTCCGCTGCGGCATCTTGTAATTCATCCACAATGTTATGAGCCTGGAAATCGTAATGCTTTATTAGCACAAGATGCATCCCGACGAGGTCGTCCGACCTTCGCGGCTGAAGGAGAGATATATGGATGGATCGATAGATCTCCTCACCTTATCAATGTCGCTATTGGCCGACTTCAGAGCCGAAGTAGCCAGCTTGAAGCCGTCGAGTATCTTCGCCATGTCTTTCTGACTCTCCAGATCGCTGTGCATCTGATAGAGTTGGTCGAGAACGGCGTACTGTTTCTCGAGGCGTTCTTCGGTGCGTCGTTTCCGACGCAAAGCTGCCATCGCCGACTTTTGGTTCCCTTCATGTTTGTGCTTCAAGGCCAAGGCCTTCAAATCCTTGATTTGCTGAATGTGTTGCTCAATTTTCTCGCTGATTTTATTTACCGCATCGCTTATCGAGAGCAGCGCTTTGTCATGGTCTGTCATCAGTTTTATGAGGTCCGAATCAGCAGCGAAAACCACCAAATCGTCCTTGACGGTTAAATCGGCCATGGACTCCAGGACAAGCTTGAAAAGCGCTTCGTTGTCGTCACATGTTCTTCGACAAGAGTTCCACATATCTTGGTACGGGATATGGGTGCCCGAATATCTGTTGCCGCGCAAAGCGTCGCGGACTTCCTTCAGAGTCTTATCGAAAACTCTCGCGTTCACGAATACGGTTCCCTGCTCAGGCGAGGGAGACACGAACCAACTCGATATCCATTCACCCCAGCCAGGCGCTCTCGTAGGCCTGATCAAGCCATCCTTCTTCAGGGATTCTAAAACCGGCCAGAGACAAACCGGCTGCGAGTTCTTCCTCGTAAAGTCTTCCATCAGGCTCTGCATTGAAAATATGGCTTTGTTCCGCTGCTTCGTGAACTTCAAGATGAGACGTTTCCAGAAATCCAATTTCTCATCGTGACCCAGAGGGTTGATGTGACGGGGTTTCAGATCGCGGAACAAAAATGCCATCCGTTCGTCATCGTCCCAGTCCTTGGGGAATTCGAACATTTTCGAGCCTCTGAAACTTCGTGCCGGTGAATGCGAAACCGATCGGAACGATGTTTTCGGGGCCCAAGGGCGCGCAGGCGTGCACTCTCCAGGATGTCACAACAACTTCATCAGCTCATCGCCGACAATCCGGTCGCTTCACGGATTTTGTCGCTTTCAGAAGCGAACAGCGAGCCGTACTTTCGTCTGTCGTGTGGAGCGGCTTTTTTCTCTAAACAACGGAGAGTCGTTCGCTCCCAGAGAGCGGCTGCTGCGAGTGTGGTTCACATCCTCCTCGTCGTCATGTGAATGTATTACTCAACGGAAAAATATCGACAGCCATGTCTATGGTACCCAGACTACCCGGGATGATTCTTCCAGGCATTGGAGGAATTACCCCTCTCCCTCGCATGAATAGTTGGCTGATTATCGTCGAGAACTTTCGGCAGCTAGAATGACACCTGGCTAAACAAGGAAGTGTTCGAATCTTCTAAAAATTAAGATCAAAACCGCTTCTTGCGACATTCCCAAAGCAGGCACCACGTCGATACAGAGCCGGAGTGTGAGTGGATGCATGGCGCGACAAAAAAGAAGGGGGATGAGATCCCGACTGCTCTCGGGCCACTGAGCGGACCTACCTGCGATAATTCCTTCGGGAGGATTCAGCGTGAGTTGCTTGTACTCCGCCATGAGACGTCGGAGCGCAGACCGAGCCATTTCCCCCACGACACGCACAAATCAAACTTGGAGGACAGGACGGAGCACAGGGGAAAACGTCACGCACGGAACTTCGCAGGGCTCTCCTTCAGTGTCTCCCTTCGATTATAATATCACTAGCAGAAGACCAGCTGGTTCTCGACGTTCTGCAAATCCTTAATCAACGGAACTGCCAGTGTTCAGGGATCGCTGCTGCTGCCGCTGTTTCCGTTATCGCGATCGATTCGTTTCTCTTCGTTTTGCGATTGCATAAGAGACGAGCAGTAGTCAGAGGAATGCGAATTGCCAGAACAGTGAAGAGGTAGTAACCATCTACCCTTCTCGATCGGCCCGGTTTCGACTATCTCCCAAGGGCAATAATTCCCGTAAGCCGCATAGGGAGCCTTGAACGAAGGTTATATACCGGAGGAGGTTCCCGGAAAGCGATGTGAGAAAAGTCTCTTGATTATCTCGGCTCGATTTGAAGAGCCCTGGTTATCTTATTTCCAGAAATACTCTCCCTCACGATTTCTGCGAACCCCCGGTATTTTTTTCCCCCTATTCTCCGTATTCCGCACAGTTGACAATTTTGGAATGAGGGTTGAGGATTGCTTGTAGGGGTCAAAGAGGCGGAAAATTTCTCATACGCACAGGTAGCTCCTGGGCGGTTCAATAAACGATATGGAGCATTGGATTTGATCTGCTAGATCTCCGGGTTGAAGATAAACTCGTCAGGAGAAGGGGGCTGGAGTCCTCCTCCAAGCGGAGGAGAACAAGAGCTATCATTGAAATACCACACCGTCGGTGTGAGTGTAGGAGAACGCAACATCATCGGTGCCTTGACGCGATAATCCGAGACGGGTCTGCGAAATCTCCCTTTTCTGGTCCCGCAGCCTCCGGAAGAAGACAGCGCATCCTTCAAAAATTCTCCGGGGGTGCCAGGAGTTCTAAGCTGGGATCAACGTCATCAGCATCCGGGATAGATTCGTCTGCGATCGCCTGTGACAGAAAGTTCGGAATAAGATGCTCACATGCGGTCCATCCCCCCGCATAGCTCGAGGCTCGTGGAAAATTTCACTCAGCATAGAAGACGCCAGGGGGACACCGCCGCTGAGTCTTTGTGACGTCGGAGGAGACGGCGCACGGATCCGACCGCTGCCCTCTCAGTGCTCTGGTTGCTCTCTCTCTTTACTGGCGCCGAACAATATTTGAGCGAGGAGAATTGTTGTGGTCGTACCGTGTGTCGGAGATGGCGGTCTCCAGAGAGGAGTTTATGCAAACGAGGTTGACGACGCATGGATTGAGGTTCGGACTGCTCCAGCTGGGAACCTTGAGGGGTTCGTGCCCTGGGAGTCCAAGAGCTCAGTCGTGAGCTCTCTGGGAGCGTCTAAAATAATTGGCAAAAAAATCGCCAAGCTGCGCTTCATGCCCATCAAGGAGGTGACAGCAGCCCAGCGCGAAACGATCCTGGCCGTGGCTTCTTGGGACGATGACGTGAGTAAATAGTAGCTCCGCGACGTTTTGAGAATCTAGAGCACAACTCCACATTCTCACTCGGAGCTATTTGCGTTTTTCCGCGCCGGACCGGCGCGTAATCCCGCCCTCCCTTTCCCGACCCGGTCCCCCCTACTGTATGAGCAACTGGTGTCGGAGCTACACATATCGCTGGGATTCCCATCGAATGCGACTGGCTTTCCCAGTCTGAAGTCTCGTATTCGCCCGGCACTGTCAGGTACGCAGATATCCATCGAGACCCGAAGTCATATGAGCTCAATAGTTTTCGGATCAGGGCGCGAGTGACATGTAGGTATATCGAAGCTCCTTCCGGTGTTTTGGTTCGTCATCGACCTCTCTCCATGATGGTCATATTTTGAGAATCATGATCGGAGATTTCATGATTGATGGGATCAAGTCTTTAGAGGAATCTCTCCCACGGAAGCGGATCGTTGAGTGATGCGTCGGTGAACTCCGGGCATGAATTGAATCATCAGTATCGGATATCTATCTAGATCGACCGCACGGCTAATCGTTCGTGACGAATTGCATCAGACATCCCCGTGTCACATGAGAGATTAGACTGATTCGAAATGCTGCTCGGATGCGAATAGTCGAGAGCTCCATTTTACAGGACAGTGTCATCCAGCTCTGGAGCATCTCACGGGACCAAGAAACCGACGAACAATGCGAGACCCACGTCATTGCTCAAGCCAATATGAAGGGCGATGTTGCCGCCATGGAGGTGAGACCCTATTAAGTTTCACCGCATCGCTCACCGTTCCTCTGCAAGTGGTATGTATATCATTCCGCAAGCTCCTGGTCGATGAATTCCCTCCTTGCCCATGAGTTCTCTTCCCCGACGAGGGAAAGCTAGGGTCCGATGCGATAGGGGGGCACGCTCCCCTGACCTGATCAAGTCAACGTCGCGATGGAGGATATGGGGGTAAATCCATCAGACAGGTTCATTCTAGGTATCCGATCGATACCCGGAGTCATGAATTCGAAAGTCGGGTGGTCGTGACTGAAATGTTTTATTATATTAGAATATAGATAGGATATGTCTATCTGCGGAGCGAGGGAACGCCGACCGGGAGCGAACTGAAGCGTTGGATAGTCTGTTCGGCTAAAGGAACGACATTGTGGTCTTGACTCGTCTGTTTCCGTGGCTTGCCTGGCGTGCACCGGGGGCAAAGAAGGCCGTACAACATCGCCGTCTGAGCAACCAGTCCGATGACGCCCTCATCGAGATGAGGTCGCGCCATGTGATAATCAACCGGGTCTATCAACGCGATGCATTGGCTGCGAAAATCGTCGTCGAGGCTGCTGGACAGAAGTTTCTCCAAGTATTCCATGTCGAACAACAGCTGCACAGCTAGTTCTTGTTGCGCCGTTTGCGGGAGACAAGCTCGAGAGTCTAGGACTTTTTGGTATGTGTCTTCTACGGCTTTGGCTATGGTCAGATTGATTTGTGCGACGACCTTGACCGAAACCGCGCATTCCATTCTGTCCCTGATGTAGACCGAAATCGAGAACAGAAGTTGACTCAATGGGAACAGGCAATGCTGGGGCACGTGTATGGACGTTGACTGTAGCCCGCTCTCACCCTCTTCGCTCATCTCGATGCGAGCCTTGACGGATGACATTTCCAGGAGGATGCGGTTCACCGGCGTTTCCTCGAAAGCTTTTCGGAACGTTCCCATGGCTTCGTCGACCAACACATTCATCGCTGTGGACGCCGCAAGATCCCGACTCTCCATGAGGAAATCCCTCCGTTGGGTCCACGTACTGCCGAAGACTTTTTGCAGATTCGTGCAGGCGGTTAAACTAGCTGAAAGATGCGATAACAACGACAGGAAGTAACAACAGCGAACTCCGCTCTCGACGCATTGCGAAACAAACGCGCGGACCTGAGTGAGCTTCTGCTCGGTCGCCGTGCTCGTCAACTCCGCGAGGGAGCGGTATTCGTCCGAAGTGACTTCGCCGTAGGGAGCGAACTCCGCAAGCTGATCCAAAGCTGATTTGACTGCTGCATCGAGATTCCTGCATAGAGTTGGAACGTTTGACGATTTGATGCGAGAAGCCTCGGCGAAACTCGCGTGAACCGAGACGAGCATCTGCTCGGTGGCCTTACTGATAATGTCCTCGAAGATCTCAGCTATGCGTCGCACGATTGCGTCACGGAAGAACAGCTCGTAAACGTTCGGAGTTCCGTTGATACAAACGGTCGAGAGTTGGATTTCTTCGATCGACTTGACGAGATGATCATAGGTTTTCGCTATTGCTCTGCAATCGGAGAAACATTGCAGCTCGAGCGCCAGTTTCTGGCGGCAGCTCTGGCGTATGTCCTCGATGAAAGATTTCGTTTTCTCCCGCGTCAGACTCGTGAGTTTAGCCTCGTAAAGGCTTTTCGGAAGTATACAGCGGAACTCGCTGAGGTACTGTGCCAGGAAGTGTGTCGACAGCGAAAGAGGGTCCTCGACGAGAGATACAATGCCTTCGGTGCTGATTCGGTGTCTTTCGAAATACTCGAGAAAGTACGGACGGTCCGAGGATAGGCACTCGGAAAGACTCAGAGTTTTGATGAGATATTGTGCTATTGCGCTGAATTTGTCTTTGGTCAACATCATCTGACTGTCGAGAATCTCATCCAGGCGCGCTCGTCGTTCCTGGAAGAATGTTTCTACGAGACGCTCGGGTTTCCTCCCTTCCAAGATCGAGAGGGTGCAGAGAGTCTCGGCGAGCGCATCCTTATCACAAACCGGATCGGCCACGGCGGCGAGGCACGCTTTGTTCAGGAGTCGTGTCGAGTTCTTCAACGACTTCTGCGTGGACGAAAGAACCTCAGCGGGAAGGTTGTTATCACGTAGAGCCACCTGAGCGAGGGCAATTAGTGCAGCGGAAGAAATCATCTCGCGGGCTTCGATCAGAGCTCCCAATTTGGCACATATGTCCAGAATCAGCTTCGTTTGAGCGAAATTGGTGAAAACTTGAGCATCTCTGCTCGGAACCTCCAGAGGACACGGATTGAATTCACCGCAGCTGAGCGGCAGCTGTTGGAGCTTCGCCGGTAGTTCATCCACGACTCGTTTCATGTTCTGTATCGTGTCGGCGGCATCGATTAGATCTCGATACCTTTCTCCGACCAACTCTCGGACCTCGTGATTCTTCTTCGTGATGTCCTGGAGAATCCTCTGGCGTATCTCCACGATCTCGGCGATCGAATGCTGTTGAAACAGGGCATCGGCACCGGTGCTCACCGAATCTTCGTTCGGTATCATTGTGTGATCAACCGTTGTTCTACCTCAGCAGAGAGACGTACGGTTCTTCACTATTTTGACAGGTAGAAAAAACATCGACACTACCTATATTTTGACGGCTCTGGCTGGCGGCAGCGACGTGGGTTGTTTACTTCCGCCTCCGTCGTTTAAGTCTTCGAACGTGGTCTGGAGTCTGGAGGGGAGTAATGGCGACAGCGCGAACTTTCAAACCCAGTATTCTCCCTGTCCCCATAACGATTCCACTGCTGTCACCGACACCAGCCTTCGAGGACGAGAAACGAGGGAGAGAGATCCTCCCAGGATAATAATCTCACAGCGAGATTCTCTTTTCAGTTCATCGATCCCGAAAACCTCATCGTTGCTACATCCGCCAGCGAGCTGGTCTTGAATGCTCTGTATCGGTACGCGCAACTGCTCGCCTCATCCAGAACTCCAGTCAAATCGCTTGAAACTCACTCGTGGGGGGGAGGGAAAACTCCTCCTCCAAAGAGGGAAAAATCTATGTTTTCGTTTCTAGTCCATCAAAGAAACCCGACGATGGCCAGCGGCGATCGAATGCGCGATGCCCTATTCAGGTCTCGCCGTGAGACAAGGGACCGAAGGCGCGGAAGTTGTTACGGTCGGAGAGGATGGTTACATCAAGAGATTCATACTCAAAGATCCCAAAGACAAACCCGCCCAGTCGATCGAGTCGGGAGCCGGCTCCCTCACCTGCGTAGCCTACCTCGGTCAGAATGAAGTTAGTGTGGGAAACCTCGCGGGTCGCGTCAAAATTTTCGACCTCAAGAATACCAAAGAAGTTCGAGCATGCTCACTGTGACTCGCCCGGGATGCGTCAAGACGACCCGGTCGGCATCACATGCATACTGCAGCACCCATATCAGCCCCATTTGGTATTCGGTGGTACGGAAGCGGGCTCGATTTGCGTTTTGGATCTCCGCCAAGAAGATCAACCTAATCCGTCCGCGTTCTACAACTGCCATACCGTTCTCATTCCCGAGTTACGTTTCCACGCATTGTCTACTTCCCATCTCATGATCGTGTGCTACGACGGAACCGCTCTGTGGTGGAACGCGAGCAAACTCATGAGTCCATCCGAGACCACGGCCGATCTCGCGTCCTACCGAGAACTGAAGAGAACCGAGAATTCCGGTAGGCGTTCCGGAGCTCAATGCCCCCGCCCCCCTAGCGTCATACAATGTCTGATATCAGCGGAGCCGATATCAGATCTCTCATCATCGACCTCTGTCCCTCGCGCGTCGGAATCTTCGTAGTTGTGAACCGAATTTTTCTTTCCAGACACGAGTGGTTGGCTGATGCCGGATGTAATGAAGGACCGTATGGAAATTGAGAGACTCGAGGAACCGTCGATATTCTGTGTGAACTCAGTCGACTCTAGCGGCGATTTGGTCGCAGTCGGTGGTGATTCGGAGATGCTACAGATTTTTTCTATTCCTGTGTAAATATATTGCTATCCGAGCTGAGCGACGGCGGAAAGAGTGACACCATGTTCTAATATATTCTCTCATGAGAGCGGATATTGGTGGCAGTCCCACATTGGTATCCATAAAGACACCTCTTCTCTGATCGAAACAGTGTCTGTATTACTTCTAGTTTATTACAACAGTCATCGCCAACTACTCTAGATGAACATAAGTCGAGTGCTGATCCAAAAATATGAGGTCGTACCTCCATATGATAATGAGTCATTCAAGCCTCCCATCACAATTCACGACTGAGTATGGGCTCGACGGCTTCCCGTCTGTGCTTCAGATTCGCAAGTATATCGAAATAGAGTTGACGACAATCAAACTTGGCCTTCAGTTTCGCGCAGAGGAGGAAGATCCCGGACAATTTCCTGTGAATCGAGTAGATCTCCTCCGGAGGTGGACTGAGCCGATGCTTGAGCATAATGGGCACTAGTTGAGAAACTTTCTCTTCGGTCTCCCGACGTCCGAAGTCGAATTCGTCCACGGTGAAAGCCTCAGCCAAGATGAGCACGGCGTCGCAATGAGCCTTGATCATGAGCTCCTCCTCTTCTCCCGTGAGGAATCCGATTTCCTTGGAGTGGCGCACTATGGTGTCGACGTCGCCGCGTGTTGCGGCATCGATGATTTTCATGTACAGGTCGATGAAGGCGACATCGTATCCTCGGGATGCGCCGAAGTCCAGAAGGATGATCTTCTCTGTCTCAGGCTGATAGAGGAAATTCGACCAATTCGGATCGGTTTGCATGAATCGATAAACAAAAATCTCTTCCAGAGTCAGCCGCAGAAGATTCTTCGCGACATAATTCCGGAGTCCCTGACTCGCGTTCTCCAAACGATCGACGGGCAGGACGCCCTTGACGTATTCGGACGCGAACACTCTCTTAGTGGTGATAGACTCGACGACCTCGGGTATCATGAAGACCTCTTCGTGTTGAAGCAATTCTTTGAATCGCTTCGATGCCGCGGCTTCGCGCTGGTAATCAACTTCCCAGGCGAGCTCTCTGCGAGCGACTTCGACGAGATTGTTGATGAAGAACCCCCGCGGCAGAATATCCCAAACCTTGAGAACCATCATGAGATTGTCGATGTCAGAATTAATTCCTTGCGCCACTCCCGGATATTGCACTTTGATCGCAACGTCTCGACCCTCGAAACTTGCGTGGTGAACTTGACCGATGCTCGCCGCTGCGAAAGGCATCTCATCGAAGCTGTCGAACCTCTCCCTCCAGTTTTCTCCTAGTTCGCGCGTCAGAACTTGGTTGAGTTGCCATTTGGGCATGTAATGAGCCGCGTCTCGGACCCGGATGAATAGTTGAGATATCTCCTCCGGTACGAGTTTACTGTCTTGTATGCTGAGTATCTGCCCGATCTTCAGAGCGGCACCCCGAACCTGACAGAGAGTCTCCACAATGCGGTTCGCGTTGGCCTGACTCAACAGAAAAGGTTTCTTAGCTTCATCGTTCGATGTCAGTCTCCGCACAACCTCGCTCGCCGTTCCGACTCCGAGGCCGGCGAAAAGTCCTCCGTAGGTCAGAGCTCTCCGGAATCTCGTCGCCGGGACTTTCTTCGCTTTGGAAGCCGCTCCAAGACCCGGGTCCTTGATGGAAATCGTCTCGAATCGTTTCGTGTCGTTCACTGCTTTCACCAGAATCTCATTTGATTTTATCGGTTCCTTCCGAGATGCAGTGCCTACGGCTTGTCTCAGATTGTACTCGATTGTCATTTCCAGTAGCTGACGGAGGCCTTCGATAACGACGCACAAATTGTTCAGGCCGAAGGAGTCCTTCGGAGAAATTTCATCGATTCTACTCAGAACGGTTCGCGGCGACGACGACGCTGGAGATGTCGAGCTCGCTGGTAGGCCATACTTCAATAGAGCCTGACTGACTTCGGACATCCCTCGAGCAATCATCGCCAGACCTTGTGAGAGATGCTCCTCGGGGCTGTCATTGACCCTCCGTGAATCGGCGATCGGGGGTGAGTTCGACGATGTCGCCGACAAGCGGACCAGCGGCCCCGCCAGGAAAGGTGACCTCGGTCGGAGCATGGCGATCTCCGTGTGAGCGAGTGTCGGAACTCTTGCACTTCTTGGAAATCACAGCGATTTCACCTCAGACGATTGATAAACATGCCGAGTTCGGAGCCTTCGAATCGCGCACAGCCGCTCCGACTGGGGCTCCAACGAAAACACATGTTCCGACGATTAGGTCGTGTTTACGGGATATCTAGCCCGGAGCGGGATCGCTCATCCGGAATATTCCGGGGGAATCTCGTGGAGATAAGGTCAGGAGAACTTCGTGAACTCTTCCGATCTGTAAGGGGGGAAGGGAGTAAATGCCTCAATCTGTTCGCTCGGAAGGCTCCTCTCCCGCCTCGCTCATCCTCTCAATGATCCGTCTCATTTAGCTGGTGCTGTCACACATCCATGAGCAGAGATCACGAGACCACGGACTCCTAGTCTTGTGCTCTCGTCAGAACGGAACTCGTGAACGATGGCGTCTCGCGGAAAGCTGATTTCGATTATTGGTGATGAGGAAACCTGCGTCGGTTTCCTCATGGGAGGCATCGGTGAGTTCCCAATCCAGTCCGTGGGGGAGGTCTCGGTCGAAAAAATACGGAGTGGCTCTGGCTGCTCTCTCATGGCCTTTTTTCTCGTGGCCTTTTTTCTCTCTAATCCCCGTTTGAGCCATAGGCATCGAACTCTTCCGACGCTCGGAACGTCGACTAGGAAAAAATAGAGCACCCCTGGCTCAGGTTTCCTCCGGGAACTGATGGAAGTATTTTCTGAATTCTAGGCGAGATGAACAAGGAGCGACAACCAAATTTCAAGGTTGTCGATAAAGACACCCCCGTGTCGGAGATTGAGGAAACGTTCAAAACGTTCGTCAAGCGCTCCGATATAGCCATCATCCTCATAAATCAGAATGTTGCCGAGATGATCCGTCATGAAATCGACAAACACACTTCTTCGATCCCCGCCGTGCTGGAGATCCCCTCGAAGGATGCTCCCTACGATCCGAGCAAGGACTCGATCCTCAAGAGAGCTAAGGGAATGTTCGGAGGTAGTGATTGAACGATTCATCTTAAGGTGTGAGTTCTGTTATTGCGAGGTGAATGATTCCGCGGGAAGATGTGACGCTTAGATAGGTTCCTAGAGGCTTCACATGGATAACTTCGAAGCGAACGAGTGTATGGTCTTTGGTTGGAGATTTCCGAGCTCAGCTTTCCACCTTCGTTCACGCCGGAAAATAAATGTGATATCTTAGAGTTTCAACCCGAGTCTCTCTGACTGATTCGCTTGTTCGTTATGAATCGACATTCCGCGCTACCGCCTGTGCGCGGAGCTCATGAGAAATTAAAGTTCATTCTGTTATGAGTCGAAATATTCAAAGGTCTTTATTTTTGAGGAACGCCAGCTTCAGCGGCTGATCCGGAACGTTGATCAGTTTAGTGAAGCAGTCCATCGGTGTGTGATGACGATATTCGATAGAGAATTCGAGTATCATCTGAATAAGGAGAAAATAATTAGACTTAGGCCTCCCGCTGGACTTCGGCGAAGCGGTATGAAAATCATCCTGATGATCATTATCGATCTCACCTTTGAAATGAGAACATTTATCGTGTTATCTGCGAATCTTCTTCCGATACACATTCTCGGACCGTAACCGAAGGGGAGATATGCGAAAGGATGGTTCCCACGGCACTCCTCGCTCCCTCCGACCCGGAGCCACCTCTCCGGCCGGAACTCGGAGGGATCCACAAAGTGCTCAGGATCTCTCGACGTCGTTTGATTGTGGAGGACGATCATGGTCTGGAAGTTTCCATTCGGTTGAAGTCACCTGAAGGCTTCAGATCTTCGAATACGCGGAGCCTACGTTCTTTTAGAGAAACCTACCCCTGCCGGTACGTTATACCCGGATAAAGTGATATCATTCTCAAGAATTCGACCGGTTCCGAGAGCGACAGGAAGGAGCCGATGGCTCTCCCGGGTGCAAGCTCTGAGATATGAGCATGCATCTAAGTCTCTCAGTGTCGGTTTCTCCACCCGATCGAAGAGTGCTCGGAGTTCCTCGCGGAGTCGATTCTGGCACTCAGGGTTCACGGCCAGGTGATACAGCAGGAAGGTCATGGCGTACGCAGTCTGATCCGAGAAGGAACGATACGAATGTCAGCAGTTGCCCACAAGTCGGTGGATCGCGTGACCTCTCAGACATTCGACAGCCCAGTCAGCCGCGTCGGATATTCTCAGAATACGTAGATACTGTTTCGAGAACTTGCCGTATCGATTCCAGCCATGAAGATGTCCGTGATCATCGTATACACATCGCGCTTGTCTCCTGGCATAGAAAGGAATTGCTGGAGTACGGTCGCGGACTCATCGCTATCGGCTTCGGGTTCACTCTCCGCCAGGTACTGGTTGACAATTCTGCAAGGTCGATAAGGGAAGTTTAGGACCTGGAACTTCCAACCTGGTAGGATCACTCTGGATCCCGCTGGGACCGGGGCGTCGGTAAGCGACGGGGGATCTCGTACACTGTCATCGTGTCCTGAGCTCTCACGAGCTTCTTGTAAGTTGGAGTGTCCCAGTACCGCCAGAAGGGTAGCCCGTTCTCGGTCAGCATTATGACCCTGTTGGTCTCAGCGGCCGCTTCGATGAGTCTCCGCTGACGGCTCGATGGATCCTCAGGTGCTTTCACGCATCCAAGTCGGGTGTTGAGGGCAAGTAGACCTGTTGCTGGGGGAAGGAGACGCCACCGAAGGTGTCAGTTTCTCGAGAACCGTTGAAGACAGGTAGTTTCAGTCATGAATTTCAACTCTGCTAACCTTCAAGCGCCCAAACGTACAATGTCGGCACGAAATCTTTCTCCGCCTTCGAGCCGAACTCGTGGCAGATATCCAGAACATCATCCGCCACGTCGAATAGTCCGTCTCGATAAAGTTCTAAACTCTCTTTGCGGAGCATGGGCATCTGGAACTTCTGTCGCAGCTCTGCCCATTCTGCTCCATTCCTGGAACGAAACTCGGCTGTAGTCTCGGAAACTCTCAACCGGATCACATCACGATGATGGTTAAATTCAGCGAAGCTTTTGGACGCTATTTTACTAACGTCGGGATTACTCCTCCGTTCCGGTAGGTGTTTGGTCTCTGCTCGCGGTACTTCAACAGTGCTCGATGACTCAGTCTCGTAGGATACCGGCCCTCATTGCGGAAAACTGTCTCGATGTCGCGTGGATCGAAAACGTGCACCAAAGTCCGGTCCGCGACAACTTTTTCTCGCACCAAATTACCGAACTCTCTCTTTAATTTCGCGGCGTTCAAGTGCATCTTAGTGATATCGAAGCCACCTGATGGATCGTATAGGCACATCGGATTATGATCGGGAGCGACTCCTAATCAATCTGACGAATCGACCGAGTCTTCTTTTCTCTCACCGAACGGTAGAATGTATCTCCATATATTCCCCACGATCGGCAAGGGTTGTGGGCCGGGGATCTCCTCGAAGGGTCGAACCGGCTCATTCGCTTCGTCTCGGGGCGAATGCTGTGAAGTTGCTGTTTCTGCGACGGGACATCGTACACTGAGCGAAGCTGAAATTTTTTCGAGAACAGAGCTGCTTCAAGATGATTCTTGGTGATATTCGACGGTAGAAAAGCTCTGAGCATCCTAGGGGAAGCCAAATTTTCCGAGACAGAAACGCTCACAAGTCAAGTAGAACTCACAGCTTTGACGAAGACTCGGCGCGCGGCGAAGAACCCGCATGCTCATCTGGAGCTTTGTCATCCTTTATGTGTGACTTTGCTCAAGTTATGATTGGAAGTACATCGAGAAGCCCAAAGATTCTCCTGCTGAAGTCTCGTTTTTTCGGCGTGTGAGTTTTCGGATCTTCAGCGGTGCTGTCTCCGAGTGGAGAGAGGAGCGAACTTGTTTTGAAGAAAGCGCATTGTGTGTCCCGCGACCAGATGTTGCAGTCTTCACAGACTGCAGAGCCGACTCGTGATATCCTCAGAAGACCGGTCGCTTCGGCATCTACTTCACTCCGAGTTGTTTGGGACCGCTCCGGTATTTGCTTTCGTGCAGCGGCGTACCGCGTTCCGGTGGTGTCCGGGCCAGGGTTCCTTGATATCGTGGTCAGAACGTCGATAAGATTCCCTCTCGTTTGTCTCCAATCATTTCAGAGTATTTCAGTCGCAACATTCGAGAAGAATCATGCCTCGATAAATCTGAGGTTCCCTATGAGTTGCGTCTACCGGTCCATCCATAAGGGATTTTCGCGGGCGATCTTGGTGCCTTGAGCGGATTGCTACCGGACGGTAGAGAACTTCTCCGACGATTCTTGTTTTTTGATCTATTGATATTGAATACTACTGATCCTGGAGAACTTCTCTCAGAGACTGAATCATGGGAAATCATTGGTACTCCTTTGCCCCGAGGCCTCTCGATCCCGAGAGGAACGGAGCGACACTCGCGCAGCAGAATACTGGCTCGAGCCAAGACACAATCAGATCTTGCGTGTCTTCGCTCGGAAGAACTTTCGGCTGTCGATCCTTGCGCAGAAAAATTTCTCTATTGCCAGAGTGATTCCTGATACGTATCGTGACTAGAACCATGTTGGCACGATGACCGTTCCCCAAACAAAGCTTGATGATCGAAGCATACCGAAGAAAACATACCACTCCCTCAACTTATGGTCGAAGAGAAATTCTCCAATCGGCGGACGCGGGCGAATTGCCGTGCAAGCCGTCACGCAGTCGTTATTCGATTCCTCTCACTGTCTCGATGGGATCAGAGCTAATGCACGATACGCTTTCAAAATGCGCAGTCTATCCGCAACACGATGCTAATCCAAGAGGATTGCTGTATTGGTGGAATGCGCCAGTGAAAGCGGACGCCTCTCCCAATGTGACCTCCGATATCGGGGAGCAGCAGGAGACGGCCTCCACAAGAAACGGCCTCCATCCAGGCGGATTTCCATCTGATTGTACGACCATCAAGGAAACCTATTGAGACCCTGGACCCACGATACACGCCGAGAGGATTAAAATTTGCTCCACACGTTTTCGGAGTCAGCGTCCCCGATAAAACAGAAGGAAGAACACCAGGCAATCATCCCCAACGTCGTCTTTATTCCAGGAAACAGGGTGCGTCACTCATTCCAACAGCTCAGGTCGGACGTTCCTCCGAGAGGACTACGCTTTAACATGTACATTCCGGCAAGCGTCGCGAAGCTCCGGCTTTTTCGAGAGTGACAGTAGATATCGTTCACAGAATTTCGTTCCTAAGTCTTGATATTTGCAAAGGGAACCAACCTTCGTCACTTCCTCCGAGCTTTCCGAATTCCGATGAGAGCACCGACAGTCACAGCCTCATGACCCATAATGTTGAGAGTCCCTGGTGGACCTTAACAGGACCCGAATGAATTTATTTTTTCTAAACCCCGCGCTTCCTCACACGGAAAGACCCATGGCAGCCAGAGCCGTCTTCTCTGCTGGCGTGTGATGTTGGCTGAAAGTTGAATAACAAGGCAGTCGAATGATGTTGCGGATGAATTCCGAAAGGTATTTTTTGAGGTCGATCTGATACATCGGGTCGCTCCGCCGTTCCGGATCGTCGTCGTCCATGTCATCGTATCCACCGCTCTCCATGCCGCGGAGAACTTCTGCGACATCGGCATCGAGCCCCTCGAACACCTGGAATGGAGCCGAACAAATCGACTTGAGGTGCGCTCCCTTCAAATAAGATTATGATCGGATCATGTATCATTCGATCGATATTCTATTCGGCTCTTGCGCTTACGTGTCCCGGGCCGCTGTTTTCGATCTCGCCTTCGGAATCTGTCTCCTCGTCGTCATCCTGCCAAGCTTCCTCGCTTTGTTGGAAAAGTTCTCTAAGAACAAGTTTATACATCTTGACTACGACGGGTATTTCGGTCCACTGCACGGGATTTCTGGCCGTCTGCGACCTCGTCTTCGAGCCCACGTGGTTGAGATCGACGATTTCATCCCCTTTGACCGTTATGTTGAGGAGCCTCTCGTCGTTTTCGCTCAGAGCGTATTCCACTAATTTCGCCAGAGCCAACATCGTGACCTTCGTGTCGTTGTGACCGAAGAACAAATTCTGCTTGCTGCACCATTCGGTCAAGACGTACGCCAGAGCTGATTCCCCCTTCGGACCGGGAACGGAGGAGAGGAAATTCAGCAACGCAGGGAGATCGGAATGGACGAGACGAGCGAACACCAGAATGAGATTTTGAGCCACCGAAAGAGTCTCGGTGTGCAGGAGCTTGCTGAGCACCGTCCGCAAGAGCATTTCTATGCCTTCTTGGCCCAAGTCACCCATCCCTTGCGAGACCACGGTGCTGACAAGTCGGCCCACGAGAGCTGCAGCTGATTCCGGAGCTTTGGGATCCATCAAATGCTCGCATATCTGCCGAAAGAATTCGATCTGACCGACGACGAGCGAGAGAAGAAAGCAATTTCTCTCATTCGGAGCGCACCGCCGGAACCTCGCCCACGACCTTTGCGAGCTCGACAGGCCTTGATCACTCACCTGCAGAACCAAATGCATTCCGTTCTGACCACGCTCGTCCCTCCACTGAACGAGCTGAGGATACCCGTTGAGAACGTAGGCCCTCAAGCATTCGCCGCCGTTCTGCATGCATGTGATGTCGTCGGTCGAGAGCACGTACGCGACGCAAGCGGGGAACCCTTGATTAATGAGAGCTTCACAGAGTGGCGGTGACGAATACTTCACGAGTGTCGCGAGAACATCCAGAGCCACCTGCGGAGGAGCGGGATGAATATCATGCCGTCCAGAGAAGATAAGGAGTAGAATTGGGAGAATCGAGCCAGACTAATTCGGCGATTATATCTCGGCGACTACTCACGCCGTGCATGGATGACGGCATTTTGTTGTCAGATGAGGTCAGGATTTCGATAAGCATAGGGAGAAGCCGCTGGAGAAGCTGAGCTGCACATCCGGGCGTTCTCGATAATTCTTTGAAAATGTCCTGACTTAACGACACCAGGACGTTGTCGTTACTGTATTTGAGGAAAACTCCGATCGCTAACGGAGTGACTTTCGGCTCCACCATCACAGTGAAGTCGGCGTCGATCTGGAATTTCAACAGAGGATCAAGCGTGGGGTGAGCATGGGGGGGAACGTTTCCTTGACAATTCGTTCAAGCCGCAGGGGGCCCGGGGGTCGACAGCGAGGATGGAGAATGTTGCTCCTACCGATATGACAAGCGTGAGAGCTTCTAAAACGAGTGATAGAGCTTCCGGAGTGGCTTGCTCCGCCATGAGGAGAAGTCCGTCAATCGAGGGTCCGAGGAAGGGAAGAATCAAGGCGCCTGCTCGTTTGCTCTTTAAGTAATCACAGAAACCATACAGCGCCTTCACCGCGGAAATCCGGAGAACTGCCGGTTGTGAGGGCTGAAGTGCGGTCACTGTCGTGCTTAAATAGCTGCAAAGCGGAAAAGCTGAATTAACGCATCCGATCGAACCGCCATCCCATTGCTCAGTTTCCGGAGTATGTGTGCATACCGAGGAAGGAAACACCTCTCATACCTCTGTAACACAGACTGTTGCATACAAGAAGGGAACTTTGAAGCGAAACAGAGACATCGGCCGACGAGGAAAGTATTGGCACCCGGCAGATTCATATCCTCCGCGACGACAGTCTCCAGCATTGAGCTCTGGAATGGACAGCTCCGCATGAGGATTCCGAATCGATGAGTTTGATTGCATGCGAATCGCTCGACATGGAACCTCGACGTCTCACCAAATCGAATTGTTGTGGCATTTTCTTCGAGTGGTACTGGTTCGTCAGTAACCCTGACATGTTTTGTAGAGCAAACATCGAAGCTTCATGAAGTTTCCACCAGAATGGGCTGTTGGCCGTGCGGAGCGTAGCCGCCTCGGAAAGTTGGCGGGTGACGGCTGAGCAAATGGGCAGGACGCAATCGTCCTCGAATTCTGCTATCAGAGCAAGCAGCACTTCGAGAGCGGAAATCCGCACACCGTAGGCGAATGTTTCTTCATCCTCTTCTTCGACGAACTTGTCAGGGTCTTCCAGCCAGCCTTGCATTTTCTCTTCGGTGACCTTGAGAGATTCACGATGGAAAACGTGACGTCAGTTTAGCTCCGAAATCGAATTTCCTCAGGAGGGGCTCGCGATCAGACAGAATCGGCGTGGGGAGATGGGATAGTTGAATACCCACCTGCATGTATATGATGAGATAGAAGAGTAGCTCATCCATTCCTTTGTGCACCGGATCCTTGAGTTTCGGGCTCTCGACCAGCGCTTGCACAAACTCGAAAATCGATTGAATCAAGGTCGAAAGGCAGTACATTTCACCTGAAGAATGGGAGAACGACTGAGCTCGATCGAGGATTCAATAACCCCACCCCATGTAGCCGATTCCATGCCTCTAATTGTCCGAGAAACGATAGCGTTTCGTTGAGCAGGAGCAAACGAGTGTGTTCGTCACTACAGATCAGCAGACCTAGGGGGCGCATTTTCGCTCTTGCAATCATTGACGACGTTCCTAACCATCTGAATCTACATCCGTGTCCAAATCCTCGGTGTTGTTGACCTGGGTTTTCACGTAAACTGCGGCCGTCTCGGTCAAAGTCGCCCAGACCGGTCCGAGGATATCCCCGAGGAATGCCTGTAAGCTGCGCGGACTGTGACGAGCTATTTCGGTGAGACATTTCAGTACTTCGATCTTCAGTGCAGGATGGAAGACCTGGGCGGTCGGCACCGAGAGAATCTCGACGAAGGCTTTCATGAAGTTGGGCAACGCCGGATTGAGGTGGGTCTTGATGACACTCTTGTCAACGTGGGCCATGGACGAGAGCATCTGAGGAGGATGGGATATGCATCAAGAAGGTTCGTTTCCGGAAAAGAGGAATCCAGATTGTGTTCGGGTCCAATTGGATTCCGTCGAGGGCGGACGAGATCCTTCCCAACTCACCACGGCACATGTCGAGAATATTTGTATCGATCTCGACTTCACTTTTATGCTCGCCGAAGGACTGGTGAGCAGATTGTACATCTCCGGGAGGACTGTAGGAACCATCAGGACCATCTGAGCCTCTGTTATGTCCCGACTGAACTCTGGAAATGCAGGCAGAACTTGATTTCAAGACGGAACGAAGACGGGGAAAGGCGATCGCTGTCGGCGCTCGTTGCCTCTTCCAATCGAGCTCAGCGCCGCCCCGCGACCGGGAAATTTCAAGCCTGTCCATCCCCTGACCGTGGCGCACTCACCTGTGAGTACGCGCATGGCACCGTCTACCGCGTGGGGTTCATTCGATTTCAGAGCCTGCATGAGTACGATGAATAATTGAGCCCAGTTCTCGGGCCAATCATAATGTGCGATCGTGGATATGGCGTAAGCGATAGTTGAGCGAAGTTTGTTGTGAGGTTCCTAGAGGGTGAAGATACAAAATCTCAATGACATGGCTCCGCTATCGAGCACGGCTTTCGGAGAACGAGGCTTCGATTTGTAGATAGGAAGATTGGGGCCGAGCGACCGGGGGACATCCTTCCCTCCGATCGCTCCTCCTGTCGCAGGGGTGCCGAACCCCGTCATGCTCGAAAGCATGGACTCATCGGAAACTCGCCTTGAGACCCAGAGGGAGAATCGTTCGGACTTGCTCCTTCGTCTTGCTCGGACACTCGGGCAGAATAAACTGTTCAGCGTCGACCGACCAATGCACATCGACATATTGTTTCAGGAGAACGGAGCCTAGCTGACGGGATGCGAAGTCCAGATTGGAATCCAAAATAATTTCGCAAAGATGGATCGCGTAGTCTGAAAGCAATCAAAAGAATTATCCTCAAGAGAAGTGGAACTGGATGTGGTTTTCTTCATTGCAATCCGAAGCAGCCAGCGGTGGCCTTCTTCGACGATCCGAAGTCAACACGGTGTCTAACTTCCATTCATTGAGCACTCGGGAGTCGGAGGGAGACAGCCCACCACTGGAGTTCTGGCACCTGGACGAAGACGTTTCACCCTGGAGAAAACTCCACACCGAGGAGAAACTGCCCTCCGGATCGATCCGGGAGAAGCTCACTCCAGAGAAATGCGCACTCACCGTCGGTAACTTCAAGTGCCTTGGCTTTCGCTTCGGCCTGGCTTCTGACATTGGAGTCCGCAATTTGTAATTGACGTAAGGTCTCTATCAAAGCCTGCCGCAGGTCGCGGTTCGTCGAATCACCTCCCATGCCGCGTGAAAATCCGTTTCAGAACTCAATTCAATTTGAGATAAACACGGCCGGGGAGAAAAACTCGCGTATATGTTCGACGGTCGAGAAGAGGAGCAGAGCGGTGTCGAGCAGCCGAAATGGCGCCAAAATGCGGATGCGGAATCGGTTTGCCACGGGTCCGAGCATGATTGTCGGTCGCTCCCTTGGTTTTGGGCAGCAGGAGAGATGGGCGCTCGGAAGCAATCATGATTGTATCTCGGGCCGGCTCCTACCCATCTCATGTGACAGCTGAGATCTCTACCTTCCTCGCCTTCAATCGGAAGCGGCCAACTCCCGCCACCGGCTCCTTAAAGGAGGTACCCTCTCCTCTCCCTCAGAGGGACGCGAGCCTAGTTCGACTCCGTCCAAGCTTCTGCTGTCAATATTCAAATGGATTCGAGATCTTCCGAGAAGAATTCCCGAAAGCTCCGAATGCCCACCAACCGATCACGCAACTGATCACGAGATGGGACAGAAGTACCGTATCTCAATGGGGCCAGAGCCCTGATCCTGCCGACGCCAACACGAGCATCCTGTGGAAAGATCCAAGAGGAGGATCCAGAATCCAGAGTGCGGCTCGAGTCCGCTCGAGCTCCGCTGGTCTCTGTCGCGCTCTCAACCGCACTCCGGACGAGCCCAGCTAGCCGCTACCGACTTCGGGCGGCGAGCGGTCAGAGGAAGGATGGAAGCGCCTGATTCGATCTCCTGCCGTCATCAAAGATCATCCTCAGCAGCAATCTCCGTGAATGAATTGACAGTAGATCCTCCTTCGAGGTCTTTCCCCGTCGCACATTCATTGACTCCATTTCCACCCTGGAGTTGAACTCGTACCGGTGGGCTCTTCTCACGAACCGGATTGTCGATCGATTCGCCGCCTCTCCACACCGACTAAGGGAACTGTTTATCTGAAATCCCAGTGCGGGCACCCTTGCGGCAGCGTGTCCTGCATAACAAACAACCGGCGTCTCTGCTGATGTGTCGTCGGTGGCCGTCACCTGGGAACGATCTCTGTTGTTGAAGATTTGTGGAGTCTGGCCGAATCTTCACAAATCGATTTTTCCGCGACGGAAAAATGCTCCGCGTTGCAGCGGTCGTGCTTCTGGGCTGCTGGGGGCTTGTGACCGCCCAAACCGTTAAGCAATTCGAGAACGTCAACGTTGAGAGGAATATAGACGTATCGTCTCAATTGGTTCGCGTCACAGCAAAAATCACCGCGGAAAATAAAGGAGCTGCCGCAGCTTCGAGTTACCATGTAGCGATAGACGCTGATGAAGCCAAACAATTGAGCTACATATCAGCCACGGTGAGTCTGAAACTCCGAGCAATGGAAATCACTAAAGTCATCCGTTGGGAACTAGGTACTCTCATTTCGCGACCTGTTGTCGATTTCACGGCGATAGGCTCCCCTTAGTTAATGGGATCGTTTCTTCCAGAGCGAGTCCATACCCCTCGGTGTCGTTCTCGACAAAGCTGCATCTACGAAAGAGTGAGTTCTCGAAACTTCGTGGAAGTTGATGTTTGATCGTCAGTGGAGTCGATCGTGTAGCCTTGCATGAATATTCGGAAGGAGCCCCGAATACAACCACGGGAGCGCTCGGAAAGTTCAACCTGATTCATCCTACGGTTCCTCCCTATTCGATACATAGATGTTACGAGGCACAGGGAATCGCTAGTGTGTTGAGGATTGATCCTTGACTGATACAAGGATCAATCCCACGAATCGGCGAATCAAGGCTCGAAGTCGGGGAAGAATCAGTATCTTGGGAGAATATCATACGAGGGATGCTTCGCGTAGAACGCCCCCGACAGATATCCTCCGAAAGCAATTTTGGATGTTTCAGTACAAGGATCTGCCCCTGAACTTTGTGCCTTTGTACTCCAAGTATAGTCGAATATTCGTACGGCTAGATATGAGTGGTGCCGGAGACAAACACACGGAGTGCGTTCTGGCCTGAGCCTCTCCTACCAAAGATTCTCCGAAAGAAACGTTGGGCATTTCACTGCGGAGACTCATTTCCTGGTTTCCGCAGCTTTGTTACCCTACGACACGTTCGATTCGCGCGATTCGAATCGCATCAGCTCGATTCCATGGGGAAGTTTCAATGCTCCCTTGTTCGTCCGAGTCGGGATGCCCTTCCTCACCGCGAATTTCGCTCTCTTTCCGGCGTTTCTCTCGGAGTGAAACACTCGAATTCAATGAAATCGTTCTTTTCAGCGTCGCCTTGTACAAAGTCACCTTACCAACATCGATATCGCCGGGCAAGACCATCAAGCTTGATTTCGTCTACGTCTTGACGCACTGGCTGGAGCCGTTCCCGTCGGAAGTGCAACAGGACGAGAAGCAGTTGGTCATCTACAGAGGGAATCATTATCTCTTCTCGCCGTATACCACGGCCAAGCAAACGACCAAAGTCAAGCTTGCATCGAACCGCGTTGAAAGTTACACCAATACGCTGAAACCAAACGCTCAATCGGACTCCTCTGTGACCTACGGACCCTACCTGAAGATCGCGGCTCTGACCAAAGAACCGTTCAAGGTCCATTACGAAAACCAGAATTCTTTCTTAGTTGTGAAGAACCTAAAACGATGGATCGAGGTTTCTCACTGGGGAACGGTTCAGGTCGAGGAGACCGTCGACGTCAAACACGAAGGTGCTCGTTTGAAGGGCAGCTTCAGCCGATACGACTTCCAACGAGAGATGAGTCCCTCAGCCGCGGTGAAAACTTTCAAAACTTTCTTACCGTCCGGAGCCAGGGATGTGTACTATAGGGACGAGATCGGTGAGTAGGACTTCGCCCCCTCGAGTTTTTTCCGTGGAGGAAGACTAGACGATCGTTGAATTCGAGTTGGTTATATTACCTGAATCTTCCATTCTTCATCCTATGAATTTGCTCTCCTATTCCAGGGAATATTTCGACGTCCCACCTCCGGAAGCGCTTCGATGCGGTTGAAGTTGAGCTCCGACCTCGCTTCCCGTTGTTTGGAGGCTGGAAAACCCACTACCTCCTCGGATATTCTGTTCCCACGACCGATTTCCTCCTGCACGACGGAGTTGACGGTTTTGTCCTTAAGATAAACTTCATTGACCACATCTTCGACGACGCCGTGATCGACAACGCTGTCGTCAAGATCGTTCTGCCTGAAGGCTCTAGGGAAATCCGCCTGAAACTCCCCTTCTCAGCACAGAGACACCCGGACGAAAGACATTACACCTATTTGGATACGACGGGTCGCGTTGTTGTCGTCCTCAGTAAACAGAACCTCGTTGAGGACCACATTCAACCGCTCGAAGTCCACTACAAGTTCAACAAAATGAGGATGTTCCAAGAGCCCTTGCTGGTCGCGGTGGCTCTCTTCATTTTATTCACGACGGTCATAATCTACGTCCGCTTGGACTTCTCCATCCGTAGCGACCCGAATCAGGAGCAGAAATGGAAGCTCCTCTCACTGCAGGAGCGCATCGCGCGCTCTCAAGACCGACGGGATGCGATCTACGCGGCTATTGATCAGAGTCTAGCGAAGTTCAAACTATCCAAGGACCAGGCGGGATTCGAAGCTTCCCTGAAGAAGAATCTCCCAACGCAGAAGCTCATCTCGGAAGAGTTTGCTCAACACGAAGAGGAAGCGAAGGCTGGGGCAATGAACGCTGCTCTCGAAACCATAGCCGAGCTGAATAAGCTGGACAAAATTCTCCGAGACACCCTAAACTACCAAGTGTCAATTCTCGAGAAATTCATCGCCGGCAAACTGAACAAGCAACAGTACACAGATCAGGAGATGGTCCAGAGCAAGAAGAAGCACGAGACTTACGAGAAAATTCGGGACATCATCTGTAAACTCTAGACGAGCGGGGGGAGAAATTCTAGTCCGGATGACTGTGGTTCGCCGTGAATGAGTGAAAGTTTTCCAACTGCGTTTCTGTCTCCTCAAATGCTTTATTTATTGAAAATATAGTCGGGCAAAGAACTGTTGCTATTTACGGAGAAGATTTTTTCATCAATGTGGAAATCAATACTTATGCTTACCGATCATCTGTATCGTCATGAGTCGCTCACGGACCGTTCTTCAATCGACCAATCAATTGATCCACTCCCGAATCCGCTCAGGCGACGAGGCTCGTCGGACATATGACGTTCCCCTCGAGCCTCGACCAGGTCCTTAGTGGAAGCTGGAGTTCCTCTATTGGCATAACTGCTGGGGAACCTCGAATACGGGGAGGAATCTTGGGCGTTCAGAAAGATGAAAGGCGGAACGTTCCGTGTGCTTCCACGAAGGACTGCTCCCAACGAGCGTCTCCGGATTCGAGGGGGGCGGCGGGAGACAGCTCCCGCTTCAGATGAGGCTGGCTACGAACTCGAATCGGATTAGACTCTAACTTCGGAGCACGCCCTTCCGAGTCGAGGTACTGCTGTCTCGGAGCTGATCGATAGATGGAGGACTCATTCTAAAAGACCGGGGGGAGAGCGGCTTGAATGACAAGAGTGAATGTTTCCCTCTGCTGGGAAAAAGAGCTTGTTTCCCCCTCGCTTTTCATTCACTGTCATTCAATTGTGAGAGCATTTAAGAGATCGCTCCTGTTCGGTATTAACTGGCACTAATTGTCAGTCACGGAAAATGACAGAGACTTCCGCAAACCTCTTCGAGAAAATGATTGATTATCCCCAGCCCGTTCATATGTTCCGATATTGCAGCGTGTCGTGCGGACCAAACGAGGTTTGCGGAAGTCCTTGTCATTTTCCGCAAGAGGTGCCTTTTGAAAGAAAAAAGAAGCATCCAGATCATTGGAAATCGATCATTTGTTCTGTTTTCATTGAGGGGCTCCCGCTCTACTTCTTATGGATTCGACGGAACAAGATCCGAGCCGATCAGGCGTTCTCTGTCTGGGCTGCTTGTTCTAATAACGAATTGGCGAGCGACGTCGCTTGGCACTCCATTTGTCGGGATCCCGATTCATGCTTCTCAGTCAGAAATCATGGAGGTCACCCGTCTCGTGATTGGGAATACTCTGTAACCCAGAATATGACGGCAAAAGCTTCGGGATAGCTCGTTAGGAGAGGAAGAAAAGTGCTCGAGCTCGCTAAGAGCGGAAATTTTCTCGCGGTCATCCACGGAGAAAAAGACCAATAGCGACAACCTGTTCGTTATTTCAGATTCCCATTCTCAACTCCCCCATCCCGAAAGACTATCGCCTCGCTGTGGGAATTATCGTCTACCCGGTAGACCCCTTCAGAGTAAATTAGGGCGGCACTGTTTGGATTATCAGTTCGAGAGAAAAAAATCTAGGTCGTCAAACGTTCTGCGTCGCCAGGTGCGACTCACGATCTGCTTGCTGCCAAGAAACACCTCAAGTTCTTCGCATTGCGACGGTTTCCGGCAGAGTTCGCGATCTGCTGGCGGAGCACTGGTCAGCCAGCTGCCGGTCAGTCGGTGGCTCATCGGCGCGTGCTCGGAGTTCCGATAGCATTCGCCTCAATCGCTGCAGCCATCATCTGCGGTTTGACAAGAAGACGTGAGGGTGTGATCGATCGGCGGCGAGTCGGAAAAATCTCCCCGCAATCAAATGGTGACCCTCACACGTCGCTAACCCGACGGAATCGGGATTAATTTGCGCTTCAGATGGAGAGTTTAAATGCTGCGCATTCGCTCGTCGCTGTAGCGATCTAGCCGCCAGCGATCATCTGGTGGAGTTGTGTTTGATGGTACTCTCAGTGTGAGAGCGAAGAAACCACAGGGAGCAAGCGAAGCTTTGGTGCGTGATTATGGTGTTCATCGGAGGCTCGTCCTGAACGAAAAAGACAATGAGTTGGCAGGGTGTCACTCGAGCTGTTCAAATCAGACTATGTCGTTACGTGCTTCAACGATACTTGGGACAATTTCTACTCGAGAAAATCTCTTTGGACCAGCTAAGCGTAGATTTGTCATCGAGCAGTGGAAATGCTGAAATCAAATCCGTTTACCTGGATGTCAAGGTATGCTGTCGTACAGGTTGTAGTCGCGTCAAACTCTCCTATCGAACCTTATCTGAGGAAGACCGAGCAGAGACTTCGTAAACTGTTGCACTAGAATGAACCCGACGTCTTTTAGTTTTCTTTCGAAAAGCCGTCAGAATTCGGCGATGTGTCTCTAAAAGCGTACGTTGAAGCTTGCCCGCAGCAGTCGATGCGTTCTAGTAAGTCTGATGTAGGAAAGGAGTTGTTCAAGACAATATTCGCAATTTCGAATCTCATGTTCGAACCGTGGTTTTGACCGTCATCTGCGTTGTTCTACGCCGTTTCTGGATATCCAGTGCGTAGTCATCAGCTGCTTGAGCTCGAATTCAGTAGCGCATCCCCACCCGAATGACACAATGGCATGAGCTCCAACGTTGCTTAGGTCGAGAGACCCCGATCGGTCAGGAGCTCAGGTCCCGAATAAGTTCGTGGAGCGAGGAAAAAAACTCCCAAAGTGCGCACTCATATCGTTTGCCAGAAATTTTCTGCCGAAGGTCGTTCTCGAGCTGCCGCGGAGATTCACAGACATGCAGCGCGTATCGCAACACTACAATGCGAAATAGCGGGATAGCGAAACTTCAGCGATATTCGATGTAGACTGACCCTTCCTCGACCGCGTTCCGGAAAACCATAACATGATTATCTTGCGTCGAATGAAGATCCTGGAACGAGAGCATGGCTGAGCAATCCCATCAAATCTCGAGAAAAACCTTTCGGTCCGAAGTCGATGATCCGATTGCGGAATGACTGAGAGTTGAACAAGGAATTCGTAATCCCTGATTGTAAATACAGATCACGGGTACTCGGAGCTCGAGCTCCCAAACAGGGCGGAATCGTCTCATGGATTTTAGTAAATTAATACTGTTATCATGACTATTATCATACATCGGAGCCGAACCGCCGGAGTTCAGATCCCCTACGCACTTGAGTACGCTACAAAGTATTCTTCAGAGCCCGCTTGAGCAAGATGGGCAGCTTTTCGTAATTGCTCCTATTCGGGCGGCTCGGATCTTTCTCGTAAACGGCTCGTGAGGATCGAACGCGTTCAACTGTCCCTCTGAATCGCTGATGAAAATACTTGACACGGATGCGAACAGCGACGGTGGCGTGCGCCTGGAGAGCCGAATGGGGTTCGACCTTATCATATCAACACCCGAGCCAGAGATGCTTGAGCGACACGGACGGATTTTGAAGGTGTTCATTCTTTCCAGGGTCTCAATGAGCTCAGCGAAGCAAACCATTGGCCCATATTGTTCGTCGATGGGTTCATCGGCTCCGTATGCGTCGAGGTTCCCTGGATCACGATGCTCAAAGACAATTCCCATGTCCGAGTTGAAGGGCTTCAACTCACAGTCCAGCCCAAGAGCTGGGCTGAAGATCTCTCTCTCTTCGAGAGCATGTACTCATCGATGATGAGCTCGAAGCAAATGGCCGAGGAAATATTCAAGGAGAGCATATCAGAGCAAGACGTGAGTAGAGAGATCAAGGGATGAGGGTAGTCTCGCGATTAGAATCGCCAAAGGACCACGGTCGGCTGAGCCAACCCAGAGAAACGATCGTTGTCCATAAACATGTTAAGAATTATTCCTCTGATCGAATAATGCCCCCACAGATGCAAAGACCTCAATATCTGACCGGCCTGGAGCAAATAATTGACACAATGTTCAATCGAGTGATTGTGACTTTTGAGAACACGACCCTGAGGGTTGAGCACCTCATCCACTCGAATCAGTCGCATTACTGGACCGCTTTGGAAGTTCGAATCGACCGGTTCGAATACCACGACGCGCTCGCTAGCAGCGAGGATACTTCGCTTCCGGAGGAACACGTCACTCGTTCCACGAAGAAGGCCACGGTCCGCAACGTGGAGCTGCTGGTTGACAAGTAAGTCGGTGTGGTACCCACTGCAGATAGACGACACCTTTGCGCAGCTAGGGAGGATTTTTTCTCCCTGAATGCTTCCTGCAGATTTCGATTTTCCGATAACTGAATTCCTCCTTCCGCACAGATTCAATAGCGCTGAACGTAATGAAATCAACCCCGACAAAAAATGCGGAGCCCTGTGCGCGAACAGTCCCGAGATCGATTCGAAACCCGTTCTGTTCGCCTCCCTCAAAGGCGACCAAGAAGTCGAAATCAGCATCGAGAAAGGCACTGAAGACGACTCGAGTCCTAAAATTGGCGTACAGGTAGGTTTCGCGATGCCGGAGATCCCCTCGGCTGGGCTAGGGAGTGCACAAGTCCCTGTTTCCGGGGGGAGCAACTCGAGCTCGGGGCCGACGGGGTCTCTCGGTCTTCGTCCCATGATGCCCTTGCCCCTCAATCTCATACTCCGTGAGGTCGTGGACGATCGCCCCAAACGTCACCTCGCGCTGTTCCGCTTCAGGTGTGTCTCTCTGAGCTGCCGATTTTCATAGAGCCGCGGCAGATCATGATGCTGAGTGCCCTCATAGGCTCGTTCGTCGGCGCAACGAGCAACGAGAATCTTCATCAAGAGTCGCCCTGTAAAGCTCTGAGCTCAGCCGACTTCGCGCTCATGGAGCAAGATCTCCAGGCTCTGAAACAGAGCAATTTGATGCTGGGTAGCCCCCCGCTGGGCGCCCTGGGCACACTCCATACCTGGGCTGGGGAGCAGGAAGAAATTCATTACTTCCCGATGAGTTCTTCGGCCGATGAATCGACCATATCGCTCACCTCGCAGCATCCCATGAGTGTCCAAACTGAGTTCAATCTGAAGATCGGAATCGTTTTCATGGTGATCCTCGAGGATACAGAAAACACGCCAGATAAGAGCGGTCATTTCTTCAATGAAACGAACGGGGTCTCCCTCAGGGATGTGATAATGGTAGCGACTCCCGACTTCCTACCCTATAAACATTTTCGACTAGCTCTCTATCCGGTCACGTTGAACGGACGGACCAAATCGTCAAGCTCTCACAAGGTCCTCGAAATCGGCGCGACGGTAGCCAACGCGCAGCTGGTACGGTCTGACCGTACGTGGATCGAAAGCATCCTCACGAGTCAGCTCTGTGCCGCAGCTGATGAAGGTGAGTAGCGACGATTGTCAGGAAGTGTCTTATCCATTGAATCGCTGCTGTCTAACTCTCGGATCACGTTAGTAGTTCCTCCATTCCTAATTCCGACGTTTATGCAGGTGGTGATAGTCCGTTCATGAGACTGAAAGTCAACCATGTCTCAGACCACTCGATGTCCTCCGAGGTGACGAACGTCAGCTGCGCCTTCGGGGCTATCCACATGAAATACGATCGCTTGCTGGAATCCAGAATCATAGAGATGTTCGAAGCGACGCCAGCTCATAGCAAGAAATCACCAAAGAAGTTCGGAAGCTCTTCGGGTCCAGCGCACGAGCTGAATCTGAGCCTAACGTGCCCACAGCTGAGCTGTGAACTACGTTTCCAAGCACTTGAAGTAGCCAATGTGCAGCGGAAACTCAGACCGGATGTTCTCATCGTGAGTTTAAAAAAACTAATTCTAGCCTGAAGATTCTAGCCAGATTTATCATTATCGCCGAACGAGTGGGTTTTCGGCTATTTCGGGGCTACGTGTGTCGTTCCCGCCTCTTGGGGCTCGGTGCTGAATGAATTTATCCATTTTTGCCGCAGCTGACTTTGGAGACGATAACGGTTGATGGAAAAATATCGAACGACGTGAGCAACGAAATCAAAATTCTCTTCGAAGAAGGCTACGTGGACTATCGAATGGGTGGAGAGGCCGATCTCATACAGATTGCCCGCGTGTTCTCCGAAACCAAAGTCGACGATGGAGCACGTTGTAACGCCAGCATAGTAATTCAGATCAACGCCGCCGAACACGGAAACCTTCTGAACGAGGGCTACATGCTCGATTCTATGCATCAAAGCTCGATTCGGATGAAAGCGCACGACACAATGTCCATGTCGTTCTACGGCAAGCTCCAGGAAGAGGGTCCATTCGTGACCCGACGAGTCATGTACGACCGGGAGAAGGCGGGAACCGAAGAGGTGATCCTCGCCGGTGACAGAAAGCAAATGCAAACTTTCTTCGAAAACTGTGCGGGTTATTCGAGAATCGTTGTCGATATAGCACTCCCTTGCGTAGTGACGGAGTTCGCGAACCGTGAACTCTTTGAAATCGTCTACAACAGGGTGCTGACAGATCTCTTCTACATACCAAACTCGGAAAGTCAGCGCTCGAAGAAGTCGCACGAGTTCGAAGTACGGCAGAACTTTTTCGGGAACACCGAAAAGAGCTACATCGATGAGAAGTTCTTTTACTCGACGACGGACGGAACCGAAGATCTCCAAGCCCACAAACCGGTCAAACAGAACCTACTTTCGCTGTCGATGACCGTCAATGAAGGGAGTGTGCTTCTAGGCCATGGGCATCCGGACAAGGAGGAATTCTATTCGTTCCAGTTGAATCCCAGACAACTGCATTTCTATCTTGTTAGTGGTTATCAAGGGGACCCGAACGTGAGTTTCGTGCTACTCCATTCGACCGATACGGAAGTGTTCCATTCAGGATGCACTAGCGAGCCTAAGCCCACGCACGAGAAACTCGACAAGGGAATGGTGCTCCCAAGCTCGGGGAGTCGTCGACTTCTGAGTCGGTGAGTCGCCGTTTGGAGAGTTCCCTCAGCCAATATCACAAGGAATGAGTCCTTCCCCTACTGTATGTTCATTCGATTTTCAAAATTAAGCGTCGTTTTTGCCGTCTGCAGAATACCGAAGGAAACGTTCGGAAGGTACCGAGCTACCGACCCTCCCCAGGAGATGCTCTGCATCACGGTCAAAATTTGCGCGAATCCCAACGTGAAGTTGAAGAACGTCACATTAGCTGTCAGCATCGCAGATACCGTTTGGCGCCACGTAGCGGCGCCCGCACGGCATTTCTGGATTACCCAGCTGATTGAGCTCTTCACTGTTAGGGACTTCCCTGTGGCTGGTCATATACCGTCGTCTGTGATAACTGAACTTCACTTCAGTCTCGAGAAGTCCATCATTGATTACCGGTGAGGACCGGCAGCGATCCCCGCTCGATGGTCTGAGTTTATTTATTTGAGTTGATTCGCTCGGAATGAAACCGAGCGACCCTGTTTTACGTGAGGCGGCACGTCGGATCGATACGGCCGTCGACCACCTCTGAAAACTCTTTCCTCTTATCTTCCAGCCCTTTGCATATACCTTATAACACGATCGTTAGCATGGAGAATTTTTCGCTATCAAGCAACATAACGCCAAAAGCGACAACGTCAACTTTGCGTCTGATTCTGGAGGATACCTCTCTCTTCGTCGCGAATTCCTCGGATAAGGTGTCGCCTACCAACATACCTAGAGGTGGGATTCCGTTCCACGACGGAACGAACTTCGTGTCGTGAATGATTGAAGTCTGTTGAGGGAATATCGATAGCCGAGCTCGTTCATCAGCCTACTTCACCCCATACCGCTCTTCCAGACTATGTGTGCTTGGTGAACGCCGGCCTGGTGAATCTCTGTCTAGTTATCACTGAAACGCGCTCGGCTGCAGCGAAAACCTGTCCGACCGTTGCATTCACGGCATCAAACGACGCAATCCATGTCAGAACGTGCTCAGACTCGTTGTTCGCTCTGCAAAGTCTCATAACATATCTGGCGGCGGATGGCGATCTGGCTCCTGAGAAAGAGAGAAGCCCTAAGCCTTCCGAGAGTCTTCCCTGCGAATCTGGTCTCCGAGAATTTCCACCTGCGTCCCCTCTCGACCAGGTGAGCTTGGAATTCGGCACGAACCCTCTCGTAAGGAAGTCCATCGTTTCGGTGATCTAATCGTACGCTATCCACAGGCTTTGTCCGAGGAACCTTCCTTGAATATGAATGAGATGATGGAGGATGCCATGTGCGAGAGCTTCTCCGAACGAGCTGTCGACTCTCATAGCTCCTCGAGGTCCCTGTACGTGGAGCAAGGTCGAGAACCTTCGCCTCCTGAGGGACCCAAAGTTTACTACAACCCGAAAGACGACGATTTTCTCTTGCTAGAAGATCTCCCCGGTTCTGGACTGTTGAAGCAGAAGGGGCAGGATGACGTCCGGGTCCTGAACGGTGAAGATATCGTCATGATAGATGATTTCCTCAAAAGTAAGTTCACGCCACAACTCTAAAATTTAGACTCGATTAATTTTCCCGCCACTCGGAGCTTGTGACAACAACCAATATTTCGGTGTTGTGCGTCGAGTGGGTTCGCTAATGCTTCGTGCGTGCCATTGATTACAGTACCGACTGGTAAGACAGATCAGCTGAAAGCTCCGACCGGATATCCTGACCCTGTAGAGAGTTACACCTTGAAGGAAATGACGCTCATTTGGCACATTTACGGTGGCAGCGATTTCGGACAGGCTCGATGTTCAGACACGAAACTCGGTCCGCTGCCCTCATTGGGCGGAGCGGGTCGGAACGCGGACCAGCTCATGGAACTGACCATGACGAAAGTCCAGTTCCGGCACGAAGTCTACCCCCCGGATCAGAAGAAAACCTCGCGACAGTGTCTCTTCATCAAGGATATCCAGATCAAAGACAAAGTTGCCACATCCGAGATGAACAAATTCCTCTACCAGTTCAGCAACGATTCTCTACCGAAACAGTCAAACGCCAACATGCTGACGCTCAAGATTACTCACATTGCTTCCGACAACGAGTGTTCTATATTCATGTCGCTCAAACCGTTACGTCTCAACATAGATCAGGAAGCGCTCATGTTTCTCCGCACATTCTTCGGCGAATTGCAAGCCATGGCCGGGGAAGACGTTTGCCCTAACCAGCCGTGTCCGTCGCCCCCGACGTCTTCGAACTACGGATCTCGACGCCCCCCGAGAATCTACATTCGATCGTTTGAGTTCACTCCTGAAGTTCCTATCCGTCTAGACTACCACGGTAGACACGTCGACCTCGACAGCGGAGCGATCGCTGGTGTTCTGATGGGTATCGGACAATTCACGTGGCTGGAGCTCAAACTCAAGAGGCTCGTCAACAAGCATGGCATTCTCGGCTTCGACAGGCTCGTGCAGTACGCCATTCAGGAGTGGATAAACGACATAAAGAAACACCAGGTCCAGAACGTCATCGGCGGCGTGGGTCCCATGCATTCGATCGTGCAGCTGTGCAGCGGAGTCAAAGACCTCTTCTGGTTGCCTGTCGAACAATATCGCAAAGACGGTCAGATCGTCCGCGGCCTCCAGAGAGGCACTCACAGCTTCACCACGAACGCCGCCATCGCATTCCTCGAACTCACCGGGAAAGCGATCGGTACGATCCAGCACGCCGCCGAGTTAGCGTACAACCTCCTGTCCCCAACAGCCAACGTACCGATTTCATCGGGAATTTCCGAACAGCCTGTCGACATCCGTGAAGGCTTGAATAACGCCTACCTCGTCATGGCAAACGGCATAAACGATACCGCGCGCCACATCGTGCAAGCCGCAGCCACAGACACGAGAGCCAGGGGAATCACTGGCGCGGTCGGCGAGGTCCTCCGCCTTGTTCCCCCGGCGCTCGTTAAACCTGTGATCGACGTGACCGCGGCCACGAGCAACGTCATCAACGGAGTCAAGTATCAGTTGGCTCCTGAATGCCGAGACGAAGAGATCGCTACGTGGAAGAGGTCTGAACTTAAGTAGTCAGTCGACTGTACATTGACCTTCCCGGGAGGTGCATGAGCAAGGTGTTGTGAGGTGATCCAATCTTTCTTAGTACGGATTAGATTCAAGCGGGGTTATCTGTGCGAAGACCACCGGCCTCATTCATAGTATTGACTGCTACCTGATAAATAGTGTAGTTTCGCAGCGTTGTATACGATTAAGCAAATAGTTCAGGCATGCCGACTCCGGCCGCGAAAAAGGGAGAGTGAGTGAAATACGCTCCGCGACATACGTTTTCCATTTTTGTACCTCGAATTGTCACTGGACGAAGGATTCGAACTGAGCAGAAGAGGTGGGAAACTAGTCTTATTCTTAAATATGTTGATAAATAACTCAGCTTCGATGCAAAGTGGACTTTAAGATTTTCGTGGCTGCTCTGTGAATGTTCGTATGTATATATTTGAGCAGGATTAATAAACGAATCCCTATTTTTCGAGCCATATCGCGAGACAAAGTTCCCTTGGGTTATAATTAGAGCTCGGACGTTCAGGCATTCTTCTATGATACCTATGTCTTCTCCATCGAATAAACCTTTCGTTTTCCCGTTGCCCGCGACCGAAAAGCCTTTTGAGCCACCCAGAGGCCGAATTCCGGGAATTCTGCGGTTCAGGGTATACGAAGGGATTCGGCGATAGAGAGAATCGGCGAACCCTTGCTCCAAGAACACATCTTGTTCCCGATAGAATCCGATGGCCCGCCAAATTTTTTTCAAATGATGTTAAATGCTACCTATCAGACCAGCCTCGTTTACTCACCGATGGGACTCCGGAAGAACGCGTCAAATTCTCGTCAAACGGCACCGACGAACGGTTTGATGCGGCGCTCGCCCTGCCTATCACGCCTGTCCTGCCTAGTTCTGATGCCTACTCTAGGTAGGGTATTCCAGTGCTTTTTCGCCTGCCATTCTCGGCATTTTTCAGTGCCTAGACTTCCGAGCTCTATTTAAAATTCATCACCTATGTATCGAACGTGATCGAGAGAGATCCGTCTTTCTCCTGCAGCGCTTGTCACTCGGGAATCAGACATCGCATGGCATTGGACCGGTGGTCACGAGAAGGGTCGGCAGCTCGAGACAGAAGCCTCAGATTTATCTCAAGTACCGCGCCGGTGTCTGGGGGAACGCCGGATTCAGTTCCTCTCCATCGAGGGTTTCGGAGGGGTTCGGAAGAATATGGACAGAGGGAAGACAGAGGAAATCAATTGACCATATTCCCCGTGGTGGAGGAGGTTCGGTGTACTCGGCCGGAGCTTCAAATCCGTCTGTACACGATGAGACGAGAGGAGAAGCGAAGGTCAAACAAGCATGTAACCTGCGGCTTCCAGTCGACGTCTCGATGCCGCGCGCTTCTCGCGCCGCGCGCTTCTCGCGCCGCGCGCCGTCCGCTGTCAGACGAAAAGCCCGTCCTGGCTGATCAAGAACTCGGCCATTTCCAGCTTTCCCTCCCTTGCACCCGTCGGAACCTATTCATTCAGGGGGTGATTGAGGATCTCAAATCCCTAAGACGCGTCGATGAATGATAGGGACGCAGGCCGAAGAAGAGGTGGAGCGTATCGGAAGCTGGGGTCGTCCGCTTGCGTCGTCGTGCCAATCAGTGTGATCTTCTCGCAGAGACGAGATGCGATCCATCGGCGAACTCCCACACAGAGCCCGGTCCGGGGGGAACTATCAAGAAATTCCCATGTTAGGTGTTCCCTCCCCTAGGAATCCCAACTCGTTCAGAACAAGGGAGAGGGAGCGCCCGATTCGACTCAGGCTCTCAGAAAAGATCATCAGCCCCGATGTCTCTTTATATTCGCGCTCTCATCGACAGACCAACTCCTTGACCAATTTCTTCAATTCTCGGACTTCTCACGTTTGAGAAAATGCACGAGAATCTCATGGCATTCCACTGCACGCATCGGAACGCACGGGCTCTCAGCCTGTAACGGTGAATGAGAGCTCGATCTCATGCCTGGCTGACGGTCCATCTGACAGCGAGTTGAATTTGACACCCGCCAGGGGGCGTAGTCCACGATCGTCTGCACGTCACGACTAACAAGCAAGATGGCGACCTAGTAGTGTGTTGTGGTGGTGGTGTCGTCGTCTATGGAAGGTGGTGGCCGGATAGGATCTTGTAATCGGACTCGAGTCCGCTAGCCCCCAGGCCGCTTTCCAGGCCAGTGTCGAATCTGGGGAGCGACGATCGACTCATCCTCGTGCCTGTCAGAGTGGAGCTCTACTTCGAGTTTCGTTGCCAGAATAAAATTGGCTCTGTCCAGGGATGTACCTCCTCCCGGGTGTGGAACTTCTCCGTGGAGTGGTGTAGCAGCAAGAGCGAACTCTTGACAGGAATCCGACTGTAGAAACGCCGGATAGTATGGATTCCGATCTGGAGACATTGGAACTCTGTCCGTCGGACGAGTACAATTTCCTCAAGGTATGTTCGAGCATCTGGACGCGGCAATTCAAGAATGATGGCCCATTTCTCCCTTCGTCTTCGATCAAACGACCGCCTGTTCAGTTACGATCGCCGCTGTCGAAGTCGGCTGAAACGGCGAGCACCGGTACGGTAATCTGCAGATGATCCGCGTTTTTTAAAGAACCAATTCTGGCGTGATGTAGAGGAGCTTGTGTGAGTACGAAGGGGATCTCGTGCCCGCCAGATTATCTCTTTACCTAAAGGCACAAACAAAACCGAACGCACAGACGTCGGTAGGCGAACGCGGGAAGCATGAATCAAGCTATTCGCTAGTTGGAAATCTCCCCTCTACGAGAACATCATTCGCTGACATTCGTGCGATAACTCGACATCCGAGACTCGATGGAGAAAGGGAGGTCCGAGACTTGGAGAACCGGCGAAAAAAGTGACAGATGTGGAAAAGAGTCTGCCGATGACCGCAGGGAAAACTTCGATGCTCTCTATGAAATGATTCTGACCGGAAAGCTCCCGATAAGCGGCAGGGACAAGCGAATATTTCCACTGATAGGGAATCTTTCTCATAGGGGACGGATCACGTCGCTGACAGGGCTTTTCCCGTCATTAAGAGATTTCCCACGTTTGAGGAAGAGCTCTGTGTTTCCGAGGAACGACCACTCAGGAAAGCCGTGACAACTACTCCGGCCCGCATCTCTGGCGAGGCAGAGATGACTCACGAGGGAATGCACGGGGAAAGCGATGTTTGACAGGCACCGGCATACCGTTAGGAGCGTGATCTCCTTCAGTTACCTATGTCCCCGGGTATGCTGCATACTCCGATGGTGAGCGCATGAGCGCCAATAGAGTTCGGAATCGGGGCTTCGAACCTTCACTTCTGTGACTCCTCTGGATAGAATCCGATCATTCCTATCTTGACGCCGACTCAGCATTGGGTAATTGCTATTCGGTATAACGGTATCTCACTGTGCTCACGTTCATGCGTGGGAAGCGACGATTATAACTTTGGATTTACAACAACACTGCTGGTGGCAGGAGTAATACCTTCCAGCAGACAATCGGAGAGCATACTGAACTGAGTGCGAGCCAGCCGGAGGGCTCAATTCCACAGAGCCTCCCCAACAATTGATCGGAAGCTGATCCTTCATTTTTTCCATCGACCCTCGGCTCTCCTTCCATCCTTGAGAAAACGTGTTTACCTTGGATGAGTTTTCTCGGTCCATTAATTTTCATGGATCGGAGCATATTCCGAGAAAATAATGGCTATCATAATTCTGATGAATTATTGCTTTAAATAGATGAGCGGTAGTTTGTTCAAGTCGTCGTGAGGATTGTGATTCTCGCCGCTTCGAATGTGTTTCGTAGAATATACTCTCGCTAAATGTTCGGCGAATGGCATGCTCCCCGGCTCAGTTGCTTGGCTTCGTCGGTCTCAATACGAGCGGCGTCAAACCACACCCTAAGAGCAACAGGTTCCGTGTCGAGGTGGTGTACGATGGTCATAATTGGAATTGATGACTTGCCACTTGCTCCTCCGCCTCGGTGGGATTTCGATCGCGATGTGTCAGGCTGGAGGCTCGGGCCAGGTATCTCTCGAACAGTCCGTGTTGAGCCGAAGTTCCCGCTTTCCATCCAACTCTGCTTCTCCGATTTCTGTTGCTCCGTGAGACTCTTCGATGCTGTTGACGATGCATGTGCATTCATCTGTTTGATTCTCCAGCGCATGTTCGGATCATGACGTCAGATGTCTAACGGCGGCGCCATTTTTTTGTCAGCAGCATTCGATAGGTCGGTAGATTGGTCAGCTCTATAAACATATCACTCATCGAAAATGGGCTCATCCATTTCTGGGCTGTGGATAATGAGCCCTTGCGATAGTTGGGTACCCGTTCTGATAGCGGGGATCGTCATCTCTGGTCCGTAATCAGAGATCCTGATCTGCGGCTGTACTTCTTTGCCCACGACCTTAAGGCGCAGAAGTATGGTGAAGGTCACACACGAGCATAGAGCGAGCATAACCTTGCGTACCTACGGAACGGTCATGAGCAAGGCGAGCGAAGAATTTCACTCGAGAAAACCGCTTCTTTTTTCGGCTGCAGCAAGGAGGATGTCACGGCACCAACTGATTGGGACCTACAGAGAAATGGAGGGTGTCAGTCACAATTATCAGATTTGAGTAATTCCACCGGGAATTCCGGACGCTGATGGTCTCGGAACATCCGCTTCGGCGGGCTGCGTCGGCTCGAAACGGCTCTTCCAGGTGGAGCAATTAATTCACAAACAATGCCCAGGGCTTCCCCGGCAACAGCTGGGCGTATTACTAATGTGAGATAAGCTATCCCATGGCGTTTTTGATACTCTGGGCGTGTCCCGCGATGTTCAGTAGAGACTCCAGCCATGCTAAATATATCAGCCGGTATCTGCTCGCTGACTGTGTGAGTCGACGAGACAGCTCTGGGGTCATCGAATCCCTCCGTGATCATCGGAATGGCTCTCAACGCATCGCGTGCCCCGCACCGCTGCTTCAAAAATTCGAATAATGGAACACTAATCGGTACTTCAGTAATTGATGGCGCTCTCTACTCCATTCCCTCAACCTGAGCCGCCGTCGGTGTGGTAACGAAAGAGTCAATCATATCGGCGCTTCATTCGATCCCCTCCTCCTGCTCACTTCAATCGTATGCACCGGAGCATTGTGGTCTGAAACGGGATTATTTCGGATCGAATTCCGTGTCAAAGAGCGAGACCTCGAACTAGCGATCGGGGGGAATTTCTATATCGACGGATTGAGAAAACCGTGTCTGCCATTCGAGTACTGTGGGAAGGGGCCCCCGAGGAATCGCGGTGCATTTATGAGCTGAGTTTGAGAGACATACATATTCGACTATCGACGGAGGAGCGAGACGTCGGGCGCTTCTTTCGTCCACTGCAGTTACATGTTTGAGCTCAGGTCACCCTACGGAATTCTCTGTACGAATATGACTCGAGGCTCCACATAAGCGAGAATGGGTCTCTAGTTCATATCGAGACGCGTGACGAGACGGATAAATCTCTCCTCGCCCGTCGAGGGTGTCTAGCTTTCTTCGAGAAATTCATCCGAACCAGTCGCCGTCACACCTCGGCCGCTAGCTCCTTATACGATTCTGTGCCGCGCTAGCTTCCCGGAAGAACAAGCCGTCCCGCGTGTTCGCAATCGAAGACCGAAATCGGCTGATTAAGACGATTCTTTCACTAGTATTGCGAATACGAATTCGAGAACAGTATTCGCATACGTAGGAAAACGTCCGGGAATAATATCCGTCATCATCTATAAGTCAATCGATCATCTCCGTTCTACGTCCTTTGGTGTCTCCATGGGATTCTGCTTACGACCGCATCCGGAGACGATGGGATTTTCATTCGAATGGACGTTAGATGCGATAATTCCGTTAGAGCCAACCGTGGGATTAATTAATATCCCAATGGTGGCATGTCATCCGGAAGATTGATCTGGAATCTGTGATTGGCTCCGGATTTGCTCGACTGATCAAACTGCAGGACCTCAGCGACTCGCGGATCAAAGGCGCATTCAGGATAGGGCCAAGGGGCGATAAACCGCTCATGAATCCGTCATAACAGTCAGGTGTAAGCCTAGAGGAGGCGCGTAATCGTTTAGATTTCAAATAACAACCCCTTGCCCCCTCCTGCGCTCCCAAGAAAAAATTTAAGATCCGCCCCCGCCTGCAAATGTGATGGAATTCCCCTGGCCCCTGTCCGAGGGAGCCCGAATCCACAGAAATTACAGAAATACAGTCGCTCCTGCATTTTGTTTATGTTCCCCTCTGTATTGTCTGTTGATGGGTGGACGGTGTCGACGAATAAGTTCCGACGGTCGCTCGTCCTTACGGGTTATTGGAAAGCAAGCGAGCCCCCACGGGATTCCGCACGATGGCGGCGGCAGTACTTCAGAGGGAGCCAAGGCTTCGGCCTACGTAGGGAGAGGGACTTCGGCAACAACGATACGCGAGGATTGCCGTCGTCAGCTCATGTTGCTAGTGCGCTTGTTTTGCGGATAACCGGTGAATTGTGTGCATCGTTCCGGACGTTCCAGCGAGCTAATCGTTCGTTCGCCTTCGTTAATTCCAGTGGAGTTCAAGTGTGTGTAGTTTTCTCTCTTGAATCCGTCAACCGAGGTGCCTTCATCGCAATCGAGTCGAGGCTCCATCGTATAATCTCGTCAGCGGTTCGAAGATGTGCAGCTCTTCTGACATGCAGAGAACGTCTCGTGGTTCGCGCGGTCGGCGAAGTCTGTCCCGATGGGAACTTGAACGTCTCCCAACCATCGTACGCTCGTCACGATCTGGGTCGCCGAAGTCTTCGCTTAGGGAAGTTCATCGTAGCGCGATTCATCAACACCGTGTTATCTATTAAGGAGGCATTACCGTCAACACCGGTGCCGCCAGCGGCTGCGGAAGTCGTATCGGTTTTGTGGCCATGCATGACGGAATTCCGGCGCAACGGGAGGGTGTCGCGCTTCAGGCTCATCGACTGAAGGATGGAATCTTGTCATTCCAACAGACAACCAAACCGAAAGATTGGTGCGAGTTTTATCGACCAGTCTTGTTCCGCGCCCTGAGCGGGCTAAGATGGCTGAGGTCCTGGAGCGAAGTCTTCATGCTGATAACGTTTTATTTAAAACATCCGCAATTGCTCGAAGGCAAGGCATCACTCCTTTGTTTCACTCCGTTGTTTGTCGAGGCCTTTTGAGTCAGTCATTCCAAGCCATGAGCCAATGAGTGCCCGACGAATGGTCGGACAGCCTTGTCTAAATTCGTGTCTCGAGCATGAGAGGAGCAGTACTTCGGACAGAAAGTGTTTGGTCTTCGAGAATTTGATTCCCCTCTGCATTGATCCTTTGATCACGCTAAGGACTGGGAATTTCACCGGTGATCATTTCGTAGGATCTGCCTAGTCCGTGGAGCAAATCGCGGAAGGGGTGACCGTTGGTAGGGACGTGCGCCTTTCCTTGAGCCGTTTCCCCCGACCGTATTAAGGCTGATTTCCGGCGGCTCCCTTAATCATGCTCATATTGATGGATTCTCACCTTGATCAATGGAAATCATTCGTGAGCCTGAGCATAGTACGAGTTATGAAACTTACAATCGGTTCCAGCCGTCGAAATCGACGCAATTGTGGCTTCCCTGCCCACATTTGCCACCCACGTGGAGCAAAGCAACCCGCGTGGCAAGGAATTCTTTGACAAATTCTGTGAAGATGCCAGAACCCAATATCACCCTGTTCCAGGATGATGACGATGTCTCATCCGCCTCCAGATTACTCACATTCCTTCAATGACCGTGTATACTTATCGGGCTTGCCATCTCGAGAAAATGGAGACCTCATGTCGTTCGAGACCCTTCCTCGAGCATGATCACTGAAAGACCTGCAGTGTTGTTCGTGATTCCCGGTTCATCATCTCTCATCGGTGTCTCATAGCGGTCTCAGGGGTCTATCTAACGCGTCCCCTCCGTGTTTCCATCGAGGGGTCGTACCATGCGACCATTCCTAATATTCATCCAGTACCTCCTCGAACATTATCGGATTTGAATCACCGTAGGGCTTTCGCGCCCGCGTGCGTGAACGGCGGACGGTGGTCAAGCGCCGAGGAGTGTTGTTGATCTACATCCATAGCTCGCAGTAACCATTAGTGGCTTGGCCGCCGGCGTACGCGCACGCGCCAAGGGTGATGGCCTTTATCGCCCACGGCTTCCCAACGCGGTTCATTCTGAACTATGTATCCGTTCGTTTGGAAGCTCCTCGGTTGATTTTTCTTCCCTCCATTCTGACCGTTCCGCACCCAATCAGAAGAGGCGTCACTTCCTCCGCGTGTCTACGGAGCATTGTCGTAGATGCGGTTCGGGAATTATTGCCTCGATATATGCTTAAAGAGGGTGTGTCAGCTTATTCCATCTGTCCGCATGATCGGCGGCGGCTGTTCCTTACGGCTCAAAGTTCAGTGAGCTTGCGCTCTCCCCGGATTGTGAGATCCTCCCCATTCGCTGAGGCTGCGTACAGATTCGCTGCATTCAGAACTTCTGTACTATCGATGCAGTATTTAGGTCGAGACCCTAGGCTTGTATCCTTTCGGCGATCGAGATGGCTCGTCGGCGAAATTAATTTGCTCCGGCTGGAAGATCTGCATACGATAGTGGAGCGTCAAGGAAGGTTTCGGCGCAACGTTCTTCCGTAGGTGGTATTTATTAGCTGAGGGCTCGTGCGCGGTCGCCGCGTTCTGGCGGCGGATGATCCACGTTCGGTCAGACACCTGTCCCACCTGAACCTGGGTCAGATATTCTCGTCCATTGCTCTTGTCTTCATCCTTCAGTCCTTCTTCCATTCATCCAGGCTTCGAGGTTGGAGAACTCCGGGACTCGCTGGATATATCTGACTAAGAGAGCTCGGTGTGAGAATTCGATGGAGAATGGCTCCCGAGTATCATTTTTCGGAAACTGAATGCAAGTTCTGGAATCCTAGTTGATTGAAGGCCCTGTCTTCGACGTAATCGCCCCTCAATCGTGTGGTGCTCGTTGGGAGACTTGAACTCCGTCCGATTTTCATAACTGTGACGACGCGACGTCGACGTCTTGATCGAACGTTGGTTGCGTGAGCGCTTCGGAACCACTTCACTTCTGTCTGTTTTGGTTTTCAAGTTGAAGTCGCTCCAACGAGATCATTGCTGAAGTCCACTCACTGACTGAGAGTTAGTTCGTTCCCTATGTGGTAAGATCCAGTTCTTCGGAGAAGTGGATCGAACCTCGAGACTTAACAGAATTGCCTCGTGAACCCTTCACCAAGACAGCGTTACCGCTGTCGAGTCCTTTGTCGGGAATCCCGGCACATCATTGAATATCGGTCCAAACCATCGCGATCGCGAACCGCTCGCTGCTGCCGCTGCTGCAATACAACGGAAAACCGCTGACAGATCTTCTGTATTTCGGTATATCGCTTGACTTGCCGCTACGTTTTTCCAGTCCTTGTTCGTCGCTTTGAAGAGCTGCTGAATGGAGTTTGAATAGTTCGTGTCGAGCCGAGTCTATTTGTCGTAGTCGAAGTCCCGGTGGCTCGTAGATTCATTGAGAATTCGTGATGCTGTTGGCGAAGCGCATCACCTCTCCGGTGGGAGTCGTAGCGCCCTTGATGAACGGAGGTACCGTAGGCGATCTGAAGGAGAGCTACAGAATCTTCAAAGAAAAAGCGCACGTCGTCACGCACCAACTCCTTATACAGGTACCGGACTGACTTCTACTACGCTAGGTAGCTTGTTGAAGGAGCCATGTTTCATGGGGGGAATCAATCCCATGAGGCGTTCCAGGGAATCATGAGCTCGATTTCTGTACCCACACCCTCTCTGGCGGTGCTCGATTCCGCCGCAGACACTGCAGAGAAAATCTCTGCGCGGGGCTTCAACGCAAAAAGATATCCGCGTGAACTATTGTCTCACCGAAATTACGGAGGCTTTCTATGACGTGAGACCTTGGGCTCATTTCAACCCAATGCAACCCGCAAGTGGAGACATGTCAATGCTCAGTAGAAGCTCTCTGGACTTGCTTTGTTGGAGTCCGACACTTCTCGAGAGTCCCTCATGATATAAGCCGCAGCTGACGTGGCATATGACGTCAGCAGAACTCCCCCTTGGAAAAATGATCAGTCGAGAAACATTGCGGCACTGTCTTCAAGTCGGCCGCGTTGTTATACCATGCCACTGAGAGCCCGTAGGATTCCCATCGAATCGCCTCCCCGGGTGAGCTAACCGCTTCCTGAATTAGGAGCATGGACATCTCGGGTGCTTCAGATCAATCATTGGAATATTGGGTTTTGTGGTGGTCACGTGAACTGAGCGATGACACTTTCTACTCGGGGAGACGACATGCTGCTTAGTTTTCTGAGATGCTTGTTCATTTGGTCGCTTCCCTGTAAGTCGCTTCGTTCGAACCTTCCCCATGGAGAATCGCCGATCGTGAAGCTCTTTCTCCCTAGACGAAGTTGGAAGATGCCCAGCTCAAGTCGAATGAAGTCCGCTCGCTTAGCGTCTGCGTGGAAGGACCACCTGTCGTCCGCTACTCACCGGAGAAGCCGCACTTACGCGGCTTCGGTCAGTCACAACGTCCGTTCGCCCGCGTCGGAACTGCTATTGAATCAGCAGTCACTAAAGCAAGCGTCTCTTCCGAAAGGCATCTCCAGAACCATAGAGCGTCGGCTGCAGAAGAAAAAAAAACAAATATCCCGGACGCCAAGCGGTAACCTGGGACCTGTCGTCAAAGTTCACTCGTTCCGATTTGGGGGCACATTTTTTTTGTCGAGCGCCCCCGCGTGCGATAATGACTTGCTCCTTCGCGAATGCTCCCTATCGACAATGATCTCTCCGGGTCCTCTCGAGTGCTTCCGAGTGAAGCATTGCCTCTCATTCAGTAAGAGGGATGAACTAAACCGGAACAAACCCGGAATCGAATGCAGGCTCGAGCTCAGTCAAAGGTCGCCCACGACAAAATTTCCACAGAAAGAAAGAGCGAAGCATTGTATCCCCGTCGGAATTTCCATCGTGCATGTACGGAATCGCTCGATTCTTCGATGATCGGCTAGAGGTCACAAGGTCGATCGAAAGGCGGATCGCACTGCAACAGAACGCTACTCTCCGTGTGTAGACATGAGCCGAACGCGATGCGATTCGCTCTGCAACGTTTCTTTCGACCCGAGAGATACACACTCCTCCGTCCCGATGAGGGTACTGGCTGATCATCTCGCAGAGATCTGGTCAGATTGGGCTTCTACATCCGCGTTGGATAGGAGTGCAATAATCTCGACCATACCTGAACGGTGTTCGCATCAGATTTCAGATAACCTAGGTGCCCTCGATGCTTCTTACTTAGATTCCTCGAGGACTTTATATAGGCCTCATAGAAGGCTCGCATCAAACCCTGGCGCTGCGAGCCAGGGCGCTCGACGGCTAGCTCATCTTACAATTAGATCGAAGCATGTATCCGGACACATGGAGGGTATCGAGTCGATTTCCTCCCAAAGAAAAATTCCGCAAGAATTCGGTGCTCAAAGAAATCGTTCGGCAGTGTACACGTACATGACCTTTGGGCAACATATACCGAGCTGCGATTCCCGTGGGAGTGCGAATAATCGGATATTCGTTTCGGTTCATTTAACAAAACTACTGTGAGAGTTTAATATTAATGATCGGTCGAGCTACTACGTGCCCTTCTACTTTCGTTCACCATTCAAGGGAGCAATTCCTTTGCTTTCGCTCCGTGCACGAGCCAAGAAGTCCCTGTACGTCGACACACTTATGATGATAATTCTAGCATAACGGTCCGCGAGCTCATGAATAGGGCGTATCTCAGCAATAGAACGACTCACTTACCGTAAAACAGTCAGTGAACTTCGTCACAACAGGTCAAAGTCGTGGGATACTGCGCGTGCACGAATACGAATCGGTGGGAAGCTCTTCATTATCGTTTCTTTTGCGGCTCAAAACTCTTGGAGGGCGGGAATTCGTCGTCCGGTTAGAGCTTTCAGTTTTCCCGATCTCTGAAGTCTAATCATTGTCCTTCTCTTTGCAGGCCAAAGAACGCGCCAGTGTACTATGGCTTGTCTCGAAAGCCCACAACAACGGGGTCCCCACCGAACTTCGAGACCCTTATTACAGAGACCACGAGGTTAGTGTTTAGATTCCATTTCCGAAGACGGATTCCCTCAGCCCGCCTCAGTGGTTTCCGGGGGGCGGATATCTCACGTAAAATTATCCTTCCAGGACCAGTACCGTCTGAAGCCCCAGATAGTTCAAGGTCTGTCCAGTGGAGAGTTGTACTGCATGGCCCTAGCTTCGATATACGCGGATCCGAACTATCACACACTATCCCACGTCGGAATCATATCGACGTTACAACGGAAAGGTGTCGAAGTCCTGCAACCGACTGATGGCACGAGCCTGAACGAGACGATGCTGACGCAGAACGCCCCTATCCGCATGGTAAGGAGTAAGGGGGAACGTCATCGGGATGTACTGGGCGAATCGTCGCGGAATTTGATAAAGTCGTGCTGAGAGTGAGCTTCTCCGCGTTTCTCCGCATACACGTCCGACAAAGACGAATTCAGTCCCGGCATGGCATACCACTACCGATGTCAAAGGCGGTTTCGCATATCACACAGGATATCAAATTTTCTGAGGGCTTCTGGATTTCCGGTGCGTGGTTTCCGAATCGCCCGCCCATACGTGTCGTAGAAGCTCGCTGTTGTCGACGGACTCAAGGTTGACCGAACGCGCGACATAGTACAGCGAGTTGTATCTTGCAGGCAGCCCACATGTCGGTGATCGAAGCGATCATGGACCTGTACATCAAGGAGGTCTTGATTCCACTGAAAGTGTTCGAAGTTGTTCGTCGCTTCAGCGACGTCCAATATCCCGACGAGCTCCCGGTCAACGCTGAAGAAGCTGCCTTGTTATGGATAAACGCTAGCTCTGTAGCTCTGCGGGATCGAATTCAACAGGAGACTGGACAAGCCGTTCCGCAGGCTACTCTCATGCAGGTACGGTCAGCGCCTCTCACAACGAGATTCCCTAGCGCCGCGCCGAGGCATCGGGAAGGCTAGAAGAAAGCGCGAAATCGATTAAATCGGATTAGATGATCCGAGGAATTCCTTGGAACTCGTCGTCGCTGTCCATGCTACCTATCCACGATTTCCGGAGAAATGCGACTAAAGCCTCATCTTCTTTCAGGACATGGTGGAGCTTTCGGATGGTTGCGGTCTTTCATCGCTGCTTTCGTTTTATTGTCCAGATGCGCTTCCTTGGACAGAGCTGTGTTTGAACGATTCCATGAACCTCACGGACTCGCTGTGCAACCTTCAACTGATCCAGGGTTTCTGTGAACACAACCTGGACAACGATATCTGCTTTTTGACGCTCGAAGATCTGTTGTTCATGAATGACACAATCCGGTCGAATATGTTGGCGTTGATAGCGGACCTGATGTATTTATTCGAAATTCGACCTGCCAAGTGTGTTGTGAAACCTGGATGGGATCTCGGCGAGGATCTGCCTCAACCACAAGGTTGGTCAGGAGCTTCGGGGAACGAGAACAAGAAACTATTTTCTCGAATTCGGCACGTCTCCCGGCGATAGGTTCCGAACTGTCTCCCAGACGACTCCAGAGCAATCGTTGAACATACAGACTGATAGATTTTCGTTCGCATTCATTTGCAGAAGAGGTTCAGTATAACTACACGCTCCGAAAAGCTAGGAAGCTCCAAAACTCGTGCTCGCATATCCCGGACTTGCTCCTCCAGCCAGAGGGGATGCTCCAGAGAGACAAGAAGGGCCGTCGGGTCGATCCCAACAAGGAGAGTGATCCTGAAGAGATCGAGCAATTTTCAGGCTACTTTAATAAAATGAACCTTTCCACCTCGGAGAGGAACTCTCATTCAGCGAACGCTAGCCCCGCCCAGAGATCGAATAGGTGACTTGAGACACAAACTTCGAACAAATACCCATGTCGATGTTTATCGGATATGATCGTCGATCCCTCGCTCAGCTCTGAAGAAACGCGATTTCTAAGGATGACCCTTGCTCGTTTTCAGAAGAGGTAGTCCCGATAAAACTGGGCGAGAGTCGTCGCAGGATGGGAGCTCGACGCTTGAAAATTACTACACTCAGTTCAACTCTATTGAAGACAAATCGCACGAAGGAGGTGAGCCTGCTCGTACTCGAGTCCGATCTGCATGCTCGTGATAAGCTCTCTTCTCCTCGTCGAGGGAGAGGCTTATTTTTAGCAGAGCGGATTCGGAACCGAGCAAGTGTGAGTCATGCCGAGTGACGTCACCTCGAGGTTGTTCTTCTTCCCTTGAAGCCCCAACGACATGCGTCTAAAACGTTTGTTGCACTTCTGTGTTTTTTCAGACGGTGCTCAGCCTCTACGAAGGGTTCCATCGCAATCGCACATCCAGAACTTTTCGGGAAGCCAGGCCGCTCTACAGATGATGGACCCAGACGCTCCTGATCCTTTCCAAGGTAAATCTCCCGGGAGATCGATCGTCCTCATGGGATTGAGATAACTGGACAGGCCTCCGAGGTCGGCTCCTTTCTCTCGTGTCCGCGGACAGGAATAAAATAAGAGGTTTGTCTTCCAGGAGCCCGGGACAACAAGCAAACGAGTTTTTCACAGCTTTCGGCTCAGGACAGTTCGTCGCAGGTGAACCTCACGTATAAAGCTGACAAGAAACCCAAGAAGCCGACGACGACATGGATCCAGCAAACGCCCACCGGTGACGAAAACGGGGATGTTGAGGAAATGTTTGCCGTCCGGCAACAAATGGAAGAGAGACGGCAGCGGATAGAACAGGATCGGAGAGCCGCACAGGAAACGGCTAAAAAAGAGCGCACTCAAGCCAATAAGCAAGTTTTCCAACAAGTTATCGGTGGAGGAAAATCAAACGGAACCAATGGTAGAGAAGAATCAACTTCGACCTCTGAAGAGTCGGATCGGCGAAGTCCTTCGCCTCCTCCGGAAGATCAACAGAAACGTCGGAGGAACAGCGCAGAACGGGTCGCGAAACAAGAGCAGGCATTGAACTCATTGATTCATTCGCGATCGGCATCCCATGTGAACCATCTTAGTCAAGCCGCACAGCCAAACACGTTCTTCCTGCATGACTCGGGCTCCCCCGTTCACGGTTATCCGAGTCCCGTCATGAGGAGGCAGTGGGGACCCCCCGCAGGTTAGTCGAAGCAGCCTCGAATTTCACTCTATCTTCACCTGGAAATCTTTCCTCGCACTCTGAGCTTCGCACTTTGTCACGTGCACTTCTCGACCGAGCAAAGATTGGAACGGCTTCCTTCATACTATCCGAGCCTGTTATTCGTCCTCCTTGTCGAAGGCTCCCTGAATTTGAGGGGATGCGGAAATTTTGAGCATTCGGCGGTCCATGAACGAATTCACTTCGCTGGCCGAGGCTCACTACTTCGATGAGATAGACACTTCTGCTTAGCCCGATGAGCACCTGCTCCATCTAGAATGATGCTGCCGACGTGTGGAGTCTCGATACGGACAGATCGACACCGCACATCGGGCTGGCTTAGTTTTAGCGCGAGCTAATTTTTAGTGCTTCCAGCTCCGCCGACCGCGATATATGGCTACGGAGGTTATGCGGAACCGATGATCCCCTATTGGGCACCCCCGCACCCGTCATGGGGAGCGTCTCAACCTCCCCAGAGCCTGAACCATGCCCTGATGCAGCAGCAAGCGATGAACCAGCAGGGAATGGTGCAGCCCCAGGGCTCTGCCGGCCATCCTCAGTTCATGCAACACCCTTACAATTTGCATGAACCTCCTGTTCAGCAGCAGCCAATACAACAAGTTAACATTCAACAATCTTCGCATGCGAGAGAAAACATGCAAACGCAACAGCAACAAGGTTTGAGATGTGGCGCTTTTGCATCAGAGGGATTGGCTTCTCGTGCTGAGATCGGTTCTTGCGACGAGGCGTCTGATTTCGGATCAAAAACGATCGCATGTCTCTCATTATAGGTTACGTCGAACGGAACGGTTCTCCTTCGCCACCTCCGCCCCCAGCCCGACCTGAACGTCGGAAGAGAGACGCGAAGGAAGCAGGTCGGGGCGGAGGCGAGGAGAAGGATCAACAAGAAAACACTCCTCCGGCGCCGCAGGGTCAGGACAATAGTTGTGGCGAGAAGGACAAAGGCGCTTTCTTCATTTCGTTCGGTGACGAAGGAGGGGAGACGAAAGGGACGATGATTAAACCGAAACCCAAGTTCAGGCCGCGCATTCCACCCAGTCGAGATGAGGTATGAAAGCATCAGATGTCGATAAACTCATCAGTCATTCGTCATAGCATTCGGTTCTGCGAAGCTTCCGCTCGGGTACGGAATGAGCGAAAAGAAAGTAAACGAATGAATCAAGAAAAACGAACTTCTGACGTCCTCGCTTGGTTCTCAGCGCGATTCTCTATGACCGCGCGTATTGTCCCTTCATTGATTGTCCGGGTACTTCATTTCGAATACAATACGCGCCTGTCGTCAGAGACCTATGCACGGAGATCGAGACGACATCCGAATCATTAGTGTTTCCTCGTGAAAAATGAAAAAGCATTGTGTCTTCCGATATGCCGGCGCAACATCAGAATTGACATCTCAACTTCTGTGGGCATCGGTTGGCTGTCGTCCACGCTCACGCTGCGATTTCCCGCTCGTCGCGTGGCTGGTCATGTACCACCATTGTCGCTCTTCGGTCCGGACGTATCTCCGATTCAACCTTGTCTGAAAGGCAGACTGTGACTGCTGTCCGTGATTGACGATGATTGAGACGCTGGATCGGTGTTGGCTCGACGCGTGACGGCGATCTGGAATCTGAGTGGCAGCTTAATTGAGAAGGGGGGGAAATGAAACTAGAAGTTACTATCAAGAATAGGAATGAGTTTATAGCTTCCACTGAATTGGCTGAAAGCAATCACAAGACGTTCGATTCCACGCTCGCCAAACACTTCTGGGTTGCTCTCGATCTCCCGTTGCTCCAATGAGCGCTAAACTTATTGCTTTGCTCGAGAATTCCGACTCACGCCCGTCTCGACTATTTTACTTCCAGGCCGACGCGACTGTAGTGCAACTTCGAAACGTAGGATCGGTAGTTTCTCAGGCTGCTCAAATCAATTCAGCGACCATAACCAAGTCGGAGGGCAAGCGATTGTCCACCAAGTTGGAGGTCAGTCTCGATGGCAAGCCACAACCAGACGGATTCACTATCGGTAAGTTCTATATTCCTCGATCTCTCGAACTCGTAAGGCGTCTTACAAATCGAGGATGATCATTTTCATGCAGCTAAGGAGTCGAGCTTTTCGGACCGATGCAGATCCGGTTCGATCGGGGTTCTGGGATAAAGAGACTGGTTGATTTCGGAGAGAGGGATGGGAGCATGAGGAAAATGTGATATTTTTTTGTGTCGGAGCAAAAATCGAGACCGCCACAGAAATTGAGGCAGCGAGTCCAGTCGTGCTGCCAACAGATCATAGGACGAGAAGAAATTCAGAAATTCTCTTTGCGTGGCACGAAAGCGCGATATCGGGGCGCCGCTTCTTTCCTCATCCGACCATAAGATCGGAGCCCGGGGAAGTAAAGCACATTGATCTTTGGAACGACAAATACTGAACGGGGAACCGAATTTGAGATTGACGTCGCGTCGTCCGTCTGCAGAATGCCTTCCTCACCGATCATTATGTGCGATAACAGAAATGTTCCGCTCAACGTCATCTCCGTGTGCCGGACGAGTGTGCGCTCGCTTCTGTAAATGTGTTTATTTATCTATACGCTCGTGATTCCGTCTACGTCGCCTGGAGCTTGGTGCGTCCGGTTGTACGTCGTCCGTCTTGATAAATGGTACTCGGACGGAACGCTATTGCGAGAGCCTTCTTGCGCACATGACGATCGCCGGCTTATTAAAAAGTCCGGTTGCTTCGGAAGTGGTTTTTCCTTCTTTCTCTCGTCATGGAGGAGATCGGAGAAAAATTAGCTCCTCGCCGCCTTGATCGGCAAGCCAAGTAGCCGACTAGTCGCGGCCGGTGTCAACAGGATCCGCGTGGATTTACGCGGCGCCGGCGGTCGCCGCGGCTGCTGCTGTCGCTCTGTAGGCCCGTCCGGAGAATTTCGGTGAATGCGTCGCATTCATTTCAAGGTCGCGGATACGGACAGAATAATGTCGCACTTCGGAAAGCGTATCCTGGAAGTTGCGCGTCTGTTGACTCTCATAGACAGGCTGTAATTTGCGGCGTTTCGGACGAGGGAGGTCGACGTAGAAAATTCTCTTCTCATCCGTGAATAAAGTCCAATTGAGCTCGAATTCCGAAACTCGATTCGCTGTATTTTTCGACAGCTGTCCGGAATCGAATTTCCACTAGACATATCGATCCGGCACCTTCTGATCCGAGCAGTGCTCCACCCGGGACGCTTCCGTTCCTCTACTTCGTAGATAAGAGTCGATTCCGCGGAGTTCCGAGGTTTTCTGGCTTCCTTTCGCGGTTCTCTAAGAATACGAGACTCCGCTCGCAATATGTCGAGAATCGCTAGAAATCGCCCTAGAATCAGACGAACACACGAATCACACATCTCATCGCTTGCGCTCATCTGACGACTAATCCCATTGACGGACTACGGTTGGCGGCATTCGTTCTTCACGAGCATCATTCGCTGGCAAGCGTTTCCCACAATGATGTTCCCGGATTCGCCCGTCCGTCAGGCTTAGATGTCAGTCATCCACAATCTGTTTGCGTAGCGACTCAATTGTCTATGGGCTCCCAAGCGTTCATGCACGCGTAACGTGAAGGAGGTTTTGTATCGATCGACAGTCTCGAACAATTCGGTTCCGAAACGAATTTCCCGGCACAAATCTGGATCTTTCCTTCCAGAGCGAAAGCTCGCCGCCGATGTTTGCGGTCAACGCTCTTCGAACGCTTTGCGGTCTTGTCAAGAAGCGTGCTCCCTTCCATTTTTTACAATGTCCGTCACCGTAGAAATCGGTATGATCCGTCGGGGAAAAAAAAGAAATTTCTGCTTGACGGAGAGACTTCCTCAAGATCGCTCGACGACGTACTTCGTCTCTTCCTTGATTGAAAGGTTTTCGTTTCGCTGCTCGAACCGCAGTGATTGACATTTGTTGCCGTTTTCCTTCGAAGGTGACCCCAGGAACATGTCCGACTCGGATATGGCTCGCAAGAAAGAGATGATCATGATGCAGTCTCTGAAGCGGCGCCAGGAGCAGGAACAGCTACGATTGAAGAAGGAGCACGAGCTTGCCGTGAAAAGAGCTCACGAGCAGGCTAAACGCGACGAGGCCGATCGCAAGAGAGACGAGGAAAGACGTCGTAGAGAGCTCATTCTCGAACAGTATAGACTGAGGAAAGCTCAGGAGGAAGCCGAGAAAAACGGAGCGCCTCCTCTGTTGCACGCACAGCTGCAGGCCGGTAAGTCTCTTTTCGAATTAATAAGCATGTTTGCAGGAAATCCATTCCGCTTTCGGAATATTTCAACTCGATATCACGTCCCGGACGAGGCACCGAATCATTTATGGAGGCAGAGAAGCAGTTTCTCTCTTCCCGGAATGACTGAAATCCGCTATCAATCCGAGTCAGTGACACCGCGGAAACAAAAGTTCCGAAGTATTGAGCGACGGGCTGGGAATCGCTTCATTCCCCGGAAGGCGCCGTACTTTTCTGGCCCGTCTAACAGGTCTACAAGAGACGCTGCTCTCTCTTTTAGAAGGCGTGACAACGCAATTGCTACCGCCGCAAGAGTCGCTTTATTTTGACAGATCCAGATCAGTCTGAATTGAAGGAAGGGTCCGCTCTTCTCGCGCTCTGTTTGGTTAAAAACGCTTGAAACTAAACGGGCAGAAACAGAGAGAAGAACAATGATGAATGTTTACGTCCGTCAGAGAGCTACATGGGGCGAGACCAATCACGGACTGCTGAACAAGATCTTCCAATTTTCTCTGGCTCGCCATACTTCAAACCCATGCCAAGCTCAACCGCGAGTGTCTGACCCTGTCGTTGCTGAGTCACAAAACCACGGAATGCTCATTCAATTATTTAACTCGTGTCCCATACGATTTCCCAAATCGGTGATGCGGCGGTGGATTGAGGGTCTTTTGCAGCCATATGCCATGTCGGAGTTTGAGCGAGAGCCAGGAGTATTCAAAAAAAATCCGTGCTGTCGCTGCGATGATGGACCAGCACGAGAGCGACAGAATTAGGTTCGATACATCAGCCAAGAAATTATGATCGAACGATCTTCTAACTATCTGCAAAACTCTGAGGTGTGAAGGTTTGCGTTAAGAGTCAAGTTACCCAAGTCTACAGAAGAAAGCTGGCTCATAGGAGGCGGCTTCCCATTCGGAAATAGGAAGGGTGGTTCGCGACAAGTCGACGATTGAATGAATCGAGGAATGAGTTTGTTCCTGGCACACGGACTCCATGCTCGTGTTCGCGCTGCGGTTTTTGTCGCAGTCGTTTGCGTCGACTGACGCAGCGGAGACTCGTTGCCTAATGTCCACGTTTTGACGCTGTGGCAATGTCGGCGGCCACCGGATTTCTGTTCTGAGTAGGACAAGATTTTCCTCCGATTACCTTGGAGCGATGATGAAGAAGTTGTTGTATCTCTCGTGGATATTTTTTCTTGATTCGGAGCGCAGCGCGTATCCCTGCCCATTTCGGAAGAGAGTTGTTCGCCTCTGGCTCTTCGAATTTTCGCATCTCAGCTACAGCGAGACTCCATGTTCTGGGACCGAGGAAACTGCATGAATAAACTGGCAAATTACTCGGGGAGGTGTTCGATCATCCCTCTGCAGCGAATCGGATCTTTCAAAAGTCAGTTGTGATCCAAGGGTCGGCGGCACGCCTCGGCTCGTGAAGGATTTCTCTCGATCCGAAGGAGCCGACACCATGCAAAAAATGGAACCGGGAAAGAGAACGATAACACTCGACCAGGTCTCGTTGAGATTGACGTACCGACGCCGACGTAGCCTCTCTAGAAAATGCTCGTTCATGGTGAAGTGTGTTGTCATGCTCCTTGAATGGTGTTTCTGGGGACAAGCTGTAATTATCCTCCGAGATGGAACATGGGACGCCGCACATCGGATCGAATTGGGGATGTCGCTTCTACTTATGGCCGGCGTCTTGTTTCAACGTGACGGGAACAACAGTTCCGGCGTCTGGAGGAGCTGTCGTGTTCGACACCTCCGGCGCTGGACAAAAATTGAATATAGTCACCGATTTATTCTTCTGGGACCGGAATTAGTAGTTGGTGTGCTCGAAAGTATAATATGTCGCAAAGCGATTGGAGGAATGACGGAGTCGTCAGCGGACAAATGGACAGATGGATCGATAGATGGATCGATAGATCGATCGGAGGACGCTTGGATGAATGGATGGATGGATGGATGGATGAACGTCTCATTGTCTGTCTTCCATTGTGTGACAAAAAACAAGGTTGACGCGTTGTGGCGAAAAAATCTCGATGAGCAACGGCCCAACCCGACAAGGCATGGTGGAAGGGGTATTTGAACCATTTCCACGGTTCTTCTTCGTTCCGCGACTCCGTTTCCCCGATTCAACGACGTCGGTGACGATGAATCATTTGACGAAAAATTGACGACACGCATTTTCCTCTCGATTCCGTCTACTCGGGCGAACTTCGCCTTCTCGAACGAACTTCGCCTTCTCGTACGAACTTCGCCTTCTCGAACGAACTTCGCCTCACTTGGTCGATTGAAAAGCTCGCCCGGTAGGCGTATGCGAAGAGGAGAGCGATGGTGCCAAAACGATGGTGTTCGGGAAAGGTGTTAATTGACGAGTCCACCGCACGAATCACCATTCAGTTTTATTTGCTCCTTGAAGAGAAATCGACCGAGGCTTTCTCTTGGGATTTCCAAGGTACCGGGCGAGAAAATTGAATTGATCGCTCATTGGCTGGGGTGTCGCCTAAGTCGACGTGGATCGCTTCGAAGTCACTGAAGGAAATTAACGCGACAGTTCGCGACGGGCTTGCCCGCCGAGCGAGCGCCGGATGTTTTATGGTTTCCTCTGCGTGATTGCTGGAAATATTTAATGAAATCAAAGGCTGTAAAGCTCCCGAAATAATGAGATGTTTGGCAGAGGCGGGTCCGACCATGTTTCCGATACATGCATCGATCGATCTATCGCCGGCTTGATGGCTCGCTTGCTCGCTCGCTGCTTCGATCAACTCGCCTACCGACGACTGATCGGGGTTCGTTGACATCATGTGGGTTTTTTTCCCATGTGCTCGTGCTCGAACCCACAGCTCGACAGAAATTAGATCCACTCGTATTCAGACGGAAGCCGGAATCACCTGAGAACCCACACATGAGATGCCTGATTACCTTGTGAATGATCATCATTAGTTACGAATTCGATCTCTTCAGTTTTGTAATGCATACGACGAGGCAGCGCCGAAGATATGCCGCGCGTCTGCTCCGATAGGGTTGCGGCCTCGCCCGACTCGCAGCTGCCGGATCGAAGCACGGTCATGGAATCGCCGTTCTGACGATCGGTAAAACGCAAGAAGAATGCCACAGCGGGTTTTCTCGTTCTTTGCCTCTGGAGATTTCTCGAGGGGCTCCTCGTTTAGCAGAAGTGGCTCCAATCGAGCAGATTATCATCAATCTCATCTGACACCACGCGTAAGCCATTTGAGGCGGAGAACGTAATGGCAGAACGCGACCGGGGTTCGCCGGTCATTACGTCAGATACGTATACGAAGCGCGCTTGCGGGTTTGAGGTGCTTAAGGTTCGTACGACCCCGACGGAACTATCGCGCAGATTGCCATATTAGTAAAATGACGCCGAGGAGTACTAGTAGCGCGCTCTTTTCGGCGCCGGCAGACCCACGGATCGGTTCGCGGATCCTGGGGCTAAAACCTGCCGCCGCCGCCAATGTCATCACCACGATGACGATCAAAATCACGAAGCTAGTGGTCGAATTTTTCAAATTGGCCTCGGGCGATTTCCGATTTCTCTCTGTTCGAGCTCCGATCGGCCTCAGCGAAGATTAGGTGAAATCCTCGTTCGAAGATCCCAACCCGAACGTTGCGGAGTAGTCGATTTCCCCGCTGTTCGTCTTCTTTTTCGGGGGAAGGCTAGCGTGTAAATATTGTTTTTACGTCATTAGTTCAATTGCGCATGCTCCACCGATACGCGTTACCAAACGAATAGAGCATTCCACGAATGAGCGATTCACACCTTTTTACTTGTGAGATATTTTAATACCGTGAGATGGGAAATTTGTCACCGTGTCATGTCGATTTATCGAAGCATATACGAATGAGACTGTTGCACAACATCGTGTGTCCATCGCCGTTTTACTGATGCGGAGAATGATCGGCTGGTGTAATTTGCCGAGTTATCCGCCGTCATGGACCTCAATCAGAATATCCATTCGAATCGAATCTACGACACGAGACTCCTGTTTACCCCATTGATTCAGAGGCGAGCCGAACGGCTAGCTACCGACCTGTCACTAATCGTCAAATCCGGGAACTAAATCAAAGAGTAGAAATCGAGAGGTTCAGGAGACGCTTGGTTTCGCAAGGTTGTCCACGAGAGACGATCAACTAAGAACGATGAATTAATTGATGTTGCAGGGTCTACTCCGAACGGAACGATCCAGCGTCGTCCCAAGAGCAGATCGGCTTCAGTTACGCGTCCGAGGCCGAAAAGTGTTCATATAGGATCTCTACATTCTCAGGCTGATTCCTCTCTACCTTACGCATCGGTGAATTCGTCTGCGTCCTCCAACGATCCTTCTAGGAGACTGTCCATGGTGAGTTACTTGAGATTTTTATCCAAGAGAACCTCATTTTCTGCCATTCGCGTCTAGAACATCGACAAACATAGATTTTTATTGATGATGCGGAGCCCATCGGTCCTGTCCCGCCACAGCAGCTGCCTGGGTGTTTTTCTTCTCCCGCTGCAATGATTACGGCAGAAAAACTGCCCTGTTCCGACTTTTCACCTTTCGGAGGAATAACTTGTGCCTGATGAGAACTCTTCAATGTGATACTGACGTCTCATAATATCTCTAGTAATGGTGATTACTGATTACAATAATAGTGATTATACGAGGAAAAGGAGTATGGGGCGCCTCGTTACCATTGGCAGGTGCCCACAAATGGGCGAAGTGCCCGAATCGATGGAACTCGGTCTTTCGAGAGGCGAGGCAGGAGTTGTTTTTCTTTCTCCCCATAAGATTTTTCCTCGTCGCTTTCTCGTTTGGAACATGAATCACTCCTGAAATCAATCGAATCGAGCCCGGTCCATTCCTGTGGAAGCAACGACCCCTATGTTTGTCCAGTTTACCGACCGACATAGCGGACCCCGAGGTGCGATGATCGAAGGTCATTTGACGGATTCGCAACATCAGATTATTCCAACAATACCCTTCGTGTGGGTACATGAAGTGAATGTATCCCATTCAATCGACAGCCACCTGTCCTAGTCCATGATTGAAGCCGTGGGTGTGCGTAGTTTGGGTACCGATTCGTCCATCGTTCAAAGCCATGTCACAAGCTTTAATTATCGTCTTGGAATGGAAAACTGGGCTTCGAATGCATCCATTGGTGTGCGATATTTCCAGGCGTCGAATAGCTCCGCCGAGTAATGAAACCTGGCTAGGGAGCATGTTTTGTCAGAAACGAGACCGAATGTCAGCGTTTCCCATCGTGAGTTTTTTGGAGAGCTTCGAAGAACCAAGGCGATTCGGCTCTCCCGTCTCAGCATATGGACATCATTTGTAAGCATCGCTCCCAGAGTCCGATTTCCATGAGCGGCTCACGCATATCGTGCCGCGGAGTCTGAACCAGCGGCATATATCGGCTCCGGGAATGATGGGTTGCTAAACACTGCTCGACCGTCTCCCTCGCGTGTTGATTGGAACATTTATGATGATCGCGGTAGTCGAAATGAATTCATGGAGCCGGAGCTCCAGGAATTCACTTTTGACAACTTGAGCTCTCCCTTTCCGACACTCTACGGCTCTATACGGTAAGTCTGTGATGTCCAGCTCGAAGGTCCTCTAATTCCCAATAGATCCGTGCTCTTGTAAGCCCGGAGCGTGGTAACGGTGGCGACGCCGATGTAATTCGTATTCTGAATACGCGTAGCCCCCATGGAAGCAGCCGAGTCTGGCTGAATAACGCCCACAGTGATCGGCAGGAATTCCGCCGTTAATGAAGGAACTGCAGAGAATCGGAATTTCGGGATTGGCTCCGAAGTTGGAGCGAAATTCATGCCTCGATTTGAACTCGGTGCGCATTTTTCTCGCATCACCCGCGTAGGAACGTATGACTCCTACGTGTAACCACCATTCGGCGAGTCACCGAACCTTTTGCTTGGTTGAATTACCTAGATGAGCTGAATATCCGAATGAACTGATACCAGGGGGTTAATGTGAATCTAATTGACTCGGATGCGCCAGACGATGGTACGATCCCGACTACCACTGGACGGCATGGCATGATGACCATTCATGGAGGAAAGATATGCGAGCGAACGGAAAAATAACACGAGAGAAATCGGCTGTCGAGAAGAACATCCGACTCAGATGATTTTGTTCGAAATGTTTCCAAAACGTCTGTTGCGATTTCTGCTTTTCATCGGCATGAATATGTTTTCCAGAAGGCTTCAAAGAAGAATCTTCTCCCATTTGTACTCGCCGCCGCGGCTGCTGCTGTGATGTCGTGAATCATCCATAGTCTCTTCGCGCATTCTCTGTCCGATGGCAATGACTTATTTTTTCTTACTCACATTACGCAAGTCGGACTCTCGGACTCTTGCGGGTCGTTGCGAACGACTCAAAGCGAATCGATGCTGGTCAACAACCTGCGGCGGCGGCGCCGGCGGTGGTGGCGGCGACGTTTCCCCCGAACAGTAGCATGAAGAGAAAAACACTATATGCTGGAGCCTGCGAACATCGGTCCGCTTAGACTTCGTCCGAAAATAATGCGTGATTTTAACTTTCGGAGCGCCATCTGCGTTCTGTGTGTGACAGAGCGAGGGTTGACAATTGGTCGATAACATGTGAAAACTCCCGAAACACGCTCTTCGATTTCCTTGACGCCGGAGCTGATTGTAGGGTTCTGTGGCGTCGGGATCGTACGCAAACGAGGAACTGAGTCAGCGCTTCTTTTGAAAGCTTCGCAGGACTGGCGATCGTTGCTCGTAATTGGAACGTCTCGCGAGAAACTCGCGGCGAGCATCTCAAGTTGACTGCCGAATTGAGCGCCATCGATGTTCAATCAATTATTGCCGCGATGAGAATTCAATTGAAACCTTTCGGACGGATCGTTTTTCTCTCTTTCAATAGCCCGTTCCCCGCCGTTGCCGCGTCCGCTTTCGCTCATTGACGATTGTTCGAACTTATAGGAAGACAACGGTTTAGGTTTATTTCTAGCGGAAAAAAATGAGGACCACCATTAGATTTGATAAACTTTTTCGCTTTCATCGCCGGGCTGGAGCCCATTAGGATCTTGCGAATGTTGCTGCTCCGGCAACTAGATCGAAGCCGATCGTGAATTGTGGTCGAGATGACCCATTAACGGGGCAATTCTCATCTCTGTTTTGAAGCTCCCTTTTCCTCCGATATAAGAATTTTGTGAGCGAGCCCCTCTCAATCGGGTCTGGAAATGACGCGCCGGAGAATTATCCGCTAATCCGCCATTCGATTTCGACGTAGTAAGTTCCTAATGGATAAGTGAAGCTATGGAGTTTGGCGGTCGCGTATTGAGAATTTCTGGGGCTGACCCCCAGTTGTCAAGGAAAACAACGTTTGATTGATACGGATCCCTCTTACACCGGCTGAACACGAGACGATACCAATCAGCACACGATATCCCGGAGCATGATTCGAACGCCTTCCGCACGCTTCGCTTCTTTCCGTCGTCGTGTCTTTTTCTCCTACTGAACGACTTGATAATTTTTCAAGCTCCGAAAGCTTGTCCGAATCCTGTGATTCATACATCTGGAGACGGTACCCTTCCACGCCGATGTGCCGAAGCCGAATCTACGCAGAGATTCGCGACGTTGCGTCGCCGAGCCGATGCCGCCATCCGGGGATGATATGAGTCCATTGCGGAATTCCCCTTCCGCGGGTGTTCTCTGTCGAGCCGTCTTCCGATCGATGCAGTCACCCTTGTTGGAAATCGAGTCTATGCATCACTCTAGTCGGATACTCGCTGGAAATCGGTAGAAACAATAACGATATCCAGAGAAACGAAATCATAATGAACGACCGATAAAGTGCAGGAACAATGGACCCTGGAGGGGGCCTGACGTCATCTGGCACAATTGTTCGCGTATTCTGTCTGACAAATTGGTCGCTCAGCGAGAAGTATTCATTGGCTTCTCGCATCATCACATGGCGATGACGACGACGGAACTACGACGAAAACATTTGTACGCGAGGCTTCATCGACCGATTCCCGCGATTCCATTCGCATTTATCGTCGCTTTGATCAGTCATCGATGCTTTCGGAGAACGTTTGGAGACTTCTTCCCTTGTTGTGACCCTCGTGTCCCTTGTTCCACCACTAATAACCTCGGCGAGCCATCGGGGAACATGCGAATTACTCCGAGACAAAATGTCTACGATGAGGGCCCGTTGAACCCTGACCGCCAAGGAACTTCAGGGTCAATGATGCGGCGGCCGTCCATGAATGAATGGAAATTATCAAAAATTGAAAATAACCTAGAGGCAAACGACTTGCATGGGGTCCTCTGCGTGAACTACGACGTAAATTCATTCTAGCCGTCACTGAAGACATCACAGTTCATAACACATTCGACGGTGAAGCGTCGGTGAAGGTCGGCAGGTCCGAGGACCTGACATGCTCGTAATTAACCGAGTTTTTCGCGTGTTCTGAAATATCCACATTCGTTTTCGCTTCCATTCGGATTGTCTGTTGATGCTTTCTGCCGTTACTGACCCTACCCTTGTTGACTAGATTGGCGTCTGCCTGCTCAGCTGTCGGTCTCCCCGTTCGATCGATGCGCTCGCATGAGAGCAGATGCCATTCGAAATATCGGCTCGACTTCTGAATCCATCGATGAATCGGTGTTTCATAGCTCGTCGTGGAGTTTTCAGCCGAACCTTCCCATGACGCCGGAGCCGCCGTTCTCGATATTCTCAGCAGAGGCCGGCGAAGGAGCCGGACTCTCGCTCTCGTTGCCCAAAACGCGAATCCGAACTACCGAATTCCCAAGGGCGGCTTCGGTTGGATTTCTACTTCTAATTGCTGAAGTTTCTCACCTTAAGAATGACTCGGCACAGCGATCAAGTTCTGACTGAGCAATTTTCCTCTCCGTTGAATATGTCCCTGGATTGTTTTGCTGTTACGAAACGCCCGGCAGAAAAATATTTTGAACCCGTCGGAGTCCGGTGCTGATGAACCTCAATCTCCCTCGGGAAAGATTGCGACTGGTTCGGTGGCCGGATCAACAACATAACTTTCTCGGAGAGCTGGCGATTCCGTAAGTTTCTTCTGCCAATCCAATGATTGTTGTTCGCGCTCGCTTCAGCCAGCCAGACAGACACACGGACAAGAGGTATTTTAGTTTCTGGGATGAGAAACGTGAAAAAGAAGATCCTAGCAGATCGATTGACCTCCGCCGTTTCTTTCCGCCAATTCATTAGACGCTCTTCTTCCGCCGAGGGAAAATAGACGAATTTTTCACATCGAAAGCGTGGTCGACGGCTGTTGCCTTGATGCCGTCCGGGGCACCTTGACTCAATTGTGAATAAGATCACGCCGAAGTCACGTTCAGGCATCGCTTCTGAACGACTGGCGTTCGGGTGTCTGCGAACGTTTTGTTCCGAACGTCTATTTTTCTAATAATTTTTATTGGTGGCGAGGCGGAAATCAAGATTTATCGCACGAATCAAAACGCCATTCGTAACCGCGTTTTCGTGTGAGCCATATTCGCTTCCCGCGATCTACAGTGTTGTCGGCTGTCCCGAGTTCCGAGCAACCCAATGTGGACTAGATACTCATTGAAGATACAACTGACTGAGCCATGACCCATAGCCCGAGCGCAGGGAATGAGAAGTGGTTCTACTTGGGGAGAATTGAGCGTGTGGCAAAGCTTCTGTTCTCTTTTTTGCTTGACCACCGTACAGAAACTCGAGCGGCGCTTCGGTAAAAGGATCGTTCAGATTTCGGTGTCGGGACCGTTGTCGGAAAGGAACTCAGCTCTGAAAAAATGTCGCTCGGCACGAACACGAACGATGTCGATTAGGACAGCTAGATGCGTCGGTCACAGAACCTGCCCATTTTCGGACTGGTCCTCCTCCGAACTATGTTTTTCGGGCTGGACCACCGAGCCAAGGTTGGATGTCCCGGAGACTGTTATTCACATACCCTCCGAGGACGGATCCATAGAGCGAATGTACCAAGGAAGATCGAGGACGAGTACCTGCGCTACCGTTAGGAATATTCCGCCGGCGACATACAGGGATCTAACCAAAGCTACTTCCCGCTTCCCGCGCGAGTGGCGTCGTCGCGGTCGTGCACAATTGCACGAGAAGTGATAACCACTCGACCACCCGTGGCGCCCTCTGAACTATCCACGTAGAATCATATGGAGTCGCCGTTTGATTAGGAGGGCTTGTCAAGAATGCTGCCTTCCGGGGAGATGGATAGAGTGTTTGCTGAGGCGAAGTCTCGTTCCCATCAATATGGCAGATTGATCGTATTAGGAATCGGCGGAATTCTTTATCTCCAGAAGTTCCGCGGCCGGCTCTGGGATTTGCATTATTTCTCTCCGGAAATCCGCTCGGTGTCAGCGGGTGAAATCCGACGAGAGAATCTGAGTTCAGGAATCGCTTCTGATCCTATGGGGCATACAGCTCTGCAGAGGATCGGGCTTGACATGCGGCAATGATGAATCGAGAAGAGGCTGCCCCCCCCCGAGACGGGAATTTTGTTTTATTTAAAAAAAAGGAGACCGTGAAGTCTAAGGAGAGTTTTCAATTCGGCGATTATCTGTCCTCATTAGGGTAAACTCAATCGGAAACTGATGTGCTCTCTTATTTCAGGGCGGATCTCAGCAGGGACTGGATTCTGTAGGCCGAGGTGGAGTTTCTGGTCTGAAACGCGAACCTTCATACCCCGACTTCAGTCGGTACCGAAGTGGGATAGGCGGCCCACCCTCAGACGGGGCATCCGACACCGCGTCGACGAGCTCCTCGTTGTTCCCGGGAGAATACACTGGACCGAAACTGTTCGTGAAACCGAGCGCGAAGAGCAATCGTTCAATTATTCTCAACGCGCTCAACGTTGTCCTCGCAGGAGCAGTGAATGCGGACACGAAAAAACGGGCCACGAACGTAAGTCATGCTAAACATGCTTTTTGATCGTGATTGCATAAATGTTCGAATAGTGTTTTCTCGCCCATTCACGTATGACGCTCATCACGGAGAGTCTTGGGAAAAGTGTCGCGGGAGATGATTTCATACTTGTTGCATGCGTTCGACATCCATCCAACGGATCAAAGGCCATTTCGTTTAGGGGACGTAAGAGCTCGTAACCATCCGGTTGTTGTCATCAGGCCGCTATTAGTCCACAATGGATTGGCAGGCCTCTTTATGATGCTTATTACGAGATAAGATACGGCGCTGGCTGATTCACTGACTGACTGAATGAGTGACTGACTGACTGACGGAACAGAGGCAGACATTCGGGCGTACAGATAGTGCATGAGCTGATCGAGATTCTTCAAGTAGGGCTTCTGATTGATCCCGGGAATCGAGACGAGTCATCCGATCAAACGAGTCCGGAGCTTGCATCCCCGCCAAGCGGGCACGAAGTTCAGTTTCGGACATATTCTTGCGTTTTGTCGGTCAGAGAAGAACCCTTCATGAATATTGATGGCGATGGCCTGCGAACTGTATATCAGACACTCGAACTTGACTTCAGCTGTGTCTGATTTCTGCGGTTTTCAGCGTGACGATCGCGGTGTCGACTAGCCCGTCGACGGAAGACGAAGTAGAAACAAAACTAGAAATGAATGTTCTCGGCAGCGGTCTCTGAAGGGGTGGCGGTGAGAACCGATGTCCTCTTTTTCTCATGAAAGTCTGTGAAGTCTCTAAACATATGATTGCGGGCCTCAATTCATGCTCGCTAAGTCAAAAACTCCGCCGGTCCATCCGAGCAAAGGGAGCGTCCGAGTTCATGATGTTGAGCAGGATACGGACTCATGATGTTGTCTCGTCAGCGGAGCTCGGTTTCAGTACAACTTCTCCGATACCTCTCGATCGACCGAACTTCCGGGCCAGTAGAACTAGGGCTCCGTTTTGTTTCATCCGATCGAAAAAGCTCCTAGTCGATTCTGCGGTTTTTGTTAGCATGGGATTTTTTCGACACTGTCTTCTCCTCGGTGGTTTATCCGTTTTTATACTGAGGGACAAATACCACTTGGGAATGAAGTGCCGCTTACGTAAGCACTACTACGACGTCGAGAAGCTAGCAGTGGCTCTCAGGGATGAGGTTACAACCTCAACGCGATCCGGATGCGTGCCAAAGTTAGATTTGGTGACAAGATCCTTTTTTCCTCGGCCTTTCATCCCATCGGCCACTTTCGCGGGGGAAAAATTCTAAAGCTGAAAGCAAGTGTTTTCTCTTCGTTACAAACTCGTAACCAGCTGGAATACATTTGAGGTAGTCTCCCCCGTGTGAAAGTGTTCCGATGAGATTAACCGATCGAGGTTTTAATGGCTCTCTTCTCTTCCCTCGCATTTTTGTCGAGACGGGGAAGTGCTCGGTCTGGTCCGCGATTCTTTATCGGGGGAGTCTCTGAAGTTCAAAAGCGCACCTCCCTTATTCTTCAGCATTCGAAATCGAATTCACCGCCCAAGACAACGTTTTTTAGCAAAATGTCTTCCGAGATCTCTTTGTAGCAAGGCTGGACTTCGGGAAGAGACTTCAGGGAAAGCAACGATGGTAAAGTCGATGATGGAAGCAACGGTTCTTGTCGTTCTTGCTGTTGTTGTTGTCATCATCCTCGTTCGCGGCAGAAAGCAACAAAAAGAGTTCGTTGTATGAGGGGCAGGTTTTTGTTGAGAAAATACTCGGAAAACCATTTGCCCCGAGTTAAGCTCCGGGGCGTAGTACTGTTGCGTAGCGTCGATTCCCGAACGCCGCTCCGGCGCGCGCGCGCAACTTAACCTCGCCCCTTTGATTATTGTCTGCGGCCACGTGCTCGCGTAATGGAAACATTCGTCGTTCGGGTTCACGAATGAGAATTCTGATTTGCGCCCACGATAGCGAATCAAATCACGTCGCTCAAGCCCACCATTCAATCTTCCGGCATTTTTCAGGAAATTAACGCCACAGATGCGAAGCATCTCCTGATTCTCTTCCGAGGAGCCAATCTCCAGTTCCGGGGTATCTACGCGTACAACCCCGACCGTGATGAGGTCATCAAGATCTTCGGGGCTGGACCCAAGAACGTCACATCGAACATGCTGGATTTATTCTACAAGTACAACTCGGGCTCGAAAGGTTTCACTCAGATCCACACGAAGCATCTATCGGCAACCATCGACGCGTTCACCATCCAGAACGCTCTGTGGACCGTCCGCAAGAGTGTCACTAGCAAATTTGCGGCTTCGCACGCCCGATCCGGCGATTTCATGTAAATAGCCTGTTTTCTGAGCTTTGAGTCATTGACGATTCAACGTAGCGAAAAACATTCACAACAAGAGCAGCAACAACAGCATCGATGAGGAAGGAGGATCAAGAACAACAACAACAACGACCCACTCGCCACTCTCCTCGCGAGAAAAACCCATCGACTCGAATCGATGGGGTAGAGTGAGCGAAAGGACGAAGCTTTGTGTATTTTATGACTACTGCGCCTAAACATCCCAGTACTATGGAGCTACCTACCTACAGAGTCTGCGATAAAACCTTAGTTAGAATATGTAAGGAGAGAGGGCTGTTCATTGGTAGACGACGAACTTTTAAATCATATTGTGCGAATCACCAAGGAGAGAACGCCTTTCATTCCCGCCGTCGCCGAGAATCTCAACAGTGCTTCACTGAACGGAACTTCTATCATTAGTTATGATTTCTGAATATGTTCGGCTCCTCGATGGTTTGCGGAAGCCGCCTGGAACTAGCGCGGCTTTCGAAACCGGAAAAATATTCAGGCGGGATTATCCTCCGGCTGACTTGAGGAGTCTCGTCGTCTTACGAGTACGGAGGCGGAGGGTGAGAACGAACGACGACGAGGACGCAGGTGACCACCTCAGAGGCCTCGGAGCCGCAAAGCGGGGAATAGATATCGAGCCTGGCTAGAAGCCTCAAAGCTTATCCTCAAGCGGCTGCCTTATTGTGACTGGAAAGCTCCAGAGACGACTAATCGATGGGGAATCAACCGAAACAGGCTCGAAACCGATCATTCCGCGATAGTGCCAAGTATATATTTTCGAAGACTAGACGGAATCGAAGTACTATAAGCAGTGAATAACGAACAGATGATCAAAACATCCGCCGACGCTGGATCCGTTCTGAACGGCATGATATATCCGTGATGTGTTTTGAGGACTTTGTTTCTCGTCCTTCACTTGTTGAAACATGTTTAACCCATATTCGCTGTAAAGGCTGAATACTGTTGTATTCTTCCGGGCAAAAAAAACACGCGAAGGCTAGATCAGGTGCATTGTTTACGAGTATACAGACTCAAGGAAACTGCAAACTCATGGAGGAAACGAGTACGGAATTCCCAGCCCGTGTCGTGAGAAGGTTGTCTCGCTTCTTGGCCACCCATCCCGCTCCGGGCGGAGCCGGTGAAAATTCAACGAGAGACTGAGATGATCTCCCGAGCCGATGAGGATCGGAGATGCGCCCTCGAGAATTTTCTCTTTCCGGGCTGAATTCGGAATCTGCCGAGCTCGTTCCGCCAATCGCGTTCCGATCTCGGAAGCGGTCGGAACATCTGAGGAATGATTGAAATTTTACGACCTCTGAAATCCCGGTCTGGGAATTGATGCGGTCTTGACTCGGCCGAGCCGAGGTCTTGTATAATATTGCTGAGAGGGGGACTCGACTATCAGAGTTTTCCAGCGGGGATTTCCCGCCGACGAAAGTTCCGCAAGGAGATAACATCGAGAGAAGAGAAACACTTGCAACAACAAAAACACGGAGATACGGAATCGATGCTAACTTTTATATAAAGTCTTGCTACCAATAATATTTGTGTGTTCTCATTGTGAGGTGTTTACGGCTTTCGATATTTTTCGTCGATTGCTATTCGGTATACAGAAAGTCTTGATGTATGTTTTCCTTTCGTTTTGAAAAGAGCTCTCGCTCGGAGCCTTTTCCCCATTCAAAACAAGCTGTCACCCCGAGCACCGCCGCCATGCTCGAGGTCAATGAGAGAATAAATGCGACTGACAATTGGAAGTGGATTCGACCGACCCTGAGCAGCGCCTAGTGTCTGTTGTCAGGCTCCTGATGAGAACGGCGAATTCCGATTCGATCCGATCATTCCACGGAATTCGACAGCGGCAACTTTCAGCAGCGATTGCAGCTCTGCTAGCGGCATGGATCAGATTCGACTGCCTTGCTACAGAAGGTCAGGTCGTCGACTAACTCCAGACTAGCACACTCATAAGAGGCAGCCAACCTACTCACGGATACATGCTCAAGAATCCAACATCCTGCTCGTTCAAGCCAGCGAACGTCTCATTGCACGCACAGCGAGCGCGGATCGAGGGATCCGAAGCTGGACACGGAACCGGATTCCCTCGGATCGTTAAGGATCCGATGATTCTATCCTAAGATTAGATCCCCAGAGGAGAAAGGATTAACCAATATCCCCAGGAATACTCCTCTAGGGAAGCGCCGAGAGCAATCGATGAAGAGTGGAAGTATTTCAAAGCGAAGAACTCCTATCGTTGGACCCTTGAGAATTTCTGATTCGGTTTTCGATTTTTCTCCGTAACCGGAGCTGTTCACAATTCGAGGAACTCGGAATAATTCTTAAGGAAGTTCTCTCGGTCGAAGACTTCGTATCGTTCCTATTTTTCATTTAGAATATCTCGACTCTCCCGAGGTCGCGCTCGACAGGCGACGGAAATTCTCGCGACAGAAAATCAGCATCGGGTTTCCTCCTCTCGTTTCCCAATCTATCGAATTCTCTGCCAGGTATGGGACATGGAGCATAGATGAAATTTCAAGAGGGTCCTCACCGTAGAATTCGTGTGGTTGACGACGAAGACGACGAACGATCCGGCGGATTACGTTCAAAGGTTCGTTTTCTCTACTCCAGTGCTTGTCTCCGTGCCGTAGCAGAAGAGGCTTCCTTCATCCCGGTTCGCTTCAGGCGCTCCATCTTGGGGGCCCCCGTCTCGGAAGAACTTACCGAAAAAACACGGGGTGGCCCTGCCTTCTGTGATTCTAAATGGACAGATAGGCAGATCGATGGAGTTCCACGCTACGCAGCATCGATCATCTGTTCACTTCTATGGGAATCTCTCATGTTACGATCTAGCGCTTGATCGGCGTTCAAAGCCGCGACTCGAGTTCCGCCGGATCGGGGGCGGCTTCGGAGCCCGCCAACCCTGCTCTCGATTCTGGCATGCGACCTTGCAATGCGATCGCATGCCAGTCGGTTCCGCCGTGCATCAGGCGTTGCGAAGTTATCTATCGCACTAGGTGATCCACTCAATCGTTTGCGGGGAATACGGGCTGCGGAAAAGCGAGCAGACTGATGGATGGACCGAATCGCACGCGCCAGCACATGCATACAGACGAATAAATCACTAACCAACGAAGCTCGTAATGCGATTTTCATATCGGAATTCCCGGCTGCCGCGGGTGCGCGAATTAGTGCCTAGAGTGGACCCCGCACAACGCGTCAAGAAACAAGCGGTGGCGCTGCAGGTACGACGCCAGCCATCCAGTCGGGTGAGCGAGCGAACGAACTGACTGACTGACGGAGTGACTGGCGGCGGGCGAATCAGAAGTGCCGGCGCGGTCTACCCGACCAGGAGCTCTTTCAAGTGCGCGGAAAGCACAGGTCGTTAAGGCGAGCGGAATAAGTTTGACGTTTCTACTGGTGGTACCGAAGTTGCGGTTCGGAAAATTCCACGCGTGCTGCCCCCTTTGGATTACTTGTGCACCTAAAGGATAACTCGTGCGAACTTGACGATGTGAACTCGGCTGGCCCATGGATATCGTGCCTACCACCGTATCGAAAGGAATAGTGAGCGCGGATCGTCGACCGTGACCGATTGACTCCGCTCAGTCAGTGAGAGCGGGACTCGGCGCGGAACGCTTCCGGGCGCGCGCGAGACTCGGATTCTCCGTCTATTCGCTCGCCACCGACGTCCGGTCCCCGAACGCAGGTGTCGCTCGTGTTCTGTTCGCGGAAGATGCTAACCGCAGGTCCGGACGCCTTGTCGAAGCCTCCAAGACAGCCAAGTCACGCGCGTGCGATCTGACATCGACGCATGTGTCACGGAGCGTTTCGGACTCACAAGACAATACGTTCGTCGTCGTCGTCGTCCTAATGAATCTCCTCGAAAAACTCGATCAGGAGAGCGATGTCGTCGAAGAGCTGCGCCACCATCTCGAGCTGGTGCTCGAAGGTTTTGTGGGGGGCTCTCTCGACTCGACTCCGATCGGGAAGATCTTCCTGGATCCCAGCTACGATGAGCTGATCAAGGAGTTTCGGCCGCGGCTCGACGAAGCTTTCGTTTCGTTCCTTTCGGCGTTGCTTTACGCGCTCAAAACGTCGCTAATTGATATAGGATTGATCGATCACCGTGCCTATGACCTCTCGGCGGCTCACGAAAGCCTCAAGAATGTGGTCAATTCACTGAAGAGCGCCAGTCATACTTGGCTGAGCAAACTATCCGAACCACCCGATATGATGGCCGATGTCGACAACAACAACGCCGCCGCCACCGCCGACAACACGGCGAAAGGCTCTTTGACCTACGAACGAGCGCTGGCGATGAGTTGTATCAACAAAGTCGTAATTTCTAGTCTTAAAAAATCGTCTACAATCCCAGAACAGAAACTGGGCGGTGATTACAGTTACGAGTCGACGACGTCTCTGACTGTTTACTGTGATGGAGGAAGGGACCACGACGAGAATTGGAAGGCGGCGGCACAGAGCGTAGATTTCAGCGACGTGAAATCGGATCTACTGAAGAAGTTCTGCGCTGCTTCGGCTGGCGGAGTGCCGTTCCCCGAGTACGGCGTGGACATTGTGGACTCAGCGTGGGACAGAACGTCCTCGTCTAATGCCGTGAACGAAGCCACCGAGGATTCCAAAGCGTCGTCAGTTGCGATGACCAGCACGGATTGGGAGGACAATTGGCTTTTTCGGAAAAAGCCTCTGAGCCGTTCGGGTGCCTTCAATTTGGAACCAGTCGAGATGGTTATACCGAAACCGAATCGACCGGAAGGGGTGACTCTCGGGAATCTGGAAATCGACGCGCTGTCGGAACTCTCAGAGAACAACTCAGTCGCATCGCTGGATTTTTCCTCCTCGGAAAGTGAGTCCGACCGTCCGCAAGTGACAGGAGCTGTCATGAAGCCACAGGTAAAGTCCGCGGAAATCTCCGGACTTCCCAAGGTCACAATCGGCGATCAAACGACCGGTTGCCTATCCGGTACCACGACGGTAGTTACGGTCAACGGCGTAAGCGACCGCGTTCTCATTGAACAACAGCGGCAGCAGCAGCAGCAGCAACAACAACAACAGCAACAAACTGACGTCACCGTTATTACGGGGGGTGGCCGGCTCCAGAAAAAGGTCACCGCCGGAAAGGATCCTGTCAACGACGACGTCGAGAAGCCTCTGGTGGGTCTCCGAGCGAAGGCGACATTCGACGGAAAAGTCGTCATGGAAAATATTGACGACGTCAAAGCGGACCGCGCCGGCATCGTCTATTTCAAATCGAAAGATTCCACGACGGAATTGAGCGATCGCCGGACTCCTTTGGGCAGAAGCGCGACATCGTACGATGAGTTATCAGTTCGGGCATTCAAAGAAGAAACCCTTCGCAGCCTGGAGCGGCGTTTCGAAGAGTTCGAGGAGCAGGTCGACAACACCGGCACCACGAGTTCTCTGAAGTCTCTGAGTGAAGAGGATCTCGATATCCACACGAGTGTTTCGACGGACTTCTCGTTCCGTCGCAGTCCCGAGGGTTGTTCGAAATCGAACACGCCGAACATAACGAGTATGTTCATTGGCAAGTCAAATAGTCCAGATTCGCACGACCACGACCGGACGTCGAGTTCACCGTCGGGCATCAAATCGCCCATCGAGGACATCGTGCGGACGCTGACCAAATCAACGCTCGAAGCGACACAGAACGTCCGACCGGTAACTACCCGTCTGTCGAACAAGGAAACTACCAATGAGGAAACGGTGAGCGTTTCGATTTCTTCTGGCAGAGGATCAACGGCTTCGACGACCTCAGCCTCATCCGTGCAGTCATACGAGCTGCTCAACCAACGAGAGACGGCTTCTCGTCTGAGCGAAGCGAGCATCGACCGAGATCGAAGCATAAGTGCCGAACCCGCCCAGGACCCCTCGATAATCTGCAACCCTCTCCTGTCGACGAGAAGTGCGCTCGCTGGTTCGTTTTCGGTCGGTACCCCCACCCCACCAGCCGCGCTCGCTATCGCGAACGCTAAGGCGAACGCTTCCGCACTCGCTCACGCAAACGCTACCGCAGACGCTCCCGCCGCCGTCGCTGGCTTGGATGAGAGACCTTCGAGCTCGGCGGAACAGTCGCATGAGCGGCGGCCGCACGTCAACGCCACCGCGAGCCACAAGCTACAAACGGCCGCAGACTTGGAAGAAGCAGTGGAAATAACTACAGAGCGCACAGCGACTGTAGGCAGCTCCAAAGCGGTGGCGAGCGAGTTGGTAGCGACACCGCCGTCTACGACGACCGCCGACGGCGCTGTAGCGTCAGAGGACAAAGTTGACGGTGGCGGCAGCGCTCGTCACGAGGGAAATCGACGTACTCCGGAACTGGACCGTGACCAGGATATCTACTGTGTTCTGCCGGTGTCGAAGCTCGACGTTCCTCAAGAGCGCCCGACCATGCAGCGACAGCAACTGGACAGAGAAATCGAGCAGCGGATCCAGCGTTTCCAGAGCAACACTCTGCCAAACCCTAAGCGACGTCACTTCAGAAGTGCGATCGACAACGATGACGGCGGTGATGACGACGAGTTCTACGGAGAAGAACGTGGTTCGCGCTCGTCTTCCTCGATGCACCCGATTCCGGCGAAGCGAAACCTTCTCAAGCTGAATAGTTCTCAACGGGAGGTGAATATCTATCCGCCGTCTTCGGCGGTCGTCGATACGATCCCAGTGCCAAAAAACCGAAGCAGAAGCTTCACGCAGGTTTTCCCTCACCGACCTTTGGCGGTAGCACCCGAACAAGCCGTACTCGCTGAAGCCGACGAGCCGGAGGCGGTTCCTCTTCGGACGAAAGGGGCTTCGTTCGGTGTTCAAATCTATCCGGCGCCGGCTCCCCAACCTCGACCTCGACGTCGAAGCCCCGGTGGAGTGGACGCGAGAAGAACCCCGTCGCCTGTGTGTGCACTAGGGAACTCACAGGAAATCGGCATCACTTCGATGAAGAAGGCCGTCATTGAGAAGGACCTTCGCGATAAGCTGCCCAACGTCAGGAGGCTAGCGAGCAGATTCCGAGAACCTGTACGCGCGGGAGACTACCAGAGCGCTACGTTGCCGGCGTCGCTCTCGTCGAAACGTCGGCTCCTTCGAGAAAACGGCCGGAAAGACACTCGAGAGCTCAACAATCGTCTCAGTCATTTCGACAGTTTCTCGTGACAATCGCGGTCACGATCATAACAGCTTCCACTCAACTTGTGGATTCAACAGCTGATAATGATGAGCAGCCGAAGCGACCACAACAACAAAGCCACCGTCGTTCCTCGTTCATCCCTTCGCCTCTTGAAACAGTGATTCTGTTGAGGAAGAGCTCCCACGGAAACTGCACGAGATAGAGGGGTGTGAACCAGCTTCCAAAATGTACAAAAGTAAATAGAGCGAAGTCAGAGTAGATGATAAGCGCCGTCGGATCACATCCTAATGAGTGAACGGTGGAGGTGGGACGTCATCGGTGTCGTCTCCGTCGTCGTCCGTCGAGACGTCTTCAGAGTTGAAAAAATATCTGATGATAATTATTCTCTGCGAAACTGGGAAGCTCGAGCAGCTCTAGAAAGAATGAGGAATAAAGTGTACACTTAGTCAAGAGAGCTCTCGTTTCTTCACTCTCCCATCAGTGGCGATAAATATTCACGGATGATCTAAGCCCATCTAAAATCCTTTTCCGATCGTTCTCCTACTACTGCGACAACAATCTGAGTGGGTGAACAGCTCCAGATGGCGTCTTGAATGCACAATATGCCTGGCGTTCGGACTGACTCTTTGACTGATGATGTTCCGAAGGAAGAATTCCACAAAGGGAGCTGAAAGTGAAATTATCCCACCCCAGGCTCTCGGAAACGAAAGATTGCGTTTCGGTAAATCGAATGACAGCTCTGCCTGCCGTAGAGAATCGATGGTCGACGTCGTCGTCTCATCGGGTTTCAAATACACCGCACGGGGCTCGAACACCTCTCAATAATGACACTGCAAACAGGGACACATTCTTCAAATCTGAGTTTGGTGTCTTCGTCATGTTCCCGAACGACTGCTGCGCCGTCTTCTGAATGTCACGCCGAAAATGGAAGATCTTGTCAAGATCCTGAGTGAATTGACATGAGGGAAGAATGGCCGCCAGCGAACGAGCAAAGTTCAAAACAGAAGCAGAACAAAGTGGTCGTCGAACGACCCCGAACCTGAATTTCTCTCCGAAGACTTCCCGCTTCGAGAAAGTTGATGGCGGCGTTTTGCGAGCGCCGCTTTACGCGATCGAGCAAGACAGCAAGCGACCGAACGATGAGCGAACGAGTAAGCGATGCTTTCTCATACGAGCTCTCAAGCGACTTCAACTGGACGAGGAATGAGGGAAGGTTACTCATTCGTTTACTTACGAACAACGTCTTCCCAAGCGGAAGACGAAACGTTTCGACGCCGGCTCCGCCGACAACCACTGGCAGCGGAGGCTCCGAAAGCGAAACGCGATGAGGGAATAATCATTGCACAAAATGCCTCCGGATGTGACGTTTTCATTACGCGTCTGATTCTCAATAATAACATGAGGAACGCACACTCTTATCGAAGCGCTCGCTTGCATCATGATGACCAGAAAAAAAATGCTAATAGCCCTATGACCGTCATGGGATGTCGACGACGGCAACGCATTCTTTCTGTGCGGAGGAACTTCTCCCAAGTTCCGCCTATGCTGATGAAGTAAGGAGCCCTTTGATGGTTACCGAAACCATGCGCACAACGTCCGCTAACTCTTTCATTCGGAACTTCCTCCGTCCTGAGAATCCTCCGCCGCTTGTTATACACGGACTCACATTGTTGCTACGCCGATTGATATCATGAACATGTGGTCGGAAGCGTCATGCACAGCAGATTCGCCGAAACTTCCAGGTGAGAATCGCTTTCGTAAGAGATTCGAATCAACAAAAACAGGAGGACTGGACTTTCATCATGCAACCGATCGGCTCCTCGTTAATGATAATTTTCGTAAGCTATCGTCCCTTCATCCGTCGATGTTGCCAGCGACATTCTGACCGCTGTAGCTGTCCCCATCGTGGTAGAAGGAGGAGGAATCATCACGGGGTTCGTACAACCGGATTACGCTGGCTCTACGATACCGTTCAGTGGTGCCAGATCCGGACCCTTTCCAAATGAATCAGCTGTCGAACAAATGGATAATCTGCAGATACCTACACGAGATCCTCCATCAAAACCCTTTTGCCTCCCGGATCTCCAGGTCGTGTAGGCGGACGGGGATTCGGCTTACAGTCCCGGAGGATCAAGTCGGAATATCTCATGGGATGAAACGCTCCCAACGTCGCCGTCGTGAGGCTACAGAAATCGCAACGCGGTAAAGAGAACGCAGGGACCTTGCAATGACGAATGGCTGTCATTAATTAGGCGCTCATTCCTTCCCCAGTATATTTAACACTTGATGGAGATCTGGGTGTCGATTTCAGCTCTGAGGCATTACGAAACCATATATTGCTGTCCTATGGAATTAGGAAGGATAATATCGCTCAAGGTGGTCGGACGAAAGTGGAGTCGAGCGCTTCTCACCCCAATATCGTCAGCTGCAATCGATACGTCAGTCAGAGCTAGGATAACGGTTTGGTTGAAGAAAAAGTCATCATAACCGGAATTTAAGATATGATCCGCTTCGACCCTTATGTAGAGCCGTCTGTTCCGACTGTCGAGATCCTTAGCGTTTGTTGTTACCCCGAGAACTTCGTGAGGTGGCCGCTTTGATTCCACGAGCCATTGACGCTGGCGGTTTCCTGGCCAGCAGCTGAGTCCCTTGTGGACCGTCTGTCAATTTGTAGATAAAATTGAGATATGGTCATTCTGAGAAAGCTGCTAAGGCGTTCGATGTAATTCGAAGCTCTGGTTCGTGATTTGTTCCCTCGTCTTCGACTCTGCGACGAGTCCCCAATCGGGTGACAAACGACGAAAACGAACGACGAACCTTGAAGTAGACCGATGCTCCCAAACCCATCGGATACCTTAACACCCAAAAGGTGTGACTTTTCTCTCCAGATCCGGCTTGCTGCCGATTCCATCAGCCGATCCTCGAACATCACTGACCACAAGATAACAACCTCCGGAATCCGGCCCATGATCGTCCTTCGTCGTTCTGAAATCCACATCGGAATTCTTCGGTTTCTGGAGGGTCGCCCTGTCGGCGTCACGGAGCGGTGTTGGTCCAATTACTTCTGGAAGACCCATCCTCCGCCAGACGGAGGAAACAAAACGAAAAAGAAAAGAATATCGACAGACCCGCCAGTCCGTCAGATCGGGAGCACGTACAGAGTTCGATGCCGCTGAAGTCAGGATTATCTGCCGTGGTTTTACCGAACGGTTAGTGCTCGCCTCGGCGGATATTTTCCTCAAGGGATGAGAACCTTTTGCCCCTTCTTTGTTTCTCCTGAACACCCATTGTCCGATGACAAAATACATCATTCCGCAGAAACTCATCATCAACATACCAAGTACAAAGGATATCAAGGTATTGTTTATGTCTCGCGATAATTAGATGAGGAATGAAACGGTCGGGCCAGAGGATTTTCATCCTTCAAATCATCGGAGGGACGACGCATCTCATGGGATCGTGAATGGGATGATCACGGGTGACCATGAATTCCAATCGCGCTGGACAGAATTCCTCGCATAGCGGAATCCGAGTCGGGGTTCCGAGCGAGATTCTGATAATTGTAGGATCGACAAGGAGTTCCATCTTTCAAGACCGTTCCCCGCCCGCGAATGGGACGGACGTTCGACGAATTCTTTCGAGCTAATGAAGATCGACCCTCCTTCCTTTGTAAAGCGCGTTCTTCTACGTTCCTCAGAGGAGCTCTTCGGACCGTCCGTCTTCTTGAGCGGTTTGCTTTTCCTCCGGGACAATCTGTTAGCTTTCTCAGCCGAATACCGTAATAAGCGCTGCCGTCGCGTCGTGTTCATTGTTCACCCAGATCGATGCGATCGCTGAGCTGCTGGCTTACGGATCCAGAAGAGAAACCTTCTCACTGACTCAAATTCCATTGATTACAACTTCGGAGTCCCATGCGTTTCCCTGGTCTGAGAAGGCGCTCCACTCGCGGAATATCCCGTCCGAATCGAGGAGAGCATTGAGGTCGATCGAGGATGGCCTCCGGGTGCGGCCCCCGTCGCGATGCTCGAGCCGATCATCATCTTCTGCATTCAGCTCAAGTCCCTCGCGAGTGTACGCGCTGCCGATGGCGGTCGAATGTGTTTCCAATCGTTTGATTTATGCGTCTGATGCGAACCTGTCGATACGTTTCCTTCCGCGGTGCGTTTTTTCCGGTGCGAATATCTCTCGGACCATTGCTCATTTTTTCCGACGATAATCTCTTCTGGGTTCCCGTGATTCAGAGCCCGAGGCGAGGCTGCGTCGAACTGATTTGCCTTCTACCACACTACCACCACAAGCACCCCCCAATCCGATGCACGCATTCCCTCTCTCCCCCCGAACATTTTCAGGATTTCGGCTTTTCTGCTCGCCGTAGGCACAGCAGAAACACGGAGCGAACGGGTAGCCACTGGCGGGCGAGCAGAGTAGAATGATAAAGATTGAGATAGAAAATACGAAGACGCAGTAGATGTGGCGAGCCAAAGAAGCCGAATCGCCAAAAAGATATATGGAGTTGTCCCGCTCGGAGTGAATACGTAATTAACGATGTAGCGATGTGCTTCGGTCATTCTCAAAATAAAATTCCTCTGCCTGTGTAAACTCAAGTCGAAGGCGAGGCAATACGAGAAATTCTGTCGGCAGCGGTGCTGTTGACCGGCGCGGTATTTAACGGAGAACGGCTGTGAGCTTCGTCTTCTGCCGGCTCCATCGTCTCCTCCGTTTTCTGGTTCGTCTTGACGTAACCGTTTATACTTCAGGCGCCAGCCACTGAGTTTCATTGCTTCTGACTACAACAACATTGACGTCGCAGCAATTCACAGCCGGCCCCAGACAATGGCCCCATATCAAACTAACCTTTCACCCGCAATTGGAGCGCTATTTTTCCTCTGGCCGGCAGCTTGAAGGTATTTATGAGGATAAGAGCTTGAATGCTTGAATGTATGACGTTAGCCACAGGGCCCTGAAAACTCTGAGCAAGACAGTATGATGCATGGGTATCCGGGAACAATCAAGTCCGGAGCTTTCTTGAGAATGATCAATGGAAAAGAACTCAATGATGTTCTCCTGATTGTCTTCGGGCGCGATGCGGGTTCTGCGTCTTCGTTCCTCCTACTCGATGAGCTCCGGTCATCGGCGATCGACTGCGACTGCAGCTACAAGGAATGGTCCGGAAGATTCGCGAACTCTATGTTGCTATAAGTCCTGATGATTCCACAGTTTCCTTCCCCGAGCTGCCCTTTTCGTCTCAGGCCTCCATGTTCGATGGGAAGCTGGGCGAAGTTTTCCACCTGACAAGTTGAGCCCATTGCATTGGCGATCCCTTTCCCTCCCTCGGCGCCGTCGTAGGGCTGTCGGGATCTTCCTCGAGGGAAGTCTATTCGGTAATCCGCAGGTCGTGCAAGTTTTTCCTCTACATGCAGCGATCCTCGAGCTCTCACAAGAGGAGTCCGAGCATCAAGTGAGAGCGTTGATTCGATACCGTCTGAAGAGAAGGGAAACAATCTTCGGATGCTCGGCTCAACACGGGTCCCTCGAGTGATCATCTGTCATCTGCTCTATGGCGATGGAATTTTTCGTTGAAACTGAATCTTGATCTTCTTAAGCCTGATTTATTTCAGGCTATATATATTCAAGCGGGATCTTCGCTGAGTCATTTGATGTTCTTCTCGTCTGCTTGCTTTCTGGCTCTGATCCAATCCAAATGCTTGTGTGTATACATTCATCCAGATACTGGCGATATCTTCTTCTTCTTGTTTCGCTTTCTTATTAGTATATAATCCCGAGGAAGAGTAGAATCAGAGCATCTGGGAGCGGCCGACGTAATCCGTCTCGAATCGGATTCGCCCTCATATTTCTTCTTTTTGTCTCGAACGATCTTTGAGAAGATGTCAAGGATTCCGAGAGAACTGCCTATTTTGCGACGGTCGAAAGCGAATCTGAGAGAACCTCGAGCCTCGTACTTCATTGAACTCTTGTGTATAATATATTTCGATTCCTGTCCGTTCATCTAGTTCCGCGAAGTAGAAATGGAATGAACAAGAGCTTGAGAGAACCGAACTCCAGGCGGGAAACCTACAGAATCATTCTTCTTTCGCGGTCCAATTTCCCGGGCTTGTTCCACGCCCGTACGCACCCGGAGGGAGACCGTGGCGTCTGTTTCGAAAGGAAGCACGATCTCGCTTCCCTCGGAGGAGATAGATGTCGTCGATCGCCGAACGAGCTGAGGTCCCGATCAAGCAAGAGGGAGCGGGCAGGCAGCAGGCAACAAAAACTCGAACGTGACCGGAATCAGGAGCGTATTAAATAGCCCCTACCGGAAAAATAGATTCTCCGCTCGTAATCTTTCAGTCGGAATACTTCTCCGAGAGTCTCGACAAGATCTCGGAATTCCTCCGAACTCTGCTTGTCGTTCGCGAAAGTCATAAATTATCGCCGACTCTGCATTTGCCACTGGTCGCTCGGTCGGATCAAGAAAAATTACCGAACGTTCTTCGACGACCTGAGCGCCGATACGTAGATTTGATGTGAATTCCGACTTGGTCAACTATGATCAGTGATGTTGGCTCACATTCATTTTTATGATTCGGATGTGAACATGTATCGTCAATACTTTCCACGTTTGCCTATCGATGTTTTTCAAGCGATAAGCGCGTATCCGTGAAATGTTTCGCGCAGTAGAGGAAGCCGGCCGCAGGTTTTCCATGCCGCCGATTCCTTCACGACCGCTGGACAGTTGAGTTCCGGCGGTTGGACAACGCTACACCGCGGTGAATATCCAGATACGAGATGCGATCTTACCGCGCTATTCATCTATGTTGAACAGACGACCAAATCGATGAGGCACGATAACTGGATTACGTGGTGATGGCGGCGCCGGCGAAGACACCGGTGTTGTCGACGTCGTCAGTTTTGTAGACGGCGGCAGCGGTGTTGCTGCTCTACTGCAAGGCCGTGGGGCCAGCCGCCAGAAATTCCAGACTCGTCGCTCTGATTGAAACGCCCCGAACCAGAACTCGTCCGTGTTCGTGCCTGAATTAGCTGCTCGCTCGAGTTTCGGCTCTTGACTCTTTCTGGCCGAAATCGTCGTCAGCCTCCCGGGATAAGTGACTGACAAACTGAGCTATACGCAGAACCGACGCCAGCCGCAGATTCTGAGCGTCGCGACAGATCTAGTCCACGCAGTCCCAATCGGAGCCTCGTCGCCGCCACCACAGCCGCCTGATTGCGGCCTCAATCACGTCAGTACACGCTTAATTCAGTATCATCACACAAGGGTGCGATTATAACATCTCTCCGTCCGACAAATCCAGACCCTGTCGAAAATCAGGATTTCTGTGGATGGTAATTCATCCAGGCATACACGATTTCTGCAATTCCTGGAAGCCGTAAAGGCGCGAATCCGCCGATTCGGAGAATTATCGTAATCGAACTTTCGTCGCTAAAGGTCCGTAACGCCGTCAAGTCTCGGTTACGATCTCAGTGCGAATTCACGAAGTCGGAGCAGATCCGAAAGGTCTCGAGTACTTCGCAAACGCACGAGATTCGAAGCATCATCCTAAACGAATTCTGACTGAGTCGACGGCTCCCTTCGCCGTTTGATCAGCTGTCTGAGCGAGTCCACCGCAGCAGCGGAGAGACGACTCCGCGCACAGTCCTGGCGGGGCTATACGTGCGCGGATCGTTGATCGTCAACGGCTAGTTAGCCTTGTGGACATCATTTGGACATCACCAGCTTACATCTTTCGATGTCCGCTAATAGTGGACCCGTCAACCGGTTATATGAACTTGACTGACCCTCGTCGCCGTCGTCGCCGCCGACTCAATCAGTTCAAGAATGTTGTTGTCTTATTCGGCAGCAGCGGTTCTGACGACCGTTCCGTGCTTTCTCCGTCGGCTCTAGATGCAGAACAGCTCGGGGAAGCGCGCCGTGAGCAACCGCTGAAATGACGGTGCGACGTTTTGAGAGAGCACCACCGTCACCGAGATCCGAGTGATCTCCGATGGACTGGCCCCTCACGAGAGGCGATCTTTCGTCAACTGACATCCGACAGACGAGCCCGTCTCGCTCCGTATGCGATTCCCCCGGATAGCATCCGTCCTTACCGAGTCGCGCAGGCTCAGAACCCGCCCTGCCGGCGGTCAGATGTTGGGCTTTCACGTTCAGTTAACCTTCGACTAAAGATCGGAAGTCTCGAAAGACACACCCGAAGATCTGCGCCGGCTGCTGCGGCGAACATCTGATTCTCTACTCCACAAGACCCTTCACGGACTCAGTGACCCCGCCCCTGTGGGGAAGTTCAATTTCGGAAGTTCTTGTGCATCGATTTCGCTCGACTGAGTCCGTGACGGGGTCCTGTCTGAAGTGAAGACCATACCGTGAGTCTCTGGATCTGGATACCAGTCGATCAGTTGCGCAACTCTTGAGCGCCTGGAGCCGGACTACGCGAGATCGTCAGACGTCGGATATCGAGTTTTAGAAACGTGACTGTGATTGCAGATTTCACTTTGGTGGAGGCTGAGACGCCGCTGGTTGACGATGGAGAGCGATTATGTCATCGTGGACTCGGGAGCGAATCTCGCGAATAAGAAGTTCCAGAGGGACCTCGACCAGGTTCTCGATCGAGCTCAGAACTCAGGAGTGAAGAAACTGGTCGTCTTGAGCAGTTCCGAGAGATCTGCGCGTGACGCGCTACGCTTGACCAGGTGAGGCTCGAAATGCGTGCTCATGTAGGATTCCGAATTATTGACATACACATGTATGAAGATTCTAGGCGGGCAATGCGGCGGTGGGAGGCGTGATTCGCTTCAGACATATATAGATCTGGAGGAGACAAGTTCAGCGTGATTTGGAGGGCTTCGTCGAAGTCTGGGTCAAGGTGGTCTGTTTTGAAACAGTTGTGACTTGTGACAGTGATCTGACGATTTGATATCTTGTCACACAACATGACGCCCGATCTACTTTGATTGAATAAAAAGAAAAGCGTTCGAATCATTGGATGAGAATCGGTTCGCGGAGCTCAGGCCAAATGGACGATTCTCTTCTCCGGAAACGCCGAACGTCTCTCCAACTCAGAATATGTAAAGGCGCAAACGATATCCAATATTGCCCAAGAGAACCGTGGAAATGGAGAGCTCTCCGAATGATGTCTCGCGTATTGGAGGAGCATCAATGTGAACTCTAGACGTGGGATCTCCACGAGAGAGCCTCATCAGGCTCCGAGTGGCTCTGGTCGATCACATAGAGATAATTAGGCGTGACGGGAGTTCGCTGATCAATTTCAACCTTTCTGAGGGCAAGACCGCTTCTGTGATTGCCTTCTGAGGCAAAGGATCAGACTTGACTCCGTGTGCGCAGCGAATTCACGCAATGATTCCCTTCTCTCGAATCACGAAGATCGCTCCGAATGGATATGGCAGATTCGTTTTCTCAGCTCCTCCAGATTCATCGAGGACCCCGGAGATAATGTGAAGGTTTGTCCCAGCCTGCAGGGAAAAGAAGCAGAGAATTCTTCTCTCAAAGGTTCTACAAATAGAGTCCCGAGGCTGTTCTCGGGTAAGGTTCGATCCCCAGATCTATAGAGTATCCGTTCCGAGGCCTCTCGGTAGAGTGAAGATTCAGTGCCCTGTATCACTGGTCTCGAGCAAATAACGACACATCCTGCTCCAGAAACATCACTGGGTGAGCAGTTGACGTTCGAGGGCCACAGTGGTTTTCTCGACGTCTTCTCTCAAGTGCCGGATCCGTATGAGTGTCAGTCGAGATGTTGGGTAAATTCGATTGAAGCATACATGGGAATTTCCTCATCGGAAATTCACATCAGTATTAGGGGTCTCGTTCGGACGTTGTAGAAAGACGCCAGACCTGAATCTCCATCCACTAGGCTGTCAGACTGCATCCGTTTCCAAGCGAGTATCGAACGAGTGTTTGTGGATTGTAAAAGATACGCGACGTCAGGTGAATTACGATCCACCGAAAATGTCACATCGTCTCGGTATTTCGTATGAACTGGAATGCTTCTCTGGTCGAAACCAAGGCCTACCTCTGGAATTTCTTTAATGAATGAGTGTGACATTGGTCGGATCTGACGTGAAACTTCCGAATTCTGGGCGTAAGGGCGACCGTAGATCCCGCGAGAGTTGATGAATCAATCTCCTTGGAAGGTCAAAAGAATTATTTCCTCTGGATTGACACTGATCGGAACAACCATGGACATCTGAAACATCTTTGACAGACATATGGACCATTCGTAGAGCGATCCAGAAATTTTGAAAAGGTCCTGTCGCGTCTGAACGGAGAAAGTGCCTTTCGAGAGCCCGAGACTCCCCAAAATTAAATTGACTGAAAATGGGCCGAATATACCCTCAGCATCGACGGGAACCCAGCGACCCGATGGGGCTCGTTTGAATAAATCCCTTTGGTGCTTGCTCTAAAATATTCCGATTCACAAGACTCTTGACAGCTCCGTCTAAGCATTTCCTTCCAACGGCATCTTACAGACTTTACCCTGGCTCGCTGTTCTGCGCATCGGGGATCCACCCTCTCGAAACGCAATCATGGAGGGACGAGACCAAGGCGACGTTCGAAGAGCTTCTCCCAAAGGCCGAATGTGTTGCAATTGGTGAGAATTTTCTCCTTGTTCCATAGGTTCCAGTGTCAAGTGATTCATTTCTATTCATCTTCACCTTCCGAATGCATTCCTATCGAATATGCACTTCGGTGTCGAAAATTCTCGTCGAAGCTGAATGCCACACTTGTAATGAGTGGATGCCTCCAGCTCTGTGCCGACCCTCTGCTTCATGTCTATATGAAAGCAAATACTGGTCCACCATCTTTCGAAGCTCTCTGGTCGACGTTTTGCCACTTTTGATCATTTGATCACAGCTCTGGCGGTCGGCGGCGTCGCTCTATGAAGGAAGAAAGTTTCGTTTATCTATTTGTCCAAATATTTACTACGCCACAATCAGTCGATGCACTCTTTTGTTGTCTGCGCAATCACTGAACGTCGACGAGTCAGATGGATCGACCTAATTTACATTACGATCGACGTTTTGGTGATTCTCTTTGTCTGCGCGGAAGAATATATGTGACGCCGATGTGGAATTCCGGAAATGTTCGAACCGCAAGGCGTCTGGGCATCCGAACGAACCTTTATTGACATCTTTGTTCGAAAAGCTCGCTGGACGAAGCCATCTGTTCCTTTAGGTGGAGAAACGGAAACTGTCCGGATAAAAGAGATTTGGTGAGACTTAGCGATTCCCTTTTTTTTCTGGACTTTCGACACTGTCGTGTGTCGCTTGTGACACGTGACCGTTGACCTCACTGCTATAGGTTCGGAATTCAGCTGAAACCCAAATCGGACTCCAACTATACGGTTCTGGGTTGAATCAAAGGGGGGAGGGGGGTCGATCGGAGGGGTAAATAATGACCGATGAAAAATCATATCAAATGTTCTGAAGCGATGGTCTCCTTCCCTGAACGAAAATGCACATTTGCGACCGTTCGAAGGTGAAGACTTCAGCCGCGAATCGAGTGGCTCCGCTAGCTCTCTGCTCAATCACTCATTGAGCCTCGCGGAACATTGTGATTCGAGATCGGGTAAGATCGGCGGGTAAAATACTCAGAGCCTTTGTGACATAGTAATCTCAGTTAGTCATGAGCGGCGACTGCAATCGAAAGCGTCCCTACTGAATATGGAAGCGAAGGACATCGCGAAACATGGGATGTCGAAGCGGCACCATGAGGTTTTTTGTTGCTCCGCAGACACTTCAGCCGCGATTCCATCTATGTGTGGGAATTTGCGGCACCGTTCCTATTAGGACGGCACATCTTGACACGCTTCTAACCGTGGATTATGTCAGAGTTGTCATCCCGTCCATGGGAACTTTTCCGAAGGAATACAGGGCACAGAAGAGAAGTCCGCGTTGTCGAACATGGAGAATGAATATTCTCCATGAGCGGGGACGCTGAGGAATCATGGTGACTTTTCTGAAAAAAACTTTCTGTTCTCCAGGAGCATGCGGGCTGGATCTGACGAAGCTGGAAGTCTCATCCCTGAAGCAACAAATATCTTGCTTGGAGGCTCAACTCGAACTGGCGAAGAAATACGCCAAGCCTGTGGTTGTTTTCGAAAAAGCGGGGGCTTCTGAGCTCATACCAATACTGAAGGCCTACGCCGAGCTCCAGGTCATAGTCCACGGATTCGCGGGATCCGCCGATCAGGCCAAAGAGTACTTGGACAGAGGGTGAGTCTCGAGGGGTTGAGAGTTCGGGCATTCAGGAGATCATCTTTAGATCCTCGTGTTGAGATCAAGCTCCAACTTGTGCGTGACATTGAGTCCAGAGCCGATCGGAGCGAAAGCAGACAGTAGAAAAGGAGGAGGTGAACAATCCGAGCAAGCTCCATCCCTCTGATGCGATGTCCAAGAAACGCTTCCAACGACAGGAATTTCTCAAACTCAAATGAACTCTAGACGATAGACCTGGAGGCGTGGAAACCACTCACAATCAGATACATTTCCTCACACCATCGGAATATTGCCCATCGCTACCAGGAATTCCATCTCCTGTTTTTGACTCCGGATCGTCGATTCGCTGTCTTTTTGAGTTTCACCTTTCGACGCGTACGACGACCAAATCGTGCTCATGGGACGAGCCGTTGGGCTCGCAGCGGGCGGACGGGAATATTGACCACCCGCGAACAAGCACGGCAAATTCTCTTCATAAACAAACATATGACTCCCCAAGGTCGTAGATGCTCACGGGATCAGAACTTTTCTCCAGACGAATAAACAATGACAGCGAAGGAATTAGACCACAGACGAAACAGCCGAGACTTCCTGATGAGGATCCCCGACCGAGCTGTCATTTCAATGTGTTGCGACGAATTCGTCAGAAAACTTCCCGACTGGAGTCGAATGCTTCTCAGTCGGTGTTTGGGCGTTGCTCCCACCGATTTCACAATCAGCGTCGACAACCACGACGACTGTAACAGCTAAGGCGGCGGCGGCGCCGACGACAGCGATCCCTGCTCGTAAATTTGTGGACGAGCCGAAAGACAGCCGGATTGACAGACTGACGAACGGACGGACAGGCAGACAGAAAAACGTGAAAGGAGGAAGGGTGTTTTAGATGCCGCTTTGTGGGTGTCAAGGGTCCAGTACAAGCGCGTAGGGCACTGGGATTTCGTTTCGATAGGTTGAAGTACCCGACCCTTTCGGAACGTTTGCTGCTGTCGTCATTGGCAAGCAATTGTTATTTGTTGCTGAAAAAAAGGCGGTGTTGGAATTCGGGAGACATCAGCTCGCTTATTGGTTGTTTTCCGTTTGACTACGAAGGCCGCGCAGTGATTGTGAACATTAACCAATGCAACAACACCATAAACAAAACGAATGCTCTTTGTAGCGTTGCTTCGATGGCAAAACTAGAATGAGACCTATTGGTCGAGCTTTTTTTCTCAAGTAAAGCCTGGGTCTATTATGACGGCCGACATGTAGACACATATTGAGCCGGCGCCCGGACGTCGTTTTCTCGATGGGTTTCGGCATCGAAGGCTCTCCGTCCGGAAGAAGGACGAATGCTTGCCCGGGACAAACAGCGAGATTTTTGCCGTAGGCTCAGAATTCAGAAAATTCTAAAAAAAATATTTCTTTCCCAATGCTCAGGTACTTCCTCTCGATAACCGGCGCCCTATGGAAGCAAAAAGAAGACTTCTACGATCTGATCCGAGATCCGTCGGTTCAAGATAAACTGCTGCTGGCTTCGGACGCTCCTTTCCTCTTTCCGAACGCCAAGAGTAAACTCAAGAAAAGCCAAGAGGACGACAAAACTGAAATGTTCTCGGAGGCTTCTGAATCCCTGGTTCGTCGCTACTGCAGTTTCCAGAGGAACGAACCGTGCAGTCTGGGCCTGACCTGCGAATTGCTGGCCGGTATCCTCGACCAGAGTCCACATGACATCGCAATGAAGACTACCTACAATGCGCTCAAAGCTTTCAAGCTTCAGTTCTGATTGACTAACGGATCGACTTTTCCGACTCGCTGATCGAGTATACGAAACTACGACCCGACTCATCCACAAAGGATCGAAGCGACGGTGACTGACTGGGCAGAATCGCAGTCGCTCAAACGCTGGATGAGTCGGATGAAATAACTCAGGGAACTTCTCGTGAGCATGCTGTTTCTACCTCCCCCTCCCGTCTCACCAAAACTCATAACTTTGCTCAGTACTTACAGCGAAACTGGCAGCGAATTTTTGAGGCGTTTCCGACGGTTGTCAGATAGGATATGAGATATGCGGGAGCGGAGTCAGTTGTTTCAAACTCCGGATTGTTATTCATATGCTCCATGGAGAAACGAAGGCCATTTTTGCTCGCGAAAGCACTTGGGGAGTCTCTAGCCGAATGGCAGCTATTGATATATTTGGAACGACGTACCCTATCAACGAATATGGGAACGATTTCTGATTCAAGTGAGCTTCTAATGCACCCATACCTTCGACTCGGACGTTTGGGCGATCCGAATCGACCCGATGGCTTTAGTTTTATTGAGGTTGTGTTCCTCAACGTTCAATAGAAACGAATCTGAGGTATAGTTAGTAGTATATACCCCTTGGATATGCCACGATGTCTACCGTATTTTCTCTCGACCGCGTTCCCGTAGAGGAAAAGTGAAGCTACGGATTACCTAAATGATTTTAAGGTTTCGGATCAATTTTATGAATGATCCGAGTATTCTCAAGCGATAATGTTTACATGGAATAACGGTGGAGTCCGAGGACTCGCCGGATCATCAGTTATACCGTTGCCAAATCATCTCTGCGCAACATTGCAGAGTTCGGGACGGAAAAGAGTTTGCAGAGATAAATGACCACTTCCTGTAAAATCACATTATTGAAGCTGCAATACACCGGTGATGTCATTCCGTCGGAATGTATTTGATGCAATAAATGAATGCACTTCGCATAGAATTTTCGAGAACTCGCCTTCCCCTCCCACATCTTCGAGCCAGGAATCGAGACTCTGAGCAACGACCCGACCAGAACGGGATTCCACAACTCGCGATAATTTTTCCGCCTTCTACAACAGAAGTGTTAATTTATTCATGTTCACCGAGGAGACAACAAGCCGATGAAGTCGATGATCAAGGAGGGATCAATTCAATAGCAGAATCGCTCGATGGCGATCAAATGACTTCCCACCGTAGGAACTAGAGATTCCGAAACAGGGTACGCTAGTGTTGGGGAGTCTCCGAAAATATCAGATCTCTCAGGGGGCCATTTCCGGAACTATCAGAAAGATTGAAAAGTTCCAATACTCGGCAACGTGTGTTGACTCTGTGTACAGGGACTTGCTCCGTCATCGTCACGCATATCAGACATCGATTCAGAATTATTGACATTGTTCAGGTCGGAAGCGAAATGAACTGAGAGATAACAATGATAAAAAAAAATCAAGGTCGCTCTCCGCGCCCTCTGTAGAGATGCGGCACTCGGATGAGCTCGGTGGATTCTCAGATCGTTGAGCGTCGAAGAGAGGACAACCTGGATCTCGACTACAGGTAGAGCTGTGACCGCGACGCAGGAGGGATTATACCCGGAGGAATTCTCGACGAGCTGTGCGGTCGCTCCACGAGCTTGCGACTAAATTCACTTGCTCGCCTCAGGGGAGGAATCGTGGTCGCTCATTTTGAAGCTTTGGAAGAAAAAGTCGTCTACTGGGATTGAGATCATATGAACTTGGGCTGCGGAGCTCCGGTGCATCACAGGAGTTTGTTTCTAAGAAGCGATGTGTATGTTTCGTTCTGTGTCTTGTCGTGTAATTTACATGTTTCGACAGCGCTCATACGGCTTTTCCGACGACGGCAACCGCTAATCGGTCTCGCACTGGCCTGTGAAGATCATCTTGAGTCCAAAAGAGCGGAGGCGGCTTGATCGACATTCCATTGATGGTTTCTGAGAGCGTTCTCACAGACCTGCCTTGGCGCGATACCGAGTCTCACTAAATGATCCAGTTTGATTTGACGTAGAGCTCCTTCGATATTACCAGGGTTCGCCATGATCGCGGCGAGACACTCCTCCCTTGACGAGCCCGGTAGAAGCGTTTGCATCGCCAGAATCTCGGTGTTACTCGGCTGTACGAGCGTGGGAGACGTTTTGAGATTCTCGAGCTCGGGTTGCCGCGGCGGTGGGGGAGGGGGTCTCACCATGAAGGGTTTCACTTCGGCGGTCGGGTTCCCGATTCCCATGAGGGACACTGCGCCGTTGAGTTCGTCGAAGGATCGGATCGTCTTCCGCTGAGAATTCACATTTACAGGGGTCGGAACTAAAGGTTGCTGGTTGCAGAAAATATTCACATTTTGACCACTGGGTCCTGCGGCGAGACGTGGATTGCAGGCAGAGCTCGCTGATTTCAACGGCAGCACGAACGCTGTTTGCTGCGGCGCCGGTTTGTGGAGCGTTTCCTGAGACCGACTCAAATTGTTTCCGAAATTCATAAGTTGACCGAAGGGTTTTGAGCCCTTAGCTAAATCCTCCAGCGTGAGGGTTGAGGACTTCGAACCGGGAGCTAACAAATCACCTAAGCTTCCAGAGAAAGCACCGAGGTTCTGTCCCCTGACTTCGGCCACGGCCGGGACCGGAGTAGGCACGAGTGGCACTGACGAAGGAGGTAGAGGGCGGTTTGCGGTGGCTCCGAGCAGCACGGACGATCCGGCAAGAGTCTTCGAGGCCGGGTTCGATTTGGCTGGGCCAGGCGTAGAAATAGGAGCGGTAGGCAAGGCTACGGTTGCCGTGGGCTGGTGTCCGTTAGTCTTGGCGATGCTAGCCGGGAGAAGGGCATTACCATTCGGTAGAACCTTGCTGAGTTTGCAGGCCGAGCTCTCGGCAAGGTTTGTCGGAGCCCGAGCCGAGATGGTCCCGGCGGCCGCGGATGCCGTTGGTGATTTCACCGAGGAATTGAAGTCATTCGCGAGGGCTCGCATTTGGAGCTCAGCTTTCGAATTCTCAGCTGCAGCATTCGGTTTCGTCTTTTCCAGCTGCAACGAGTTGAAGGAGTCCTCGAAGCCATTCACCGTACCATTGCTCCCCGAAGGAGGTAAACTCTCGTGCTGGGTGGATTGAAGCGACTTGGCCTGAGAGAGGAATTGCTTTTGACAGGTGATCTTTTGTGCTTGCAGAGCTTTCAGCGCTTCTTCGTGCTTACGCGCAGCCTCTTGCTCGCGTTTCGCCTTCTCTTCGAGTGTTCTGGTCCGTTGTTTGGCGGCTAGATAATTCTCGAGCCGGTTCTCTAAATCCTGGGATTCCTTGTCCGGGGTCTGCGGCGCCGGAATCAAAGGCTGATTCGACGGCGCTGGGCAATAAGATGTCTTCAGAGCGAAGTTCTGCGGCTGAGGCGTAGCAGGTAGACTCGCTCCGAATTGAGCGGGGAATAAATTCTCGCCTGCGACGGGAGATGCCATGATAGCCGACAAACTCGCCGTACCTGAGGGAGAGAGTGCATTCGCTGGTGGTACGAATACCGGGGGCGACGGAAATACGACCGCAGACAAGTCCGTTACGGCGGAAGACGACGAAGACCTCGTAGCCTCTTTCTTCTTTTCGGGGGGCGGAAGCTTCGGAATCACTGCAGGCGCTCCCGTTGAGCTTCTGAGAGGGTCTTTGGTGGGCGACATCGAAGTTCTTATGTTCACCATGAAATTCTTCGTGTCCTCGGGGGAATCATCTGGACTTTCGTCGAAAGCCGTCCAGCGCTCATCGGCGGTTTTGTTCGGGATCACCGATGGGATCTGATGCGGTTCTGGCTTGACGGCTTGCATCGGCGGAGAGTTTCGAGGAGGTTTCTGACTTGAGACTTGGGACGGTTTCGGGAGCTGTATCGGCGGAGGATCCCTGTGACCGTTTTGTGCTTGATTTTTTGGCACTTTGCTGTCAGTACTGCTGTCCGGCTCTTTCTTACCGCTCTTCAGGTAGGGGAGGTTGAATCGTGACATGGTATTCTGGGCTACGATTTCGGACGAGAGTCTCGGCAAGGAAGCGGTCTCGGACTTCGGCCGGGATACGACGGGCGGGGTTTCATCGGAGATTTTCGACAGATCCACATCGGGAGGGAACTCTCGCCGTTCCCTACGATTATCGTCAGGCAGAGCTTCTTGAATGTTGAGGTAGGTGGCGGGTGGGACTTCGTCCAAAGCTGACTCAATGTTCCGATAACCCTCGTCGTCTGTCAATGGAGGATCGTATTCTGTGCCCCAAAAGTTCGAGCTGTACGCCGTGTAGACCGATGCTTCGGTTGGCGATTTGCAGTCATTAAATCTTTGGTCTTCTCTAGCGACGAACTCCTGGAACGTGCTCGGTTGGGTAGACGGTTTTACGGCTGGCGGGGCGGGCGCTTTTATAACCTTGCTCGGTTCCTGTGGGTTCCTCTTCATTCCATTTGGCAAGGGAACGTCACACACATTCATGTAGGCGTGATCTCTGTCTTCCTCGTCGTCCGCATCGATCCGGTTGGTTTCGTGGACCAGAGCTTTCATACCGAAAGCCTGACTCGCCAAATTTTCCAGTTCGGGAACTGCGCTATAGTACCTGTCGAGAGAAACCGCAAGAGGGTGAGCTGCTTGCACGATCGGTGGAACATACTCTAATCGCGAAAAAAAACTCACAAAGATAGATCTCCATCGACTGACCTTGACGACTGATCGTTCCTCGAGTCTACGTTTTGATACTCGGTCTGAGCTTCGTAAGTGACGCTGTCAAAACTAGAATCGCAACCGAAGTAACTCTCGCTCTCGCCGTACAGTAGATCCGCGCTCGGTACCGCTGCTGGCTGATTGAAATTGCGGTTCTCCAGATTTTTCGGCGAACAGCTTGACGCAGATTGTGGAGGAGGCGGCTCGTTCGGAGACGAGAGCTCATTCTTTAGGTGTATATAACTGAATTGCTTCGCCTGTTTCACGCTCTTGGATCTATTCGGTAGATCCTTCAACCTGGAATCAATGAAGCTCACCGTCGCCTTCCTGCCATTCCACGAGCATTATTGAATTTCTATAGAATTGACTGAGAGTAGGTATATGCGAACCATGAGGCAGGCTTTTTTGGCAGTGGGGGTAGGCCTAGCAAGTCTTCGGGCTGAGCTGGGTTACAGAGGTACATCTGATCGATGTGCCCCGGACTTCCCCATTTCTTGCCGGAGGCGTCGCAATGGCCCGTGTGGATGAACGAGTGCCGCAAGGGGGCGGAGATATCCTTGGAGTTCTTTGACGAGGTCGATTCGCAATGATTTCGGGGGAAGAGACCAACTTCAAAGGTTCGAAGGTTCTGACCTGGGGACCGCGAGATCGTTTAGATGCCGAGAGTTGGAAGTGTTCTTCGAGCGGGGGAGGGCCGCTCACAGCGATCGATAGAGCATGATATGAGCAAAAAATCTTCGCCGACCTTTCCACCAGTAGTAATCGTTTCTACCCTCGATCACGGCGATGATGTCTCCTTCTACGACGTCTTTCATACGCAATTCATTATCCTGGAGCGCCGTAGATCCTCCAGGGGTTTGGGGAAGCTTGATAAGTTTCAGCAGCTGGGGTTGGTTTGCGGATATGAAGTCTTTAAGAGCCCCAAAAGTTGGCCTTAACTCCGGGGTCTCATGCCAACACTGTAGCATCAGCTGGTAAAGGTCGTTGGAGCAGCCTGAAGGATGCTCGAGGCGTTCTCCTGAAATATGGGGAGAAAATTCCTCGTGGAAATTGTTTCTAACTTTTTGAAAGAGGAAGCCGAGATCCCAGTTTGAGCCACTCTCAGCTGATCGCCAGGCGGGACCCACCTTCAGCGTCGATCCTCTTCAGAATTTCTGCCCCGTTGAGCCCGCTCCAAGGTTCCCGACCGAACGAAAACATTTCCCACAAGGTGACTCCGTACATCCACGTGTCAGATGCGTGCGAGAAGATTCTGGACGTGAGGCTTTCAGGAGCACACCAGGGCATTGGAACCTTGTGGTGCTCCGTCATCACGTAGCAATCCTGATCGCCCTTGAGATTCCGCATCAAACCAAAATCGCCAATCTTGATCTTCTCTATCGATGACAACAAAATATTCCTGCAGATAGCGATGACATCATTATGCCTCGTGATGTTTTGACGGGAGCACAGCTAATTGGCAGAAACTCCTCAATGTCATAGGATCGCAGCGTCGAATTTGTGCCGCCCACGCGCTGTTCGCAACTCCCCTCATCCGGGTAGGTATCCACGGACATCACTTACCTGCATGCTAGATCTCGATGGATAAATCGCATCTCTTCTAGATATGCCATGCCATCAGCTATTTGTACCGCGTAATCGAATAATCGGGTGATGGCTACTTTCGATCCGTGCTTTTTCAAGTGATCCCTCAACGAACCCAGGGGAGCCAATTCGGTGATCATCATAAGCTGTGAGCCCAGTACGATGCCGTATAGTTTGACAAGATGGGGGTGATTGAGCGCGTGCATAGACCCAACCTGGGAATCGCGAAGAGAATAAGAGCCAAATCCTTCTCGATCTCCTACGCTACTCTTTTCCGAAAATTAGTCCAGTCCCATCGATATCGCTTCAGAACCCAGCCTCACGACGAGGCAACGCGACGTTTCCCACCTCTTTGATGAAGTCGTCGAAGGTGCCCGTCTGCTTCGGATCTTCCTTGAGAATTTTGCAAGCGACGTCGACAATCCTTCCCGTACAAGTCGTCCATTCCCCCATCATCACGACACCGAACGTCCCACCTCCTAATTTGGTTTTCAGGGTGATTTCCTTCTCGGAGATGAGACATGTCAAGTTTTCAGAAGGTTGCGCGCCAGCTGGACTAGGTTGAATCTGCGGATAGAAAAAGAAATGTCTCTGTGACCTATTTGCGAGAGGATTGGACCTGGAGGATATCGACCGTGACGGGAGGCCCGGAGAATATTAGTGCAAGGGACATTTCGCCACTCTCCGGTCGTCTACGACCATTTCGGAGAGATTATTTGAAAGTATAGCCTGAGCCAAGTGATCGGGCTCATCGGAAAACTGATTTCTGACGGAGAGTTTCTGACTCGTATGGATTCGATGGCAGCGCACCTGTAGCCTCATTGCTTCTTACGGCAGCGTATTTCTCACATCGTAGCAAATCGCGATCAGCATATATCTGCCGTGAATAGAGATCAAGCCTCGCCCACAAGAAGTCTACTCCGGCAAGGCACGACCCGTGTACGATCTAAATCGCATTGATTAAACAAGTTTAACGCGTGACCTGGACGATCTTTTATAGAAATTCGTTTTGTTTGTAATGATACACCTCGACAGCTAATGATCATTCTCAGATCGAGTCTGGCGCCAGGGTGAGACCCATCGCAAAAAGTTATACTGTGGAGGCAATTACGAATTTATCCCGACGAGAACACCACTACTTTTGCAGTCGCCATCGTATCATAGTCGTCGACGCCGCGGTTCCCCGAGCCCGCGGAACCGAAGTCTTTTTTGACGCCTTACAATCGGAATATTAGACTACATCGGCTTGTCAAAGGTTGAGCGTGGCAGAGATTCGCGAGAAATTAGCAAGGCTCGTTCACCGACAGTCGATGGTAGACCACCTCGAAGAATCGAACGGATGACTCCTCACGGTCAACGCGCTCAAGTTCGGCATGCCTGCAATGACCGCGTCGAGGGACGGATCGAACATTTCACCGTCCCATCATAGAGGCGATGAATCACATCAAACAGTACTCCGCCTCGATCCGAGAGGATTGGTGTCGAGAACGTTTGAGGAGAGACCGATGTGATGTCTTGCTCGTGGTGGTGATGAGAACCTACCGTGAAAAGAGAACGAATACGGCCGTTCTCATGTCGGCTGAAGCTCTCAATGTCAGTCTACCGGAAACTTCTCTTTCGATTCAGACGACGCGAATGCGACGAGTGCTTCCACGAATCGAGTTCCAGTCCATGAAGTCCGCCGCAAGCCAGTCAGACATCGAATAGTCAGGTGGGAAAACGCGCGCGCACACCGGAACAAGTCCAGCTGTCTGACCGACTGGCGACCCACGCCACCCATCCGCCTGTAAATCCCATCGACTAGCTAACCACAAACACAGCCGACCGACGTCACACCGACGAACCGGTGGCATCTAAACTGGAAGGAGAGCCTGCACTGCTATCCGTCGGTTCTCGTCCTTCGTCCGACGGTAGTTTACGTCGCCCTCATCGAAACGCCTCTCTTGGCTGCCGATTCGGTAAATAAAAAAACAGTCTTTACCGACCAGAAAGTCGCTTCCGACAGACTGAGCCACGATTGCGGCATTCCCGAGTAAGTGTATATTGGGCTATGGCGATCCTCGCTCTAGAATCTATCGCTCGGCTCCTCCACCTCGAGAAATCTGGCGGTACGCTCCGCCGAGAAAATACTTGAGCTGGTGCGTCACCCACGGCTAGGGCGATAATCGGGCGGGATTTCAGGTCTCGATCACCATTAATGAACCGGAAATGGCGGAGGCACAACCGCAGAATCGAAATCACATTTGCGGCCTCATGGTCGAAAATCGAGCGGATAAATTGCTCCAGTCATTTAGGAATGCATACAGGATTCATGTGGTCGGTGTTGGTTTGTTCAATATGAGTGACATTAATGGCGGGTCGACTATGCCAAGCTTGCCCTGACCCGGTGTCTACTGACAAGTGGACCCACAAGGATAGATTCGCTACCAATATTCATTCGATAGTGATGTGGCAGCGTGCTTCCGCGGAGCGGAACTTTTGCCTCATTCAGAAGCGGATACCGGCGAAAAGACTCTATTTCCACAACACTGAACCCCTGACGTAACGGTTTCAATTCTTCCGAGTCGCGGGTCCGGCACATTCTACCGTCTCCGAAGCGACTACGTGATTCTCACGCGAGGGGGAGCTTGTCGTAGGACTGCATCTACGATGCGTGATAGTTGATACTCACCACGTTGACTGGACTGCTTTTGCCGCTTTTCGATGCATTCTTCTCCGGTTTGATGTTTTTGAAAATGCTCTTCCTCCATCCTCCCTTGCACTTCTTGACGGCATCCAGGAGACGTTTGGCGGCTGGCCTGGCTATGCCAATCTTCTCGAGGTCTTCGGCCGCGACGAAGTCGAAATGCTGGATGCGGGTTATCTGGAGATCCTCGCGAATTTTGGTCGCGAACTGTTCCAACTGAACATCGCGACACAGATCCACCAGCCAGTCGGTGGACTCCATGGGAGCGATATCTGGTGCTGTAATCCAAATCGGGATCGTGAGGGAAAATCGGAGCATGCTTGAGATAGCGCGGATTTGGGGAGGCAGGGGATCGAATGACTCCGGAGCTTGGAGTCTAGCACCTGCTTGGAACAGCACAGCCGCTTCCTCTGCGGTTCGAACACCACTTGGACACAAGTGCGAAACCACACACCACACGGGCTTTCGACCCAAGTTATCAAGTAGTCCACATCGGAACAACCGGAGCACAACGCGCAAATTCGCCCCCGGTGAACAACACGTTTCGAATCCCAACGGCAAAGCCCTGAAAAACTGGGACGTTTCGGGACGGGGGTGGAGTGGGTTTTGACGTAAAACTGAAGGCCATCGATTTCACTGGCTTCCGACGAGTTCTCGGATCTAAAGTTCCACTTAACGAAACTGTGGGTGCTTCTTTCGTGGACAGGTAGTATTTGGGTGCATCTTAGGAGCAGGCGAATACAGGTGCGGGATCGGGATTAGCTTTACCTCAGCTCTCAGCTGTCATTGAGCTGCTCCGGCATGGAGCTGGGTGTTCGACCAGGCCACATTTAGGGATACAACATCTCTCTCACGCAGAGTTATCACTCTGACAGCGACCCACTCAGAGCATTACGCCGTTGTCGTTACACGGAGAACATTTGCTCGTCGGTGCTGCTTCTATGAATGAACGAACCGAGAAGCAGCGGCAGCAGCAGCAGCAAGGGAAATCCTTCTTCTCCTCCTCCCCAATCCTCCGAACTTGCGGCAGGACCGGGAGGCCTTTACGCTCGCTGGATGGCACGGCGCGACCAATCGAACTAGGATCTATGCGGGAGACTCTGGGAGTACCTTTCACTGCCGCACATCTCTTCTCGCTGAGAGGCAATGCGGTGGTTTGGTTTGCGGTCTAGGGACTGAGAAGTTAAGAATGAGCGAGAAAAAGTTCCGAATCTTCCGCTAACTTCGCCGGATAAAAAATTCCCAACAAGTGGACATCCAGGAGTTGAGCCGAATTTTCCCTCCCCGTGCCTCCTCACCCGAATTTGCAGCGGTTGCCGCCCCTATCAGCTAACATAAGCGAAAACTCATCAAGGTTGATGAGCGGGAGCACTCGGCTCAGAGGTCCCCCCAGACTAGCATAGAGCATTGGAGCTGGAAGTCCTCGCCGTTTCGGCTCAAAACCCTACGGTCGCGACCTTGACTATTCTACGATTTCACACCAGCTCGGCGCGTGGATCGAACAAGCAGGCAAGCAAGTAAATGAGCCCATCCCGGATAGTTATCCCTGAATCAATAAATTTATTTTTCTCCAGATAAGAGCCTCCAAAATCATATTTGGCGGCTCGATTTAGTCTACTAACAAGATTTTGTTCCTGGGGCTGCCAGGGCGGAAAAAATCTCCGGAAAAGCGAACTCTGGTTCCCTATAAGCTCCCTAAGATCCGACGCAGGACTATGGCCGAACTGAAAACCCTCAAAATATAGCGTGATCACTCTCTGAACCTGCAATAAGCCTGAGTTAGTCAAAAACGGTCAACTGATAAGGTACTGTATATCCGTACGAAAGAGTTCTCGTGTATAAATATGCAACCGGGACGATTCGACGGCGCCCGAGGGGATTTGGGTATCAAATGCAGGGGCCCGAGGAGACACCTGATGAGTCCCACCTTCCCTCAGGCCATCATCGAGATAAGTTCGAGGAAGGCTAATCCTGCAACCATGTACTCATGTCCAGTCTCCTCCATATACGTAAAATGTTTTTAGTTCCTCACACAGCACGACAGATTCGCGTCGCTCGTAGGATGACTATTTCCATATGGCGCTACTCGACAGAGGAGATCTTACTCTATTACTTCTCCGTAAGCGCGGGATCTGCTCAGGCGGATCCTTCGATACCTCAATGCGAGCCTTGAAGATTCTTTCTGTGGTTTCTTCAGGTTCGTCCCGGAATCGTTTCTCGAAGCCTTTCTTTGGCGGCGCTGTAAGAGGCGTCGATTCTCTGAATCTCATGGGAGAATCGCGCTGATCGTGGAAATCATAGGTCTTCCGCATTCGGGAAGCCGCTATGGTCATTGCGGCTTCGATTCGCTGCATCCTAGAATCCAATTGGTTCACTGCCGTACTCATTTCGAGCAAGAGCGAGTGGGATCTCTCCTCCGGCGAGCGATACGTGATGGCTTTATAAATATAGGCGACAAAGCTAAGACAACAGAATACCCTCCGAGAGAGGTGTAATCTGAAATTGATCGGGTTCTCCGCCTTGAAATACTCATGGCTTAAACCGGCGAACTCCAGAGCCCACTGAAGGATGGCCAACTCTATTAGCAGGTTCGTTGTGAACATCAAAATCAGCCACGACCTGACTTGACGAGTTTGTTCGGGCGTTGTGATCAGGAACGAGATCAAAACTCCACCGATGAAGTAGGCGAAAGATGAAAGCGTCGACGCGTGCCCAGCGATCACCGTGTTCACATAATGAATCTGGTCGAGCATCACCGACAATGATGAACCCTGGGAGACGATTTTCGATGAGAGCTCTTGGTTGGCGGAGAGCGCAACTCGCGTTAATTCTTGCAGACGGTCTTGATCTTCGCGAGTCGAATCCATAACGCTGTTCAGGTCGTTGAGTTTCGAAGAGAGCTCCACGGAAGAATCCGAGAGGGCATTGATAACTTTCAGAGTGTTGCCCTGCCACTTCTGCTGCTGTAAAAACGAGCAGATCACCTGACTGTGCGTGAAGAAGTTGGAGTAGGTTCCGAGATGGGGGCTCGACGACAGTTCCCGAAAGTCGTCACAGCCCTCGATGCTGCCGGGATTTGCGCATTTATATCCCGAATGACCGAGTTTCTGAACGAAACATGAGGTGAATTCCAATGCCATGCGGTGCTGTGCATCTTCGCTCAGAGAAGAACACGACTCGTGAAGATTTTCAACCGCGCGCTGCCAGCAAGGTCCATAGGCGACGATGTTCTCACGAAGTTCGTTGAGCAGTCTTTCTCCATGAGATAGAGGAATCTCCAATTGCAAGGACGCAAAAACCGCGGGGAAAATGAACGGCAAGAGGGAACACATGCCCGTCACTTTCACTGGTAGTTTCTTCATGTCAGGTGAGAGTTGGGAAACGCCGCGACTTTGCTCTGCTGGGACATGCCCTCCCACTCACGCTTTGCGGGTTTCGATCGTTCCAAGGGAGCGAGTCCTCGCAGACTTCTCATGGATTCGAACGACGAGATGGAGGATGAGCCGATTCACAACGCTCTGTTGTTGTATACCTCTATGGGTGCCATATGATCTCATACGGGAAACAGATGGCCCAAACCGAGGGAGAGCGGCCTGGTTCGCGTTTCGCGTCCGAACGGAATTCGAATTCTGTTTACACGGAGCTGTCGGTTATCGTCGTCTGACTCGAATGAAGCGCGCGCTCACCGTCTAAATCGCACAGGGAAGTGCTTGGCGCCTGAGCCCATGTACGAATCGTCTAACTTACACAAAATCACATATCCGATGGGCACAGGCTAAAATGAACGCTGTGAATCGTCTGGGAAGGCAGTTACTCAGAAGTTCTGAGTCAGAACGAATGTTTGGTATTCCGTTGCGTATACCCTCTCCCTTTTGGCAAACAGCTGATTGGCATGCGCTTGGCATTTTTGGCGATTTCAATCCTCCGAGATGATCGGCAAACTTTTTTGAGCGCTTGATTTGCTCGCCACCTGCTACAAGCAGTCGATACTTGATGAGCTTCCGTCGTTCTGACAGGACGTCACCATCCGTTATCAACAAAACATTGCCGGGATCACCACAGGTGAATTTTTTCCGAGAGTTCCCTCCTGCTTCATAAACCCCGTCTCAACATCTACAGTAGGTAGATGTCCGGGGATAGAACACGCCGGCGACGAAATTAGATTCTCCCAATATCTAATCAGGACTTGTTCGAACTTCAAAAATTTCATCTTGTATTCAGGATGGACTTAGTTTTCGACCCGAAGGATCTCCGTTTGGTCGCACAATCGAATCCTGACCGCGTAGACCTTTTCTACGAGCCTGGATCGCTGCCGCGAACCGTCGGTAGCACCCCATTTCCTCCGCCCCCGCTCTTCGAATCGACTCAGCAAGAGGATTTGGAAAAAGACATATCCAATTTCCTTCTGAAGCCGCCTGCTTTAGATCTGCCCAGGGTTATACCCGATGTGTACGATCTACTGAGAGCCGACGTTCAGCCGTCCTGCATCCAATTGAAACCGATCAGAGATCTCGCGACTGGGGACGTGAAAGGAATTTCTGAAGTCATCCCGCCGTCGGCACCCGTCGAAGTGGACTTCGACGAGCTCCTCTCCAGACCTCCGGGATTCGAGCGTGATGTGGACTTCGAGAAATCTTCCGATATCGTCGAGAGGGGCAGCCCAGCCAGGGAGAACCGTTTGGACAACTTGCAAGATATCCTGGCCACTCTGCCGGATCTGGTGGAAGTCGTCGAAGATTCCAAAGCTAGTCCTGACGCAGACAATGTGGTTGAGCTCGAGAAATCCGAGGAGTTGGATCGTATCCCCGACGTTCAGCTGAACGAAGTTCTCCATATCAGCGACATGCCTACTCTTCCCACCAAAACCAGATGGGCGGAGGTCGTGGATATCTCGCAGCCAGTGACCAATTATGAAGAACTCAATCCCAACCCGGCTTACTCGTGGTCTTTCGAACTGGACACTTTTCAGAAGAAAGCCGTACTCCTCATGGAGAAGGGCGAGAATGTCTTCGTTTCTGCGCACACATCCGCAGGTATCCTGAAATTCACGAATGAACTCCACTCTATCTCGCTTTGAAGTTCGGGAATGCGGTCAAGCTATCTCTATTGCTGTCCGAGTCAGAGACCGTCCGCGTCGGTCTCCCTCAGGCGGTCCAGACGCTTCAAGAAATTTATTCCCTTGCAGGCAAGACGGTCGTCGCGGAATACGCAATCGCTCTCAGCCGAAGGCACATGACGAAAGCTATCTATACGTCTCCTATAAAAACACTGTCGAACGAGAAATTCCGAGATTTTCGCGAGACATTCGATGAGGTCGGAATCGTGACCGGGGACGTTCAGATCAATCGTGACGCCGCAACCCTGATCATGACCACGGAAATTCTTCGCTCGATGCTCTACAACAAAGCCTCGATAATTGACGATCTTGAATGGGTGATATTCGATGAATGCCACTACATAAACGATGCCGAGCGCGGGGTAGTTTGGGAAGAAGTACTAATCATGTTGCCGTCGCACGTTAATCTGGTCCTGCTATCCGCTACGGTTCCCAACGCCTTGAATCTCGCCGACTGGATTGGCCGCATCAAGCAAAAGCGCATCCATGTGATAGCGACCACGAAACGTCCGGTCCCACTCGAGCACTACCTATATGTCGGCCGGATCGGTGCCAGCAGCGAGCAGAAACAAGCACTGAAGGCCAAAGCCACTCCCGAGGCGGTCAAGTTACCGGACCAGGCGCTGCTCATCCTGGATTCTGCCGGACAGTTCAAGAGTCAAAATTACCTCAAGGTCTGCGCAGCGAAGAAGTCAACGTCGAATAATTGGAGGGGGCCTGACGAAAGGAGTCGCTACTTGACGCTGCTGCAATACCTTCAGAAGAAAGACGCCTGTCCCGCGATTCTCTTCACTTTATCACGCAAGCGTTGCGACGACAATGCGGCGTCACTCGCCAACGTCGACATGACAACGGCAACGGAGAAGTCGCAGATTCATCGCTTCATAGCCCAGTGTACGGCGCGACTGTCTTCGGAGGATCGCCGTCTTCCCCAAGTGGAGACGCTGAAGCTTCTTCTGAAGAACGGAATCGGAGTTCATCACAGCGGAATTCTGCCGATCATGAAAGAGGTGGTCGAGATGCTCTTCCAGAGAGGCTTGATAAAAATTCTCTTCGCGACCGAAACATTTGCCATGGGCGTCAACATGCCCGCGAGGACAGTGGTATTCGACAGAATTCGGAAATACGATGGATGTCAATTCCGTGATCTGCTACCGGCCGAGTACATTCAGATGGCGGGCAGGGCCGGGCGCAGAGGGAAAGACACGGTCGGAACGGTCTTGATCATGATTCACTCCGATGTGCCAGATTCCGGCTCTCTGCAAACGATGATGATGGGCAAGCCGCATAGTCTCCAATCGAAGTTCAAAGTGACGACCGCGATGATACTCAATCTTAAAGCAGGACTTCAGCGGAGAGTTGAGGATTTGATGCGACAATCTTTCATCGAGGATGAGAACCAGTCCCAAGTCGATCAGATGGTGAAGACCCGCGACAAGCTGAGGACGGATCTCGAAAACATTGAGAGCTTGAAATGCGACAGCTGTGTCGACATCGAGAGTTGCCTGAGCACATTGGAGCAACTGGCGGCGAACAGGAGAGCGCTTTGGGACAAAATTCTCGAGTTTTCCTCAGCCCCCAAACTCCTGCCGACCGGAAGAGTTCTCGTATTCCGCAGAGACGGCGAAGCGCCGCGACTCGGGGTCATCGCATCGTTCAACTCGAAACAGAAACAGATCTCTGTCGTCTCATTGGCGGAGAAGGCGGAATCCGAGTGCTACTGGCCGGCTTCCAGAAAGATCACCACGAGCTCTAATCCGAAATGCGAGCAGCTCACGATCGGAGCCGGCGAGATTCTCGATCTCTCAACAACCGACGTCCGTATCGATGTGAAAAGCCTCGGAACGCCGAAAGGTCTTCGCGAAGCGGGCCAGAACGTTTTCGAAATGGTTGAGCGGTGGGATTTCACAAAATTCAATATCTCCAAGGAGCTGAAAGGAGCTGGTCTCGATCTCGCCGAACAACTTCAAACGTCAAACTATTGGGAACAACGTGTGCTTTCCCATTCCTGTGCTCAGTGTCCGTTGTTCGAGAGCCATTCTCGAATGGCGCAAAAAGTCATATCCGTTCAGTCGGAACTGGATAGAGTGAATCTCATGTTGTCCGAGGAAGGAATGAGGATGATGCCTGAATATCATAAACATCTCGCGCTCCTAGAGAGGCTCGGCTATCTCGAACCAAATGGACCGCTAAAACTCAAAGGAAGAATTGCTCGAGCGATGAGCAACCATGAAATTCTGCTCTCGGAACTTCTGGTAGGGGATGTCCTCATCAAATGCAAGCCCGCCGAATTGGCAGCGCTCCTGTCCGTCTTCGTATATCAGGGAAAATCGGACGAAAACGAGGAGGCCGATATCCCGGAGCCTGTCGAAGAAATCATGCAAGAGTTCAAGGCGCTCGCGCTGTCCATCGGTGCGGTGCGTAGAGAATGCGGTTTCGACGAAGATCCCCAGACGTACCTCGACCAGTACAACCGAGGCTTGGTCAATGTCGTTTACAACTGGGCCAGTGGCATGACTTTCGGCCAGATCATGCAGATCGCGGAGAATCAGCAGGAAGGGACGATAGTGAGATGTATACAGAGACTTGACGAACTGCTCGGTCACGTCAGAGACGCGGCAAAGGTTATTGGCAACCCAGAACTGCATAGCAAAGTAGAGCAGGCTTCTGTTTTGATCCGGAGAGATATAGTATTCGCTGCTAGTCTGTACTTGGAGTAAAGGATGCGAGAGAGGCGAAAAGAGTCGAATAAAAGAGTTTTGCGGATGAGAGAGCTGTCGTGCCCTCTGGGCCTCTGGGTTTGCGCTCGCTTTCTTCTTACTCTTCGCAGCGTACGTCACACGGAAGGTTCCAGGAAATCGGGAAACAGCCCGCGATGTAGGCGTCAGAAATCTTTTTTATTTACAGGATCCTAGATTACTTTCTGCTCGTGGGAATAGAAATTCAGCTCGTGGCCTCCTGCACAGCCGGCTCTGAAGCTTCGGCTTCTGCTTTCAGGGCGGCTCTCCGCGCTTCCCAAGCTCTCTTGTAGGAGTACGGATGAATACCGGTATAGCCCGCGTAGCCGAGCAGTTGGCCGACTCCGGTACTGGGAGTTGCTCCTTGTCCGAACCAATAATTTAATCTGTAATTGGAGATCGTTCAATCAAATCACATGAGGAGCAACCGCTCACATCCGCGGCCCCCGGGCTGACGAGGCTCGCATGAGCCGATGCTTGAGCACTCCAGATGCCTGTGAAGCTCGATAGAGAAAGTACCTTTCGAAGTTCAAGCTGACCAACTTCTCGTCTCTCTCGTTCGGCATCGGATCGAAACTCCCGATTTGTTCCAGGACCTCCGGATGGCCGCCTCTGCGCGGTACTCTCGCGGCCATTATGTGGTAAAAGGGTCGATTAGCGCAGCCCTTGAGTTCCAGGACTATCCGGAGGAACATCGCGGTCCTGCAGAGCTTCTCAAGTCAAGGGGACAAGGAACTTATCCGGCACCACTCGGATGGAACACAGTGTGCGGTGCGCGATTCGATGCTTGCCGTTCGAAACGTGTGGCTATAGGCCGCAGACTCTCACCTGCACCCGGAAGTGTCCGAGAATATTGCAATGACTGACCCTCAAGACGAGCCTGAATATGCGACCGGTGGATGGGATATATTCTTCAATCGCTTGAGAAGATACAATCTAACAAAAGTGATCCTTGGGATGGGAGTCCCCGATTATCGGGGAGGACCCCGATCCCAGATCCGATAGTCTTGGCGTGTTTGCTTCACCATCTTGAAACTCTCGCTCCCTCTCTCCTTCATATAGATCACCGTGCCGGGTCTCGATGTCGTGCTGAATCTACGGACCCACCAATCTACGATCCCCCGATTCTTTCAGAATTCTCCGGAGTAAATCGACGGAGCCCGCACCCCGTCTCTCGCAGCTCAGGAGCTCGTGAGAAGCGTCCAAGCAGCCGATCACTACTCCGGAATCCGGACTCGGACTCCGACTTCGAACCCCAGGCATCGGCTCGCTCAGTGGGGAGCGCCAGGCAGCGCGCACGATTCAAATACTCATCAACAAGATACCCCGAATTCGGAGTTCGGAGATGGAATTTATACAGGGTGCTTCTTTCAAACGGCGCGAGACGAGGCAAGCAGATATGGGCAATTGACCTCGATATCAAAGCCTGGATGTCGGTGGTCGAACTCCAGACCTCCAGACTCCCGGATGATCAATAATCGAATTATCGAGTCGGCGTTCTCAAGCAAACCCATATCGATTCTCGGAATCAGGTTCTTCGCCCTCGAGCTCAGACCCCTTGAGAGTCGGACTTGAATAACCGGAAAAATCGAGCATCCTTCCGAAGGACAGCTCTCACTCCCATCACCGGATCTGTATTCAAGCTACGCTAAGGTATTAATGATGTGGAGATGAACACGAACACTGTGAGTGAAGTCCCGAGCTGCGTCTCTGCGAACTCTGTGACATAGCCCCTGATCTAGTTGCGAGCCAGCTCCCCCGGAAGCGGAGCTCGCTCGAGCTCGGAGGTCCAAGCACGAAAAAATACCAAGAGAAGGCAGGCAGAATGGCAATGGAAATCCTCAAGTGAACAGGCCGAAAAACTGGGCGAAATAGGCATAATCGGCGGGGGAACAACCGCACCAAATCGTTCGTCAGTGCCGATGCACGAGAAAATTTCGTGAGAACTCGGAGTCCCTTTCACTTAGTATTCGACACCGGCCTGATGCGGGCATTTCACATCATCGAAAATATAGTCTGCCTCCAGGTGGACCATCGTATTTTACCCGAGATGGTATTCAAGCGAGATAAGTTCCAAAAGCATGGGTTCGCCGACCCCATTTCACACCTTGAGTTCCATCGTGTGCCTAGCTTCGGCGATAGGAGCGTCGCAGAAGCATAGGATTCTCTGCCGAAATATATCGTGGGGATGCAAATGCAGCAAATCCAGCAATTCGTACATCTTTCGACGTCTCGATACACGAAAATTTATCGAGGATGTCAGGGGGAATCGCCAGAAGCTGGATCACCGCCGGAACCGCAATCCCTATTGCAGGCGGGATGGAATCTCGTCCCCAATACGCTCACCCGATTAAGTACGCGTCCGGATTCGGATGGACTTGAGCTTGCCAACCCGGAGGGAGATGGGAAACGGAGTGGCTCTATGTTTAGTTGCGTAGCGCAGCGGACACCGACAGAGCGCTCGCTGCGTAAGGACCCGGTGTTTCCGCAGGAGTATCCTAAAAGTCCGGGGCTCGCTCATCAAGAGAGTCCAGCGTCGAATTGGCGCCTCAACTTGGGCTCCCTTCTCTCGTAGACGATCGTAAGGGGGGAACTTCTTCCGCGCGATGAACCCACGCCGCCCTTGTAGGAACTCCTCCCGAGACTTCCTTCGATTCCTCACGATCGGAGTGACGGAGAATCCAACTCTTCCTCAGCCCCTCCGAACTCGACTGACGAACCCACTCCCTGAGCGAGGATAATTTCCCCCTTCGACACATCCCTTCTCCACATTCAACTGCATCGCAAAAGAAAGAATAAATGATAGTGTCGTGATAGTTTCTCGCACATCCGAAACCTGGCACAAGAATTCGAACACTGCAGACCACCGCATGCAGTCGCCAATGAGCTCCGTCTGTTAGGCTCCAGAGCTCGAGGTGTCAAAAGCCCCTGCCGAACTAAAAGCTGAAGTTGCAAAGATATAGAACTGGGCGGTCTCGTCCTTTGGGTGTCAACTCGCGAGGTCCTCTGATCGAATGTACTGGATGAGAAATTCCTGTTTGTGGCGCAAATATGGGGTTGGAATTGAGCTAATGGGACTGCCCGACGCCGGTACACTTTCCAGCAAGAATCATCGTCATCATTATTCGGACCTTTGCCTAGTTGAAGAAAGCAATCCGTAGGGTGCGAACGAGCAGCTGGCCGCGAATATCGCTCCGCCGAGGGTTATGCTAGAATCGGAATCTGCAGAGGCTTCCATCCGAGCTTCGTTTGATTCCGGATTGCTCGATGGCTCACTGAAACCCCGTCCGTCATCCAAGCAACTTCGGCTCCCTTCCAAGGTTTCGCGTATCCCACGGGTCACGTGAACTGTATAATCGTACTAGGCACTACCTGGCCTCCGGTAATAGTTTACCAATCGGTGACATGAAGTCAATCTTTTTTTTTCTGCACCGATGATGTCTCATGTATGAAGCGTAGGTGGAATCTGGAGTCCTCCGAAACGTTTACCGAGTACCGGGGAGAGGTATTTTCGCGAAGGGGGACAGAGAAGAGCTCGGTTCTCGCTATGTGGGCTCGACCGACCACTGCGGTGCTGGCTTGCGTTAGAAAAGAGCCGTATAAGCGTTTTTTCCAGGCGATTTTCTCGATTCTCGAAATTCGCCAGGCTGGTTTGTCCGTTCCGAGAGATGAATTTTGAGGGGTCATATGCCCTGGGTCCGACAGGTTCGACCCAAACGACCAAGACGTCCTCTACGAACGTTGACCCTCGGGGGAAAGGGAAATTATCACAAGTTCCGTGAAAATGACAGTACATGACCTTTTCACGTAATTTTTGTCAAATGAAGTCACCGGCTTCCCCTGATCACTTGGACACAGACCGGGGGGACTAGATCAGTCTATAAATTGGTCAGAAGTCAAATCAGAGTACGGCATGTAAACAAACGCACGTGCGTTTCCAGCAAGGCCCTGCAAGACAGCGAAATCACGAAGGGCCTCGGTAGGCTTTCAAGCTGTTTGTCGAAAGGCGTTCATCGTCTTCATTCTCAGACGGGAGGTTTTGAACAGACGTGATGAAGCAAGCGCGATGGAGTTATTGAGTTCAGAGTCTGTTGAGAACCCCTTACAGCCTCGAGGCGAGGATCTACTTTGCATCGCAGTTCGCTCATGACCGCTGTGACGCGGCCGGGTCGCCGTGGTGCATGTAGTCAATGTGAATCTCCCTGTGTGAGTGAAGTTATCTGTGGTGAATTTGTCTGTTGGAAAAGATATTTCCAGGTATAGGTGGCTTTAATATGAATGGGTTGTGAAACTTTTCTCCATTATGGCGGACTCTGACTCATTGAAGCAAGGTGAGTGATTCAGAAATATGAGACGCCTGAAGCGTCCGTTAGGCTTGTACAAACCCACAAAGCAGCTTGTTTTGAGATTCGAGAGCTCGAATTCGGAACGGGGCTCGGAGATTTCCGCGAGCGTATTGGGGGAGCTAATTCCACATGGTCTCTCGAACCATGACCGACGCAAATTAGTCGCTTCTGAAGTAGAGAGCGGGCTTCCGATTGTACGAGAAATTTTCGCTAACGGTCACCGTGATTGCATTTGAAACAAAATATGCGAATCTCGAACTACCTTGTTCAGAGTCTGCGACATTTTGGGCTCGGACACATCAGAGACCGTGAAGTCATGATACCGGACTCCTAGGAGAGCTGTTCCGCGGCCCGAGAATCGAGGGAGCTGAGACAAACGTTGTGACCTATTTGATACATCGGGCTTCCCACATGAAGTTTCGACCTCGGAGCTCCGGAAATTCGCTCCATGAAGGGAATTTGATCGAACTATTCGCTTCCAGAACTGTACTACTTGATTGCCAAGTTCCTCGAGGGCGGCCCATGCAAGCGTGCAGCTCAAGCAATTCGTGAGGAAATCGATGAGCACAAGGTACGTATGTGCGAATTATCGCAAGGTCTGACGGGCTCCGTGAAGCTCCGGTGTTTTTTTTGCCAATCTGTTGTTTCGGAGGAATCGTGCGAGGGACATAGAAAAAGAAAAACACAGAACTAAGTCGCGAACGAATACCGCAGTTACTCTCTCAACGCACCGATTGGATCGGCAACAAACATGACATCACAGTGCAGTACATGGTGAGTTTTCCGGAGTCGGCGGATGAGAACCGAATTTTATTCTCGATGGAAGTTCCTCTCCGTTGGAATTGGCGAACGAGTTCTTCAGATTGATGGATGGTTTGTTTCGCTTCCAGGAGCGGCTCTGTCCGATCGAGTCGGACTATCTGCTACGGCTATGCGAGAATCTCTGTACCGCGCTCAACACAGCTGTTCCAACAGCGCTCGCGAAGGCTCCGCGAACTCTTCTCGGAACCGGGCGTCACAGCGCGCTCCGTACGAAAGAAAGCGTCGTCTCACGGCGGCCTTTCTTCTCAACAGAACCGTTCATGGAGCGGCGCGGTCAGAAAATTCTCAACCCTGCAACCACCCTGTGTCCGTCGATCGCACTCCTGACCGAGACCCGGAAACTGACGTCGAGCAGGAATTTGCTCGGCATCGCGCCCGTCAGCATGTACAGTTCTTCATCGTTGTTCCGGAGAATCGCTGGCCATCTGTCAGCGGTCTACTGCGTTTTATACGATCACACTGGAAAATTCATTTTCACGGGAGCCGACGATGATCTGGTGAAGATCTGGAGCGCAATCGACGGCCGCCTCGTGGCGACCCTCAGAGGTCACGCGTCCGCACTCACAGACCTGACGCTCAGTCCCGATAACAGCATGATCGCGTCCGGATCCCTCGATAAAACCATCCGAGTCTGGTGTTTGAAAACTCTCAGACCGGTTGCCGTTCTCATCGGACACACGTCGATGGTCACCTCCCTGAAATTCTGTCCGTCGGTCCTCTACGATAGGTCTTTCCTGGCGTCGACGGGCAACGACGGCAGTCTGTGCTTCTGGGAATACGATGCCAAGAAGAAGGAGTTCCAGAAAGAACCACGGCGCTTCACCGACCGCGCGAAAGCCGGTGCTCAACTCCTGTGTCAATCGTTCAGTCCAGGAGGGTCCCTGCTGGCCACAGGATCCGCGGACCACTTCGTTCGCATCTATCAGATCTTCAAGCCGAGCGGTACTCTCAGCTGTCGACGGGAACCGGAACGTATCGCGGAGCTGGCCGCGCATACCGATCGCGTGGACTCGATACAGTTCGCCAACAACGATACGAGACTCATTTCTGGCTCGCGGGACGGCACCGCGAATATCTGGACGTTCAAGGCGAATCGCTGGACGAACATCACGCTCAAAATGACCACCAACCTCGAAGGCACCTCGAGAGACGATGAGGGCGCTCATTCAGAACTAGTGAAAATTAAAATGAAAGTCAACATGGTAGCCTGGACCAAAGACGACAGCAATGTCCTCACAACCGTCAGCGATCATTCGGTCAAAATTTGGAACAGCTGTTCGGGTCAGCTGCTCCGGGTCCTCAAAGGCCACGAAGACGACGTCTATTCCCTCGAATGTCATCCGACTGATCGGCGAATCCTCTACACGGGAGGCCATGACGGCAGAGTGATCATCTGGGACATGACGGCAGGCAAAGCGCTGAAGACGTTCCTCAACTTCTTCGAAGGCCAAGGTTTCGGAGCCATGTTCGACCTGAAGGTCTCGCCTGACGGATTGACATTCTGTGCGACAGACTCACACGGTCATCTCTCGCTCTACGGCCTGGGCAATGGTGAAGCGTACGCGAAAGTGCCAGACGAGCAGTTTTTCCACACAGACTACCAACCGCTAATCCGGGACGCGAACCAAAACGTTCTCGACGAGCAAACGCAGGTCGCTCCGCATCTGATGCCGGCGCCCTTCCTCGTCAACATCGATCTCAGACCTTATCCACCGAATTATCAGAGGCTCGTTCCAGGCAGAGAGAATTGCCCGGACGAGTTGTTGATCCCCGTCGAAGCGAGAGATCAAAATCAGGAGCAAGACCCGAACCGACGGCCGAACATCGACGACATGATCCAGAGACTACAGGATCAACAGGGAAACAACGCGAGAGCCGGCCGGGCTCCTCCGACGCCTTCGAGCAGAGGAGGCATGCGTCGCGAAGGCGAGGTCGAAGGAGTTCGACAGGGAGGCAATTGGGGTCAAGCGAACAACGCCATGAATGTCCCGAGGAAGAAGATTGTGGTCCCGCCCCTGAGTGCGCCGGAGATCGAACGCGAGTTGAATCGGACCTCCATCCTCGCTGATTTCGAGATGGTAGATTTCCATAGGGAAAAGAAACGGGAACAGCTCGAGGCCAGCAGCGCCAAAGCTTACGGTTTGCGGCAGAACAAGGATAGGAGTTCTCTGACCAACGGTTCTTCGAGAAGTCGTCGCGGGGTCGTCACTCTCAATGATCTCCACCGATCGAGTGGTCGAGGTTGGTTCTCCCGGTCCGATGGATGAGTCTCATCTTGATGATGGAAGTGTCGAGATCGTGTCTCAAACATTTTTTCTCTCCTCAGCACTCCGGAGCTCGGCCCCGATCGAAGACATGGAAATCGACGACGATGAGTTCGATGAGGTCGGCGAGAGCGACTCCGACTACGAGCAAGACTCGCCTGGTCGGGAGCGGACCAGCACCGGCCGCTCCCGCAATAGGGATACCGAGAGGAACGGTGCCAGACAGAACGGTCACGCCGCAGCTGCCAGCTCCAGTCGAGGAGGTGAGAGCAGTCGAGCTATTATTTAATATGAATTATGAATGAACACTCATAAATTCATTATCCTTTCATAGACCCTGTATGTTTGCCCCATAAATTCGTTCTATGCTCAACGTTGTTCCCTCTGTCCAGGTACGCGCAGTCGCCGCCTCGTGGTCCGCGAAGAGGCTCATAGCGCGCCAACTTCAACCTCGGGAACCGAGGAGGACGAGGAGGACTCCGAGGGCAGCAGCCAGGACGATGCCGAGGAGGATCAGCGTTCGGACTCCGAACAGAATCAGGACAGCACGGTGCGAAGATCGGCTCGCCAAAGAAACTCGAAGAAGAAAGCGAAGAGTCGTTCAGCGACCGGAGAGAGAAAATCGTCGCGTTTCAAGAAGGGTGCCGATAAAAAACGGAATCGAACGAAGAGGAGGCAGAAGACGACCAGGAGCAGGACGATGACGAGGAGGAAATCGAGCAGGCTGGACCTTCGTCTCGGCGGAGACCTCGCGAGCTGCAGGAGAAGTTCCGTCCCCCCGATTGGCTGACGGACGTTATGCCTCGGAGAACGCCTTACCTTCCCCAGGTGGGAGACATTCTCATGTACTTCCAGCAGGGGCACGAGCTGTACTGTGAAGCGGTTCGCCGTCGGCGTCTGTACAAACTGGGCAAAGAGCATCAATTCCATTGGAACAAGAAGCTCCGAGAGCAGGAGAAGGTTCGGGTGCTCGACGTGAAATTCGAGCTCCTCCCGCCGAGATTGTGTTGTGTGAAGGTCGAGTGTACCGATCCGGGCAGTCCGAACAGCGCGGACGCTTTCTGGATACGTTATCACGATTGTTCGGACGTCATCGATTTCCTAGTCCTCCATCAAATTTTCCAAACTGCCAGGGAGCGCGACTGGAAACCAGGAGACCGTTTCCGCTCAATCATCGAAGATCAGTGGTGGTTGGGCACCATCAAAACACACGAACCCATCCAGCCCGAATTCCCCGACTCCATGTTCCAGTGTTTCATGGTGAAATGGGACAACGGCGAAGAAGAGCGGATGAGTCCTTGGGACTTCGAGCCCGTGGATCACACTCGACTGCCCGTGACCCAGGGCAGCGGGGTCGACATCACTCCGGGAGAACGAGAGGCTCTGCAGTACGTTCCGTCTCAAGAGGACTTCGACACCGAGTCCCGAGACGCGTTCCGGACTCGCATGATGAAGGGTCTCGACGTAATCATGACCTTGTCCATAGCGGAACCGTTTTTGGTGCCTGTTGATCTCAATAGCTATCCTGCATACGCGACGGTGGTGGCTTATCCGATGGATTTGACGACGATCAGGTCGCGTTTAGATAACAATTTCTACCGACGCAAGGAGGGAATCAAGTTCGATGTATCCTACATTGGATACAACGCGGAGAAGTTCAACGAATCCTCGTCTGCGATAGTGAAGCAAGCGAGGCTGTTGACAAGAGTGTTGCTGCAGTTCATTAACGATGTGAATTCCGAAGACCCGCTGTCTATTTATCAGAGGCTCTCGAGTGGAGACCAGACCACCCGAGGCGATCTGAGCTCCGACGACTCCGGGGGACCAGGCCCGAGCAGGAAGTGAGTCCTAGACCATGACCCCCAGATTGTCCCGCTATTATGCGCTGTGCCGTCCTGAGCGGAGATTAATTCCGATGGTTTCGTTACAGATTATATTTGAATGGTTACAACGATTCGAAAAGTCCAGGGAAGAAAAGCAGAGAAGAAATTCGACGGCCGACCACACGCACGACTTCGAACTGGAGAGAACAGTGCGCTACACTCGTGGCGCTGCTCATCCAGCAGGAAGATTCCGAGCCGTTCAGAGCGCCCCCTGATCTCGAAGAGTTCCCTGATTACGCTGAACTCATCAAAACCCCCATGGATCTCAGTGAGTGCAACCGAACGCTTTCTCTTGCGATCCGAGCCGATAGCGGACGCTGACGCGCCCGATGAGGTATTTCCGCAGATGATGACTTCATCTGGATGACGTCATTGATCCTTTCTCCGCAGGTACTGTGAGCGACAAATTGACGAATGGAATTTACGGAACGCCTGAGGACTTCGCGAAAGACATGCAGATAATTTTTGCTAACTCGCGAACCTATAACACGGATAAACGCTCTCGGATCTACACGATGACGCTTAGATTATCCGCTATGTTCGAGACCCACATGCACGGCATTATCCTCGATCACAAGGCTGCTATGAAACGCTCTAAAACTAGGAAAACTTATGAAGAGGAGGAGGACAGCGACGAAGAGAAGTATTCCAAAAGAAGCCATACTAGACTTCAGAGATCCAATCCGAGGCGGAGTAAGCCGTCACCTGCGGAGACGAACGGCCATAGCAGCGGCAGCAGTCAGACACACAGCAGTGGTAGCAGCAGTTCCTTCACGAAGCGCCGGCGCCCTGTCGAGACCGAAGAAGATGAGGAGGTCGTCACAAAAACCACCAGTACAAGATCTGGGCGAGTTGTGCGACCCACTCGTTTCAACGATATGGTGTCGATGAGTGACGAAGAACACGAAGACCGCCAAAGATCAACGAGGACCGACACCCGATCCATGGCATCCCGGAAACGGAAAATTACCACGGAGACGGAAGACGAAAAAGAAGATTTGAGTTCTGAGGAGGTCAGGCCCAGGGTTCTCACCACCCGTAGTGGACGGACAGTCAAACGTGAGTATCGTAGGCTTCGTACGGCCGTGGGGTAGAAATTTCCCATTGGAAAAATCTCGGGCCGTTTCGGAGAGCCCCGAGTCGAATCAATTCTCCCCCTCCCCCCCTCTGTTTCCCTTGAAAATATTTTAAAAAACGGAATGATCAGTTCTAGGCAACCGTTCTTCGACAAGTGCCTCAACGTCTTCGTCGGCCGCGTCCAATACTTCGGGTAATAGTCCCACGACGAGTACCTCGGATGATTCCAGCCTTAGTCCGCGGAAGAGGTCGGCAGCGACCCCGGCTGCGTCAGCATCCTCGAACAATCGTAGAACGTCCAACAACGAAAGATCTCGCGTTCAACCACGGAGGATCAAAGTATCAACAGAAGAAGACGAAGACGACGACGAAGAGGATGATGACGATGATGATGAGGAAGAAGAAGAGGAAGCGGGTGCTGACGAGGAGGAGGAGGACGACGCAGCGTCATCCGAAGAAATCACCACCGAGGAGTCTCCGGGGGCTCACGATCGACGCTCGACTCGAGCTCGGAGATCTCAAACCGCTAGTCGTACGACAACGCGGGAGACGAGCGACGACTCGACGCCCCCGAGACGGTCGTCCCGACAGAAGAAACCCGTTCCGTCAAAACGCAATGTCAATAATAACGTCGGTAGCGGAGCTCTGAGCGAAAGACCTGTAAGAGCAGCTCGATCGAAACGCCTTCTGACGTTGGACGAGGACAGCGAAGACTATGACAAGGACTACGAAGAGATCGCGTCGTCGAGGCCAAAGCGGAGTCGGACGCGAATGTCGAACGGAAGCAATTCGAACCATTTCTTTGATTGATGATGCGGGAGAGATGTGTCGCATCATTGGGTCTTTCAAGATTTCTCATTCTTGTTCGTTGGAGAAATCCGGGCTTCTGACCTCTTGCGAGATCATGGATGATGACGAAGACTTGAAACTGCTGCCATGGCTGTGATCGGCTGTTTTTTTTTCGTTTTGTGTACAGAGAAAGCCTTGAAGACTGATATACATAGTACCGATAGAGACTCTATATTCGGGTTGGTAAGGATGTGCGTGCGTGTTTTGTAAATTCTCTACAATCATAAATATTATAGTCCTGAAATAAAGTGGTTTTTCGACTGAAGGCTCCTATCTCGAAGCGGAAATCCTCGGCTTCGGATTCCGGGTGGGAGAAGAATACAACAATGTCTCGAATCCGGCAGGAGGAGACGAAATCCGGGAAGGCGAAAAACACATGGGCCTCTGCCCCACCTTTATTGTAGAATATAATAGTCTCATGTATACTCTTTCAGCGTTGTATATAGAACTCTTTATGATAACCTCGGAGCTGGCAATAATTCTCATGGTGAAGGGGTATTAATTGCAATCAATCCAACGCAACAAGCGACGGCGAATCCCGTCCAAAGCGAATCGGAATCTTTCTCTCCGTCGCTCCCTAACATCTCGACACTGAGCGATGTCTGATCTCACTACTAATCGTCGTAACGAAACATCGATCTTCAGTACAGACCGTAATTTGACGAATTGTCATTAAAAACCTCATAACATTTGCAGCACGCCGACATTCTCTCTACAGCTCCGAATGTTCTGTGTCAGATGGTGCACGCAGCGATTCGTGGACGTAGCGTCCGAAAACCCCCATCGGCCAATCATTGAGCTGGACGTTAGCCTACTTCAGCGATCGAATGTCATAAACAGTCACACGACCGGTAGCGGGTTTCATATTCTTGCTTGAAGACCTCGTACGCCGCGTTCGTTATGCCCCACGAGAGCATGGCTCTAGAATAATTCAGATGAACACCGGAGAAAAGTTTCCGGAGACTTCGATCGCGCGTCTCGAAGGCGAGCCTCAGCGCCTGTCTCATGCTCAGATGCGGAGTTCCGTACTCGACTTGCATGTTTATTTTGGTAACGTTGACCGGGTAGAAAATTGTGGAAACGAAGGCGCCGGTGAGGGAGCCGCTGAGGAAATCAGCGAATAACTTCTGATAGCTTTTAGCGTCATCCCCGAGCGGAATGGCGTCGCGAACGATGTCTCGCAGGGTGAAAAACATCATTGTGCTAGGACCGTTCCGTAGCAGGACAGCACTCAGGCCGCGATAGTACTCCGAAAGTCCATGGGTGCGCATAGAAGAGAACACGTGAGCCGTGTTCCTGAAGCGGTGTTGATGTCTGACGTCTTGCAGAAGGCACTGAGCTCTTTCCAGTGGACACAGGAGAGCTTCTGTCGTCCCTGCGAGGAGAGCCGCGAGTATTTTCTGTTGTCTAGGTCCTAGATTGGGAGCACGAGTGGAAATGTGCCGCTGGTAGGCCGCGTACGTTCCGAACATGATGGACGTCGAAACCGTCTTCTGTATGAGAGGCGGAAGACAACCTTTGTACAGAGTTGCGAGTCCTTCGTTTTTGAGCTGAAAGGATCGTTGTCGAATCGGAAGAGGATCACGTAGGGAGTCCAAATAAATTATTTGATCTTGAGACATATTATTATTCAACCGCTCCGATCGCTCCTATCTCACCTGGCTGACGGCGGCCGGAGTTTTGAAGCCGTGTACCATCTGACGGAACATGATCTTGTTGATGGGAAACGTGATGACGATGTTGACGAGAGCCGCCATCGCTCCGGATATAAACTCAGCGGAGTCGTTGTCGATGGTTGCGCGACACCCCTCGAGGTGGGTCCGAGCTTCTATCGCCATATCGAAGCTACAGTTCCCAAGATGTCATGACGCCGAAGGGTAGATTTCTTGCCTGCGATGAGAAGCTGAGTCAGCTCTCACCTAGACCGCGACACTCCCGATCCTTAGTTCCCTGACTTTAAGCGAAGCTCTGCGCGACTACTGTCCTGGAAATCTCTCTTCGAGCCGAGCTCGCGCTCGCTGTTCTCAATAGGCGTTCTGCTGTCACTCCGAGTATGTCAAGGTCTCTCAACGCGCAACAGATGATGCTTCGAAGAATCCTGGATCGTTGTGGAGAATATACCCGCTTTCTTATCGATGACGTTCTAGCCGAGTTTTTACCCCTTATCGGAATAACCTAGATTATCTGTCGACCGAATTGGTCAGAATCCTCCAAACTTCGGGGAGAATTTCACCTTCGCCTGGGCAAGTTATCCGGATTACATCGCTTGGGGAGCCGATAGCTCTCAATCCACGCGTTCTTTACCCGATATTTCTTGATCGGGGAGCGGAGTTTTGTCTGGAATTTCCGCTAATCAAGAGGTCGTCCTCAAACAGATAGGTGACACCTTGGAGCGCGATATCGAATCGTTCTCAAGGACGGGTGCCGGTACTCACCTAAGGATGCTCACTCCTAACATCGAGAGAGCAGGGGATGTTCTGAGCAACGCCGAGCCGAGAACATCTTCGCCCTGGGCTCGGGATCCGCCGCGAGGCTGCTACAAGCAAAAAATTCAACTATCAAGATGTTCAGAGGATGCTGACATATTTGTTGTTGACGACGTGTCTTAAACAGCGGAAGACTGTCTTGCTTGACGGAGCTCTTTGCGCTCGCCTCTCCACACCGCTTCCCACTACTGAGGGAAAAGAGCGCGTTGCGCGTGCCAGTCGAAGATCGGGGGAGCTTGACGTCGATTCCGACTTGCTCTGTCCCCCTTTCTGCGCCAGACCCGATCATATGCATAGAGGTCCAGAGAGGGAGAACTATATATCCTCACATCAAGCCTCGTTAGATTTCCGCATAGCCCTCTCCGGGGTAGTGGGGATAATTTCCAGACAAGGCCCTGAATAACCTCGAAGAGAACCTCCCCGAAATTCTTTCGGTACTCATTTCCGAGCGACACCGGACATTTCGATCGAAAGAAATCTATGATACAAGCGGTGCCTCTTGATGGCCTCATCGACATTCAGAAGTCTTATCTGGAGAAAATTCACTCAACTGTCTCGATCTGAGAAAATTCACCCAACTGTCTCGATCTTAGAACATTCACCCAACTGTCTCGATCTGGGAACCTTTCGCGGATCTTGTCTTGAGAAATGCTTAACCATACAGAATTTCGGCGAACGTTGCTCGTCTCGAGAAAATACGGAACGTTCCCCGGACACTCGTCCCCGCGTCTTCAAGCATGAAATGTCATCCATCCGGAGAGGGATAACGAATGTCACGGTATCGTGAGCTGTATCGCCTCTTTTGATGCGTCGAATCGTACCTCACTCACCTGGCGAAGACTCGAGCATTGAAGCTCTGGGATCGGAATTCGGAATGCATCTCGCCGATCAGCGAGCATTCGAAAAGGAGCTCACTCATAGAATCGACTCATCCTCCCGAGATGCCGCAACGACGACGAGTTCGGCTCCGCTCGAAAGCATGGGGAAAGAACTGGATCTTCGAAGCTCATGCCCGTCTTCCAGGTACAATGAGTTCCGAATTATTGATTTAGTGCATCGAGCTCCACGGTTCGAACCCCCAATCGTTCGCCGCTTATCGACCTGCCTATCCCACCTGGGTTCCGCGACTTGACGATTCCCTACTCCAAGTTGAAAACCATAGGGACCTTCGGACCCCTTTCCCTCCACGAAACAAGAGCTAGGAGCGGCTCGAGTATCCGACACATGCAATTCCTCGTCTTCGAGGAACAAGATCGTATGCCCCCCCGCCCCGTCTGTCGAAGTCCAATAATGATGGACCGCTTGGCACGACGAGGTTTCTCACAGTTCAGAAGACACGTTCGAAGCTTCAATTCAATCATGGATACCGCAATCAGTTAGTGCTTCCTAAGGACCTCGGAGGTTTGTTGGGCGAATTTCCCCGTCGACAAGTACTGTTTTCTTCAAAAAAAAATCTTCATGCTCATTGTCTGTCTTATTTTCCCACCCCCCGATCAGCTCGTGGACGGATTTAGTATTCCACGCCGCACTGCCGTCCGTATTCGATTTTTCGCGCCTCTGACAGCGGTCAGAGCGGCGCCGGCGTCGGCTACGACTGTTCGGCCTTTGCAATAAATATTTCCCACAGAAATTATGGCTGTAAGGCATTCTTCCCCATTCATTGGGGGGTTTCCCCGTACAGAGCTGGTCCACAGTCCCCGAGTTGTCTTCTGAAAATGCTTTCATGCAACGAAAGCACCCTACCCCGCACCAATACCCGCGGATTTGCCGTCACCAAGCACATTCGGACACTTTCCACGAACGGAGATCTCGCCACAGGCTGCCGCGGTGGCGGCTTGCGGTCGTCTTCGTAGCAGTCCTGTCATGCTGTCTCGCTGGCGTCGAATTCCGCGGAGTTTCCATGTCACCGTCGCCGGAACGGATTCCGAGGAGCATGATCCATCGAAACAGCTGGATTCGACAGTGAGCGTGGAGAACTCAGCTAGATTTCGAACGGAGCGATCACCGGAGCCACGACCCGTGGAATCGCAAGCGATTTTCGGAGCCCGCTAAGCTAGCGGGGGCAAGAGTTGTGTGCTGTACGGAGTTACGCCATCGAAGCTTAGGCGTGCGGCAGGTCTCTTACACTCTCACAGTGCGCTACGAAATCTGAGAGTGTCTGGTGGAGCGGACCGACAGAAAGCTTCCCATGTGCGACAGCATGCGCAGCTGATTCTCTAACAAACAAGTAAGTCATTCTCGAGAGGAATCCTCACAGTGCCCGGCTGAAGTCGTAGAACCAGAAATAGACCGTCGTCTGTGTGGTCTGGATACTTGACGTTCCGCGGAAATCACGGAAAAGAGTGGTTATCGAGTGTTTGCTTCTAAGACGAAAATCGCTAGTTGTGCAAGCCGTCCAGAAACGAGCTGTGTGTTGTCGTCTAATCTAGAGCCGCGTTGAGTGTTCAGGGACATCCACTTGCCGAGTTTTTTGGAGCGGTATTAGATACGCTTGGATCTAGGAGCCATGCTCAGCCGGCGCTGGCGACCGCGGTTCAACATGGATTATCGCGCTCGAGTATCGCTTCCGTAGTTGACTTTCCGAGCCGAGAGACCTGAGGTCGAGACTCCGCGACCCGTGTTTTGGAGCGATCAGCTGGTTTGGGAGCAGCGAGTGACGACTGGTTGGTTGCGCAATAACCAAACAATGGGGACACACAGCCTTCCACCGACAAGGGTTTCTCCGAAATGAGTCCTTCAATCATGACGCTGTGAAGGGCTCCGTCGCAAAATCCACAAATTTTGTGACTACGGCGCGAACATTCGACCGGAGAAAGGTGCTCGCGGTTTCTCAGTAGTCGAGCCGACCGTCGACTCGACCGTGGACTGTTTGGCGTCGAGCGACAATCGAATTTCCCATTCGTTCATCGTCGGCTGGTGTGCCGCTCGAATTGTCAAGCGGAGTGAAAGGGTCCGCGGCCAGCAGAATGTGACTGCGCCAGAGAAATATGGCTCGAATAAGCGAAAGCGACTGGTGGATCAGATGACCCGATCTGTCCGGGGTAGCGATAGTCCCCTCCACCAGTTTGTTTGAGGTCATTCAGCCGATTCGGCGCGCGGATTTCTGTGCATCTGACCAACGGATCACTTTCAGCTGTGCGGCGTGCGGTGCTTTGCTCTTGTGGGATTAGGGCTCCACGCGCGGGATAATCGCTGACTAAACAATCGACAGCCGCGTCCGCATAGAATCAGCTTTCACAGCTGCCTGAAAACGAGAGTCGAGCCCGATCCAGGCGGTCCATGAGAGCGGAGCCGATCGCATGCGAGGAGCCGGACGATGACGTCCGTGAAGAGGGGACGTCACATTTTCCTCCAGTAGCATAGTGGTTTCCTTGTGCTCTCATTTTTTCCCCGACCCACTTACGCTACGACAAAAACACGGGAGACGAATTCAAACTTCGCTCTGTAAGCGGTGAAAACAACGTGTCTCTCGTGACGAAACGGCTTCTCGTGTTATCGCTGAGAGCTCTTTCAAAGTCGGGAGCGATCGCGTATCGATTGCGGATCACATGTAATCAACGCACCCAGAGCATTATCGGCTCTTTGTGGAATGGCCTTGCACCGAAAGGTGAGAAGGATCGTGACGAGCGAGAAAAATCGCTCGCGCACTGATATTCATCGGTGTGACAAATAATGCAGAAACTTCCGGAAGGACATCTTTCACGTCGCTCTGGAACCTGGAGTGTCTTTGGAAAGAACAATCAGATTCTCGGATCGAATCTTCCGACACAAAATGAGCGGTAGCGATCTCTGTATCGCTTGGAGACCGTCGTTCGAGCATCTGCACTCGGAGCCGTCGAGTGTTCTGAGATGATTGCTTGCTTTGCCTACACACCTATGTAGTCGAACTGAAGCTTCCGCTTTCTGCGAGACCCGCAGAACCGTCTGTCACAGGGCGGTCGTTTGTGCGAATCGGTGACGACTGTCTGCGGCAAAAACTTTGTCGTCGCCACTCTGGTGAGGTCGGATACGGATCGTCACTAAAGCCGTTGGGAAGTAATTTATTTTCTCTCCGAACGGAGAATTGTCTTTCCGCCGTTCTGAAGCGATTATATTCGATGAAGAACGAAGGCCTTTCGCCGATTGTCCACTCAGTGAATGCTCTCCGATGAAGACTTCGGTATATCGTCGAATCCAGGACCTCATCCGTGATTCGCCACCGGGCAAAATCTCTTCTGAGCTCAATTTCGTCTCAATGCTCTCGTGACTCTTCCTGTGTGTTGCCTTGGAGGATCCCGGAAAGGAGGAACGTCTCCCGAGACTTTCCCTGCGACACATGCCGATATCAACGGCGAAACAGGTACGATCTCTTCCCGAGTAGCCTGTGGATCGAACCTCTGAGAAACTTACGTCATCGACAGAAGCAGAAATTCGGCTCGTCGAAGTTGGAAGCGATCGCGTATCGATTACGAGTGATCCCGAATGATCCGAACTCATTGTCAGTCAGAAACGTACGTCCAGAGTTGACTCTCGCCAATATTCTCGTCGAAGTATTAAGATAAAAATCGATTGGCTTGGCTGCAACTTTCGGGTGGACGTGCGTCACCTGCTGCTTCCACGCGAAACGGCCTCGCCGGTCGAGCATCAGGGGTCCCGAACCATCTGTCGCGCTGGAAAGAGCGTTTATCACTGCGTTACAGTCGAAGGGCTCCGCTCCGTCGTATTTCCGCCACCTGCGGTTCGTGGACGCTCTATTGACGCAGATTATTTCGATCCAGGCGCGAGCGTGTTCTCGAGTCAACGAACATCTCAAGAGCGAGCCGTACTTTGAGCTTTGCTTTCTCGCGGCACCTAAGGAGAGCGTCATCCTCCACTGTGACTCATATCTCACTGGACAGGTGGAAACGGAGCGAGCTGCTCGCAAGCTTGCAAACCGTCTGTCTGGCGAAACGTTTTCTATTCAGTCGCTGGAGATATGGTCTCGAGATGTCTGGAACGACTGCTGACTCCACGTAGAGCGGCGGCGCGGCACCGGATCGCAAGGAGGTGATCCTCACGCCAAAGTGGTGCGCGGCACGCCACGCTTCACTTGTTCTCAAGCGTCCCGCTAATATGCTGCAATGACTGCTAATATTCTGAAACCAGTTGCTGCTCGCCAGACGATTCTTTCCGTGAATTTTGAACGGCATTCACCGCAATCGGAGCGCATGAGGATGCCAACGCTCGATCGCGTTCTCGCTGCTACTCGACAGCTCGATCGACAGGGTCTTGATTACCCGAATTTCGAATCCAAGAATTCAGAGAACATTCGGTAACGTCCGAATCGCCACTAGCGAAGGGAGTTCCTATGACAGACAAGAAATAATTTAGTGACGACAGCTCGAGTCTCCGGTCATTTGATTACATGCTGCTACCTGAACGGGACGAGGTCGAAGTACGGTTCCGGTGTCGTTGTACGGTAATAATTTGTCTTGTCTGGCCCGGCCGAGTCTTTCGAGTGCCTTCTCATGCGAACAGCTGGTGACTTTGCATCGTCTCGGCGCTGGTACGGTGAACTCGATTTTTCCACCTATCAATGGTCAATGTCCTGCTCGCGGAGCATAGGGCCGAAATTCTATAAAGTTCTTGAGGGCCTTTTCCGTCCCAATCTTCGCCGATCACCGAGGAGTCGGACTTACGCCTCGACACCTATCGGTTTCTGTAGAGAATATCGTCGATGTGGCGGACATTCTCTGACAAGAGATGATCTTTCACGGGCATATCGGGCAAAGCGACTCTGCCCTTCGTTGAGAGAATGCGTTGCTTTGCCAAGACTGGCCTGTCTCAAATCTATTAAAGACTCGATCCGGCAAGGGTTGGGAGACCAATCTTCTCCCTCGAATCACAGCAGACAGTGACTTCGCAGCCTTCCGAGAGCCATCAGAGTTGCCTAATTCAAGGGCGATGACTCCTCCGAGATTGTCAGAATGAGACCAAGGAAATTCGAGCGACAGGAAAGCACCACCAGCTCGCTAAAATCCTTGCTTATGATAATCAGTCAGCTGGAACGATGAGCTCGATTGAGCGAAAAAGGGACTTTCTCCCTGAGCGTGGCAACGTCCTAGCGAAATGATCCTTCGTGATTCTTTCCGTAGTCCGTCAAGTCATGTTCGGGCAACTCCGTCAGGGATAAAGAAAGCATGAAACTCCTGCTCTCTAGCCGGACCAGGCTTTATTCGATGCTCGACGACTCCGGGTACTTCTCGCGAGTTTTTTTGACATGCCTTCTCTTCAAGATCAGATTTGTGGCTATTGGTTCCAGAGAAGGCTTACAACCAGCGTCAGGAAGAGAGTCTCAAGATTAATCGGCTTGCGTGGGTGTGTTCTAATCCGACGTGGCCTCCCAGATGTTTATTCTCGAAACGTATTTGGCTGTGACGACACCTTTCGCCGTGTCGAATGGCTCTGGCGAGAGCAGAACAAATAAGGACCCTGATATCACCGTAAATGCCAGGAAGCTTCCCCGGTGTTTCGCTCGAGAGAAACGATTGCGAAAAAGAAACGGTGCCATGTAACGCCAAGGCGTATCCGGAACGCGCGTGATGAACATGGAGACTTGCGATATCGTAATAGACCGAAGACGGCTGAGGCAGATTCCCGTCTTTGAAGAAGTGGCCTAGCTGGTCTAGGTCGAGCACGACTGGTTGATATCTCGCGAGGGCTAGTGATCGGCTCAGGCCTTATATGGCAAGCTTCCAAACGCGGTCACGGAATCCTCTCAATTCTCCAGTCGGGTAGCTGTATCGGGCCGGCTCTCTTGAAGTGATTCTTCCTCCGTTCAATTAATACCTAGGAAATGTTAAGGTCGCTGACGGAGTCGAACTTCCGTTTCAGATCGTCCGTGTGGAACGCTGTGATTATCGGTAACAACTAACCAAAACTCGGGGCAAAATGGATATCGTCAAGGGGTTCGTCACCTCGATGAAGCAGTTCTACAATGACATTAATCCCGCCACGTTAACCGGAGCCATAGACGTGATAGTCATTGAACACGAGAACGGGGATCTCGTCTCAACTCCGTTCCATGTTCGCTTCGGCAAAATAAATGTAATGAATTTCGTGGGGAAAACCGTAGAGATCTACATCAACGACGAGCCCACTGATCTCCGGATGAAGTTGGGGGCGAGCGGGGAAGCTTTCTTCGTAGAAGCCAGTGAAGACGAACCTCCCGCTCACTTGGCCACTTCGCCGATTCCCGATCATCCATTAAATGATCTCAGCTGTTCCCCTCGGAAGCGGTCGGGCAGCTCTCCGGCAGTCGTGCTGAAAGCCCGGGCTTCGAATGTGGCTCGAAAACTGGTGGATGGAGGAGCAGACAGCAAGGATACGGATCGGATAAACGCGTCCGCTCATCAGACGAGTCTTCAAAGGAACGAAGATGAAAAATCCAACGCTTCGGAACGGTCGATGACGAAAATCAAGAAAAGAAGACGGAAAGTGAGCAAACCGATGGAGAAAATTACCAGAGAGAGCAGTTCCAGCGATGTCGAAGAAACCCAGTTCGTACTAGAGGTCGAGGATCAGTCGTCTGAAATGAAAACCGCAAAGACAACTCAACAGAATCCGTCAACCGCTCACCGAGGGAACGAGGGTGGTAAGCTGAAGGAGCCGTGTGGCAACAACACTTCGAACACCACCGTGACCAGTGACGACGAATTCAACTGGACCTCGGTGGCTTCGGGTGTTGCCTCCGCGCGACTCACGCCCATGGGTCAGGTCGTTAGCGATGGTGATATTTCCGACGTGGAGAAGGGACGCGAGAGACCGCCGTCACCTGCGAAATCCGACACCCTCGTCGAGTTGGGGCCTCACGACGACGACGACACGAACGCAACGTGGCTGTGGGGCGAGCTGCCAGTCGTTGAGATGCCTCCCGAGGTGTCGGCTCTCCCAGGTCCGGCTCAGAACAAATCCCAGGCGACAGCGTCGCGTGACGCAACAGAGCTCGGAAGTTCGCCGCCAGAAAAGGCCCTATACCTAGACGACGTTTTGGCTCAAACCGACCCAGAAATGCGGAAAATTTATATTGGCACATGCCCCCGGAAGAGCGCGGCGAAACCTACCGGGGGACCGTCCGGACACCCGTTGGAAGACGGCGAGTCCGGTAACGGACCTTCACTATCTCAGAGCCCCCAATCCGGCCTCGATTCGGATTGTGAGCCTGAGATGAGGCATCCGGTGTTCGATTATAGACTCCGGAAGTACTCTGACCTGGCGATGTCCTTATGCGGCTTGGAGAGAGAGGAAGAAAACATCGAAGAGCGTTTCCTTCTGAGTTTGGTGACGTACGATGATTTCTGTCAAAACCCGGACATCCTCCACGATCCAGACCTCGTCTTCCGAATGAACGGGAGGTACTACAACTGGAAAAGCATGGCACCGCAATTGCTTTCGTTGGCAATGTTCCAAACCGCTCTGCCAAAAGTGAGTGAGATGTCTGGTCCGGATCGTTTCCTGAACGATCAGCTATTCTATCATGAGTTTCTTTGCTGCTTGATCGTATTTCGCTCCCATTCACGGTGGAATTAGACTTCCTCAGTGCTGTATTGAGGAAATCGATTTAAAATAATTTTCTCTTCCTGCAGGCTACGATGCAGAGACTCTGCGCTGAACATCTGCCAAAGAAGAAGACCCCCAACGCAACTCCCCAAGTGAAGTCTAGGAGTTGGTGGTGGTCCCGACCCCAAGAAGAAATTCTGCTGGAACAGAAGGATGCCAAATTACCCGAGTCAGCTTCTCCAGGGAAAGAAGCCCTCGATGCCAAAGAGGCAGAAATCTGCGAGGCGAAATCCGCGTCAGAGGAAGAGCTCCTGGCGCAGCAGCTGCTAGAAGAGGAACTCTGCAAATCGCATAACAAAAAATCATTGAGACTTTCATCCGACCAACTCAAGTCGTTGGGTTTAAAACCAGGATCGAATTTCGCCGAGTTCAAAGTCATCACGGCTTATCAAGGAACATCGGTGTGTTCCTGTCATATCTACCTGTGGAAATCCACGGACAAGGTCGTCATTTCCGACATCGACGGAACGATCACCAAGTCCGACGTACTCGGGCATATACTCCCGATTATCGGGAACAATTGGGCTCAGAGCGGCGTGACTTCATTGTTCAACAAAATCGTCGACAACGGGTATAAGATGGTCTACCTCTCCGCGAGAGCGATAGGCCAAGCTCAGATGACTCGGGGCTTCCTCCGATCGATCAAGCAGGACAATCTGTGGCTGCCCGACGGTCCCGTCTTATTGAATCCGACATCGCTGCTGAACGCCTTGCACCGAGAGGTGGTGGCGAAAAATCCGCACGTTTTCAAGATTAACTGTCTGAAGGACGTCAAGCAGCTCTTCAATAAGGGCGAGGACAGCGTAGCGACGCCTTTCTACGCCGGCTTCGGAAACAAGACGACGGACGCGCTTTCGTACAAAACCGTCTCTGTACCCGTCAACCGAATTTTCACGATCAATCACAAGGGAGAAATCAGCCAGGAGCTGATGGGGAACGTTGGCAAGACGTACCATTGTCTGGGCGATATCGCCGACCACATATTCCCGTATGTCGAGAAAGTCGAACCGCAGGGCGGCTTCAATAGCTTCAGTTTCTGGAAAGATCCCTTGCCGACAGTCGAAATCAAGAAGCCCACCGCTGAGACCCCGAAACCAGGCTCGCCACAACAGCCTCCAGCCCAGCAAACTCAACCGAAAGAAGAAAATAAAGAAGCTAAGGTAAGGACTCCTGATCACGGGTTTCGAGAGGTGTGATGAATTGACTTTCCATCTCTCCTCCTTGGTAACCGGACTTCCATTCGGAACTCAATCTCAATGGTTTCCTTCCAGGATTCCAAAGCTTCGTCTCCAAAAAAGACGAACAAATAAGTTAAAGCTTGCGTGTCATCGGGAGGAGATACTCCGCTCCCCCCTCAGTGAGATAGTCTAGTTCAGAGCCGTGGTGTCCGTTCGTCTCTACTATTCTGTATACTCGAGTCAGACTTCCCTGTAAATGATAAGCAGTATCACATGTGATGACCGGTCGATTGTGTGATTGATGGGTTGATCGATTGTTTGGTTGGAATATGTTAAAGGCGACAGATGAGGTGGCTGATGATCTTCGACATGGATGACTTCCATTATGAACTCTGCAATCGTTGTCCCCCGATCTGTTCGCCAGCGGACAATTCGGTAATTCCTGATCGGATCACCTTCTCGCATCCGAGCTAACTTTTAAGAAAACGATCCCGCTGCCCCGCACTTTATTATCGGTCAGTTAGGAACAACTTGAGAAAGGTCGTCCGTCACTGTATTAGTCTGTCGCCGAGTCACTTTCCTTGTTCGCTGGTAGAAAAGAAACGCATCAAAATCTTGTATTACACGGAGATGTGAACGTGCTTGTATCGCTGATCGGATCGTTTTTCTAATGAGGATGGAACAAAATAAATCAGTGGATTCAACATTTCTGTTAGGGAATTCGTATTTCCTCAAAGATCTCCCGGGACTGCGTGAAGATTGTCTGCCGACGGATCGTCTCGTCCGCTACTTGTAATAATTAATTCTGGAGTCAATCTCGATTAGTCTTATAACATCTAGGGGTCTCTACCCTTCCGGAGATTGATCCTGCGTCGGTGCGATCGATTCGCCGCGTCGAATGGCTCGCCGAATCTTCTTTCGATCTTACGAGAAACATCCGAGTACCATTTGAAATCCAATCCCCGTGAAAAAAGGATTCGAAAAAGATTTTCTTCATACGTGAACGTCCGGTGCGGCGATATGACACGTTGTCCGTAAGAATATTCCGTATTCCTGAGGGAGCAGAAAGCGAAGATTCTCTCCGAAAGTCGAGTTCCAATTCTCGACGGAGTTGTGACTTTGTCAAATAAGTCGATTCTGCCGACCGAAGCTGTGCGACGAATGAGCGGCTATGTCACTCACGAGTTTCACGATTCTGCGAGTATGATTTATTCCTGAAAATTCGAGCCCTCCAAGTCTGCTCGAATCTTGCCAACTCGGACCTTCGACACCGGAGAATCTCGGGTCGAGGGTGTTGATCTCTACTCTCGAATCCGCTCCGACTCTGCAGCTATGCGTGTAGGCGCATTTATCCCCCACCTTCTGGCAATCGCAGTCTTTGTGCAGGGCCAACTGACTCGGAAAAACACCAGATTCGTCGCCCTCTGCGATTTCGGCGCTCCCAACACCAGGAACGAAGAACACCGATCCTGGTGGTCGCCTATGAGGTGTAATGAATCGCGCGAGGCAGTGTATTACGGTTTGGGAGATGCCGAGTTCCGTGGTTATACTGAGCTTCTGGTGAGTGTTCCGATAAGCCATCCTCGTTTTAGAATGATATCCTATCCAAGGAATCGCTACCACCCGAAAGCCGAGCGCTGGAAATTCTGATTGAGGTTCGGACTCACTCGGCTCTCAGGTTCAGGGCCTGGATAAGAAAAGACTCATCTTCGACAAGCAGCGGGCATCGAGTAAAACCAGGGGCGTCATAGCACGGAGTTTTCGCGATGACCCGAAATCGAGAAGAGTCGGGCGTGAACTGTAGAGATCATTAGTACAGCGATCTGACGCTACCGCTGACTGGGTTCCCGTTCGACATCGCATCCGGATCCAGCGACCGCTATCGCTTTGTTGGGCGCGTTCCCGGTTCGAGAGGACCGACGAATGATACCCTTAAATCTGACGCTCCCAGAGCAATGGGTAAACTAATCGAGAGGTGATACTTTCTTTCAGCCGGCGACAGAGACCCACGTAGTTGTCCACGGCAGAATAAATGACAGATTCTGCTCTATTTGGGTGCATCGGAAAATGAGGCAACAAGGGCCGACCGTGAGCGACCCGTTCGTCACTGAGGAGGTTTGTTGCTGGAGTGGGGAGCACCGCTGGATGAGGGAGTGTTCAGGCATTTCAGCTCGGAGAAAGCTCATCCACCGGCTGTAGGAAGGGTTGAATGCCAATAAATGTAATGAGATCAGAATCGATAGGTCAGTCTCGAATCCTCATCCGAAGGCACGAACTAGCGTCTGGAGATCTCAGATGGACCATCGTCAGCAGGTTTCATATCTGGCTTCAGATTCTCAAATTTTCGGCATCTCGAGGCTGTTCGGCTCTTGACTGCACAAGGAGAAGAGTTCGCTTCAGGTCGCCTCAGAATGTCAGAAACTGTCGCTTATCACCTAACCTGCCCTCTCTCGAGTCTGAGAGGGTACCCGTCTTGACACAAGCCCATCGACATCTGACTTCTCGAGCATTTGATTAACATTCTCCGAACCGAATATCAGTCTTCATTTATGACATCATCCGTTTAAGACACATTTTTTTGTAAGTACGTCGGAACGCGGTTATCACTTGCCGATGGGTCGGTCTCCGAGAACGACTCTGGGAAAATGGGGGCACGCTCCGGGCTTCATAGATGAACGGTGTGCCACTTATTCGGAGTAGCTCACGCGGGAGATGAGGGGTTGAGCACCCACGGAATCGCGCGGCACTTTTGATTTAGTCAAGCCAGAAGAGAGCCCGCCGTCGTCGGCGATTCTGACGGCGCTCGTACGCGTCCGAGATTTCGGATGGTCATTCCAGCTGACAGACCGATGAAGCCGACGCAGGATACGACCCCGAAAGACATTCCATCGGGAATCGGCTATCGATTTCGCACAAAAATCATGTCCTGGTTCGGGGGTAGCGAGGTGTCTCTGGAACCCTATCAGGGCGACCGGATCGACCACCAGAGCAAACCTATCAAGCTACGGATCGCTATTTCGAGGAGATCTCATCGGATCCCATGCGGGAGAGCTCTTAGGCAACATGAGTGACGGTCGTAGAATGGCGCTCCGGCTTGGATGTCAGGCCCAACGCTATCGTTCTCGGAGCTCTCCAGTCAACCCCCACGGCGTTTAGCGGTGGCGAAGGCCCGTCAACTGATTATTGTCGGTAACTTCGATCCCAGGGGTGTTCTTCTTCTGTGAGTCGTTCTCCATTGAAGTCGGGACGGACTGAACGTGGTCCTCTTTTGTCTCGCTTGTTCTGAATGCCCTGTAGGAGGTGGTGGAGACAGACGGGACGTTGGTGTGCTCCCGACCGAGTTCTTCCACTACGGACTCGCTTAGAAAACGAGGTCCACCTTCAAGCCCCAACCGCGCGGCCGTAGCATTTGTTCTTCGCAGAACTCCTCCGATGCGGGACCAAGCTTTGAAAGTCTAGATTGGAAGCAAATCATCATCTGCTTGCAGAGTTTCAAGAAATTCCCAGCGCAGAACTATCGTCATTGATCAATCCAGATGAAGTGTACGTACATGAATATTCTTTCCGGGCTGGACCTGATAGGCCGACCGGCCGAGGCGTCACAGGCCAGGGGCTAGGTATTGATTTCGAGGTCGGATCCCGGTCGGATCCAAGCGGGATCCGGCGTCGGCGTATCGCCGTTGCGTTTAGGCACGCTCGCCGTTGCGGTGACTTGAGGACTTCTGGAGCCCTCATAGTCTGCGGCAGCCTACGGAATATCTCCCCGATAGCTTCTCGTATAGCTCCCGTCTACCAACGCTGCGGGAATTCCTGCATTCTCAGAATTCTTGCCGTAAATAAAGCGTGATAAAACGAGCTGACCGTGTCGGAGTCGTGGAAAACGCCACATGTGCGGCGCCCAAATGTATATGACACATTGTATATTTCGAGAATGTATAAGATAGGTGAATGATATCTATCACATGAAGAAGGCACGCCGCGATGGAATACAACTCGCCGAGCCATCCGATATCACGACTTCGGTCGCCAAACACAGAAAATCGGAGCGGACTTCAATCTCGGACTCGACATCCAGCATAAGCTGAAACTCGAGAACTCCACCACGCGTGGAAGAATTCAACAAAATAATCGAGCTCGGATGCTGAAAGGTGCTCCGAAAGCTTGTCCGGGCTCTTCACGAAGCGCCCGGAGTGGACAAGAAATCGTTGCGGGCGTCTCTCGGCGATATGTTCTGTCCTGATGCTGCCCGGAGGTCGGAGACGGCGTTTCATAGGATTCGGATCACTCATTCGGGACGCGAAAGAACAACCCAAATCGTTTTAAGGTACAACAGGCAGGAAATTATCATTTATTTCCACTGATTACTTGCCCACTTTCTTCCCTTTCTTGTTCAAGGGACTCACATCGAAAAGACCGGTTGAAACTTTCCGTTTCCCAGCCTTGCCGAGAGGCGTTGACGGCTGTTCCTTTCCGGCAGTGCCCGTCTTCCCCGGCTGCAGATCGTTCTCGGGTGTGAAGTCGAATGTTACGCTCTTCGGTTTCTCACTGCCTGGAGTTTTGCGCGGTGTTTTCAGAATGGGTCGAGGGGTGTCGATTATCCGGATCTTCCCGGATTTATCTCCCGCTGCGAGAAAGAATCATGTGCGTAAGTCCCACCGATCAATCCCATACCGAAACGAAAATCTGAGAGGAGGATACTGCGCGAAGTAAGAATAATTAAAGACTTACGGGCGGGAGGCTCGATCCTGGTCACCGTCATGCCTTGCTTATTGAATGATTTCGGGCTCTTATTCTTCGGGGACTGCTCGACGACAAAATCACTCTTGCGATTCTTCTTCAGAGCTTTCTTGCTGGGAATTTCGGGAATGACATTCTGTACGAAGCCCGTCGTAGATTTCCGCTGAGCCTTTTCCTTCTTCTCGGCCGTTCTCGGGAGTTCTGGGACCGCCAACTCTCCATCCGTGGCTCCGGAACTCCTCGAGCGACGTTTCTTCGGCTTCTGCTCGTCGATTGGAACTAATTGCGGGCACTCATCTTCGACGGGAGCCGCCTCCGTCTCGTCGAAACCTTGGAGTGCGTCAAGAACGGGCGCCTTTTTCGCTCCCGCACCGGCTTTCTTCTGCTTCTTCTGTTTCGGTAGTCTCTGTTGCTTGTTCAGCGACCCCAGCGAAGGTTTAGGTAGAGGAACATGGGTCGGTAATTTGAGCATATTCGATCCAAATCGCTTCCCAGCCTTCCTGAGAAGAGCTTTCCTTGCCATGTGCTTGACATGACGTTTTCTCGCCTCGCTCTGTTCTTCGAAATCTTGCTCTCGGAACACATCCAAATAATCGGAATCGAGCAATTCATCGGTTTCCAATTTCTGGGAGTCATCTTTCACGGCTATCACTTTGCCGTCGCTTCGGACCTTGACTCTGACTCCGGGCATGGTGTCGATGGTGTCTTCGATTTCTTTAGGAGTCTGTCTCTCAATGAATTTCTTATCCGCTTCCGAGAGGTCGACCGTATTAGCCGAAGCCAGGGAGAGGTACAAGGGAACTGACCGCCCGGCGAAAGACGCGAGATGCATCGAGTTCAGGTTGCTCTCGCCTCCGGGAAGACTCTCCGGAATGAATACGTCGAGGATTGACTGTATATTCTCGGCGATTTGCTCATCGGTGTGATCGTGCAAGTTGCCAACTTTCATGCTCACATTCGGTCCCTCGGGCGTGATGTAGATCAGAGTTTTCTGAATGGCCTCTTCGATAATGTCCTTGAGTTTTTCCTCGTCTTTCATGTACACTCGGATGGGGAGCTTCCTGCGTTTGAAGAATGAGGTACCCAGCAACTGCGGCATACGGAAAAGGATTCTGTGGTCGCAGATGAAGTGATCGAACGCTTGGCAGAGTTTTCGCTTCGCCTCGAATGGCTTAAACTCCGTCTCGAGCTGCATGACCGGGAGGATGTGAATCTCCCTCTCGATGCCCAGTTTCCGTAGCTTATGTTTGTACTCGTTAGCGTACCGCTCATGATCCGCCCTGCGAAAAAAATCTCCAAGTCAGACGAGCAACTAGGTATATTGTTCTTCCACCGGGTACACGCCGCTTCCATCCTGCGCCCACCGGCGAATTTCGAACAGACGCGCGCTTCGCTAGCCGAACTTGGAATTCGGATTTAATTCCAATACGGTCCACGTAGGGAACCGGGGTCACATACCTCTTATTTCCCTTGTCGGTTTCTCTGCAACCGACGATGAAACAGACTTCATCGTCTTCCTGAACGAGGCAATGGGGAAAGATGAACGGTACCATCGTGATCCTCTGGGACGCTGACATTTTCTTCACTGTCAATTGGAGATGGACGAATCGATCGTTTCGATCGTCACTATCGAGGATCGACGCCTTCTTCTTCTTCGATAACTCGACATCACGGAGTTTACGGAAAGCTTTCACAGCTTCGATGACTTCTTCCTTGGGCACCATCGTAGTACTCTGACGACTCGTTTCGTCTCGCGGCCCTCGCGAACCCAAATGTAAACACAACCACGAGACACGAGGATCATTCAGAACGCTCTCTGCGGCGAAACGTGGCGGATCCAAAACAATACTGAATGAAAACCCCCGGACGGAATCAACGCGTCAAGTGTTCTATTCCATCGCTCGCAGACATCGTTGGAGATTCAATTGGTAGCGGGAACGAGCCTCGAATCGAGTCGATGAGCTGGTCCGCGTGGATTTCCGCGATGAGATTGCGAAGGTTCGAATTTGGCGCGCGCCCTTTGCAGACGATCGGGTGGTTCTGGTGTCCGGTGCTCGCGTCGGCAGCAGTCTTTTCTAGGTCTCGTTTACACCATGAAGGCCAGCGGATTGGTGAGAATTCAAATTACAGCATTATATTGGACAAATAGCACTGATTGAATGGGCACAATCCGAACCTCTGGTGTCTCGGTATCGATGGGGACACAGATCCGCTCGAATATGATCCTCTATCTTTGGAAGCTCGTCAGTTCTGCCCATACACGTGTTACCCTGGCTACGAGCTTCGATCTGAGCGGAACTCCCATTTCGAGCCGTCATTCTGAGTGGACGCCTGAAAAATCGGACCGGTTTCGACCATATGTGACTCTCGGAGACTCGGGAAGCCACTGATTCCGATTCATTCCTTGTCTCTTGTCCGAGCGCGAATCGCGTCCCATGCATGCGGAACCAAATCTCGTAGTGCCGCACCCGCTCGGATTTATCCGGGGATCCATTGTAGATTCTCACGTTGATTCGATTCATTCTCGAACCGAGGATCACACGAGTCCGTCTGTGGAACGAAGCGGTGACAGTCGCGTCCGTGGCAGATCCGCTCCAACCGTCGTCGAGCGTTGTCGGTTCCCGGCTTGAGTTGATCGGATAATTGCTGAACCTTGAACCCCCGGAGAAAGTCAGCTCTAGGTGGGACGGCGCCTAATCTGTCTCCGTCGGCTGACTCCCGTGACCGACCACGACGAGAAACTAATGTTCGATTCCGTTTTCGTTTTCCAGCTCCACCATTATGAGCTGGTGGGCCGAGCTCACCCCACAGAGCGGGAACCCCATCCCAAGTTGTACAAAATGTACATCTTCGCCCCTGATTACGTGACTGCCAAGTCTCGTTTCTGGTACTTCATCAAGAAGATGAAGAAGATCAAGAAGACCACCGGCGAGGTCGTTTCCGTCAAGAGGGTAAGGATACGTTTGAAGCTTGATCCTCCGACGCACATTCCTCTCCGAGTCCCTTGTGTCAGAATTGATCTGCGGACGATGTGATTGTGGGAGAGTGAAAAACTAAAGAAAGCATTCCGTCACCGCTAGGTGCCCGAGAAGAGCCCCGGAAAGGTGAAGAACTACGGTATCTGGTTGAGATACAACTCTCGTTCTGGTATTCACAACATGTACCGTGAGTACCGTGACGTGACGACCGAAGGCGCTGTCACCCAATCGTACCGCGACATGGGCGCTCGTCATCGTGCCCAAGCTTCGTCGATCCAGATCATCCGCGTCGAGCCCGTGCCAGCGGCCAAGACTCGTAGAGCTCACATCAAGCAGTTCCACGATCAGAAGATCAAGTTCCCTCATCCTTTCCCGATCAAGAGGAACTTCCACGCTCAGCGTTTCGCTGCCAACCGTCCTGTTGTCAGGTTGCAGTAGGAGTGGAAAATAAAAGATCCTCAGGAAAATTGTAGAGAAGTCATTCCCTGGAAGTTTTGCGACAATCCGGAAATACACAAGGCTGTCGGTACACGTCTCTCTTCCCCATAGATGCCGCCCCCGACATTCAATTGAGCCCGTGGCGTAAGTCGATCTTAGAATGGAAAACTTCAGTCTTTATTCCGAATAGCGACTGCGATTGCGACACCGTATCTGGCATCTTCCAACTCGGAAAAATCATCAACAGTGGATACGATAACAATCATTTGAAAACTAACGAAGAAAAGAAATTGTCCACGCTTGTACCCATAAGATGATCTAGATTTCGACCGCGCGAACGCGAAAAGCGCGATCAGGCTCACAGTGGCTTTGGCTTAAGTTGAAGAGCTCGAGGTTTCGAAATCACAAAGAATAATCACTTTTCAACACACCCACATAGGGTTCAGTAATCTCGGATCTCACAGGGATAGGAGTTCGTGCATCGTTCAGAGCTCGATTGCATTCTCGTAAACTTGATCGGTTGACGGCACCGCCGGAGTATTTCTGAGCTCCTTCCGGAAGTAGTCGATCGTCATCTGTAGGCCGGCTTGCAGTTGGACCTGAAAGGAAGCATCATGGGATGATCAGGGGAGAGCATCGCGCCCCATCGCCGGGGGCGATATCCGGGAAGCGCATTCCGGGGAACGTCCGGAAAAGGCGCAGTCTCCGACGTCTGAGCTGATTCTTCTGCTGAATATTGTGAATTTACTTGATTCTGGGCCTTCGGGACGCCCTCCTTACCTTGTGAGACCAGTTGAGCTCTCTTCGGGCTCGAGTGATATCTGGCTTTCGTCGTTGAGGATCGTCTTCAACCTGATCCGAATGTGCGATTTTCGCATCGGAATTCCCAACGAGGTCTTTGATTAGGTGCGCGAATTCGGAAATTGTGTATTCATCCGGATATCCTAGGTTGACTGGCTGAGAGAAATTCGAGTTCATGAGGAGAACGAGTCCGTCGACCAAATCCGACACGTACTGGAAAGAGCGGGTCTGCCGGCCGCTTCCGTAGATCTGGGAATCGCGGAAGGACCCAGGGTTAGACTCAGGGCTCTTGCTTAAGGCGATTCATCAGCCGGAATTGAACGAAAACTCAAAGGTACCGTTATGTCCTGCCCTTGGAGGGCCTGTAAGATGAAGTTGCTGACAACTCGGCCATCGTTCACGTGCATCCTCGGTCCGTAGGTATTGAAAACTCGAGCGACTCGCACTTCGACATTCTCTTGCTTTGCATAGGCATAGCACAAGGCTTCCGCTACACGCTTGCCCTCGTCATAGCACGATCTTAAATGAAGGTAGAGCCCGCTTTTATCATGGGCATCCGAGGAGTCAATCTAAGAAATAGTAAAAATCTAAGAAGAAGATTTGGGAAACCCAAATCGATCGGAGCGGTAAAACTAGAGACCGCTCGAAGACAACGATTACAGTTATCGATCCGAACACCCCACCTGGGCCCGATGGGATTGACGTGTCCCCAGTACTCTTCCGGTTGGGGATGAACTTCAGGATCGCCGTAGACCTCCGACGTGGACGTGATAAGTAGCCTCGCCCCGACACGCTTCGCCAATCCCAACATGTTGATAGTCCCTGAAGGAGTTCGTGAATAGAAACTCAGTGTGAGCCCCAGCTATTGGTCTCCTGGCTCGACAAAGTCAGATAGCCTTGATCTCATTCTTAGAATGGTTTCGGGAATGCGCCGACTCACCGAGGGTATTCGTCTTAATCGTCTTCACTGGATTAAGCATGTAATGCGGAGGCGACGCCGGTGATGCCAACGAATAAATTTGATCGACCTCGAGAAATAGAGGGTTCACGATATCATGATGAATCATCTCAAAATTGTGGTGTCCTAGCCAATGGGCGACATTGCGTTTCGATCCGGTGAAGAAATTGTCCACAACTGTGACCTGATGTCCTTCCTGCATCAGGCGGTCGACTAGATGACTTCCAACGAATCCTGCACCTCCTATGAATTCAAGGAGGAGCTTCATAAGTAAAATCGTCGCGTATCGAAACTCGCTCTCTGCGTCTATGACTAAACATCTGACATCATATCCGAGGTCTCTTGCTCGGCTAGTCGGCTCGTTCTCCACGGCTTCCACATTATTCCACGTCGGGAGGCATAACGCGCGCGCTCCATAAGTCAATCTGTCCCCGAAGTGCCGTGACACGACGTCGCGCCGTCTTGTCATTCTCTCCCGTCTTCGCGGTAGTCAAGAGTTTGAGAAGAGCTGGCAAACTACTGCGCGTGGTTACCAAGCAACCTGTTGCGCCAAATTTTTTGACTCAACTACGCTGAACCATATGGTCATCGGACAAAGCTGGCTGCTCCCGGCGGATGGCGGCTCACATTTTCCCCGAGACGACAACACGCGCCATCCCGCCAATGCGGAAGTCGCTCAAGCTGAGTGAGAACATGTTGATATGAGGGGCAAGGAAAAGACTCCATCACCGACATGGTCTCGCCGATGCCACGGAACTATAAGCGTCGGTGGTATAGTGGTGAGCATAGCTGCCTTCCAAGCAGTTGACCCGGGTTCGATTCCCGGCCGACGCAGCTTTTTTAGGAGCTCCGGTCGGGGGATTATTCCAGTGACTTTTGCTGATAACGGCCTATTCTCCTCCGCAGTATTGTCCGCTGATGATGCTCGGCGACTGTGAGAGCATTTTTGTAGCTCTTATCCGGCTGTCGCCCTGGAGACAGGTCAGCGCGACACTCGTTGAGTTCCGAGCTCAACACAGTTCTTCCATATCGGATATCCATCAGCCCTTCCGATTGTGTTAAGCCGCGGCTTGAACCCCGAAGAACGAAGACTCGGTGGCGCAACGGTAGCGCGTCTGACTCCAGATCAGAAGGTTGCGTGTTCAAATCACGTCCGGGTCATGCTTTTACCCTGGTCGCCAAAGCTTGAGTGTTAGCTGAAAATCAGAGCATGGAAATCCGAGAGATCGCCGGACTTCCCTTGGTTCTGGGAATTTTCAATCATCCCATCAAAATTGGATCCCAGACGTCCTGGGAATCTGCCGAGAGTTTCCTCCTGGTACTGTGGGATCGTCGTGGAATCTGGTGATCGACCAGGTCTCCGGTCTTTCTGTGAATCGCGTGCTCTGTTCCACTCGGACTTTGGCAAGGCGAAGAGCGGAGCCTACTTGCCCTTTCAGGTTTTCGAACTTATCAAACCGGAATCGCATCCCTTCCTCCGTCAACCGGGCATACGTCGCAAGAAGAAACGCTCACCGGTTACTAAAATCCTTCTCTTGGCGGTCAGAGGCAATTCCCGAACATTCGGGTACGGTTTCATCCGCGAGCTTTTTTCCAGGTCGTGGATCCGGTTCTCCAGATGGCGAATTCGTTCTTCTAGCGATAGGATGACAGATTCTTCCTTGATTCTGCAAAAGGAACGAAATTACTCGTCCTTAGCACGAGGCTCCCCGGCGTGAGTCTCCCCAATGACCGGCTCCCACTCGGGGCAAAAATGCCAAAGTCTCGATCTATTCCCCGCTATATCGCGGGAATTCCGTCTCCCTGGAATGTTCTACCGAACTTACATTTTGTTCGCGGTGGATGACGACGGTCTATCGAATCCATGCGCTCTCACAGCTGATTGAGCCGGAGCGGGCTGAGGGAGTTGCGCGGAGTCCGCCAATTTCTGGTAGGTCAGGAGCACTTACGGGGAAAACATTCGCGCTCAGTTAGCTTGAGAGAAGACGGGATCGATCGGGTCAAGCATGCCAGAGTCTTTGAGTCATTGGAAGAAAAGACTCTTCGGATGTCGAGCTCGAGGAGGGGAGGAAAAATAACTCAGAGAACTCCTGTCCGTGTCCGGGGAAATTGTTCCCGAAAAGATGTGAGAATCCCTGATCTCGATTCACGCTCTGCTCACCGATGATGATGGCCGCGGAACAGCCAGAGAAGTATAAGAACTGCATCCTCGAATTTCTCCTAGGGAACCTCATCCGCTCGTGAAGAGTCGGTGCCGCTCAAGTCACAAAACTGTGCGCCACATGCCAATCGGTTAGTCGTTCGCGGTCACAATGACCGGAATGGAACATTTTTCGCAGCTGGGCGCCGCCATATTGAACCTCATAGCGCTCTGCAGCACCACCATCAGCACTGGCTCTGCCCTCCCCCTTTCCGGTTAAAGCATGAGCAAATGACCAGCAATGAAAAGGAGCAGCGACTGTTCTGAAATATGAGATCGATTCAGTCAGCGAGCTGCGCTCATTAAGCTACAGGGGTTGTTGTAGGTGACATGTGTCGGGGTGACCGAAGAGTCGAGTCCTGTACCCTACGCCAGTGGTTCTCAAACTTTTTCTTCCACGCAACCCCTACGGGTTCCGCAGGTAGACTTCGGGGTTCCGCGCAATCCGCCACCCAGTTTGAGAAACACTGCCCTACGCTATATCAGGGACAAGGGCCGATTCGGTTGTTCCAACGGAAAGATTGCCCGAATCTGCCATGAAGCTGCCGATTCAGCGCATAAAATCTCAGAGTAGCAAATGTTCATATGCTCTGTATGATTCATTATACAACTCTCTCGGGGCCGCGAGCCTTGTCTGCGACGGTGAATAATTTCAAAGTCCGGAAATTTCGACTCCCTGTTCGGAGTCTCGACGAAGGAAGCCGGATATCCTATATATATAATATTTGATTCGAACGATGCCGACGACTCCTTCAGGGCATCGATTCGATTAATTCTTTCCCCCGGATTTTTCGAACCTTCGAGGACCCTCCACGGACAGGATCGGGAATGCCCGTCCGATCGTGATCTAGCTCGCGCTAAGCGCTTCGGCCGACTTGCGTGGTGACACGCGGGCCAGAGGTGAGTGAGCCCGTGGTGAGTGTATCCCCTCATCTCCGGAATCTATCAGAGAACTCTTAAACGCTCTGATATAGGAAGTCTCGCGTAGGAGTCTCGCTCGCGACTTGCGAATGAGCATCGATAGCGGTATCGTTCTCCAGTATCATTCTGACTCCGATTCCAGCTATCCCTATGAAAATTGCAGGTAGGTACATCTGGAATACTAATATTCTCCAGTTCCTCGTTAATCTATACACGAGGAGAGGCGCGATAGAAGCTAAGGGACCAGTCCTATTTCACATGTTCATGCTGGAATCGAATCCGATTAGTTCTAAGAGTTCTCGAAGACGCTGCTGCGCGTAGGAAATGAGCATTCTCGAGGACATCAGCAAAGCAGTACTTCCGGTGAACGAATTGAATTTTTCGTACATGATTCGACGGTAGAGTCAAGACAAGAAAAAAAATTTCTCAGCTCCTATCTTCACTGGATGTTCCCGGAATAGCGACATTACGTCAGTCGCGAACGCATTTTTTGATGCTCATTCATTTCACCAGCAGAAATAAGCCATTATAAGAGCTCACTTATTCCCGACCCAGAGCTGAGGACTTTTTGGCCGATATCTTTTGATCTCTTGGTATCTTTGTCTTCTCCGGAGTGGCGTTGATGGCAGGACGATTCCTCTGGGGCGGCCTATCTTGATCTAGTAGAGGCGAGAGGTTATCGGATGGCCCGGCGAACCTTACAGATCCGACAAAAACTGGATGCAGACCTCCATCCGAAAGAGAGAGATTATTCAGATGTCAAAACTCGAAAATCGGCAGACTTTCACCTCCGAACATTAGAGGGTTTTCGCGAGCTTATAATGCACCGAACCAGTTGCATAATGACACCGATACATAATTTCGAGGCCGCACTCTGTAGCTTCATCAATCGACGCACCGGGTGAGTCGAGTTTATACAAAGTGTCGAGCAGGAGTGGGAATGAACTTTCCGCGACAACTCTCTGCCTCCGCAACGGCGTTAGCGGAATACTCTGACGGGGCGAACACTGCTATTCGGTACACTTCATGCGAAGATTTGACGATTCGGATCGAGTCCTCGCAGTGGGTCTCACTTGAGGTGATTCTATCTCGCATGTACCCAGTCAGACCCCAGTGAAAACATGCTGATCAACTTCTGACGTGTAGTGAACTGGAATAGTTTATCTCGACTCGAGCTTCTCATTTTTACATAAACAAGTGAGGTATGGCGCAGCGAGGCGCCAGACGAAGATCTATTGGTTTCTAGCCTGCGCTCGTGCTTGGAAATCAGCGATTCTGCTCTCAACGATAGGTCTGAAATGGCGGATCAAGCCCTGGACCGGCCACGCAGCTCCGTCTCCAAGAGCGCAAATAGAATGTCCCTCTATCTGCTTGGAAATCTCATAAATCATATCGATTTCTTCCACTCTGGCGTCACCTGTAAAAGGACATGATCGTGAGGACTCGACGATTCGGAGAAGTTGCCCTTCTCCTTGAGATGAGCTACACATGTATCATGATAGTGAACAGCACGAAGGCAATCAAAGATTCAGAATCTCGAACGTCTCCACATCAAGAGAACACAAACCTCTGACGAAGCGTTCCATGATCTTGTTCATCCATCCCACTCCCTCTCGACAGGGAGTGCACTGGCCGCATGACTCGTGCTTGTAGAACTCGATGAGACGGTGGATGGCTCTGATTATATCGGTCTGTTTATTCATCACGATGATTGCAGCTGTTCCAAGACCGGTCTGAGCCTCCACGAGGGCGTCAAAGTCCATGAGTACGGTATCGCAAACCGATTTCGGAATCACGGGCGTGGACGATCCGCCTGTGATAGGAGAATGTCTATTTGGTTCATCGTCGCTACTTATCATTTCCCAATGAGCTTTGAATTAATGAGCAGCGTCCTCTAGTATGGGCACCACCCATCTCAATGATGATGATGATGATGGAATCTAATTCTCAGGGGCGCCATTCGAATCGTAGAGCGGATCGCATACCGGGAATGACGCAGAGCAGGTTGTCCCATCCGCCGATCACTCCTCCCGAGTGGCGTTCGATGAGCTCCTTGAGCGGAATACTCATCTCCTCCTCGACAGTGCACGGACTGTTGACGTGGCCTGATATGTTGAAGAGCTTCGTGCCGCTATTGCGGGTTCGTCCGAAGGAAGCGAACCAGGCACCTCCTGAGGAAGGAAAACAGTTCAGAAAATAGGTACCGCTTCCATGCTCACAGAATAGCTTTCGGAACTCCAGCCGCCTGAATATTGGATAAGGAGATCTTCACGCACCTCTGCGGCATATGGTCGGAGCGACAGCGACCGTCTCAACGTTGGTAACAGTAGTCGGACATCCGAAAACACCGACGTCGGCGGGGAAGGGGGGCTTTAGCCGGGGTTTCCCTTGTTTGCCCTCGAGGGATTCGATAAGAGCAGTTTCCTCTCCGCAGATGTAAGCTCCTGCACCACGATGAACGTAGACGTCGAAGTCGTAGCCGCTGTTGCATGCGTTCTTCCCCAGGAAACCTGCTTGGTAGGCTTCCTTGACTGCGATTTGGAGATTCGACGCTTCATTGTAAAATTCTCCACGGATGTAGATGTACGCCGCTCGGGCGCCCATCGCCCTACCAGCGATGAGACACCCTTCGACGAGGGTATGCGGATCGTGACGCATGATCTCTCGATCCTTGCAAGTGCCAGGCTCTCCCTCGTCCGCATTGACGACCAAGTACCTAGAATCCCGCAGAGAGCATGAGCAGTCAGCTCCGCTGTTTCCATGTATCGTTTGTTCATCGAGTCTCTCCCCTTCACATTCATGCCACCGCCAACCTTGTGTACCATATACAGACATCGAAACTATATGCACATGTACTTGTTTTCCCTCCTAGGTCCTATGCTATGTATAAGAAGACCGAGCGACCCGGAATACTCACTTTGGGCGTCCGTCAGAAGGCTTATTCATGAAGCTCCACTTCAAGCCCGACGGGAAACCAGCACCTCCCCGGCCTCTCAATCCCGAAGTCTTCACTTCATTGATGATCCACTCCGATCCCTTCTCGACAATTTCCTTAGTCTTGTACCTGCGGGGTTAACCACGAGCATTGAATTGCTGGCTCTGAACGTAGTCCACACCTGTGGATGGAACGATTCGCGAGGGAGCACTGCAATATTCGAGATATTATGGAGATCCGTACCAGTCTCCTCGGGACATGGCACCCTTGAGACGCCAGTCGTGACGTCCATAGAGGTTTTGGAAGATACGGTCCTCATCCTTGAGAGGTCCTGAAGTCGGAATTCACATACTGACAACGCAGTCTTGTCTCTCCACGTCTCCACCATACAACACCTTGACATTATAGGTACTTGAAATTGATACATGTACTACAACTACGATGAGTACGAATGCTGTAGGTTCCAAAGAGGGAACTCGACCGTCAACAGGTCAGTGAAGAGTTCAGGCTACATCTTGCGCCAAATGACGAAAGTGCAGTAATGAGCGCAGTGGGTATGTTCGGGCTCGTTGCCGAGCCATGTCACGGTCAGGTCGAAACGGATCTCGCACTTTGCAGAGCTCGATTCGTCGACCTCATGAGCTCGCAGAGTCTCATAGGGATCCTGAGCAACCCCCTGTTTTCACTTCGCCGCTCCACTTTGACTGCCGCGATGCTCCGGCTCTAGTCCGGTACTATGCACTCACCGAATTTGGTTTTTGTCTGCGGCGGAGGTGTTCCTGGGGGAGTCGCGGCAGACGAGGAGAAGGTCCTCAGAGATACACGGAGGGCCCCGTTGCAGCGCGGGAGCATCATCTGTTCACTTGTTCCAAAAGTCGAGCACCCTTCTCTCGTCAGTTGAATGGAGGTTAAGGAGAGACAGCTCCGCAGCGGTGGCGACCAATACAAACAAGACCCGGACGACGGACCCGTGACCGCGAAAATTTGAAATATCGCGTCAGGCGGCGAAACTTGCAGCGTATTCGGAATCAATCAGCAGCGTGTGTTCAAATGGTCTTTGCGTATTTATTTCTTCCTGCAACTCCCTTCAAGAGCTGGGTTCGGTCTTGGCTCTTAGTTCTTCCCGGAGAGTTTCACCGAAGCTCGATGCCTTCGTCGTACGTTTAGCGCGCCTGTGACGCAAACAGCCCGGCCAAGTATCGATGTCCTTGTTTTGACGTATATTCATCAGAACATATACCTTCGGAACAGTTTTTGCAAAATTACTGGCGGGTCGTTCAGAATGGTGAAGGGTCCCACGAAGTCTAGTTCGACCCTCTCAAAGGGCTGTCGAGGTGGAGTCACCGAAGACTCCAGGACGTACCTAAACGGTAGGAAGCTCACACTCCATACGGACGATGGTACGCTTGAGAAGTAGGAAAGAATCGAAGGGCAGAACCGCCAGCCCGCCGGAGACTGAAGCTCTCGGAAATTATCCAAGACTAGGGGCTCCAGAGCTCCTTGTTGCCAGACTTTCCGCTTGAAAGCGAAAGCTCATAATGACAAGCGTCGGTCGTACAGCTTACCATGCAACCTCGTACGTTACGGTCATCGGAGTAGAAACTGCCGCAATGTGACGTGCGAACCAATCCGGTATCCACGGTCAGAGTTCCGGAGTCGAGCGCATAGGTCCGCACAACAATCATCTCACCGGAGTCTTCTGCTGGAGACAATCGAGATGTTCGCCACTGGTTCGAATGGAGTGCAGGTGAGGGACATATGAGTGCTCGCAATCCACAGACTTTGCTCGGCGAGCTCCCCTCCCGTGGGAGATTTCGAGCGGATCTGCCTTTACGCACCGACGAGGAATAGAATGAGCAGAGACTTCGGGTTCGGAGTTGCTCCGAAGGCCCCGAACTGCTTCATCCGGGCAGGGACTTTTCACCAGAGAGCCGTATAAGAATCGAGTGCTTCGTGGTCCCCATCTCATGACTCGTTTCTATGCACCAGATTTTTCGGATCTTTTGATCGCTTCTGAAGCGCCGCGGAAGCACATAGTCCCCTCGTATCCATTGGCTTTAACGGAGAGAGTGTCAGGGGCCATTATCCCGAACACGGAGAAGGCTCAAATGTGTGCAATGGTGAATTCCCTCGTCAAGCCTCCGTAGAATCGATTCCTATTGAATTCTTAGTCGTCCAGCCGATTCGAGGAGAGGAATGAGGAAACGATGGACTTCATCGCGCAGACAATTCATCTGCTACGGCAGGGTCTCCCTGAACTCCTCCGACTGGAATCAGCAATTCGTGATGTAATCCCAATGTTATTCCTGATTCCCGTCGTCCGGATAGGAAATTCGTTGCGGCGACCGAACACCCACCGAACGAGAGAGACCGCTCGTCAAAGGCCACTCCCTCTAGCATCGAGTCGCATATTACTCATCAGCAAGAAAGCTCGTTCCTTGTTTCTGAATGATTCAGCGGCACCGATCGCAATACTGAGATCTGATCCCAGGGCCAGGACGATTTCCAAGCGGTGCCACCTTCATCGAGGATCACGACGTAAAATATCGAGTGAAGCATACGAGTCAATGATTTTGAGATTGAAGCTTCAAAAGCGTACACTTGGAGCTCCCCGCGGGACGAACAGCACCAGCAACAGATTCCGGTGTCGGCCACGGCTGCTCGACGGGAGTGTTTGAATTTCCCAACGCCTGCACGGCTCTCGACTCGGACATGGTGTCGCTCTTTGCCTTCGCTTTACTCTGCTCACGTCGCAACACCGCGTTTCCTCGGCGACGGAGTTTGGGATTCCTAGTGGGTCGGGAAACAGGATGCTTCCAGAATGAACGACTCGGGTGTCGGAGATTACGTCGCGCGACTCGACTCTGCGTCAAGCCACGTACAAACCGGCATGAGACCATTATGAAGCTCCCGTTGAAGGCTCCGACGAGTCGCGTCCGAAATGCATGCTGTCTGTCTGTCTGTCTGTTTGTCTGTCGGGAATGACATGCTCCGAATCTCCTCAGAATAGTTACAAGTGAAGAGGAGCTGGATAAACAGATCTTCCAGAGCAGAGCTGCTTCCCAGCCGTCCGAGGAAAAAAATCTGGTGCTGAGTGATTTCGGATATAAAATTCCGCAGTCCCGAACGGTACGCCCCGAATTCTCGGGCGATATGTTTTCGTGGGAGGTCATCGGATGACTTGCGTCTCTCGGGGCTCTCGGTCGCTCGATAAGGCCCACGATCATCGGACGCTTACGATGGCATCGGCCTTCGTACAGATGCTGCAATCAAGCTCCTGAGTCATTGCCGGATCCCCATTGTGAGGGCTACCAGCCAGATAACCCGGCTTGTCATAGAGACGTTAATTATCCGACGTACTCATCCTTTTCCGTCCTACTCGATTGCACTCGAACGACGCCGCTAATGAATGATAATGGGATTGGATTGTTGATAGTGGTTCCTCCGGAGCTCATGTGTCATTCTCCACGACACGCTCACCTCGAGGCACCGCGCGTCATGAATAGGAGCACTACATTTACGCTTTGCAGGTTCCATATGCACATCATTACCGGGCCCCGCTCCGTGGATTGCGAATCTCAGCTCGGCAATATGCTCTCCGAGATTGACTACGAATGTATATTTCCACATTCCTTCGAGGGAATCTTCGGAATTCTTCTGCGCGGAACCCGGAGCCGGAGTTTGGGCTTCGTCAGACGAAGGACCGTCCCCAATTTGCTATTCGAGCGACTGCTCTCAGAATTTTTTCATGCTGTGTATCTACTGATGAGACGACCCGCAGACATAGGCCGCATATATGATGAGATCATGTTCTGAGAACATGACAGAAACAATTAAGTACAACCTGGATGACGTGAGCTCTGAACGATAATTCTGCTGAGATAAGTGTTCCGAGTGCTGAGAGAATCTCTCTCGCCAAGATAGTCCGATTCTCTCGCGAGCCGTCAGAAACATCCCTTCAGGGGCTCATGGCATACTTCCAGCAAAGCAATGAACTCTCCTTGAGAATCTCATTCGGTCAAAGGATCGAGTTCTCCGCTCGCTCCCAAGAAGATTCCCTGAAACGGGCGAAATGCGGAAATTGATTTATTTGAGTCGACGAATGTTGCCGGTGAGAGATCGTGAGTTGCGTGCCTGCGGGCTTTTCCACAGCCCTCTGGAAACTGCCCCGTTTCGTCTGGTCTATTTCCGGCGCTCCACAAGCTGGCCAGTCCGCGGGAACGTCAGGGGCCCGCCCGTCGGGTACAATGTCTTCGGGATGCCTCCTATGCCGGAACCCGAATCTGAATTCGCCTCATAGGCTCCAGATTCTCTCGATATGTATCCGTTTCTTCGTCTGTCTCGCGCATTCCTATCGCTCACTTGCTACGGAGCTCGACTATTGATGAGATGGAGCGCGTGTTCAGATTATGAAATTGCTCGATCATGGCGATTTGCATACCGACCCGTTCACGGAACGTGATGGGCTGTGAAACTGGTACAACAGCGGCGGCGGCATACTACTCCGGGCTGATCTCATGCATACGCTCGCGTCCAATCCGAGAATGAAATTTCGAGAGGAGTACTAATGTCGCGGGGAAAATCTTCCTCGATTTGTGCTCTCTCCCCGATACCAGACCCTCATCTCTGGTGGTATTTCGATCCCCGTCGCAGACTCCGACGCTGGAGGCTCACCCCGTCGAGACTCGGCCGGGATCCTACTTTGGATGAGTCTCCATGGCTCCCAAAGCAGTTACTCTAATGACGACACGATGGCGCTGCGGAATCCTATTCCAAGTTGCGGTATGCGTCCGCGCTTCCGATCGAGAGCTGACTTCCTGGCTGAGCTTCGCACCCATTCTCCATCGGAACGAAGGGATCTGACTCTGCAGATCAATATCCAGCTCGACGTTTCTTCCCTGACGTATCCGGATACGCTTGCATTCGACGCCGAAAAAATAGCTCGTGGTAATTTATTCTTGACCGCGAGAATAATGGTGTGTCTCTCCGACCGGAACTTCGAAACCTACCCGTGACCTTGGGCTTCCGAATGTGAATCTAGAATGCTGATGAACGATTCCATTCGAAGCTCTCTTGGAAGTAGAAAGGGAACAAGCGGACCTGCTCTCGCAAACAAGTCTTCTGTAAGGAGACCCGGAATCCATTTAGTGACTGAAATAGTTAGCAGACCTCTAGGAAGAAGGAAGAGGCGTAACTCGATATTGATGGATTTCGCAAGGGTCAAACATCATTAGACCCGCAAGACGCCGAGGAGAGGAGGGGCATGAGCTGCTAGACGCTCAGTACGAGGGAGCCGAGAGAGTTCGGGTCCCGCACAATAAGTATCAAGTCCTAGAGACCCCTGATTCATTGGATGGAAAAGTCCACGTCAGCTTTCTCAGCAAGTGAGTTCGAAGAATATTCATGAGTGAGTCTTCCCCAAAAAAGATTGAATATTCCGACCTCAGCGTCGCCCAATGGTATGGCCCAGACTTACCCTGAGAGTATCTGTGATCTGAGAGTTGGGAAAGAAAGCGTCAACCAATACCTCTTGCAGTGCCAGAACAAACTGGAAGATTTGTGAGAAGAATATCGTCCGGGTCGGTTCCCCTCCAAGCATAGATTTATCCATGACTCACGGATAGGTTCAAGAGCTGGCGAAATTCTCGCTCCCGAGGACTCGACGCGATACCTCGACCCACAGCCTCGATCAATGAGGTCCTGTGGAGGATCCTGGAGGATGGTGAACTGAGGTGAGAACTCGTCAAATCTCTAGAGATGAGGCGCCGACAGTCAGTTTCGGATCCTGTGTCTCTCTCGATGTTCCCTGAGATTTGCGGTTCCGCACCGGGGTTCTATGGAACGGTGCCATTTTCTATCGATAGCCAGCAGTACTAAGAAGAACCCGGTATGCTGATATAGTTGCATGCCTTACCCGGAGCCATCATCACAGCGGAAACTCCGAAAAATGAGTTAGTCGCGGTAGGAGTGCGACCGCTGATACTAACAATTAGGTAATAACAAGCTTGGCGGGGAATCAACAATTCGTCGTCTACAGGTTCATTGCTAATTATTGGAGAACATGAGGAGAGCTAGAGAGTGCCTTTCAGGAAACGTAATAAATATGCGTCGATGAACTCCCGGAAGTCTGGCCATGGCTGCGCTCGCAACACGACCGAGAACAGGAAATAAATGGGGCTGTTGAATTCCGGCCGGATCGTTCACTGTTCCAAAAAGTATTCAGGCCGGCTCGATGTCAGGAGGGTGCCTCTTTCGACACCGATACCTCTCCGATTTGGAGCACAACAGCCTCAACTCGAGAAAATCCCGATCGGGGAAGAGAACCCGAATCCGGAAATTAGCCATAATCGAATAGATTTGGAATCTAGGGAAGCAGGGCGTGTCTCGGTGTTTCCTATTTCACCTGGCTGTCACCCGGAGCTCTAGGGGAGTTTAATTCCCGTATTCCGAGGAATTGCAGCAGTCGCGACCTCACGCTGCTACTCATGTGTCAACCTGGTAGACTTCGGTGACGGCTCGCGTGTTGGAGGCTTTCAAACAGAATCTGCTGTCGCTGACCTAATTAGAACTTATGTTCATTGGCTCCTGTAGGGCTGACGTTGAAGAAGCTCGGGGAGAAACTATTGCGTGGCACGACGGCCGAGGCGGATATTGACCTCAACGAACTCGTTCTGACCCTCGTGCGGAGTGGAGGTCGCCCTCAGTCATATGAGGACTCCTCGAGGCGGAGCGAAATCAAAAGTATTTTTCTGAGCTGACGAGCGATGCTTTATTTCTCCGTCCAATTTCCAAAGTTTCGGGAAGACCGTGGTCGAATCGATCGCTGCTGCTCGGGATCTACTCTCGTATCTACACATACATCCTATATATTTCTTCATATAAGGCATATTGATGATACTTAGAAATTATATTGTATTCATTAAAATAATCATTATGCACCTGTATGTACATAAATATCATCATTACCGACAGGGCTCGATATCCAAAGTCTCCGAAGCCCTTCTGGGGAATTTATCTGTAGCCATCCGTGTGAAGAACCATCTGTCCTGAATATTATTTTAATGAATGTCTAGTTTGAACTCAATAAATGGGCTCCGCTCACATGTACTAATATTACCGCCATTTTCATCCCTAGCTCCGCAATCCGAAACCACGCTACTGCTGTACCTAAAGCCTTGCATTTCAGAACCCCATTCTAGAAACCCTCCGATTCGGCAGACGCAGAAGATGCGCTGTCCAAGAAACTCTCGATCTCCGAACCTCATTCCCGCCATTCGACCGGAGAGTTTCCGGGACCGCTGGGTACAAATTAAATAATCTCTGATCATCATGAAAATTATTTCCTCTTTTGGTCCTGATCCTTATTCCTGGTCGTCCTTGCCGTCCTTGTCTTCGTCGCTCTTGGAATCATCGATTCCTTTGCCGAAAGCGGGATTTTGATAGACAGAAGAAGATCCGATCGAGGAATGATGTTGACTGTTCTCCCCGGGGAAGTACGTAGTTCCTCCGCTGCCCGTTGAGCCTGAAGCTGATGATCCGCTGAACCTGTTGAAAGCCGAACCGGCTTGGCTCGCGCTGAAGCTCGGTGAAGAGCCGGAGTAAGCGGATGATCCTGTGAAGGATCCCGCTGAGCTTCCGTAAGGAGATCCTGCCCCAGACGAACCGAAAGAGGATCCGGTCCCAGATGATCCGAAAGAGGATCCAGTTCCAGATGAGCCGTAAGCGGATCCGCCACCAACAGACGGGCCGAAAGCCGTTGCGGTCGAAACCGAACTCAAGCCTCCGAGCCCGGAGCCGCTAGAGAAAGGCCCATAACTTCCCTTAGAGCCGCCTGTTCCAGAGGCTCCGACGAGAGCTGCAAAAGTGAATGGGATACTCGATTAGGCGAATCCTGAAATCTGTAGTGGGAAGCCCGAGAGAGCGCGCGGAGGGGCTCGAACACTTGTCGCCTCTCAGAGCCGACTCGGGTGTCGATTGACGAGCGGAGCGACCTTCGGAGCCCTCGCACGGCGACGCCTCATTTATTGGAGATTGTAAATCCGAACGGCGAAGTAAAAAGCTTTTATAACCACGCTGCTCGGAGATTGTATCGGTATCATTCCGCTGCCGAGTCTCATATAGGTCCCGATATCGAGATAAATTTGCGGAGAGGAGCACCGCGTAATTTTCATATTCTCGCCCCGGGGAAAACCCTCGCAGATCTTCGGAGCGTCTCGCGTCTGCCGAATTCAAGAGTTCCAAGTGGAAAGAGTTGGGACGCTTGATTGGACAGAGAATGAGAGAGCGGAGAATCCGCAGCGAGACAAGCTGTCAGCGGGAGTTGGGCTCCCTCTCGTGGCCCGGGAAACTTCCGTCTACCCTTTACCAGATCAAAATGACTATTGATGCCTCCAATCTCCCTCGTTGACATCACAGTCGTATCCGGGGCGGGGGCTTTCCTCTCCCCGTCCGGGCAGTCTGTGGGGAGCGTTTCTGCGAGGCTTCGTCTCGAGGTCGTGACTGAGTGCTTGGTGAATCGTCTCTGTGGACGGCTACACTGATGTCGTGTCGTACGATCTAAGTTAAGACCCAAACGTGTTCACGCACCGTCTGCCGACCCCACGACCGACCGCACACAATGGGAACACATTCACGGAGCGGGCTCGGTGAGCTCACGGGAAAACTCTTTTTTCGCCTTTTTCGCAACGTTTTTCGCGGGCTAGGTCTCCTGGCTGTGGGAGGAGAGACACGGCGGAGCGTAATCTGCATAGACGCTCCGCATTGAAGTGAGTGAGCTCACCTCGGCGAACTCATTGTCCCAAAGGGAAAAAGAAGGCTCCTCTATTATTATCATCATCTCCATTGTGCCCACAACGGGGGAAGGCGCCCGAAGGAACGCGTTTCGCGCTTAGGTGTCGGCGTCGGGGACGGTACACCGTCATTACAATCCGTTTCAGGCGGTGAATACTCTCCGCGTACGTCAACAGAGTTGGCAAGCGATTCGAACACGGCTGGAGAAAAACTCACTCGAGAAATCGTACTGGGCCTGACCGGAGCTGGGAAAGGCGCCAAACGAGCTAGGAACGACGCCCGACGAGCCGAATCCCGGGAACGATGCCGAAGATGGGTATCCGGATCCACCGAAGCTTCCTGATGGGGGCTGATGGAATGCGGGGGGATGTTTGTTGGTGCGCCTGAAAACGGCCGAACAAATTTATTCCTATGTTTTGCATGTGCACGCCCGCGCGCGTAACATGTGGGTGGATCATGACCCGGATCAGAGGTCCGGGTGAGTTGGTCCCTGCTGAGCTTGACTTTGGGGGATGGAAGTCGACCATGACAGGCGCTCGTAAAACCGCAAGACGACCGACGCATAATAGTCTGTCCGCCCTGCCTCTCGTCATCGGACAGATGGGCAGTCGAGAAATCTTCTCAGAGGGCAGAGGACACTCACCTGAAGAACAACGAGTTCATGAAGTTCCTGAATCGGGACGAGATAGTGGTTTTCTGGTTCGGCTTGAGAGGTCCACCGGCACTACCAGGCTGGAGGTAGTTGGCCAATTGGTTGTAGTCGCCATGGTAGGTGATACCGTAAACGGAATTCAACGCGTTGTAAGGGGGCTGGTAGGAACCGCTGCAACGGAACATTAAGAAGAGATTGTGAGGTTTCGACACGAATGGGTACAATCTCCCCGGATGGAAGCCCCGGGAGGAGTAACGCGAATCAGACGTCGCGATTAGAAACAAGAGGAAGGGGGCTGGCATATGGGTGAACTTTTCTTTCTCGTCTCCATACCGGATATCGTAGTCGATAATAATTTCTGCGCATTGCCTTCTCCGAAGAAAAGATTCCAGAGCGGAGCTATTCGCCGCGTTTGAGTTCCTCCCGTATCACAGTAAATATCGGGAGAAGAGTTGCGTTGCTAGGAGCTCGGTGGATTTTTTTGGTCATCCGTTTTTTTTCCGTCGGCCCCTCCGTTGCCGATCGCTCGGTTCGTCGCTTGGTGCAAGGGCTGACGGAATGGCCATACAGGCTTCCTCTCGTTCGTCTTTCGTTCATCGAACTCCCCCCAGCCGACCGCACGGACATTTGGTGAGCTCCGGGAACCCCCCGCTTGGCATCGATCCAAGCAGAGTCGACCACCTGACTGGCTGTATATCGCTACTGGAGAGGAATACGCCAGTAGTCGACCAGTTGAGATTCTTTGTGTACGAAGGGTCTACCGACCCCGAGAAGCCGACCGACTCAAATCAGAGCGCGCGGACACTCTCGAAGGAGAGTCGAATAAGTCATGATGTTTTTCAATCGGGAGAAGTGGGACCGAGGGAAATGTTCCTGACTTGCCCTGTTCGACGATTCGACGACGACGAGGGAGCCCGCCTGTTCGTAGCTCCTGACAGTTATTGCTCCGGCCTATTTTCCGACCGCCCCGGAAAGCATGAATAAAATAGAATCGATTTTGAACGCATATGTATGTTTAGCTTCCCGGCCATGGCTGGCCTAGACGCGAGCTTCGGTGGATTCGGTCGAACAGAAGAGACGTCAAATGCGCATCAGCGCTCGGGAATTTCTTGATACGACTCTCGAGATCAGTCGCGGCGAAGACGCCGAAATACGTCTTACCACGGAGTTACGCCTATTGAGGATGGGGACCCTCCCTCAGGACTCGAACCCGGGATCTTCTCGACCGTGAATCGAGAGTGTTTTTGAGTTTGGAAAATATTGATGCGGCGACAATGCCGATGTCGACTCAGCTCAGGGCTCAGGGTGAGAATCCCGCCGATTACAACTTCTGTCTCGCTCGGGAAATTCGGAAGGGAAACTTCCATGGGCGTCGACTCAGAACTCTACGGTAATGGAAATCGGATAAGGGAGCAGGGAGGGGTCTCGCGATGCGAATATACGGTGACGTGTCGAGGCAGGATGAGAAACCAAAAGTCTCGAATTTCACGCCCGGATCCCATCCATTCCCCATGGGGGAGTTTCCTCTGCGGATTCGGCGACTTCACAGAGCTCATACCGCGCAAATCTCAGCCCTTGCGTGAAGGAAGTGAGTCGCAGTCGCTCCTCCTGCGACGCCCACGGCTTGCGGCGTGATGGATTAAGTGACTAGAATGAACGGGGCTCGCTTACTTTTGACGAAATAATACTTGATAGAAGTTCCTTACCTGCTCGCGCCCGACTGGAATCCCTGAGCGGCTGCAGATCCCCCACCTGTCGAGAAACCGAGTGAACTGAGCGAGGATCCCACGGCCTGCCGGAATGCGGCTTCATCCTCCTGGAGGTTCGGGACTTCGGAAGTCGCTGCCGGCGTGGACGCAGAAGACTTGAGAGTTGATTCGGCATTCGCTCCGAGCGTCGCCACGCAGACCGCCACGAAACAGGAGAAAGCCCGCTGGAAATATCAGAACTTACGGTCACTCATCATCGAGAGACGTTCATATGACAGACTGCTTTTCCTAATGGATTCAATGGCCGAGTCGTGTGCCGGTGTTCAAGCCTAACTCATCGCTCAGCAGCGACCGCCGCAGGAAGAGCGGCTGACGTCTCGGGGATTTGAGCTGTATGGAGCGACCGGGAATGGTGTATGTACCGCCACCGCCGCCACCATCACAACACCAAGACCTAGGCAGGCAGAGACGGACAACTTCGGAGCCGAATGGGAAAGAAGACGAAAGAGCGGTCCGTCACACCGCGGATTCGATACCCGATAATATTCTCACTTTCTCGATGTAACTTCGGCGAATGAATAGACGTGAGCGATAGTCAACTATTCCCTTGTAATATATTTCCCGACGTCGGTCGACGACGCTGACGTCATGATGGTAGCGGCGGAAAGACACGCGGATCAAGGAGATATTTCCCGGCTGAGATTCCAACAGAACTCCGGAGGATTTCCCGCCAGTTCGACTCGATGCGCGCCCGGCAACCAAACAACGAAAGCTACGGCAACAGGAGCATTCGTCTGGCGAACGCGCTGGCCATCGATCGATGACGCAAGCGCTGCGCAAAACGTCCCGAGTTCCCTCGAGGCTTCTATCAGAGCCGAGCGTGGAGCCCGCTCCGTGCTGCTTCAATTGCGTTTCCCTCGACGCAAACTCATTGCCTTAAGCAAGCGACGAGCGAACGCGCGAGGCAGCGAACGCAAGCCAACGGGACCGCCGTCGTCCGGACGGCCAGCCATAATCTCATTCAGAAACGATCCCAACAGCAATCGCATGCATTTTATTGGCTTGTCCCGCTCGTCGTCACCGAGAAAACGCTGCCGTCTCCGAATGCATTCGATTTCGAGGGCATATCGCTGTCGGCAGCCGATGAAGCCACGGCTCGAGGCTCACATACATAAATCTCAACGATAAACAAAAGCAAAGATGACCACAACTGTGTCAGCGAACACCATGGCAACAACATGTTGTTGTAATTGAGGTCGGGCAATATCTCAAGTGGATTTCCCATCGGCATGAGGCTCAAGCGACTCTCGGAAGGAGAACGTCGCCAGCAATTCCCCCGTCTCAGGAGGAAAGTCCGCACAATATTATTCCGCTCGGTAGCGGTGTTCGGTCGCTCGGCGCGGCCGCCGTCACGCTGCCGGTGGAGCCCGGCAGTCGGGAGTTAGCCAACTGCGTAGAGACAGAAAGGTCGGTTGATATAAAAGATTAATTTTCCTGCCGCACTCAGAGATGAACAGAACAAAAGCAGTGGAACAAGATCCGAAGACGCCACAAAAGGATTCGCAATGGAGAACAGCCTGAATCGCCGACGTCCAGGTCCGAGGAGGCTTAGCCCAGTTAAGGAAGCCCCGTGGAGATAGAGAGTGCACAGGTTCGCCGGTCTTGCTGTTGCATCGTCACCGGAGAAGACTGGGCGGAATCAAGACGGAAAACGAGATTTTTCTCCCGGTCAGCCGGATTAGCCTGAGGACCGCAGCAGCAGCCCATTCGCTCGAAGCTTTCGCTCGAATCTTGAGGATCAGCAGCGTCTCCCCCCCACCTTTGAAACGCGTTCGGCGACGAGGCAGAAAACACAAAGAAGAGGGAAGGTTCCACCCGACCCGTTTTTCTTTCGCCTTTTCGACTCGTTTCCTCATGCATGCTCTTCGGAGTTCACTTCTGCTCTGGATCCCCCCGCTCACTGATCAGTCAGATATCATTCTCCCTTCGACGATTCTTCGGACGGCAGGAGACTAGCGATATCAGAGCTCTTTGACGGATTCCGAGCAGGCACCGAGCGCCGCCGTCGACGACCCTGAGAGAGCACGATATAAAAAATTCATTCTCCCCGCTCACAGAGAGAGGAAATAATTCTACCCGGCGAGAAGCTGGAACAGGAGGGCGTAATTGGAACATGATTGACAATCCTCTCATACGCATTGACGGATCACCTGAACGTCCGTCGGTCCGCGCGTGGATCCTCCGCGGCTTTCCGCCCTCCTCCGTAGTTTTCGTCACGAAGGATCAGCCACAATTATCGCCGCTGTCCTGTCAGGCCCCTCGGCAAACGGAACCCACAACTCTTGCCTGAGCAGGACGACCGAAGCCGGGTCCAACCGCATTTCGAGAGAGAGGGAGAGACGCCGACGAAGAAACGTACGGACGAACGAACGCAAGCCGCAAGTAACCAACAAGCGACTAGCCACGGCAAAGTTTGTCACTTTGTCAGCTGCCAAGCCACGCGCGGTCCCCGCCTTTCGGTTGGAGAAAAGCGGAGCGGAAGCCAAGTTGCAGGACATCAGGAAAATAAATTCCTCGGTGGCGAATTTCCTGAGAAGAATACGGAGCGCAGGAGTCGCCATCAGGAAAAGCGTCCACGTGGCTACAGGTTGGCGTCTCCGAAATGAGAGCCCGCTCATCTGCTCGCAAGTTAGCTCAGCTTAGGCCCAGACTCATGGAGCAGGCTCGAGGCTTTTATTTCACGGTCAGGCACTATATTTTGGGCTTGTCTCTCTCGCGCGCTCTCTCTCTTCCTCTCTCCGCTCCGGGGCTATAAGACGTAGAAACTCTCGGCTTTCGAGCGAAGTCAGAGTTCTCCTAGCCTCGGACTCTTTACGCAGAGATGGGAAGGGTGATCCTCTGGATCAGGTCGACGTCTCTCTTAGCACAGGAAAAGCGATTTCGATTGGGGGAGACGTGACCGCGATTCTCGACGAACACCTCCCAGGACCAATGTTGTCGTGCCAAAGGGGTCGCTGTATGTAACTCATTACGCAAATGTGGTTCAAAAGTTCCAACGCGCGACTATCGACGGAGCTATAGAAAACAAATTGCTCTCGAGAAGAACAGCGCCGTCAGCAGCGGCGGCGAGACTCACTTCCCTCACGCAGAACGAGCTGATGCTCCAGAGATAACGAGGGAACGACGCGCAAGTGTAATGATGACGACGGGGACGAGCATGACAACAGAAACGAAAGGAGATGCGACGTCAAAAAGGAGTTGGTCGAAACGTTCCCGCGGTACTCGAGCGGAGACGTGGGGAACGAGCGAGGGAACGGAGCCTGCTTTTCCTCCGCGACGATTTTGTGTGTACCGCTTTCCTTTGCGTTTCCTTCGGTCGTCTCGTCGCGACTCGTCCAGTGACATATAGCGAGAAGCATTCCTTCCTTCACTCAAGCCTCTTTTTCCCGACACGTTTCCTTCCGTTGCAGATACAGCATTCAAACCGAGTGCTCGTCTTTTGTCCTCTCCGCCTCGGGGAACTCGCATCTAGTGTCGCAAAGCGCCGACGCGAGCTTTCTCTTAACAAGCCGACATTCAGTCGGAGGCCCGTCTGGAAAGTCAATGGCGGATACACTACTCTCCTCGCGGATAAGAACGCAACTGGAAGTTGCGCGTTATTCCTTTGTACGCGCGTGCAGCGACAGCATTCAGCTGCAATCAAGAAACTGTTCTTCCCGGGAAAATCCCCGAGGTTTTTCCAGAGACTGCGAAATTCCTCGCAGACCAGAGGTTTCCCCTCCATTTGACATCGTGGGCGTCGGGCGCTTCGGAGTTCGCGTATTCTCGGACGAGAGATTCAGGTGACGCTAAGATTCGTGCGGCGTCGTCCGGTCCCCGCGCGACCTCCACCTCACATGCCTGTACCCGGAGACCCATACGGTCGAAGAGTTCGTCGGTAAACGAAAACGGTCGGTAATTACGCAACTCTTTCGAACGTCGGCCAACTATCCGACTGACGGACGGACGGACGGACGGACGAAGCGACCTAGTCGCTCAGTCGGTGAAAGGCTCGCTCGCCTGCCCGCTTTTCGGGAGCCACCATGCCAACATCTGCGTCGAAAGTGGAGCGTCCCGAACGTGGACGGCGAGGGTAGGGGACGAGTTGTTTTATCAGGCAGAGGCATCGCTTCTGCTCGCGTCTGGGCCCCCGATAAGCAAACAGTGAGCCCTTGCTTAAGCGAGCAGCTAGGCTGGCCGGCCGGTCGGTGGGTCGGACGGCAGGGAGCCTGTAACCGCCTTCCGGTGGTGAGTTGGACCTCAGTCGGTCGCTCCCTACATGGGGCTGCTCCGGCTCGTGTACCTGTGTAGCTCGTAATCACCCCCAACGCCCCCAGGCGCAAGCGAAAACTACCGTCGGCGTCGATCCGGGAACAAGGCGATCCAAGACCAGGAGCGGGAGACGGCAACGTTCACCACGGCGGACCATCGAGCGACGCTCGAATTCGCTTCTATTGCTTCTCAGATCGCCTTGCTAAATGGGGTGTGTTGGTCGTGTCGGAATCAGATGGGCTGCGGTCATCTCAGGGGAGTCGTCACATGAGCCGATCCATTCGATGGGTTCAAAGTGAGCCGGTAAATTCAATGCTCCTAGGGAGCGGAGGTGTAGAATTATTCTGCCACGTAACGTAGGCGAGAAGACGAAAATAAAGGAAATAAAGGATGACGGGGAGAGACGCCATCCCGCGAGAGAGAACATTACCCCGAGCGAATCGAGAAGAGAGCCCACAGAACCAGGAGACCGGGTTGAGATGGAGCTATTATGGTTCCGGGAAGCATCGCTCGGGGCCCGACCGATAATCGATCCACCGTTGCGCTTGTAGCCGCCAGAGTGACTCACTCACTCACTCAGTGGGGTAGATGACTGGTTAGCGAGTTAGCTGCCTTATAACGACGTCACAATTTGGCTAATTACGTCTCTTACAGCCGGCCGATAAGCCGGCACGGTTTTTACGTTGCTTAGGACGAACAATGAAAACCACCGGTCGCTGATTACGCCGTTGTGCGCAGTGGCAACAGCATTCTCTCAGAGCCTGTTTTTTAGGCGGGTTTGGGCAACAGTATCAGCCTGACGGTACGGAGGCGGGTAGGAAATTTTGATGAGAGCTTGGAGAAGTTTCTCCTTTCGGAAACGGATCCGGTGACGCTCCCGCTATGTTTTCCGGGGAAAAGCCAACTTTGGGCGGTCGCAGATCGCGGAGCAAAAACGCTCCAGGATGGAGCCCGTGACCTCGTCGGCTGAAGTGTAAGCGACCGACCCGCTAGGCAGACGGCTTAATTCCAAACAACTTTTAAGCTCACTCCCTCGACCCACCGCGCGCTGAGGGTGCTTTTCCGAAGCGGGGAGACGCAATGAAAGGACTTCTCGATACTGGATACCGCCCGCCCGCTTTAGACGCTCCCTCGTCGTCCTCGAGAGCTCCGCAACCGCTTAAAATGTTGAACAAGGCTTTCGTCAAGTTCGACGTCGCGGAAGAGCGGGACCGAGAGCCGCTCCGATCGGGTGGAAAAACTTCGCGAGGTTCGGAGGGAGGAAGGAGGTGGAGACAAAAGGAAAGGATGGAGACCGCGAAATTTCTACTAGCCTTGGGGATGGCCGTGAGCGAGAAGCCAATCGAAAAAAGTAACTGAGACAATACAGGGGGGAAAATCGTAGTCTTGCAAATCTTCTTCTCGGCGGAAATAACGCTTGGACGATGGGAGCCTCCTCGATTCTCCTCTCGTTTGGGTACTCCTGGTGCTTCTCAAAGCTCCGGGAAGCCAGGTGAAGCGAATCCAGGAATATATCCATGGGATTTCGAATGGAAGCAGTCCGGAAATCAGCTCGGAACGGAATCGCCTCTTACAGGAGAATCCTGAGCTTCAGCGGAACCTAAGATATATATTCCCTTACCGCCCAATACAGGAGATCGGATTCTATCAGGCGAGGAACAAAAACAGTAAGAGAAGCCTCGCTTATCTCGAACGCCGCTGACCACTGATTAAAGGCCAGTTTTCACTCGGCGCTCCCCGCGTGTCGAGAGGAAAAAAACGAGTGAATACTTTTCGCCAAGATAGTCAGTAGAACCCGCCGGCCGAGTTTCGAACACCGCGTTCCGAATCGATCGAGGAGGTCTGCTCGTAGAAAATCATCCTGCACAGCAGATAGTGATAAATAAGCGCTTTACGGGGGTAGAGCTCTCCGAAGGGAGCTCGATGAAGATCTGAACGCGAAAACGACCGGAAACTTTCCTTCATTTTGGAAAAATCACAATCAAAATCTCTGAGCGATATTAGTTCTGCTCAGCTGTGTGCATCCGAGCCTGTGCTGTGGGCACGATCCAAACTCGTTAAATAAGGTCTCTGACCGCAAGGACTTCAGAGTAAGTGAAGCATGAGGAGCGGAGGGAAAAATCGTTCCCTTAACGAACGGAGAAGTTCCGGAGACCCTGCTCGAAGTCCTGGAATTCTGCAGGCGACGGGTTTGAGCTTGAGCTCGTCAGCTCGGCGGACCTCGGCTCGCGCTGCCGCTTTCTGTTCGTTTCCATGTTTGTTAGTGCGTGATCGCGGCTTATTCCGGCGGAGATCGGGTGGCGTCGAACGAATCCGCACTGCGCGTGTTCCGGCTGCTGATGTTGATGTGATGGCGACATATCTGTCTCGTTGAGATGCGTATACGTCCCGTATTCGCGCTGAAGTGGGTTAGCTCACAGCATGCTCGGCTTTAGTCGCGACATCGGGCCTCGCGTCAACAATGGATCCGTCGCAAAACAAAACCAGAAACCATCACAGGCAGGCGAGCACGCAGGCTAGCTGGCTGGCTGGCTGGCAGGCAGTCGTATGAGACCACGGGAAAATTTCCCCAATTCGCTCGCCGCCAGATCGCTCACTCTATTTATCTGCCCTTCCATTTGCGCGACCGGCTATGGGTTGTGTGACGGAGACGCCGCCGCCATCAACAACAACAACAAGCGCGATGTAGCAAGAGCCCCGCCGTAGACACGACGTGCTTTCCAAAGACGCCCAGAAATATTTGAGATTCTGAAACCACAGTCGCGTCCCGTATTTTGACGAGGGAACACATCACAACGTCGGCTACAGAATTTGACCGCATTCTCGGTGGATCCACAAGAGACGTCATCCGTGGCGGCAGCGCCAGTTGCAGATTCCGTTGATCTTGTCGCCGCTCTTTTCGGCAATTCAGGAGCGGCGTAGGTAACGTCAGGAGTCAAAAAGCGATCAAGAAATTGTACCTACTTCGAGCCTCACCCTCCCGTAGATATTTTATCGTTTTATCGCTTACTCTCAGACAAGTTCGCTACACCGAATATCCATCCTGATGAATCGTTTTCAGCGGGGCCAATGAGTTCGCTGCTCGAGGTTATGCTGTATCAATCTTTGATTCGCACAGACTTGGGTTCTTCCCTCGAGCCGAGTCTCTGACCAACGCTCTTCCGCAGGTCTCTCATGAAACAGCCCTCCAAGAGGAAAACTCTCATTACTACCCATTGCTCCTAAGCAACAATCGCAGTCTCTCGGATTCGACCTTGAGTAGTTAGGTCCTTCCCGGAGATCTCGGAAATTCTCGATCGATCGACTCTTCTTCGAGAGCGGTGGTGTCGATGACAGCGACCCCGAAGGAGTGTCTGAACACCATAAGAGATCTGGCGGATAAAAGTGCACAGGCTCCCGAGTCACGCAATCTAGTGGATACCACCAAAGTAGATCAAAGTTTGAGTGTAACTCATCGCAGCAACGAACGTAATCTTCGTTCCGAAGCTGGAGTCGAAACTTTCCGGGATCGGCTATTCCCTTGCCGTGGCCAGACAGGCATCGCCCGGACCAAGGACAGTGGATGGAAATCACTTGAATGATCGGGCATGCATTCGGACCGAGCGATAAGGGAATGTACAGGGCGGTCGTCGGAGGACTTCCGATCGGAGGGTCGCTTAGCCCAATTATTACCGGAATAATCCCTCCTGCAGGCTCGACGAGCGCTTCCCGCCGACTCACTATTGGGGGCTTATCTCTCTCTCTCTCAATTCGTCCAGTCGGCGAACGAGTCATAAGTTCTTCTAGCCCGAGAGTCCCTTAGCCATGGGTTCATCGGTTCATCAGACTTCGCTGCCTGAACGATCGACTGGCGGGCAAGCGGGCGGGCTTGCTCGCTGACTAGGTGCTCATCCGTTCGAAAAGCGGAAGCATCTTCCAGCATTTTTCGACTCATGGGAATTTCTGTCGAAAAGCGGGTAGTAGAGCGATGAAGCGTCCGAGTTGTCGGCACTCGCCTCTTTTTTCTCCCACGATACGTGGATGAGATTTCCGCATCGGAATCCCCTCGGTGTTTCACTGCTCAGAATCACGTCTCATCTAAAGCTTTCTGACGATTCACGGATGGTAGTTTAGCAGCAAACGCGAACACCGCGCTCAACTTCGATGAATCAAAGCTCTTAGAATCGAAATGAAACTGAGACGCCACATCGTTTCTCCAAGTCCGCCCAAATTGTCGGAGACATGGGTTCATTGGCACGCAATCAGCCGCGGGGGACAGTCTTCATGATAGGCGTAAACTTCAATGAAACAGGACAGACTATGGTGACGAAGGGGCGAAGTAACTTATTCGGCCTCGTTGATCATGAAAGAGATGCATAAGACTCACTGAGATCGGGCCCTAATGAAACGAACGTACAGAGGTATCCGTTTCGCGAGTGACCGATGCCGATGTGAGAATCAGTCAACCAGGTGACGCAAGACCGGTGTTCGAATCAAATTCTCCGAACCAGTGGAGATATTACCCGGGAGAACCGCTCTCCCGCGAGCGGACTGTCGGTCTTAATCGTAAATTTCAATTAAAATGCAAACGAATGATTCGCGCAAGGTACGGTCCGTGGAAGTTTAGCATCCGCGGACCCATTGAACGGGCTCTGGAAGGAGGCTTTAAAAGAGCCTCAGCGAAGATAAGTTCGCGCCGACTTTACGCTGTCAGAGAAAAAAATCGCACGACTGCTAACATAGCCGGGGGCTTTGGAATAGACAGATGGGTAAAAGAGAAGCTGATGATGATAGTAATGGTCATGACGATTCAAATCACTCGAGATGGTGCCGCTCTGTTTATCTCGGTTTACTGTGTCGGTTCTGTTTCGGTTGGAATCGCTTTTCCGTACTATGACGAAAAAATTCCAGGGGATCAAAAATTTCAATCCGAAGCCCGCCTGAGGCGGAAGATCGTTCTGTCCCAGTGGCCGTTTCGAGAATAAGGGAACAAAAACCCGCTCACAGCTCGGTACCTACTACTACTACTACGGAAGGGTGTATGATAGATTAGAGAAAAATTAGTACCGAAAAAGTTCAACGGAGCTCCTCAGCCCCCGGATTGAGTCTGGATTCCAATGGTTCTGAATCTAAATATCATGCCTGCCGCGACAAATGAAGCTAGTTGATTTTCTGGGTTCGGGTGAGCACCGTCTGAACCCGAGTTTTCGGAACTCCAATCCGGGGAAAAAATCTATAGCCGATATCGGTCTGCCGAGTCTTTGCTCTGAATCTCCCTTCAATCGTCCCGGGGCTCTGACCGAGAGACTCAGCCCTCAGAGACTCCGGTAGACTCGCGTTCAATGCAACAATGACGGAACCCGCCAGGAAACCGAGAAGAGGACGACAAAGAAACCCCCAGGAAGTGATTGCTTACTTTTTACGCATACAATGTACAATGAGGAGAGAAGATGAGTGAATTCATTCTGAGCCGCATTAAGAGCGACGGCCGAGAACTCCAGAGAGTCCGAACGTGGGGGAAAACTACGATTCGGAGAGCACTCGTGCGGGAAGAGGTCCACCTATGTGCGTGGGGGCTTTTGAGTACAGAGGCGAGAGCGCCAGCGCTGCCGAAACGAATTGCGAACGGGACGTTTCATTGTGCCGGACGAGCTTGATTCGATTCCGTTTGGCCGGCCGACCTCGTGCCGCTCATAACGGAATGCGAGTCCGAATCGAAGCCGAGCCGAGCGTGAGATATATTCAACTAAGAGCACGGACATGCCTTGATTGGAAGTTCTCCGATGACTTTCGAGGGAAAATAGATTCACTGACCATTTTGGCAGGTTTCAGATGCTTTAGAGAGCACGTGGTTTGCGCTTAGCAAACGGGTCTGCGAGCTGCGGTGTTGCTAACGGCGGCGGCAAAGACGGCGGACTGAAGAACGACCAAACGGCTGAGTTTCGTTCGGAATGGCCAGAACCAGCAAGCCATGGACTTCATCTGGGTTCCTGCAGCCGGTGCTAGTGGGTCATCTGGTGAGGAGATGCCTCTCCCTGCTGCCGCTGTCAGAGAAGATGTCAGAGAAAATGCCAGAGAAAAGATGCCGTGTTACCGTATGCTGCCGGTATTTGCTGAACTTCGTTGAAAACACAGAACATTCTTTTGATTCGATAATATCGATACGACCTACGACCGCAGCCACGGCTTTCCAGCGGCAGCATCGCCGACCACTTCTACGATTCCGGATTAATCAGCGTTCTCATCTTTTACTTTTGGCGAAAACAAACGTTCGGAATCGACAAGGGTCATAACGGAATGTCAGGGCACTGAAAGCTCACTGAATTCTACCGTTTCTCCGTCGTATGGGGAATATGACGAGATATCTCCTTTTTCTATTGGGGGGAGCTTCTCTGATGGACGAGTACTACTTCATGTATTTTCCACGAATTTTCCGGTCGTCCGAGCTCCGCAGCTGATCATGACTCTCCTTGATTATTATTTTCATCGAAACGATGTTTCGAAGAGAGGTCATTATTCTGAACATTGGAGAAGTCGAATTATGCAATCATGATCGGAAGCCGCGGAGCATCAGAGAAATTCGGACAGCGCCTCAACCGGATAACTGCTTCTCGATGCAACCTTCCTCATTCCAGGAGACGAATCAAAGTCATGGAATACGGAGAAGTGCCCTCGCGGACCAGGATTTCGGATGAATCACGTTACTCTTTGCCTCAATAACATTTTTTCGGGATAATCACCGACCTGGGGTGCATTTTGGATAGCGCGAGCGCTCATGACTCTTGAGCGAAGTTTCCAACCTGCGACGATCATTCAGATCTCAGCGAGAGTCGAGGAGAGATTATTCTTGTCGGAGCGTGTCGATATCCATTGGAGAAATGATTGGAAACTCTGCTAGAGAGAACGTCCCACCTGATGAGTTCTGGCTCCAGGAGCAGCCTATCAGGATGGAATTTTTATCAGCAGCCACAGTCCTCACGACTTACGTCCGAGTTTGCGAAACAGACATTCGTTGCCGGGCCAGCCGCCGATTTGGCAGAGACCGGCTGCCAATCTTCGTGTTTCTGCTTCACTTGGGCAGCTCCTGTTATTTTAGATTTGGACAAAGTGACAGGACCCCCGGTGTACGTCGTGTCGGGCTGTCCAGCTCACCGGACGGACGTGGAGCTGCCTGCAAGCCGGGTTCGTGTATTGCCTCGGGTCTAATTTTCTGGCGTGAATGGGAGCCAGGGAGCGCGGAAGGACAGGAGAACCTTCCTCGGACCATTGTTACGTAACGTCAGCGCGGCTTCTCCGGGTGACGGTTCCGTGAACTCTTGTACAAAAACATATGCAGCAACTCTTACAAGCGCGCAAGAAGTTTCCTTCGCCCGAGGAAACTGCCCAGAGAGAATATGCAAAGTGGGAATCTCTCGAAGTTCGCCACGGAACGAAGGGCAGAAAAATACCCCGTTGGGAATCCGGTCGAGAGAGATTCTCATCGTGCAGCTTCGCATCGACGGAAACGTCATTCGACAGTGGTAGGGGATCCTGAGCGTCGCCGCTAATTAGAGGATTGACAAGCTGTAACGGAAAGACCCGGAAGCTGTAGATTGGATTAGAATTGATGCAGGCCACAGTATCCAAAAATATCGACGATATTCAAGGAGATTACTGGGCTCGATCATAGCGAGTTAGCTTAGAAGTGAGAGACAGGGGAAAACATTCTCATTCGGCGGATGCCAGAATCCATTGTTTGCCCCTCTTCAACCCGAGTTCGCCGGCGTTCCGACATACCTGGCAGCGAACTCGGGAAGAAAAGAGGAATATAAGTACGATGTGTGACGATCGGATTCCGACAATTCGATCGCCACATCATCCATTCTCATGGATCGGAGATACGGCTCGAGACACGCTCTTGTGGAGAAAGGCGTCTCGGACTCGGCCGTCTCCGTGATGTGTAGGCATCCTTCCCCTAGATGGCAAGATAGGCGTTCCCGAAGTTCCATTGATTGAATAAAGATAGTCAGAAATATTATGAATACTCCTTAATATTGAATTTTGATCCGCCAACGTGAGCGTTCACGATATACAGCCAGGGCGAAATGTGCTCAATGAGAAGCTCGACCGTTCGCTCAATTGACCGATCGGCTAGAGTAGCGCATCTAGCGAAGAGAGACGAGTACCGTAGAGACGGATCCTCTTCTCGAATTCTCCGCGAATTCGGTGCGACTACATCCCATGCGTACGGTATGCTAGCCTCGTAATGTTGACATAGCCACTTCGCGTAGAATCGATCCGAAGACGAATACACCTCTCTACAAAGCTATTATTCCGATGATCGATGCTCTGCCGCACGTTCTGTGGAAGTGTGGATAGATAAACTCCAAGTTGTCGAAGCTCGCATCCATGTCGACATCCGACGAGAGCCAGTATCGAATTTCTTCTCCATTGAACCAATATGAATGCAGAGGGAATTCATTTGTAAGTGGTACATCCCGCTAAACTTGAAGAAACACAATACTAAAGAGAATTCGGACGGAATCATCGGAGGGAGGGTACCGTCGGAACATTCCGAATCAACGGCCGAGTAGGTTTCATCATGTCGTAAGACTCTCAAATTAGTTTCTCCTGTACTGGACCAAGTCCAATCCATCTCCAGAGAAACACCGGACGGGTTTCCATAGTTAATAAATCTGTGGCGGACAGTACTGACGAGTAAACATTCTTTTTTGAAAATGACAATCGCCTGGTTTGACATGCTTTTCTGAAAGTTTCCGAGCCCCGGAGCAACCCCGAGTCGTTTTTCCCTGCTGTCCTGCACTTCATACCCCTTTCCTGCAGGCTCCGAAACCCGGAAAAAACACCATTTACATTGAAATCCGGGATATTTTTCTCGGATTGTGATGGAAATGTCATTTCCCCAGGTTCCGAAGCCCGGAAAGACCCATTCCCATTGATATCCGAGCAAAATATCCCGGATTTCGATGTAAATGGTGTTTTTTCCGGGTTTCGGAGCCTGCAGGGAAGGGGTATGAAATGCGGGACAGCAGGGAAAAACGACTCGGGGTTGCTACGGGGCTCGGAAACTTTCAGAAAAGCATGTCGAACCTGGTGATTGTCATTTTCAAAAAAGAATGTTTACTTGTGAGACAAAGACAAATATATGTACTCCTGGAGTCCTTATGGGAACGCTCAACACGCAGGCGAGCTCCCCCACCAACCACCAAGTGCCGCTCCCGAACAGATAAGGCGTGAAGAGACATGAAAGACCTTCACGCGACTCTGCTCCTCCCTCGAGCGACGTCTTCCTCCCCGCAGCCCAGCATAAGCCAGAGACGCCCGATGGAGTTCGATCCGGTCCTCGGATTAATATTCGGGAACTTTTCTCCGAGGACGCAGACTCATCCATCTTCCGTATCAGGATCCTCGTCGCACACGGAAACATCGACACCGTCATTCCGGTGAACAACCCCTCGTAAGGGGATAGTGAGGTCAGAGACGAACGGGGACGTTGAACGCTTGGGGAAAATTTTCTGGGAACCACCTTGTAGATAGATTGAGGAATCGAGAGCGGTCTCCCTTGCCGTCATTACCACGATCGTGCGAGAGTGACAGGACAATGAGGAGAGCAGAGTTTCCGGGAAAACTACAGACGAGTTCTCGCAATCAACGTCAAGCTCAATGCAGCGCGCACGCTCAAGAACGTCAGAGAGCCGCAAATATTCTCCGCGATGGAGCGATGAGCTCAAAACCGACTGCTAAACCGCTAGCGCCGGTTGACGTTCGAGGTTCGAGCTACTCTGAATGTGCCCGCTTATTGCTGAATCGTTGATCTATCTCAGCGAGGACTCCGGTGATAATAAAAATTGGTCCTATCATTCTCTAACACGAGTCCGACGACGATTGTTTGGAGTTCTGATGATGCTCCTCTTTCAGAAGTTTTTTCAGATGATTCCATGCGTGACATCGTAATTTCGAGACTGACGAATCAGAGGAGTAGGTTCAAGCTCGTGAGCGTATTTTTGAGACGGGAGCATTCATCAGCTCGCTACCGGAGGATCCATCGGGTGGAAAACCACGACGGAGATCTTTACAGCGCCGTGACTAAGGAGACGACGCACAGTGGGGCCAAATCACATTTTAGGTGGACAAAATTTTTTTTCATTTTTTTCGCATGGTAGGCTTGCCTCCATCCGGGGAACGCATGTTCACAGCAGATATAGCTAACTTTTATTGACGGAATCGACGAAGTCATCGAAACTGCAGCCTCAAATTAGAGATTATCGAATGATTCGCTGGAACCCTCCGAGGCGACCGACCTTTCGGGATCATCGGCAGACTCGATTGTTACGAACTCTGCTTCCCTTCCGGCTGAGTTTAGCATAGCGTCTACCTGTGGATCGACTTTTTTGGGCCGCCTTTTTGGAGGGGGTCGAGTACTCACTATCAAGGGATCCGAGGAAATGAGCAACATGCTCAAGAGATCAGAATTAGTATTTTCTCGGGAATTTTTCCAGGTATTTTCCAATCTATAGCGCCGACAGTTCTTGTTCCGTGCTTCTTGAGCTCCTTCTGTCATCGTGCCGACCGGGAGGGGAAGGTATTTGATAACCTGAGGGCTGTGGTCTAGGATTTTACGAACAGTCGGCGTTGCTGGGTGACACGGATACAGCTCTTGCAGAACTTGCTTCGTATCTTTCACGAATATCTCGATATTCATTCATATGATATTTTCGATATTCACTCCGAATTTCGTACTAGAGAGTCCGGAGAATAACACGGAATCAGGCTCTCGTCGAGGTC